TACTTATTATCCCTATTATATAATATATTTAAAGTTTTAAATATATATTAAGGTTCTCTTATATATCTCTATATAAGCTTCTAACCTAGCTATATAAAATCCTTTATATCTCTATATTACTTAATATCCTATTATATTAATAATTAAATATAGTTTTTATTTTTAATATTCTTTAATTTAAACTAAGAAGTAATTATTTATTACCTTATCTTACTAATATTATAAATAGTAATATTATATATATAATACCTATAATATTTACTTATAGTTTAGGTAATATAAATACCTTTATAATTCCTTTTCTAATTAAATATATTTTTCTAAGGTTATAAGATCTTCTATTACCTTCTTTATATAAGCTTAAATATAGATATTATTATCTTATTTTATAATTACTTTTTTTTAGTAAGTTCTATATATTTTTAGTATTTATTATTTTAGAAATAGTTTCTAATTTTATTATATTAAGATATAATTTTAGCATTTTAAACTATTTATTCCTCTTTATATTTAATTTTCTTAGTATTAAGTTCTCTTTATATTTTAGTTACTTTAGCATAGCCTAGGTCTTTATATTATTTATTAAGTTACCTTAAGGTAGTTTTAATAGGAATATTATTTACTATTAGATAAGGGTTATATATAATTATTTTATCTTAAATCTTAAGAAGTACTTTTAATTTCTTAAAGGTTTATATTAATACTTAGTTAATACCTTAATTAAGTTCTTTAATACTTAGTTTATTATTTAAGTTAAGGTTAACTTTTTTTCCTTTTTTAATTATTATTATAACCTTATTATATTTATTATTTTTTTATTTTTATATAAGTATTAGTTTTTATTATTTAATCCTTAGTTTTAAATTTTCTTTTTATTAAATACTTTACTTACTTTTATAACCTTTTTATTACTTATTTTATTTTCTTTAATATTTAGGGTTTTTTATATCTTTAGTATATTTAAGTCTTTTCTATTTAAGGGTTTCTTCCTTAGTTTCTCTTTTTCTTATTAATATTAGTATTTTATATCCTAGGCTAGGTTGTTTTTCTAGTACTAGGTTAGGGTAATATTTTTTAAGAGTTTCCTCCTTATTAAGGAATAAGTTATATACTTTTAATAGTCCTAGAATTATAATAAAATCAATACTAAATATATTATATTTATCTTTTTTAATTATATTAATTATTTTAATTATTATTTAGGGTTTATTATTCTTTCTTATAGTATTAATATATTTCTTTCTTTTAGGTATTAATTTATATTTTTAATTAGTTTTAATAAAGTTTTTATATTCTAAGTCTTTATATCCTTTCTTATTATAGTTTTAGTAAGTAAGTTTAGATTTATCTTATTTAACTATTTTAATTTTTATTAGTTTTACTTTAGTATTATAAGATATATTATTATTATATTTCTATTCTTAGTTAATATTATAATAAGGTTTATTATCTTATTATTTATTATATTAAGAGTTTTAAATTCTTTAAGCAAATTATTAGTTATTAATTCTAATTACTTAATTAATATAATTTACTAAGGTTTTAAATTTATCTTTTTTATATAATTTAACTTATACTAGTTCTTTAAGTATATTAAAGAAAAATAATATAAGTATATCTTAATCTTAAGGTAGTTTAAATACTAATTAAAAGAATTCTACTTTAAGCTTAAATATAAATTAAGTTTATTTAAGTATTTTAATTTTTCTTTTAACTTATCCTTTTTTATTAATAGTTTTAAATACCTATTATAAGGCTTTTTTAAAAGCTAGGTAATTAATATATAATATATAAATTTAAGGTTTAAGGGCTTTTAGGTCTCCTTTAGTAATTTAATCTTTAAGGAATAGCTAGAACTATTATATAGCAGTGCCCTTAAGGTATTTTAATATATACCTAGTTTTATTTACTTCCTTTATAAACTAAGTTAGATAGTAAGATATAAAGGCTTAATATTAAGTAAGGAATATAAAGAGTTTACTTAGAGTTTTATTAAATATCTTAAGCAGGTTAGGCTTAAGGATTTCTTTAGTATCTTTATTATAAATAATAATATTAATAAGGTTATATATTTCCTAAAGTCTATTTTAGTTATTATTAGCCTATTAGGCTTAAAGGTTTATTACTTTAATAAGTATTTAATAAAGCTTTACTATTTTAATAGTTATATTAATAATTTGCTATTAGAGCTAGATAATATTAGAGTTATTATTACTTTTAAATAAGTTATTATTATTTTCTCTTATATACTAGTTAGTAGGTAGATTATTATTAATTAGAGTTAGGGTAATATTAATAGTAATATTCTGCTAAATAGAAGTAATTAATATAGCTATTATATTTATATTACTTAGTATTTATATAATATAATTTAAATAAGAGCTATTAATATATAATAATTAAGTCTAATTATATTAAATTAAGCTATATTAGGTTTATTATTAAAAGACTATATAAAGTATATATTAAGTATTATTAAAGTATTATATCTCTTAATAGTAGATTTAATATATATTAGGCTTAATTAATATAAAGAAGTTATATTAATAGCTAGTAAGCTAGAATTTATAAAAGTGCTAATAAATATATTTTATATATTTATAGTAACTTACTATAATAAGTTAGTATTTATATATAAGTTATAAGTCTAATTATAAGTCCTATTAAGCGGCTTATAATAGAAATAAGGAGAAAGCATAAGTTGTTAATTAATTAGGGGAAATTTATAGGTTCTATGTGACGTAACCGCGAGGATTGTAATAATACTATGTAGTAAAAAGTGGGTTACTTTATAGCTTTTTAATACTTAAATAAAATAGATAGAAATTTAAGAAAATTATTTCTTATAATGATATAGCTTATTATATAATAAAGTACTTTTTAAAGATTTTTAAATATTTTATTTTATAAAGAAAACCTTTAAAATATAATATAATTTAGAATATAAGTAAACTTTAAAGTTTATAACTATAATATATTTAATAAGTATATATTATATTTAAGTATATATTATACTTTCCCTATTTAACCTATAGTATAGTAATTAGACTTTAACTATAATAAACTAAGCTATATTAAGATTATTATTAGCAGATTATATAAAGTATATACTAAGTATTATTAAAGTATTATATCTTTTAATAGTAAGTTTAATATATATAAAGCTTAGTTAATATAAAGAAGTCTTATTAATAGTTAGTAAACTAAGTTTTATAAAAGTATTAATAAATATATTTTATATATAAATAATTTAAAAAATAATTAATAATATTATTATAGAATTAATATTAATTATAATAAATTAGTATTAATCTTAATAAATTAATTATAATTATAAAGTCTAAATATTAATTAAGTTTTAATAAAAGTTAAAGTAATTAAAGAGAAATATAAGGTATATATAATAAAGTTACTAGGGTTATAATATATAGCTATATTATTATAATACTTTAAAAAAAGCCTATAACTTAAATCTTTATATTAAGTAAGCTCTTAAATATAAAAGAAAAATATATAAATATAATATATTTTATATAATAATTATAAGTATTTAAAAGATTTAATTAAAATAATATTAGTTATATTTAACTAATAATCTTTAAATATAAGATCTTTTTATTTATATACTCTCTTTATAAAGACCTGTTAAGTAATAAAGCTTTTATTAAATCTAAGATATAAAGCCTTAAGGACTTAAAAGGAAAGTTATATAAAGGGATATAGCTAAATATAAGAGAGAGGAAGTTCATTAAGGCCCTTAGACTAGATAGCTTATATAATAAGTGGCTTAAATATATCTAGTAATAGGCAAAGGAGCTTATAAAGAAGATTAAAAACCTGTAAGAATAGAAGCAGGGTAATTGCGGGGTTTAGAAGAAATATATTAAGTTTTATATAAGTTTAGTTACTTAAAGTTAAAGACCTAAAGTTATAAATTCGGTATTAGTAGTAAAAAGAAGATTAAATAAATTATAAAATAAAGTATATAACTAAATAAGTAAAATAGCTATAATATTAATTTACTATTAATATAAATAAGGAAGTAAATACTATTATAATCTTATTTTATATTATAATTCTTTTTTATTAATATATTATAAACTTAAAATAATATTAACCTTAAGTAATATTAATTAACCTTAAGTAAAAATCTTAATTAATTAATAACTTAGCCTAATAATAAGTAATATTATAATAATATATAGCCTATAAAATTATATTTATATAAATAATTATAATAGAATTGCCTAGAAATAATATATAGGCTTTAAATACTTATACTTTTACTTATAACTTTTTTACACTTTTTATTTTTTAATTTCTTATTAATTCTTTTTAAGTTAACTTTAAAACTATTTAAAATATTTAATTATAATTTTTTTTCTTTTTATTAATACATATTATAATTTTAATAAAAATATTTAATATAGTCTAATAGATATTATTATTAAATAAGTATAAAAATTACTTATAAATAATATCTAGGATATAGAAATAAATGCCGCAGGTAGTTGTCTAGGCGCCACAGCTTTTCACGCAGCAGCTCTATAAAGCCATATAAATGTTATAGATATCTTGTTTCAAAAGGGTGGGCATCCGAACCAGGCGAATAACACAAAAACAACACTATTGCATTCTGCGGCGAGTGTAGCCGATACCGAAGTAATTAGATACCTCCTCGAGCATAGTGCAGACTCCAAAGCAAATCATGCCTGGATAAGAACCCTGTATGAGGTCGCGCTTCTGGCTGGCCTGGCAGATGCACTTAATCTGATAAAGCAATATTGTAGAAGTGGAAGGTAATATGTTTTTATAGAGGAATTAGTATTTGGGGTTTTAAGACTATAATTAATTCTCAGAGTTATATATGGTTTTAATATATAATTTCCTATTTAAAGCATCTAGAAAACCACCCCTATTATGTTTCAAAACTAAATTTTTTTAAACCTTTTAGCTACTATATCTACAACTTCACCTCTTCGCGATCCGCCAAAATATCTTCAAACTGCCCGCTCCGCATTATCCGGGCGAATCGCACCCAGGCTTCCAACTGCACCTTTGTGGCAGCTACCGATAACGATGAATGGTGCCCAGTACATTGGGTGACTATAGTTATCCGGATGAGCAGCCTCTCCTAGTTCAAGCTCGGGTTCGATGTCACGAGGCCCCTGGAGGATATTTTGCACTTCTTGTTGAGTGGCGTGTCGAGTTGCGATCTGCGCCGCTTGAAGTGCTCTAGCAGGAAACCATTCCTTCTTTAAATGCTCGTAGAATTTGATCATGAGGAAGCTTGTTACATCATCATCGACGCTCCAAAGACTCACCAATACACTCTTGACTCCAGCAGCCAATAGGGCGCGGGCGAAGCCGATCACATCATCGCCGCTTGTGAGCTCACCACGGCCTGTTTTGCAAGCACTAAGGACGACCAGGTCAGCGCGCAAGTGTCGCCACATCAAGTCCTCGACAGTAATGTTTTCACCCTCCGCGAGGTGAATTGCAGACAGCATAGGCACTTCGGTAGAGAGACTCCCGTGGGTCGCGAAATGGAGCACTCTATAATTGCCAAGAAGCGAAGAGACTACCTTTTTCGTTGCATTTGGACCAGTCAAGGCCTTGGTGCCCTCGATCAGTTGTCTAATGGCTTCAACTTCGACGTGGGCGCTGGGCAGCGGGGGCAGACGGCGCTCCTCTAAGGTCAACGAGTTTTTGCTGCTCATATTCGAAGGGTTGCCGACTGCTAAGATGGAGAAGTCTGTTTCCGGAGCCGGATCGGATTGTAAATACGCGAGGACACTGGCACTGGGGAGGTAAGATATCGTTTTGTTGCTCATCAATAGCTGGCCTTGGTAGGGTAGGGCGTGGAAAGGTAGTTGATGCAGACAACGGTATGGAACGATGATGAGCCTGGACTCGTCCAAGGACTTGAAGGGAAGTAGTTTAGTGGCCAGCCAGGACTCATGATCCCGCGTTCCCGACGACCCAGTCGCACAAGCTTTGTGATATTGCAGAATATGGCCCTCCAAACAAGCCTCTGGGACGTCAACCACAAAGACTTCTCTCATTCCAGATGCTGTGATTTTCCACACCACCATATTCTCCCTACTGTAGCAGTATTGCAATAGCGCGGTATCCGCAGGCAATAGTTTGCAGAGTGACGGAAGGCTGAGAACTGTTCCAATAGCGGATAGGGAAACAGATCCACCAGCTGACAACATCCCCTCCAATTTCCGGAGTTGTTTCTCTTTCTCCTGGATCTTTGCTTTGAGCCTAGATTCTGTGCTGCGATCCAGATGCTGAGCTTGGTAGCACCTAGCCAGCAAGCTTCGAAGCGTAGCGAGCTGAGTCCCCTCCACCTTATACTGCTGCCACTGGGACCCAACGCTTCCATCTGCATTGTGATTGGGAATAGCACCCTCGATCAAGTCCAGCAGGCTCCGTGCCTTGCCACGCTCGATTGCAGCAAAAGCACGCTGGACTTGGGGAGAAAGAAATTCAACCCCTGATTGTCTTGCAGATAGATGCCATCGTGCGGCGGCATGCGCGGCACCAAAGTATATATCCTGGACCACTGAATCTCCTGCGAGCGCTATCTTGTGGTCATCCACTGAGAGTGCATGCCTTCTCTTATCAAACGCTGCCATGGCTCGCTCATAATAATCGCACGCTTGCTCATACTCTCCGAGCCCTTCGCTGACTTGAGCAATCATGCTAAGGTTCTCCCAGACAGGATATTCATACAGGCTCCACCAGTCTGGCCCCCATTCCAACTCTAGTTCCTTCACTATTGATTTAGCATCGTCGTAAAGCCTGACACGCACAAAGAGGGATAGTACTCGAGTTTTTTCCTGCCATCTTTTTCTTCGAAGAAGTTCTCTAGTCTCCTTATCAATACCGATACTCTCATGCTCTTCTGCTGCGACGAGTTGGTCTTTATATGCCCGTGCGTGCGCTGCAGCCGCTTCAAAATCTCTCTTGCTGACACTGAGGGAAGCAAGAAGTACCTCGCTCTCACTGGTGGGGTGGGCTGTTAAGGCTGATTCGGTTTCCCTCCACAGCTGCTCGGCTTTGTTCGAGTCTCCGTTTCTGACAGCTTGACGACTGCGGTAGAGTGGGACCAAAGCTGCCGCTAAGGAGATGAAGTAGTCAATTAGGTTGTATGCTCCCTGGGTCTGAAACTCGACAGGGTCGATATTCAAACTGTTCAGTCTTGCGAGAAGCTCTCCCATATCGGCCATTCTTCCTTCGTTCATGGCAGACTGAATGTTTTGGTTGAGTTCAATCTGGCGAGACAGAAGCTGTTCAACCGACACAGTCGGGCCTCGCCGGCGCCACTTGCGTAATATGTCCGCAATGCGAGCGAGTCGTTCTGGGTCGGCTCGCTTGTTCGCATGCTGGAATATCTTCCCCAGAACGTGTACCGCGTGGTTGAGTGCCATCTGCGAAATCGCCGAAGTCCGCGGCCTCTCTTTTTCAATCTCGTGACACACATTCGATGCCTTCTCCGCGGTGATATAGATCATGCTCTGGTCTCCCAGTAACTCGTGGACCGATAGCTGATCGCAAATGCTGTAGGCGTGCGATAATTTCAACCCAAGGCCCTGGAATACTGCGGCCGCAAGCTTATGCGCTGCTAGTGCTTTCTCATAGTCGCCCAGAAACACAAGCCATCTCCGTGCATACTTTGCAAAAAACAAACCCAGTCCGAAGGCCAGGCTATAGCTTCCTTTCTCCTTACCGTATTGGCCGATCGCTTTCGCAGCGTCGCTATCCTCGGGGAATTGGGCTAGACCCACCCGACACAAACAAGAGTGGGCAGTCGCAACCTGCACTCCTGCAATATCACCAGCTTGGCTATACAGGAATTTTGCATGGCTGACATGCGCCAACGCTACCTCATATGCGGTAGGCGTAGCTGATGAGGAGCTGAAGATACCTAGAGTGGCAAGGTAGCCAAGTCGAAGTTGGACAGCTGCCTGACCACGTGTGTGTTGTGCAGACCCATAGAGGGTATCAGAGTCCAGATAGTAAGAAGTGGCCGCTTGGAGATCCTCTGGCAGTGGCATAGAGAAGTGAGTGCTTTCATCATCTCGCGGCTGCGCGTTGCTCTCGGTCCCTTGCTCCAGCAACATATTCCAGGTCTCAGGAACTCCAAAGGTAACCGCCTTTGCATCACCCAGCCTAAGCTGGTGGTGTGCGCGTAGGATAGAATCTCTCGGTTTCAGGGGTGCGACACTACCCATCACGCTGTGGAAGCGATCGCGGTCCCCAACAACTCGATAGATGTGCGCCAGTTCGACTTCGAATGGGAGTATTTCAGCCTCGTTAACGCCGCTAAGCCTGCAGTTCTGGATAGCTTGGGCGACACCCTCAGTTCCCTGTTTCCTTGCTAGGTCAATCTCGACACTAGTTGGAACGCGGGGCCTGGCTGATACAACCCTTCTTTGTAATTCCAATAGAGCTCTGAGCCTGCGCACGCGATCATGCTTGTAATCAATAGCGCTGTGCAGGGAAGCCTGAAGGTGTTCAATCTCTGTGATGAAGTCGAAGATGTCGTCCAGCTCCACACTTGAAATATTGCAACCGGCGGCTGACCATTTGAACTGCATATGCAGGCATTGGATCAAGTATGTAATCGCTGGGATATGCACGTCTGGGTATCGGCTTTCTGACAGTTCAACTGCCTTCTTAAAGCTCGTGCAAGCGTAGCCCGGTTCGCCTTGAAGCATTGCAATGATACCTAACTTCAGCAGTGAACGGCAATAGAGCTCGGCTTGGATTTGGATCTGAGGATCTATCGTGGCACTTTCGGACCTTGATCGTTCCTCGAGGAATCCGGTCGGAAACTGTCCCAGCAACGGTAAGCTCCCCAGAACACCCTCATAGACAACCATGTGAGACAGCGTAGCCATGATTGAATCGACGCGATGACTGTGGAGTGTAAAAAGGGGAAACCAGTCCTTTTTAGGTCCACTTTGAAGGCCCAATGCTCAACAGAGCTACTCCGGGGTAGGGGCTGCTTATCTCACATGTTGAAAGCGCGCAACGCGAATATCTACAATACCCCGCCTGATGCAACCGAGACTGCAAGTCATTCTCACATAAGTGGCTGCCCAATGCATCATGTTCATGTAAGTGGCCGGAGAATTCCGTACAATACACATGCAGCATATCTCTACATCATCGAACAGTTAGTGCCTATTACAGAAGGTTTTAGAAAAGCATTCTTGATGGTGATTCATTACATGCTTACTTAATTTTCGGGCAAAAGATAGTTGAGCTTGGGATATCCTTAGTAACATAGATTGGAAATGCACAGACTCCCTGCTGTGACTAACTTGGAGGCCCTTGGGCACTCGGGAGATATGTAGCTTTTCAGATGAGAATTGTCGAGTCCTCCATCGCCGAGCCTACTATAGCTGAGAACCATTTTCCGATCACATGCCACGTTGAATTGTGGCGCTACTGGGGGTTAATATAGAAAACAAACCTTAACCCCACTTCTTCATGACGGCCGTAATACTTGCATTTGGTATAATCTTTCGTGCCACATGACCTGTCTTTGGAGCTTAGGCACATGTGAATAGACTAATACCTGTGTTAGCTGCCTAAAGTTTATGCTTGTGGCTTGCAAATCCTCCTATAGGCGAATAAGCTAAACAAGAATTCATAAGTAGTTTTTCAGCTGAAAACTCTTATCCTACCACATGCTATATGAAGTTGTGTTGCTATTGGGTATCAATACGGAAACCAAACCTTAGCTGCTCTTAGCTTGTAATGGCAGAACACTTTTCACCGGGACTCCGGATATGGAGGTTGATCAAACTTTATCACTGAATATAGGGTTGAAACGGTGGATGTTTGTCTTAAGCACCATTCCATGGGGATTGCACCTATATTTACGCCCGGTTTGTCTCGCATTCCCAGGATATGAGCGGAAGTTTAGTGTTGCTCATTTCATAGATGTGTCTCTACGCAAACTAAAGTGCCATCTTAACTCCTAAAAACTTATTCCATAGTCCGTTTTTGCTTGGCAATGTCCACAACTAAGAGAGCTTTACTCATTGCCAGTCCTTTCGGAGGACTTCAAGGTCCGCTGAATGATGTCAATAGGATGACAGAGCTTCTTCAGGCATTTAGATTCGACATCACTCAATGTTGTGGCAAAGATGCGACTCGAGATGGAATTCGAACTTCATGGCAGAATATCATCGACAAGAGCTCGTCTGGAGACACGGTTGTTATTTACTATTCCGGACACGGGGGACTGGTCGAGACACGGCAAAACCTGGAGACAGAAGACAAGAGGGTTTGCCAATCACCGAATCAATATCAATTCCTCGTACCGTTCGACTTCAATGAAACCACCGATGAAGATTTCAAGGGCATATTAGACATCGAGATAGCCCACATGCTCCGGGACACCACGGACAAGTCTACCAATGTGACCATCATCCTCGACTGCTGCCACTCTGGCCGAATGGCGCGCGATGAGACCCACGGTGACAATGCGACCCCCAAGCAGTTGCTTGAGGTTCAACATCATGACATAGTCAAATGGGTCGAAACTCTGAAGCAGAAGGGCTACCTTGGTGGAGACACCGCTATCGAAGGGAACCAGGATGCAGTTCGAATAGCCGCCTCTGCTACAAAAGAAACCGCCTGGGAATATTTCAAAAACGGCCAGTGGGGCGGTATAATGACAGAGGCCCTTGTCCGTGCGATGGAAGAAACAGATGGTCAAGACATTTCATGGAGAACGTTGCTAATCCGGGTCCGCGAGCTCGTGCAGGTGGATTTCCCACAGCAGCATCCTCGGGCGGAGGGCCCAGATACCCGGGTGTGTTTTGAATTGACTCAGAAGTCGTCTGAAGCATTCTTCATAACAATTGAAGAAGAAACTGCTGTCCTCCAGGCAGGTCGAGTGGCTGGAGTCCGCGAAGGCAACAAATACATCATCATGCCTTTTGGCTCGACTAAAATAGACAACCGAAATCAGATTGCAAAAGCTACTGTAACACACATCATTGGGTTTAAAGCGCTAGTTGACCTGGAGTTCGAGTCAGTGGGAGGAAGCCTGCCCGAAAACGGAGCGTTGGCTTTCTTGTGCCAAGAAGCTCTCTACGAATGGCCGTTCATATTGCCGGAAGGCCTTCCGGGCCTCGCAGACGCCGTGAAAGGTTCGAAGTTCCTGAGACGCTACAATCACCAAAAAGATCCATCCCATCTCGCCGAGTTCCAACAAGAAGCCGGAAGGATCACCTTACATACCCAGAAGGGAGTACAGATCGCATCGCGACAGATCCTTGATAACCAAATTACTTCTGCTACTGGTTTTGCCGAAATTATACGGGACGCTGAGATTCTTGCTAAAGCGCAACACCTCCTGAGGCTGAGATGTGAAAACCCACAAGAAGTCCTAAACCACGGACTGAAAGTGGAGTTCGGAACGGTACACCAAGGGAATTCGGGGCGACCTATCGAGCAAGATGGCAGCGGCTTCATAACAGAGGGAGATCGTATTTGTGTTTCGCTTCACAACACTGGCAAGGACATTGTATACGTGTCGGTCTTCGACGTCAACGTCGCCGGGAAAATCTCATTGCTGTCTACATCCAGCCCAATGGGAATTTTGTTGCAATCTGGCGAGTCCTACACTCTAGGGAAGAGTCAGTTCGGGGATGTGCTCAAGGGCATGCAAACTGCATGGCCGAAATCTGTGCCAAGAAGCAAGAGAGTCGATGAGCGGTTGATCTTGGTGCTATCTAACGCGGAGGTCGATCTCAGACATCTGGCTACCTCGGCTGAATCAGCAAACCGACTCGCGACTCTCACCTCGAGAAGGTCAAGTCTTGAAAGTCTGGAGGAGGTCACATATCATATTGCGTCAGGGGCAAAAAGGGACGTCATACACGAAGCGCGAGAGTCTCCAATGCAATTTGACATATACGATATCCCCTTCTCCATGGTTTCTGTCACAGAAGGAGAATCTGAACAACGATCCATTCCAGCAGTGCAACTCCCAGCACCAGAGATGAGAACGGGGTGGGAAACCATACCAGTCCACCCGTCGCATGCAGCGGAGAAGGTTAGTCCTTTCAACATTCCCATACACGATTCGGTTTCCTAGCTAATGAGATTCGATTTGGGGTCATAGGGAATCTTCGGCGCAGGTCTTCGAGCATTCGAGGGCATACCACCTTGCGTGTGGGTAGTAAATCGGCATAACGAGGACATCACAGTTGTCGTCTCGAAGTATCGCCCAAATCGCTTATTATCAGGTTTCGGCCTCAGCGCGTCGAGCACTGGCGGGGGTGCAAATTACAGTACTACGGTACGATGTCTTGTGTCTATTATACGAGGTCTAGGCTGTTTTTACTCACGTGAACCTACAGACATTCCTGAGTCCAGCGACTACAAAGACTCTCGCTTCTTCAAGTGATGATAGCACTTCTTCCATGGGTGTTTTCCCGCTTTGGACTCGCAAGGGTGGGTTTGGAGTTATTAGTATCTTTACTGGTGCAGAGAAGAAGCTGTTCATTGAGAACGACAGAATCCCGATAGGGGCCACAGCCTACTTTACAAACAAACCAGATTTGACGATTGTGGGCTACAAAGAGAATCAGATTAATATCCCGCTTCCCGAGTCTTCAGAATCAGGCGGCGCCGGGTCCGGTTTGCGGCTACTCAGCCTGGACGGCGGTGGGATCAGAGGTATCTGCAGTCTAACAATCCTGGATGCCATCATGAAGGAAATTAATAAGGGCCGCCAATCGAAGAAGCTTCCAAAAGAGTGTTTCGATCTCGCCGGTGGAACCAGCACAGGCGGACTGATTGCACTGTTGCTGTTCCGACTGGAACTGGATACCGAGAAGGCAATCAACGTATACACGACGATGGCTAAGAACGTCTTTAGCCCGAGGCTCCCCAAGTTGTTGGGAGGTTACAATCTTCATGAGTGGGGCAAACTTGGCTACTACATCGGTAATCCCTACTTGAGATTTAAATCCCTCATTCTCCCTTCTTACTTTTCGGACTATTACCTGAAGACGGCCATTGACAAAGTTATGGAGGATAAGAACGAAAGTGGTCAAAGTGAACTCCTCAAACCTGGAACCACACCTATGTCTGCACACCTCTGCTCCAATGAACATGAATGGAAGGGCTAACTGACCCCCAGGTTCATGTGTGCTACTAGCACCCACCACGAATGTGCTAAGCTATTTCGCTCATATGTCCCCTTGTCGGGCATCGAAGACAAATTTGCACATATCACAGTAAGAGATGCCGCCCTTGCCACGTCCGCTGCTCCAACCTACCTACCTAAAGTCAAGGTTATGGAGGAAGAATTCTGGGATGGCGGCCTCCTCAACAATAACCCCATCAACCAAGTCTGGGATGCCCGGTATGAACTTGATCAAACCATTGAAAGAAAGCCTGTTCCGAATCCGCCAAAAGTTTCCTGCATTGTAAGCATTGGGACAGGGCGCGATAAGATGCCAGTACAACAACCCGGTTATGGATATCTCAACACCGTCAGCACAGTTGTCTCGTATGCGACTAACACGGAGGCAAAACACCAGGACTTCGATCATAAGATCAAAATGTTAAATTCTAGGTCAGGGGGCGAAGAAATTCCTTACTTCAGATTCAATGTGGAATTGGAACAGGAGATAAGTCTTGACGATTGGCAGAGTATGTCAACACTGAAGGCCATAACAGAGAAGCAACTGCGGACCAAAGAGTGGGACAAATTGATACAAGAGTGTGCGAATAGCCTTGAGCCCAAATCTTAGCAGGTTACTATATTCTTCCACTTACTATTAGCAGCATATATTATAACTGGTTTTAAACACTTAATATTTTTATAATAATATAGGTAAAATATATAATTATTACTTACTATATAACTTAATATCTATATTTTATAAGGAAAAGAGTGTCTATTTAGTTAATAATAGGGCTATTTAATAGCAGGATGTTGAAAAAAACTTCTTATAGTAGGCTAAAAAGATCTGCCGCAGAGCTAAAACTAGGCTAGGGAATACCGACTTAGCACCCTTATAATACTACCTCCGAAATTAATAGATAAGGCCGCTTTATTAGAGGTAAAGTATATAAAAGCCTAGGTTACCTGCTATTTAACAGATACCCTCTCTTTTCTATATTATATATTAAGCCTAGCTATAAATAGTTAGAAATTGCCTTTAATTAAATACTAATTAGGTATTAAGTAACTAAGCTATCTATATATATAGCTTATACTTTTATATATTAAGTATTATCTTTATTATTACTATACTTTAAATATAATTATAATTTATAATATTATATTAAAAGTATTTATTTAGATAACCTATTATAATTAATTAGTATTAAATTAAAATTATAAATATTAAGTAATTAAGAATATATATAAATATATAAATTATATATTTATATATTAACTATTCTCTCTATTATTAATAGACTTTAAATATATTAATACTTTATTCTATTATATTATACCCCTTATTCTTACTAGTCTTCTGTAATTAATTGGCATCTAAATCAAATTGGGAGTGGAACGAAAGGTCTTACTACCGCGTAAACCTCCCTCTTTCCTCCCTCTGCCACTAAGCTCCTTGTATAATAATTAAATAAGCTATTACTAGTAATTTATATAGGTCGGTTAGTAAAGATATAAGAATATAATAAAGAACCCTTAATAGCTAATTTAAGGGTATTATTTCTATTAATTTTATAATTAATAATATAAATTAACTCTAGCCTTAATATCTCTTTAATTTTTATATTTTATTTTTTTTAAAGTTACTTTATTAGTATTAGTTATTTTAATATTTATCTCTTATATTATAAGTATATCTTAATATAAAAGTAATTTAATAAGCTTAATTTATATTTATATTTATTTATAGCTTAAGTAAGATTAAGGCTATATAAAACCTAAATTATAAGCTATATAATATTAAATCTTATATTTACCTTCTTAACTACTTTAGATTTAAACCTACTAAACCTAGATTATACTTCTAAGCTTATTAAACTTAATAATATAAGCTGTCTTACGTTAGATTTTATACTACTATAGGCAGGTATGCCTATTAAATAAAGATTCTTTAAAAAAGGCTAGATACTAATAGAACTTAAATTAGGGAAGTTATAATAAAGGATATACTATTTAATTTTATATACTTATATAAGGTATCTATTAGCATACCTTCTTAGAAGTTAAAGTTAGACTTTAATACTAAATTTACAGACCTTTAAGTAAGTATTCCTAATTAGCTCTAAAATAAGGAGTAAATAATACTAACTAAGTACCTAAGGTCTTCTTAACTAAATTAAATAAGAGAATCCAGAGGGGTTATAATATCTTTAATTCTTTATCTTCTTTATTATTTAATAAGCTTACTAATAAGATATAAAAAATCTTATATAGAGATAAGATCTTTATATTTAGAAAATATAGCTTAAATAATATTACTATTAGTAGGTTAATTATTAAGAATTAAATTATAAAGCATATATTAAAACTCTATTAGTAATTTACCCAAGGAATTAATAATAGTCTTCTTAGCCTTACTTTCCTATAAATTAGTATAATTATAACTAATTAGAATTTGGGTCTTATAGATACTTCTATTATTAATATAATCTAGTAAGGTAATATTTTTAAAAAGGCTAAGCTCTTTATCTTAGCTTTTTATAGCTTATAAATTACTAATTTGCCTAAGTTATTTTATACTTTTAGCTTTATTATTTCATCTTAATCCTTAAAGAGGAAATTATATAAATTAATATTAATTTATTTAATAGTTTTTAGATATTTTTATTTATAAATATCTTTATAAATAATAAGACTATTAATTAATTTAATAATAAGATTATTATAAATATTAGTATTACTTTAGTCTTAGTTTCTAATAATATCTATAAGGCGCTATATAATATAATCCCTAAGATAACTTATAACTTAACCTAATAGGGCTATATCTTCCCTAAGAGTATAAAGGTAAAAGACCTTTTAAAATTTAAAGTAATTATTAGGGATAAGTAGTTTATTATTTAGCCCTAGGACTTAGTATTTATACCTACTAATAGATATAACTAATATAATAAAGTTTAATTAAGAAGTAACTTACTTTTTAATATTTTTAGTAATACTTTTTTAAAATAAGTTTTTATAATAAGCTATTTTAAAGCCAAAATATAAGGAATTATATTAATAAAAAATAGACTTAAGATTAAAGTAATAAATAATTTAGAGTTATTTTAAAAATTAATATAACTTAAAATCTAGACCTTATAAGTATTATATAAGGGAGTATATTTATTATTATATTAAAAAGGTTTTATAAGTATATTTAGTTTATTAATATAGATATTACTTACTTTTAAACTTCTTAATATAATATTATTTTATAATATATATAATATCTTAAATATAAATTACTTTAGTAGCCTATAATAATTAATATATAAACTATTTATTACTTAACTTTATTTTAATAGATATATATATTATATAGAGTAACTTCCCACTACTGTCAGAAACTATACTATACTAATACCTAAATATTATACCTGTTTCTTCCTATAATATTACCCTGTTAAGTCCTATAGCTATATTATAGTAGCCTCTTATTAAAATAGTAACTAATATTATAACTTAATTACTATTACTTAAAAATATATAAATAGGTTAATATAAGATATATAAGTAAATAAGTTACTTTTCTTACTTTTAAGATTTTCTATTTTACTTAAACTTAAATAGCAGGCCTATGTAATAAAACATTTACCTTATTAGTATCTATTTGCATTGCTAACTTATAGTTGTAAATAACCTAAGTTTAGCTAATTCTCTTACTGTTAAATATAAGCTAGCTATTAAAATAGCGATTACTAAAATAAATAGCCTTCGTAACTGCATTATATCTTATATACTATTCTATTTAGCTATCTTTTACTACCCTACTATTTAAAATATATCAGCAGCTACAATCACAATTACATCCAAATAACCAACTCATTTGCAAGTGCTCAATACTGTATAACGAGGAACACATTCCGTTTCATCTTACCATGCTTGACTAGATCTATATTGCAAGGCATCGCTTGTCCCTCTTTGTTGCGTTGTTGCGCGTTGGTTGATGTCGTTGAGACAAAGTTGAGGGATAAACTCAACGGCTCGGAGCGTGTCGTGCTAGGTTCCGGCTTGGTTTCAACAATATTCCGAACCGGGGAGCGGCTAAAAATAGCTGTTTACGACGAGGAAGAAAAGTCCGAAACTAGCTTTTGCGTATGACGCTGCATTTACATATGCTATATGTTACCCACCCCACTTGCCATCTTTGTACCCCACCCTCTAAATAGCAGTAAGTGCGTTTTATTGGACAGTGTGATCAGTGCCGCCAGCGCAAGGTGCTATCTTCCTGAGCCCCTTATGCTCATTGTTGAGGTGCCAATGCTGACCCTTCTATGACAGGTGCGCTGCGATCGAGATATCCCCCGTAGGACCTGCTCACGAAGAAGAGAGCAATGCGTGTACCCTACGTCAGCCAAACCTGGAGCCAAGAGAAAGCGTGTACTTGTGCCTGATGGATAGTGTGTACCTCTTTGTGTTCAATGCAACAGATACAGAAACTTACATCCCAAAGCGAGTCCAAGTTTGCGCAGCAGGCTGTCAGTAGTAGCCATCTGCTACACGTTTCGCCAGATGTCAGACCATGCTTGGACGCATTGAGGGATTAGCTCAAAGAAAGGGGGTCTGGCCATGGTAGTCCGAAGCCGCCTGAGACCCATCTAATCTCGCCCAATGCGAGTCAGCACAACTTCACGCTACCTCCCATTTAACTTGCTATGGCTGCGATCCATAAGCTCAAAGGCAAGTTTCCTTTCCGAATAGAGATCTGTCGTTACAGGTAAAACTAATTACAGTCTTAGAGTCGCCTCATCTTAGGTTCTGCTGGTGCATGGAGATAGAGGTCGGCCAGGTTGTCGATTATTTCTTCACTGTATACTCTGGGACTCCGTCACTGGCCGACCTTATCCTGGTTCATTGCGGACTGCATAAAGTACTTGTACCATATGGAAATATGCAAAATGACAAGGCGTCGCAAGAAGAGATGAATTCTCAAGCCTTGCTTTGTCAGCAGAATTTGGAATCAGTTCTAGCCAATCTGCCGTTTAATGTTCCTTCGACATATGACTCCGTGCTCGCTCTTCTCATGGCTATATGGTTGAAAGACTAGAGGCACGCATTGCAAAAGCTGAAATCTACATAGACCATCTATTTCGTCCATCGATGCAGCATGTCTCAGGCCTGGAGCTATCTCGCAGCTGCTGCACAAATCTGTCTCACCACGGGGTATCATCGTGACGTACCTAGTAAACAAGAAAAGAAACAAGAACGGCAGCGCAGAATTTGGCTCTTTTGGCTGGTTTACATAATGGACAAACTTCTTGCTTTGTGTTTGAACCGACCACCACTCCTCCGAGATAGAGACATCACTGTATCCTGCGAGACGGCTGTAGAATTCAAGTGGGCTAACACAAGGCCTCATCATGCATATATGCTAACACAGAATAATAGGAGTCCTTTATGGAAGAATCACATGAGCATCCAGACGATCTGCTTCCCAAGCTTGTCAGGCGTGCTGATAAGATCTCTCATTTGGCCATCATCACACTGATATACCGAAGTATACAGCCGAGTTCCAATACTGGCTCCGCATTCTGCAACGAATGCCTGTCTTCAGCCAAGGAGTGTCTTGAGGAGCATAAATAAGTCTATTCGCAATTACAAGATGCCGAATCTAGTACTGTCGAACTTTACGTACAATGGTAAGTCGTAAATCTATAGTTCTTACCGATCACATGTCCAATGACTATCTAGGGCTCTTTTAGCTGCACCATTTGTGCCATTTATAGTGCTTTTCTGCCACGCGATTGAAACGCGGGATCCGAGTCACCTTGAGAATTTATCAGCTGTTGTCCGGGCATTGCAAATTCTTCCCCGTGATGCTTCAGATATTTACGGTAAGCAGCGTCGTGTCTTTGAGCTCATGTATAACGTGGCGTGTAAATATGTCGGCGAATCAGGCTCTACCGAAGACAGCCGGCATCATTCTGGGCGACCATCTGGAACATCCTTCGGGATACTTCTCGCCGAAGCAGGGATACCCAGGCCAGGGGAGACGCAAATGGATACGGAAATACAGAGCTTCCAAACTCAAATGGAGTACGGGCCTGATATGCAATTTGGGGGTATGGGGTGATCTAGAAGGGCTAAATTCTAGTGAAGAATTTGGGTCCTGGTTTCAATGATCAGATTCCGGAGACACAGTGTTATTCAACTGAGATACGAACAGGAATCATTAAACAGAGTGTCATTTTAACGGTTGCAAGTTTTGAAATGATGTTTACCAGGCCTTGTTTGTGTGCAAAGAATTAGCCAGGATGACTTCTGATCATATATGGAACCCGCGGGATCCGCATGCCGACTTTACATGGAGGCTAATACGGACCGCGAAACGACCGTGGATCCGAACTGCTTAAGGCCAAGCACTTACGCAACTCCACATCGCAAACTCCGCATCGCAAACTCCGCATCGCAAAAGGGAATCTAGTAATATGAATAGTTCAAGACCACAGTGGGCCATGTTATAAATACCAAAGGGATCGTTTTGTAAGAACTAGAAACCTTCTCTCCACAGGCTCGCCTTTACATGACAGACTACTCCAAGTCAACAGTCCACACTCAAGACTCATCACCATGGCCATTGTTGCTATTGCTGGAGGTACAGGAGGAGTAGGCAAAACCGTTGTTGAGCATCTGCAGCGCCCCGGAGCCCACAAAGTCTTCATCGTCGGCCGCAAGGTATACAGATTGCACTCCATCATAACATAGGCCGGACTGACTCTGTTCCATAGGTACCAGCTGAGAGCATTCCTGGGTCTCCCGAGTTTCTTGTGGTGGACTACGCCAACGTCGAGTCCCTCACCACCATCCTACAAGATCATAAAATCGATACCGTGGTATCTACCATTAACCTCGAGACCGACGCCGGCAGCCAGTCACAGCTGAGCCTCATTGCCGCCGCAGACAAGTCTCAGACCACTCGACGCTTTATACCAAGCGAATTTGTTTCCCTGATTGATGAGGAGTACGTGGCAATAACAATTCGAAACTCGGCTACTCATACAAGGTGATAGTGACCCTAGCTCAGGCCTTGGAATCGGAGGCTGGATGCCCAACGCCAGAGCGCTCAAGGAGACGAGCCTCGAGTACATCCGCATCTCGATTGGCGCCTTTTCAGATTACTGGGGTATGCCTCACATTAAGAGCAACCTTAAGACGTTCCGATGGCTCCTTGACATGGAAAAGGGAATAGCCGTGGTTCCTGGCTCTGGCAATGAGAAATTCACAGTCACCTACAGCGAAGATCTTGCCCGATTCATCGTTCGCCTCGTTGATACGGATGAAAAATGGCCTGAGCGTGGGTTCTTGTCTGGCTCTGATATCTCTGTTAATGAGCTTGTTGCAATTGCCGAAAGATTTCGAGGTATGTGTCTAATATTTTTACCTCTGGGCCTTTCTAATATGAAAACTCAGGCTCCAAGATGGAGATTGTGTATGACCCTTTAGAAAATCTGGAAAAGGGAGACGCCACACTTCTATGGCACCCCGAAGACGTCACCGAGGACGAGTTCAAACCCATGCTGGCGGCATTGTGCCAGATGATCATTACTGGGGCTTGCCTCTTGCCCGACGATGACCGCAGACTTGACAGGCGCTTTCCAGATATTCCTCTTACGTCTGTGGAAGAGATTATCGCCAAGGCCTGGGGTGGCAAGTAGTCTTAGGTTATTTAAGTTATATGAAGTTAGTGTTTCCTTATTAAATACTTAAATTTATAAGTTATTATAAGCAATGGTAGCTTGCGCTAAAGGCGGGCAACATGGATGAGAGGGTGCAGTTCAGATTCATCTTGGCGAGAGTCACTCACACGAAATAAGTTACTTGAGTACACACAATAAGTTTATTCTTTTTAATTGTCTTGCAGTAAGAGTTGTGATTGTTGCTATTGTTTGATTTCCATAAGGTTAATATGGGCAACGCATCCTACATCCAGATAAGCAACAATAAACAAAAGAACAGTATGCATGCCTTCCAAGGCGTTAACAAGTTGTTTCTTGTCCTCGTAGTTGACTTTGGTCCATTCCAAGTCGGGCAAGAGGTTAAAGGGAGTATTCTGCAAACCTTGTTGATCTTGCCATCATTGCCGAAGATTTTTTCGCCGCTGATTCTAGCATTCCCATGACATGGTTGGTGACAGATCTCGGGCTCGTACCTATCTTCATGTACGGGAGCGAAGAACAGAAGAGAAGGTTTCTCGCCCCTTTCCTCAATTTACAGGGCGACTCGCATCACTCGGCTTCTCGGTGCCTGGTGGAATTGCCAATTACATCCAGGACGAAGGCTGTGTAGGGATTCAGACCTTTTCTGAGATCAAGGGAAACGAAATCATCATTAGCGGTGGGAAGCTGTGGGCATCCAATAGTGGAGGTTGGGACTTCGGGGGGCCATCTGTACTCTGTCTTCTCTGTCGATTCAAAAAGATTGGCCCTCCAAAGGACTCCCTCGGTTTTACTGTGATTACAAAGAGGGAATTCGAGGCCGACATCAAAGGGGCGCTTTCGAAGTACCCAGTGACATTGAGACACATGGGTTCCGCGCGTCATCAGGCCTACGAACCAAGTTTACCATCTTTCACGTTCTGAGAGAGATCATCGTTGCTTCTGTCGGCCTTGGTGCTGTGATAAATGTAGCTGCATTTACCGAGTCCGCTATGCTCGTTGGTGCTGGTGCTGCTGGCTTGATGGGATCTTCTTTTGCCACACGCACAAACTTGTCACGGCGAAGAAACGCGGTGGGCCATCTCCAACCATCAAGTACCAGTCTATTGGTGATTTGTTGTTCAGCATGAAGATGCCTGAAGAAACCACTCGGTACCTCGCCTGGAAAGCATGCCATTACCTTGGTACCACTGGGGAAACGGAAATGGCATATCAGGCCAAGGTTTATGGTTCCGAAAACGCCATCCAGAGTGTCCTGGAGGGAATGCAGGCTCTGGGGGTGACTGCGTATGACTGCACTCAACCATACGGCTTGATGATGGAGGATGCCCTCTGTTTGCCGCTACCTGAGGGATCCAACGTTCGTGTCAGACGCCATCAGATTCAGAGAATCTTCGTCCAGCCCGGCCATGACCCCGAGTCTTTTATAACTAGAACCCTTGAGTAGAATTGGATAGTGGCTAGTGTTTGCAAAACGGCGGAGTTCGTGTAACTAATTTTCTCACAAATAAGTCAATTTATTACCTTGCTGATACATCTCAGTTTCGCATCCTGGGATAGACCTCCGAATAAATCCTGTCCAAGTCTTTTTTAAACTCTCTCTCAACAACTTTCCTCTGTATACTACCCTTTGGAGTTCTTGGTAGTGCACCATTAGGCACGACGATAATAAGTCGTGAGTCTAGGATACGCTCATGTTTATACCTGCGCTCATGGAATGGGGTAATCCGACGCAAAATCTCAGCCGGCAATTCATCATGACCCTCGGTTTGCTTGGCCTCGACAAGAAGCGCTGGCGAAGTTCTAGCGGCTCCAACGACCACGACGGCGCTGATGAGGTCTTTGCCACACATCTCAATTGCGTTATTCTCAATGGACTGCGTATCGCAGCGTAGCGAGATCTCCATCTTGATCCAGTCGTCATTGCGGCCCTTGGCGATGTAACGATCTGGTTCGACCTGTAGAAAGATATCGCCTGTAATGAAGTCGCCTGTCTTTTCGTTACAGAGTGAGGGGTGCGGACATTCAAGCGCATGTCTGGGGACCACGAGTTCCACCAGCTTCCCGCTCGATGCGCCATTGGCGGTATTGCTTGGCGCACCGTTTATAGTGTCATCTGGCGCAACGTAGATGGGTCTCATTTCAAATGTTGATTCCGGCCACAGCCGCAGTAAATTCCCCTCTGGCCCTCCCACGCCAATCAACATGCAGCCAACCTCGGTGCTGGCGAAAAGGTCGACTATGTTGATACCCTGCTCCCGGGCCCAAGCTCCCTCAGTCTCCTCCAGTGGAAGTCCACCGCAGGTGCAGGCATCAAAGCTCTGGAGCATTGCTAAAAGCTCGGGGTCCTTGCGGGCTTCTTTGATGACGCCGGCTAAGAACGAGGAAAACATGTTAAACAACGTGACTTTACACTCCTTAACAATTCTTCGTAGTTCGGGAAGTGAGTAGGGGATTGATGTCGGCAAAGCCATGCAGCAGCCTCTATCGACGAATGAAATGAATGCGAGTGTACTCGCGACGTGACAGAAGCTACCACTATATAGTTATATTAGATGATGCTCAGTTTGATAGTACGCTTGCTTACCTAGCTACAATTGTCTCCTGGGCTTCAGCTCCTGAAGGGCGGAACGTGAAATGCTGGGCTTTACGAATGTTGCAATCCAGCCACCTAGCCGTTGCAGGGACCAGCTTTGGTTTCCCAGAGGTAGATCCAGAAGAGTGCAGAATAAAAACAATCTCTTCACCCGACGTAGGGCCGCTGACTTCAGCCAGCGGGTACTGCTTAATATTCAAATCGAGAAAATCACTTGCAGGGAAAGCGGAAACGTTTTCACCCACAGAAGCGGTAATCGCCGGATCATGTATAAGTCCCTTTGCTTTGGCTTCGCTGAGGAGTTCTGCGACCACGTTGTTGCTTGTTAAGTGAGAAGAAATAAGCTGAGGAACGTATCCAGCTCTGGAGATGCCCCATATGTGCAGGAGATCCAGGTAAGTTGTTCCCTTCAGCCTAGACACAGGTCAGTGACATTGTCTGGTCGCATTGGGTTGCTTATACTTGCCACAATCCAATGACCGATCCAGCGTCGATTCCCTTCTCCGAAAGCTCATAGGACCAATAGTTGGCCGATTGCTCAACGTCACGTAAAAGCTGGGAGTAGCAAATATCTTTCCATCCTTGAAGGTCACCATCTGATGAGAGCTGTGGTATTTTAAGCGCTGGGACCAATGGAGAAGCCTTGGCAGTTTTTTGCAGTGCGGTGAGATGGGTCTTATAACCAGCCATTTTGTGAGTTTCCAACCGCAGATAGAGGTAGATTAGAAGTGATTTGGAAATCGTATTTAGTATCAAAGTTGCACGTTATTGTGGAGATAGAGGAAATGCATCAGAAGATGAGGGTCTTTCTCTTTTTGTATTCTGTATTATTATACTGCTCGGCTCCACGGGTTTCACGGATCCGGCTGCAGTAACTAGGCCTAATGTGTACGAGTAAACCAGAATTCCTTTAGCCAGTTGATGTCATCGACCGTTTCATGAAAGGTATGATGTGGGTCTCTCTTTTTTGCTCTCGACTTGGAAATGGTTAAGATCTGCACTTTAAACTCTCCGGCTACCACTAGGTGGTATTTGCAGACAACTGCCGAATGGTGCTAATTTTCAAGGTATGGCTAGCGGTAGTGCGAGTACTCTGTCTTTGTAATTCTTTATGGGATCCTCGGCTCGATGGCATTAAGTGACTTGGGACAGAATCTATTCTTAATCTCTGAATAATAGTGTCTGATGGGTCAAGGGTAGATAGTATGTTAAGGACGCACAAGTTCATCACTCCTCCGCACCTAGAATGTTTTAATTCTTATGACATAAAATCGGCAGAGTAGTCCTCGTTGGCTTCTAGGCTCTTCATTGGTCAGGATGTTATGAATCGTATTGAGCCACTTCTCTCGTTGCCGAGGCATTTATGGCTTGACATGTGAAAGCAGTTGGAAGGGCTATACGAAGTCATGCATGTATGTATATAACAGCCTTTATTAGAATGGGGACTTGGCTTTGTTGCCTGCTGCAATTCGCCTAGAACCTATTAAGAACAAGTTATATGTATCGGATGTGGCGGGGCTACGGTCTAGCTCACTCTGTTGCCTAAGCATGTTACCCTTGGGAACTAGATTGACCCTCAAGTGTTAGAATTAACCTTATTTTAATTGGATATCAACCCTACTCGCGTATCTAATAATTCCCTGCCGACAACCTACCGTAACATAGCCTTTCCCCACCACACTAAGTTTTATAAGCTTACGAAGCCATGTGTCACGAAATTTCGGATATAGTAGGACAAATGCGACAAGACAAAAGGTTAACAGACCTGCAGTTCCGGTTCCACTGCAGTTCCTGTTCCGAGTTCCGAGAGCCATGTCTTTAGGAGCAGTCAACTTGCAGTCACGTTTTTTAAAGCGATAGGCAGTACTTGTATGCCCATATTGAACCTCGCCTTTCAGCAGTTAGAGTGATCTGGAGTGGCAAAAAGCAAGAGCCTTCGCGGCCATCTGTTGTCAAATCAACATAGTATACTCAACAAGATCTAGATGTGCCAACGTGGAGAAGTGAGCAGCTGTCATCAGACATTCTATGATGTGCAGCAGTTGTCTATTGAGGAAAAGACACAAACCCCAGTGAGCTGGTCTCTAGGATTTGGCATGCATAGGTTTCCTAATTCCTTAGAGAGAACAAAAGGCAGTTTAGTCCTCTGGCATATCGCCCAGTAACAACGTAAAAAGGCGTCGCTGTTGGATACTATGAATAATCTGAGGGATTGTGTCATTTCATATAGGTCATGTACACCCTTAGTAGCTTAAATCCTTGCGACCTGTGATTCAAGGAACTGGGCATTAGGGGCGAAGAGGTAGAGGCGGAGTAGTAGCTTAAAGATTCCATAAATCGGAGAGATGACGTAGCGTTATTGGTTTTGAGGCCCTATAAGAAGAGGGTATATGCCAGATTGGGGGGGAAATCAGAAGTCAATACAGTCTTTTACTACCACTTAAGCATCTTCTAGATACATTCTGACGTCGCTTCTCTTATATCCAAATTCTTTTCCATATTGCACAAGTTTACCAAAATCTCACTACATAAATTCCAGACAGATGTCTCTTCAGAACAAAGTATTCGAATGGCACAGCCAAATGCTTGGATACTGCATTCAAGTAAGGTTCATCCACTTACGGCCACTTGCCCAAGTAATCTTTCTCCAAACAGTTCCTGATCATGAGTCCCCCACTCATTCTGCTATCTTGGATTCTACTCCTGGGTTATGCCTTAGCCAATCCAGCCTACCAAGCTGTGGCCAAGGCAAGTGGGCCAGGAGTCACCATTCGGAACGGCACCTTAGCTAGAACCTCTAGTACCCACTATAAGCAGGACTTCCTCTTTGGCATCCCATATGCTGCACCGCCTGTTGGACAGCTTCGCCTCCAGAAGCGTCTCCTGCATATGGATGGGCTGATGTCAAGAAGGCAACCGCATACTCACCACGATGCATGTTCAATTCCATCAACTTGATTGGTTTCAGTCAGAACACGACTGATCCTATGGATGAAGACTGATTGTACCTCAATATTGTACGGCCCTCTGGTACCCAGACCGGTGACAAGTTACCTATCCTTATGTGGATTCCCGGCAACGGGTTTCACAAGGAAAGTACCCGTGACGGTAGAAACAACGGAACCTTTCTTGTCGAAACGTCCAGGAAAATGAAGACTCCGATCTTATTTGTCACCTTCAATTATCGTGTCGGTCCCTTTCGTATCCTCCCAGGCCGCGCAATTGAAAAAGCTGGCTTGGTGAAGTTAGACCTTCAGGATCAACGACAAGCCCTTAAGTGGATCCAGGAAAACATCGCCGAGTTCAGGAACTATACCGGACAGACTGCTCGTGAATTTATTCAATGGCCAAATCTAAAAGCATTCTATAACATTGCACTTATAAGACTACGGTTGGAACTCCTGGGTTAGAATGTAACACTCTGGAGGAAGCTCTGCTTGGGTGGTCTTGCAACATCTAGTACTTACAAAACGGTGTGCGTATTACATCTTGGTGTATCGAGAACAGGCTATATAAAACAGCAAAGAACAAGTTACTTATTGTGTCAAAGGAGTTCATGACAAGCCAAGTTATCGTGATATTAATGCTTCTTTCCGGTGATGTCATTTAACACAAACTATAGCCTGTATCTAAACGATTTATTTTCCCGATCTGTCAGATCCTCTAAGCCGTGACTGAGGTTAGGAGAACCATAAGCCTTGTCGCGGTGCTTGTTCTCCCGATCAAATAACCATCGGAGTGCAAGGGAAGCAAAGACACAGACCGTAAAGCAGATCATGATTCCGGTAAATGATTCGTCATAACGCGGGGCAAATTTCCTACGATAATCAGCATATATGCGGTTATATGGGAGCAACAACGGTAGTATACTTACGCGTCAAACATGAGAGGACCGATGATGTTTCCAAGACAGTAACCAATAAACGTTGAAGCAGCATATACAGCCTTCTTAGTATGTCCAGCAACATTGGAAGTCCCCAAGCCGATGCACTGAACCCACGCAGAGGAGAAGAAGTTGACAAGATAGAAGCCGATGATACGCCCTGCTTTGTTAGAGTCTGGAAGTTGCCAGATCAAGGAACAGCCGAGAATGACAGGAACACATGCCCCGGCAATAATATACAACCTAGAGTTGGGAACCTTCCTGCCGATATAGCCTGAACCGAGAATACAGATAAAGGCTAGGGCTCCAATGGGTAGGTTAAGCAACAGTGAAGTAAACACATCAAAGCCCATATCCTTGAAGACGATAGTTCCAAATGTTGTCACGGCGCCGGAACCTGTGCAGGACACGATAGATAGAATCATGATACCCCATAGCCGATAGTCAAATAAGGCCTCCCGGAACTGGTAGGACTTGAAATGTTTGTCCTCAATCCCGGCATTGTTTTCTCGGACTCGCTCCAAGAGGAGTCGGCGCTCGGCTTCCGTAAATCCCTTGGCATTCTGAGGGCTATCGGGGAACAGCCACCAGAGGGCAATACCCCAGGCCAGAGTAGCGAGTCCGGCGATGATATACATCCACTGCCAGGAATTGAGAGCGCCTCCCTTGATATGGCCAAGTCCGTAATTGATTAGGGGTGAGATAAGAAGAGATCCTCCGCTGCAGGAATACCACCAACTAGATCGTGAGACCTGCTCCGAGTGGGTATACCAGAGACCTACGACGAGCATGAAGATAGGTGATACACCTGCCTCGACAAGACCAAGCATAAAGCGATTCACGAGGAGTCCGGTATAGGAAGTACAGGCCGGTGTGCAAAGGATGACAAAAGACCATACAATGCAGATAGACGTGCAGACAATTCGAATCGGGTAACGTTGGGCGAGGAATGAGGCGGGATAAGTACCTGCGATATATCCAAAGTAGAAAATGAGAGAGACCCAGGAGTATTTGATGCCAGTGGTGAGTTTCAGGTCCTCTCGCAAGCCGAAGATGGCGGCCTGGCTGAGGATGGCCTTGTCGTAGTATTGCAGGGCGTAGGTCAAGCAGAGCTTTCAAAGTCAGCCTCAGTTCATACAATTAGGTAGACCTGACTTGCCACAGGCATCAGCTTCCGGTCGATCTTTCGAAGCAACTTTCTGTTCGTCTCCTCATCAAGCTCGACGCTGGTTCCAACTACCGAGCTAGGAACAGTCTCAAGATTGACGGCGGATAGTTTGCTGTGAATGCTAGCCTTGGAGCTTGCCTCGTCCTTCTGATGTGTCATGGTCGTGATCGAAGGTGGCATGGGTGATAGTGATGGGTGATATGAGAGGCTGAATGGGGTCGGAAAACAGCAAGGATGATGAAAGAAGGACCTCGCCAGAATGGTTGTCCGAGCTAGGCTGAGCACAAATGGGCGGATGTCGTGGTTTTAATATAATTAACAGTGGGAGTGCCTCAACTGCACCAGCCCCAGACTATCTACCCCGGATTTGGGTCACATCACCTGAATATTACCCGGCGCAGCAGCCATAAACAAGACGAGTCGAATCGCACCAATCCGATGGTGAAATGCCAAGGGTGGTGCCACAGTGCTGACGGCCCGAAGACTACATAAATATCCGAGCCGGTCGGATATCGAACAGGCTAGTCTAGTCTACTCTGGGAATATCCGAGACCGCAGTTTGCCATTGGCCTCGGCCTCAATTTTCCCAGCTCAATCATCTCCGATCGTGAGCAGTGAATTGAAACTCGTATCAGTAGGATATTTGCCTCGTAGGCACGCGGCAAAGGAACCTTTCTACTTGTCTTATTGGGATTTTTCCGTCACTACTAACTATTTCGAGATCAACGTCACACATCCCAGAACCCATTCACTCGTTATACATATCCCAAGATGGTGACCCTATCGACCATTTCTTCGAGCTTTTACCGGCCATCGTTGTTAGCTATGTCAAGACAATCCACCACCATCCTCCAACCTCGTTCGTTCGCAAGATATGTTTCTTCCAATGTGCGGTCCAGTCGGCAGAAACAGCGTCCTCTAGGATACCTCATGCTAGGACTAGGAGCCGCAGCGAGCGGCTTGGCTCTCGCATCGGCCGTAAGCACTGATCTGCTCCAGATACCAGCAAAGGACACTACTCCCAGGTGGAGGGAAAGCGACAGATCACCTATTCGGGCGGGAATGGCATATGCGGATAGGGCAACTATGTTAAAGGTACGCTGATAATACAGATTTCGAATGCCGCTAAATATGGGTTGCTGACCATTTAGGCTGTCGATGATATACGTGAAATACTTGGAGAAGACATCGTGAGCGTAGACTCGGATGACCTCGACGACCATGGTTACTCAGAGTGGTCTACGTCAAATACCGATGTACGACCAGTGGCAATTATCCGGCCACAAACGACTGAAGAAGTCTCGAGTATTGCACGTATTTGCACCAAGTACAAGGTACCGATGATTCCATACGGGGCTGGATCCAGTGTCGAAGGCAATTTTAGCTCCCCACATTCAGGAGTATGTCTCGACCTATCTGGCATGGATAAAATCGTGGCGTTTCACCCTGAGGATATGGATATCGTGGTTCAAGCCGGTGTCAATTGGACTAATATGAATGAAGAAATCAAGCATACTGGTCTCTTCTTGCCGCTTGATCCTAGCCCTACTGCACTGATCGGTGGCATGGTAGCTACTAACTGCAGTGGTACTAATGCTATGAGATATGGAACAATGAAGGATTATGTTATTAACCTTACAGTAGTGCTCTCGGATGGATCGGTTATTAAAACTCGCCACCGACCTCGGAAAACCTCAGCTGGCTATAATCTCACAGCTCTCTTTACTGGATCTGAGGGGACATTAGGTATAATTACTGAAGCGACCTTGAAGCTAGCCATAATGCCGGAGAACTTTTCTGTCGCGACAGCTACCTTCTCGACCGTCAAGGAAGCGGCTGATGCGGCTTTTAAGATCATGCGACGTGGAGTTCCTCTCGCTGCCCTGGAATTGATGGACGATGTTCAGATGAAGGTCATTAACCAGAGCGGCGGAGCAGGTGGAAGAGTATGGGAAGAATATCCTACACTTTTCCTAAAGTAAGTAGCACGCGGCTGCTATTGTTGCCTAAGATGGTACAAATTCTCACTACGATGCAGGTTCTCAGGCTCCCAGAATGCAGTTAAAGACAGCATTAACTTGGCAAAGGAGATCGCCAAGTCTAACAGCTGTCGTTCTTTCGAGTTTGCCAAAACGGAGGATCAGATGCAATCCCTTTGGTCTGCCAGAAAACAAGCTTTGTGGGCAAGCCTTGCCGTCCGACCAGAGGGCACACAGATTTGGTCCACAGATGTTGCCGTCCCTCTGTCTCGAATGGCCGAACTGATCGGTAAGCAGCATGGTTCCTCTGACATTGGCATGGAGTAACACGATACCACAGAAATATCAAAGCAAAAGGCCAGCCACCTTGGACTCTTCAACAGTGTTCTGGGACATGTTGGTGATGGCAACTTCCATCAGATTGTCATGTACAACCCAGATGATAAGCAGGAACGCCAAGCTGTGTCAGATTGTGTGGATGGGATGATGGTGAGAGCACTGGAGATGGAGGGCACAGTATCAGGCGAGCATGGGATCGGATTGGGAAAGAAGGTAATTATGCTATTGTCTCGACCCATCTTGTTTCAGCTAACAAAAAGAAGCACTGCCTACAAAAAGAGCTCGGTCCAGCAACTATCGGTATTATGAAAGCCCTCAAAGACACCCTGGATCCCCAGTGAGTACTTGATTAAGACATCCACTTGACGTATATCGTGTATATTTGCTAAGTCTCCTGCTTAGTTGGCTCTTGAATCCGGGTAAAGTATTCGATCCATGAAGAAAGAGGGTCATTGCGAGAGTCTCGAAGTCTTCATCTACTCGATCATGTCATGATCTTGGTGTTGATAAAAATGGAAATATGGATGTTAGAGTCAGCATAGCTAGATATAAGTACATAGAGAATATATATACGCACTTTGCAAAGAGAACTTTGTGAAAGACCTAACCGACCAAATCTGCATAAGCCTCCTTTCGTTCGCCCTGGGCCGAAATGCATACTACAAGGGAGAGAGGGAGGCAAGTGTAACCCATAATACTCCGTAGTGAAATACGTGCCTAATCAGGCTAGTCCGGGGCGAGCTGCAGGGAACATCGCAAGGGGCAGTGCGGGGTTTGAGTTAATCGAACCTACTCTGGACAAGCTCTCCCCCGGATATTCAGAAAAGCCGGAACCAAGAATTGCGTCGGAACATTGAAGATGCTTCCGGCACCATCCACACGTACCATCTACCATTAGCCGAACTCCAAATAACGCCGCCGCCGAAGTATACGGTCAAGTTCACTAAGCGGCAGTCAGGCAGGCGTTTGTCATGGGGCCAAAAGCTGGAGTAACACTGCTCGGATAACTCGAACATGACGGATCACAACGGCAACGACGGCTGGCAGGGCCTGCAGCTTGGCTTCGTCCCTATCAACCAAGCAGACTCACCTCCTGAATCTAAACGACGCCGCGCGTACTTGTCTTGCGAACGTTGCCGTAAGCGTAAGACTCGCTGCGAGCCAGCATCGGGCCAGAGGAAGCCGTGTAAGCGATGCTCAACCGACAATCAACTTTGTGAGTTCAGAGCGTCGCGAAGCACCAAGAGAAAGCTGTCGCTTCCAGCTGGAGATGCTGAGCCAGTGTCGCGTCACAATCATACGTGCACCGATATCGACATCCCAACTTCGACACCACTTGCGCCTCGAGACGTTCCAGTTCGCCCTCCCAATGAGAAGGTATACATCGATGACGTACTCGTCGCCGACTGCTCCCAGGGTCCAAGGACCACAACCGCACCAGACGCACGAGCACGGCTTATTTCTACACATATACATAATGCATCAGATGCCCTAGACCTTCTCACATTCGCCGCGAGCGGTTCTCTGGCCTACAACAGCCCTTCGGCCACGCCTAGCCGCGAAAGCCAAGTTTCATCTGTTACCCCTCCGACTGCTATCTCAGATACACCCCTCAATCTGGATAGAGCATGGAAAAGCTTTTCCCTCATTAGAAAAGGAATTGTATCACAACAAGAAGTGATGGACTACCTAGGCTTCTTCTTTGATCGATTATGGCCTCTGAAACCAGTTGTACCGTCTTACTACCGCGATAGGAGCACTTATGGCCAGCTTGTTGCTGAGGAGCCTCTTCTGGTGGTCTGTCTCGTGACTCTCTCATCGAGATACTTTCCACTGCCCGGAGATCATGGTGAAATCAGGTCCGAGCGTATACACTGGCAAACGTGGAGGATCCTCCAGCGATCCCTCCAATCCGTCATGTGGGGGTCTACCACGACGCGCTCTCTTGGAGCGATAGCGGCGATGCTGCTTCTGATCGACTGGCATGTTAAGGCCATTAATAACCCGACTGACTTCACGGAAGGAGATGATGAAGCTCATGATTATGCCGATGGTCATACATATGGTTCCAGGGTTTCGTCAAACAACACAGACTCACTCATTGGACAGCGACGGTATGGGATGGTATCACTAATGGAAAAGCTGAATATTGTATCTCCGGCATATCGGAGCAACAAGATGTCATGGTAAGCATATCACATGCCTGATTGTCTCATCTATCTGAATCGAGTGCACTCATGACTGTGAAATAGGATCCTTCTTTCCAACGCCATTGCTTTAGCCCACGAGGGCTGCTGCTTCCAGAACGAATCGCCCGGCTCCACAGTCGCCTCCTCCAGTCTGGACTCTACCAAAAAAGAATGGAACGGTCTTCTCTGTGTGTTCATATACCTCGCAGACGAAGGCCTCGCGACTCGCCTAGGTCTAGAGCCCTTGCTACCCGAAAAGTCGAGACAAATAGTCAAAGACCGATTCGCGACGACATTCGCCGAGTCTCTACCGGACAGTCCTCTCTGGGAAGGCTATTTCGAACTCTCTATAGAGACTCGAAAGGGAAGAGAATTCTTGCACTCCTTGAAAACCCCAGGTGCATCGTTTGCCGACCTAGATCTCGTCCCTCATTTAGAACACTTACGAAGGGCTCTGCATCGCTGGAGACGGCAGTACTACCATCATGGTGGGTTCAAGAGATACTTCATTCGCGAGAAAAGATACCTCGGCTTACAATCCTTAGATGTCAAATCGTTATTAAATGCATGTCTTCTTATGGAGTTCTACTACATAAACTTGTTCTGCTTCGCTCCGGCAGCTCAAGCCGTACAAATTGGTTCCAGAGCCGTGCCGCAAGAAACACTTCAAGCCTTGTCTGAGTTTGAGGACCAGGCAACACAGGCCAGCCACGCACTTCTATCTATAGTTGTGGATGACCTGAAGCCTTCAGAGCTCATTAAATATCTACCAGTTCGATGCTGGCTATTCATCGTTGCTGCGAGCCTTCATCTGCTCAAGGTACATTACAGATTCTAAACAGAAAGATATCCACATAGACATCTAACAGGCATAATACACTAGGCAACCCTAACAAAAACCCAGGATGTAAATCGGGAACATCCAAATATCCGTCTTCTACGTCGTGTTATCAATGCAGTCCACAGTGGCTCTCCAGATGACTCGCATATGGCAATCCGATATGCCAAGTTTCTGGGTATTATGGCACAGATAGCTCTGCCAGCCGCGTCGAGCAGCCCTGATATAGCATCAAGAGGAGGAATGGGGGAATACAATGGTGATGCTGGATTTCAGCTGAATGACGGCTTCGAGGAAGTAGCCTATGGTTATACATTTAATAATGTGACAGTTGAGGGAGTCAGTGACTGGAATGCTCTTCTTGACTTAGACTTGGCTCCAGATCTTTTTATGTGGTGGGAGTCTATGTATAGTTAACATGCTTTTCCTCATTGAGTTTCTTGTCCTTTTGGTGCCTCTTTAATCTATTCTGTTAAGCTGCTAAGCTTATCTTGGGCTGCACACAGCAAAGTTTTAAGGGCAGAGGAGCCAACGCTCTGCCATCGTGGAGCTATCTTACTCAATTCTTCCGCCACTATGGCAATATTGGCTATGCTGCCATGGATGGTGGATGGGATGCCTTTGATGCCGCTACTGACTTTACCAATGACGCCAGCTGGCTTATTAGTAGCTTGTTCCAGGGTTAAAGATAGATCCATATAATGGCAGAGCGGCTTTAAATTAAACGTAACTCTGTTATTTATATACTTTGCCTATAAAGGGTATATTATATCTGATATCGAAAATAAATTAATTATTGTGTTTTCAGTGTTCTTATGCTATGGTTTTGTAGTAGAAAAATTGCCAGTGCCAATAATATCACCATCTTCTTCCTGACCATTCTGTGCCCGGTCAATGCGGAACTGGCTTGTCTGAAACAAGCGAGGCAGTTTCGTCTCCTCAAACTGAGTCCCTTGGGACACCATCCGAGCCAGCTCTTTGGCTGCCAACCAGATGACAGGCATGCCGTGCCCATTAAACCCAGCTAGGATGAATTGCCCGTCTTTGTTGGGAATTTTACCAATGTGTGGATTTGAGTCATATGAATAACCCATGACGCCGGTCCAGATATTGCTCACTTTGGCACCAGTCTCTTCCCAGCCGCGGTAGGTTCGCTGCATGTAGTCCTCGTAGTAGTCCTTTGCAGAGTCAATAAGGACACTGTCGTCCACATTGTCATACCACTGTTCCTTGAATGGCCGGAACAGGGATGATGCACCACCTACGATGATGCTGCCATCGTGTCGAGGGATAAAGTACGAGAGTGTATTATCCTTGGTGCGCGTGATGTACGAGTTGTTCAATAACGGCGCCTTAGTTCCCTCTGGGACGGTGATACGACAGCAAATGCCTTTACAGGGGATAATGCTTTTGCTGTATTCCGGGAGAAGCGCTGAGACATAGGCGTTGTTGGCGTGGATGACCTTTCCTGCTCGCATCTTGCCACGAGGCGTCTCGACGATGAACGAGCCGTCATCCGAGGGGTCTGGCGTCACGGACGTGACAGGTGTATGTGCCTGGATGTTGACGCCTGCAGCAAGGAGTTGTCTTGTGAGGTGCATCAAGAATTTGTAAGGCCACATGGTCCCGGCCGTGAAGCTTGCGCATGCAACAGCGCCCTTGACACCGCAGATCTGTTTGATATAGATGGTTCAGTCAGCATATGTCTGCATGAACGTCTTTGGGCCGCACACAAAGCAATCTGGGCTGATATTGGGGCCACTTACGCCTTCTACTTTTTCGCCTGTATAAAACACAACATCATCCATATACTCCAAGTTCTGGGACACCATTGATTGGTAGACGGCCTCCGCTTTCTTGGCCGAGTCCTCGTTGCACCAGACATCAATGGACCGGGTAAGAGTGAAGTCGCAATCGATCTTCTCTTCATCAATGATCTTCTTGATGGCGCGCAGGTTCGCAATCTCAAACTCGGCAATCTCAGCACCAGCGCGCACGCCGGCTCGATCTATGTAGGTGGGAATATGGCCGTAAAGGTCTGGCCTGCAGTGTCCGCCGTTGCGGCCAGTAGCACCAGAGCAGATGCCCCTGGCCTCGAGAATGCAGACGGACGTGGCGCCGGCATCGCGGACGAGGTTGTGCGCTGTGCTAAGTCCTGCGAATCCGGCGCCGATGATGACGATGTCGCTGTAATCAAGTAGCTGCTCTGAGGAGCGGTGGTCGCGCAGCTCAGTCACATCCTGTTGCTGCTGTTGTTGCCAGAAGCACGGCGCTGGGTTCGGCACGGGCATGCACTTGGGCGTACCGGCGGTGCGGGATGCGTTACCATTTGAGATGGCCATGATTGCGCTGCGATGTGATGAGAGTTTGCTTACAGGATCAGGATCAATATCAGGTATAGAGTGAGCTTACCTGGAGACATGCACTGTTTTAGTTTGGCTGAACTTTATTTATAGTATTGTGTCATCTACTTCGCTCGGATTTGTCAGATTTTGTTCTGTTCGCTGGGGACTGATTGTACACAATTAGATAGACCGGACTCGGACTCACCGGGCCGGCATTACCCAATCTGGACAAATGGTTCCGGCCCCGGTTGACAATGCCGCTAACGCTATATCGCGCATCGTGGATGGAGTAGCATAGCATACAGGGCCCTAAACTTCCAAGTAGTCAAAGATAGCCAACCTGACCTTGACGTGCTCTTCACATCTCCAAAGCCGGTCGACCCCGGTCTGATCTGCAGCTATCTAGCCAGATCTTCCCCATACATACCTAGGCCTACCTTACTGATAAGCCGTGGGCAACTGGGGCCGTTGCTCCAGGTCCAAAACAGATAAAGCCGTTTCGTAATACGGGGAAACAAATGGTCATTATCCTCGCATTTATGTCGTTCCCCAGAACAAAATATCTTGACTTGATTTAATTTTCTTTTCTCTGCTTTGCTTGCTTACTTGCTTGCTAGTGCAGCAGTCTCCAATTCGAACCCCTTTCCTCTCTTGGCGAAAACTAAATGTCAACTCACGACGCTTCGCCCCAATTTCTCAAAGTTGACGCCATGCCTTCGGAAAAGAAGCTCGATGGTCCTGCGGCTGACACACGGCGGGACAGCGATGTCGAGAATATGGCTGGAACGATCGTGGAGTCTCACGAGCTCAAGCAGGGTCTACATCAACGACACATTCAGATGATCGCCCTGGCGGGCACAATCGGCACTGGTTTGTTCCTCAGCTCTGGACGAGCCATTGCCTATGCCGGTCCGCTCGGTGCGTTCCTGGCGTACCTGATCATTGGCTTGGCCGTTTCGAGCGTCGTCTGCGGCGTTGGCGAGATGGGTGCTCTGGCGCCTCTCAGTGGTGGCGTCATTCGCTACGCTGAGCTCTTCTGCGACCCTGCTCTTTCGTTTGCCAACGGATGGAATCAGGTCTACTCATACATGGTCTCCATCCCCGCCGAGGTCGTCGCGGCGGCGGTCATCATCGAGTACTGGGTCACCATCAACAGCGCCATCTGGATCACCGTGCTTGGCATTCCCATGATCGTCAGTTCGCTGCTGGCCGTGCGCATCTACGGCGAGCTTGAGTTCGGCTTCTCCATAATAAAAATCATGCTCATTGTTGGCGTCAACATTATGGCTCTGGTCATTACCTGTGGCGGTGGTCCAAACCACGAGGCCATCGGCTTCGAGTACTGGAAAAGCCCCTACGGGCCCATGGTTCAGTACCTCGGCATTGCTGGGTCTCTGGGTCGGTTCCTGGGCTTTTGGAAGACGCTGAACAATGCGCTTTACGCCTACTCAGGCATAGAGAACATCACGCTGGCGGCTGCTGAGACGAGAAACCCTCGTCAGTCTATCCCCATGGCTGCCCGACGTATCTTGATCCGCATCGCGCTCTTCTACATCGTCACCATCTTCATGATCGGCTTGGTCGTCCCGTCCACGGACAAAAAGCTAGTGCCATGGACGGGAGACGCGTCCATGTCGCCGTTCGTCATTGCTGCCCAAAACGCAGGCATCAAGGCTGTGCCGTCCATCGTCAACGCTGTCGTGCTCACTTCGGCTTGGTCAGCGGGTAACTCCAACATGCTTGGCGGTTCCAGAATCCTATACGGGATGGCATCTCAAGGCCAAGCCCCGTCCATATTCCTGCGTATCAACAGATTTGGTATCCCCTATGTCGCTGTTTCCCTCTATGGCCTCTTCATGGCCCTGGGATACATGACCCAGTCCGACTCGGCTAGCACAGTCTTCACCTGGCTGCAGGATCTCGTCTCCATCTCTACCCTGGTCAACTGGATCACCATCTGCATCGTCTATCTGCGCTTCGTCCACGCCTGCAACAAGCAAGGGATTAATCGCCAAAAGGAACTCCCTTGGGCCGCTCCTTTCCAGCCTTATACAACCTACGCGTCTCTGGTCTTGTTTGTTGTGCTTTTCTTCACTGGCGGCTTCACGACCTTCATCCATGGGCAATGGGAGACCGAGTCGTTTATTTCAAACTACTTCAATTTGCCCTTCACTCTCATTATGTATTTCGGCTATAAGCTCTGGTTTAAGACCAAGGTCATTCCATTGGAGGATGTGCAACTTCGTCCTTTGATCGATCGTTACGAGAATGAGCCAAAGGTAGAGCCAAAGCCTCGGCGCGGACTTGCAAGACTGAACATTCTGTGGTCGTAGCTTTGTGGGATTTTTTGCTGTATTGGCTTGATATACGTGGAGATATCATACGTTCGCAAGTATCAATCGCTTTGACATAGTGTAGTTATTGTTTATTTTATAAAGACTTGCCTCTGATCCACCCTGTGCTTCTTAAGCTGCAAACTGGAATTCCTATGTGAGACTTTGGTAATTATCAGTGTGACGTGCATAAGATTTGCAAATTCAGTTCTCTTGCCAATAATGGGGCTTCGATTGGGTGTGCGACTGGCTACATAGCATAGCACAGCATAGCAACTATTGCTCTAGACTCGCATCGATGCGCGCAACAATTGTCATTCAGTCAAAAGTGCAAGATAATTCTGCACTTTGCGGGGAAAGTGGAACAGGTGCGAAATGCCGAGAGCGTATTGCAGATTCTCATGGAATTCATGACGGCTAGCTTGGGTTTTTAGCAAGCCAAGCTACTACAAGCCTCGAACTAATGTCTGGCACACTATACCCTATTAGGGCCAGATCTCCAGAGAGGCGTTATGGAACTTCTTTTATCCAGCTTAGCTGACTCGCTCAATGTTTATCAGTTAGCCAAATCACCTAACCCAGGGCCGAGCTAGCCGTGATGGATTTCATGAGAATTTATGGAACACACATCCCTTCGACAGTGGTAGTTGAAAGACTCGAGGTACGCTTCATCGACCCATAGTCCCTGTCAGCAATACGCTGATTGACTTGACTAAGGTTTTTGAACTGGGTGGAACCCATCGTGCCTCGTCCCATCCCCCTTTTGGTCGGCTTGAACAAGGTACAATGTACCTACCTGTCACTAGCGTGAGCGTAGCTCTGCCCTTTACCCCAGTCCAAGGGTTAGATGATAAGATACGCGTAGATAACTTCTGGGGAAAGGATAAACGGACCGGAACAGCGGCAGCTGCGTGCTCTTATCACTCGAGTGTCTTGTCTCATTCTACAAGACACCGCTAACCTATTCAAAAGCCGCTAGCCTAGCTCCGATCCGGAGCCACGAAAGTCGAGTCCCAAAAGTGGAGTCCCTGATAATGATGACTGATAGGTAGAGGATGGATCAGCCAATCGTGTCGAACCGGACCGGCCCTGCTCCATCAGGCTAGATCAAGATGAAAAGGCGATAGTCGGTGCAGTACGGAGTACAGAGTATCAGTGTCCATAGTCATCATTGGATAAAAGAGACCATTTCACGCTGATGTCGGTGCTGTAACTCGTCTCTTCTTGAGATAATTGTCTACTACGTAACCTTAGGTCACCACGCCTTGGTTTTATCTGCATCTCGTCTTGCTTCGCCGAACTTTCTTTCCCCGCTCTCTTCCATCCTCTAGGATTGCAACCAGGGTTGGCATCAAGCCCCCATCATGACCAAACAAAAGCATGTGGTCTTCGACGTCGTCGGCACCTGCGTGTCATTCGATGCCTTCTACAACGGCATCGACCGCGTCATTGGCGAGAAGCTAGCTGCCAAGAACATCACAGCCAATGCATTCGGCTATACTTGGATGACAGCAGCCGAGCTGGAGTTCACCTTTCTCTCCGTTTCTGAGCGCCATCGTCCCTACAAAGATGTGTTGCGCGCCTTGTTCTACCGCACGCTGTTCATGGTTGGCGTTGCGGCACCACGGGAACTCGCCACAGATGCTGAGAGGGACGCCTGTGTCCAGGCATACTCGGACCTCCAGTTGCGACCCGGAGCGAAAGAGTGCTTTGCAACATTAAGAGACGCCGGCTTCACAGTATGGTGTTTAACAACAGGCGATACTAAGCGTGTGGGCGGATACTTTGAGCGCGCTGGCGTTGACATGCCGCTAGACAACCTCATCAGCTGCGATGGACAGGGCGTGGCCAAACCAGCGTTGGCTGCGTACAAGCCAACCCTGGCTCGATTCGCACCAGATGATATCAAGTGGTTTGCTGCTGCTCACATGTGGGACGTGTCTGCTGCAGTCAAGGTTGGGTTTCGAGGTGCTTATTGCACTGTATATGAACAGGATCCCTGCGCCGAGATATTCGATGCGCAGATGGAGGTTACGGCTGACACGCTACCAGAGATGGCAAAGGGGATTGTAGAAGCATCGCTTTAGTTTTGGTCTTTTTTACATAAGCTGAATCAACCTCATTTTAACGTAACTCGCTTGCAGTGCCTAGTTTCCTCCATGAGGCCCTGTAATGAATCGTCCAAGTATTTCGGTCTCGGTTTGGGTAAGCCATCCATCAGACGGAGAGAGATTTTCAGTCCCAAAGATGGGTAGTTGAAGTAGAGGATCAGCCGTGGGGTCATAACCACTGAAAAAGTCCATACTAGACAGGGCCTCAAGGTCTACAGGCCAGCCAGACACAGAGTCTATCTCTGCTTGACCACCTGGGGCATTCGGAGCCGCAGGTGTAGTAGCGTCTTGCAAATTCTTGCCTGCCAAGTTGGCTCCCCAGCTGCGGAATGCTTCGTATTCCGAACCGAAGTATCCTTGGTTACGGCTGCCGTCGTCGTGCGGTCGTGCTCCAGCGTGCAAGCGAGCAAGCGCACGCTCAAGCGACTCGATCAAGGAGATCTCAGACCGCGCTGACTCCCCAGCAGCAGACATTTCCCGTATCATATCCAATCCCTCACACAACGACTTGCGGAATTGGTCAGAGAGATTGCGGATCGAGTAGGCAATCAGCACGAGCAACGATGCCCGACACGCACTGTATTCGGAATACGAGGCCCGGGCGAGGCCCATCCCGCTCGATCGTAGCTGCTGACAGATATCAAGGGCTTCTGTTGCCGCTTTTATGCAGTCGCTTATCAGCTCTTCTCGACTAGTCGCCGGTTTCGAGGCACTTCTTTCGTTGACCCCGGGGCTGTTTTCGGGGACGGACGGGCTTGTCGCAGACTCTTGTGTTTCTCTCTTTAATAGAAACGGCCTTCCGACAAACATGCGCACCAAGCAGTAATCGAGGCTGAGGTGCATTGCCGAACGGGACTGTGTCATTGTTGGCTGCCCATTCACGTCGATTGCATCCGGAGGGAGAGATTGCCACCATGTTGTCAAGCCGTCTTTTTTGGCCACAAGCCGCGATACAACTGTGACTATCTCTTGCTTTCGACAGTTTCGCAAGATGCTGCTGTATGGGTGTTATTCATAGGGAAGTGTATTTTGTCTCGTGCGTGGAGTTTAGGGCGTGACTCACATTTCGTGATACAAGTCTTCGAGGAAGTACATCAGCTGTACAGAGACTCGAGTATAAGAAGCCCGTTTGCGCCAGTCCTCTGATTGCAAACCGTCCTGATGCATGGGTAAACTGGTATCGATATTTGACCGAGACACCGAGATAGGCCGGCCATGGAAAATAGATATTTTTCTTCTCTCCAGTCAGCGGAACACGTAATCCAATTGCCGTCCGGGGAGGCCTTAGCCTACCTTTCCAACACGTAGGTCGTCCACCAAACGCGATTTCGAGTTTCGATAACGCTTGCGTTAAAGGCGCTGTTGCTGCATTTTCTATGCATGCCGTTCTGTATCCCCAGCCTGGTGGCCAGGTTAACGTAGATAAACCCCAGGCCAGAAGCGTCAATCGGCAGGGAATAGTATCCAAATAACAGGCATGCCTGCACACTTTCGAGGGACGAGATCTCAATGATCTCGGGAAGCAGCCGGATTGCTTGTTGGTAAAACATGGCACCTATTTCTTCCTCTAAAAGGCCTGACGTCGAGGTGTTTTCAGGACCCTTGGTGTGTTCAAGATGGGCGTATTGCGTTCCAATGGCAAGAACTGTCAGGAGGATGCTGACCGTCACTTCACCACCAGCTTGGGCCAGACTCTTAGGGCTCTTGTATAGCAATGCTAATTTCTCGAGAACCCAGCTTTCTTCAATAAAGAAGAGGTAGCTCTCTGCGAACTTGAAAAAGACTGTCACCAGGAAGTTTGATATATTGCTGGGGGGGAACGATGATATGGCTGCCGACAAGTGATTATGCCCAGGGCGTAGATGATGGGCACGTGGAAAAGCGGATGCATAGTCATCATTTTGACTATTGCCTTCCTACATATTATTAGTTATCGAGGTATGAATGAGAAGCATCGCCAGTTGATAGTGAAACATACTCGGCGGCTCTCCGGCTCTTGGATTTGGCTCTCAATCAGGTTTTTGATACGCATAGAGAAGTTCCAATACGAGAATTCCCCCGAGAAATCTGTCATGATTTAGTATCCGTACTCAGTGCGAGTGAAGTATGAGGTCAACGAACGAGCTGTCGTATCTCCAACTGGTTGCATCGTACACGCCTCATCATCGATCTCCAATGCCTCCAGATTGACCTCCAACCCTTCCAAGTCCCTCGGGCCACCGGAGGCCGAATTTAGACTCTGATGGTCGGCTTCGAGTCTGTCTGCTATATCGGAAAGGTTCTTGGTGTCAAGCGAGATTCCTGCCATGGTGTGCCGCAATATCCGTTCCATGTGTTTTGAACGTTCAATCAGCTGGCTCATATCTGGTCTCCGACGGCTTTCCCTGGGAGGTGTCAGACATGCTCTCGACAGTCGTTGAAGCTGCTCACCTCGGAACGTAGGCACGAAACTCACGAGGTTTTGGGGTCGGATCTGTGTATCTACATGCTCGTTGAAGATGGGAACACCTCCGGCATGGGACGTCACCCTCGCATTTCTCTTTCAATCGACGACATTCATCGCACCTATCGCATCCAACATTAGACGAATTGGGTATATCCCTCCCTGGCTTGTCTAGGAATCTTACGCTCGGGAGACGCGTCTCCGATGCTCCATCGCCACTAGGTCTGTACCCGACGGTTACGTATTAAATCAAGTAGGGAGCCTACTATGAGATAAGGGGATTTGGGCAAGCATGAATGCATGTTCCCCAATGTTGGCCGGGGGCTAATTACCTACCTGTAACTTTCCTGCACCCCGCTTTTCCAGCAGCCATCCCAGAATGGTTAGTAAGTGCATATTGTCTTATCTTTAGTTCTCCATAGGGTAGGCTTAAGATAAGAAGATAAATACACAGTTTTAAAAATAAATATACCTAGAGGATAAAGATTCAAATTAATACTATTATTAGAAGATATTTACTTATATAATATAATCTTTATATAAGTAAGTAAGCTTTATGCTATTAGTTATTATGTTCTTATATTACTATCTACCTTATACTTCTTCTATATCCCAGCTTATTATGTTTTACCCGGTTCCACATGATTGCCATAGTGGGTCTTGAGCTCTTGATGTTACCTACCCCTCGCTACCTGTGTGTTGGTGGCGGGTTTGCTTTGTGGGGTCAGCTCAGCAGGCCATTTCTAAATACCCTAGATTTGCCAAAATACTGGTTCTCCCATGTGGGATCTAAAGAGAAGAGTCTTCAGTTGTTTGCTCTCCTATAAGTATTGCCTCTTATGTCACAGGACTAGCTGCCACAACATCTTCTGCCGATTTAGATATCGGATTTACGTCACACGAAAAGATTCACTATAAGATTCACTATTACTTGTTACTGACGAAATCATGCCTTCCTTTACTACAAAACCTCATCCCGTTGTAATTGTTGGGGCAGGCCCGGTTGGTCTGATCACGGCGGTAAACTTAGCAAAACTCAATGTGCCAGTGCTGGTCCTGGAGAAAAGCCATCAGGTCGACCAATCTCCCCGCGCGGCTGTTTACCAGCCTTGTGCACAGGCGGAGCTCCTCGAGTCTGGCACACTTGACGATGTCCGGAAGGAGTCTGTTCTCAATGATGTCATGACCTTCTGGAAGAACAAGAAAAGGGTCGCTTCTGTCGAGAAGACTGGAGGTGTCGACATATTCCCCGCCGGACTTAATTGTCCGCAGCCCAAGCTAGCCAAAATCTTGGTCGACCATCTCCTCAACAAGTACAATGCCGAGATCAAGTTCTGCCAAAAGGTCATTAATATCAACTACGACACTGGAGATAATACAGTCGAAGTCGTGGCTTTGGACACGAATACAAACCTCGAGACCAGATACACGTGCAACTGGCTGGTTGGGGCTGATGGCGCTGGGTCAGCCGTCCGCAGACTCTCTCACATCACATTTGACGGCTTCTCTTGGCCCAAGGAAGACTTCGTCGCAACCAACGTACGCTTTGATTTCATGAAACATGGCTTTTCAACCGCCAACTTTATCATGGACCCAGTGCACTGGTCTGTCGTATGCATTCTGGACGATGATGGCCTTTGGCGTTGTGCCTTTGGTGTTAAGGCGGGAATGACAAACGATGAGATTAGGGCCGAGATTGATGAGCACTATAAGCACATTTTCCCAGTCTGGCCTGTCGAATACGAGCTGGTGGAGCTAAACAAGTATAAGCCTCATCAGAGATGTGCCTCGACATTCAAGAAAGGGAGAGTTTTGCTGGCGGGAGATGCAGCTCATGTGCGTACCGACTCACAGACCCTTGTAACCATATTCCGCGAGATCATCTGAAGTACTAACTGATAGCCTATAGAGCAATAACCCTATCGGTGGACTGGGCTTAACTACAGGTCTTTTAGACGCCGGACCACTAGGTCGCGCCCTTGGTGCCGTGATCAACGGTCGAGCACCAGAAGGTCTTCTTGACAAGTGGGCAAATGCGCGTCGCGACAAGTGGCTCACTTTCACGAATGCCTTCTCCATTGAGAATAAGAGAATGATCCAGATGGCGGGATACAGCGAAGACCCTCTTGGTATATGGGCTGATGACGACGTGGCGAAGGAACATAACATGGAGCAGTGGGTGAGAACGGCAACTCCGGCCAAGAGAGAGGAGGACACTCAGTTCTATGAGTCGCTTTCGGACCCTCATAACCAGGATCTGTTCCATGTGAGGCAATGGAGCATTACGCTTGATCCTCGGTGGATGGAGGAGTATGAGGATCCAGAGGTGGTAAGTTACAGAATCTCGCTTCGGCCAGATAGATTTTGAAAGAAAGTGTATCATGCTTCTGTTATCGAGCGCTAGTCTCATCCGAACACCAGTCGGGGCCTGCGCCACTCGGAATCACCGGAATTAGGTTACGAGCTTTTAAATACTGGCAAAGCAAAGGTGGCTCTCGTATGATAAGGATCCACCTTTTCTTCTTCTAAGTAATGTGGAACGACACTATCAACAGCCATTACAGTGGTTGTTATGATGACTTGACGGACGAGGTTGCCCTTGAATACACGAAGATGTATACTATAGTGAGGTTAGAAAAGGAATCAGAACGAGGTCGCCTGCATGGCGACATGTCTGACCCTATAGAAACATCAGATTCTTCTCCAATTGGGGGCGCCTTATCAGCTTGGGTTCTCACTGTTCAAGGCATAGAATTTGTCTCGTTACCCGGCACATCTACTGTTCTGGACGATGAAAATGAGATAAATGGGTTCTTCGAAATTCGAGACGCTGTGCTTGTTTCCCCCATTCAAGCCGCCATGCCCCCAATCACACTATGACAATATAAGGAGAGCTAGGGAAGAAAGGTAGTCTGTGTAACATTTAGTGTTAGACTTAAAGGAGATAAAAATCAACGTTAACTTAGTAAAGTCAAATCCTAAAAAGAATAGAGTTCGCCGTTCCGTTGCTAATGAAGAAGGTAGTGTCAGCTCGTGACGATCACATAATCTGGGGAAATACACCCACGAATTAAAAGAATTACCGACGTGCCTTATTGCCGACAGCTTTAGGGGAAGCTATATTAGCTAGTGCAGTTGAGGAACTGTATTGCATCTCCCACTTGACGATGGCGGGCAGCTTGCAGTAATTCAATTATTCAACAATCGGCTGACAGACACTTGGAATGCCTTCAATGTGCCGGGCATCCGAGATGGTCCAGATTCTAGACTCATGGTGAAACATGACAGGTGCTGTGGAAAAATGCAGTCCACCAATTGACTAAGCTTCTTATAGGGTCGAGGTTGGCGTTTCAATCTTAACCCCGGTAGATTGGGGGCGATGTGGAGCACTCAGCTAATTCTCGAGCCTCCCAAAACTAAACTCGCGATCCCTAATCAAGATGCTGGGCCGATTGCGTCGTTTGACACGGGCCACTATCACGGCTGAACGGCATCTGTACGCGGCTACCCATGATGCAGGTACGCGCTTCAGATATAGGGAGTATGTAGATTTAGTTTATAAAAGAGCCGCATGTTCTTGGCATTGTCTATCTTGTTCTCGGCATCAGCATTCCATTCAGCAGTATACTTCAATTCGTATATACACTTTCTCAAAACTTCCATTCTTTTAAAATTCCATTCTTTAACATGTTCTCTTCAATTGTCCTTCTCAGCGGCCTGGTCGCCTCCGCACTTGCGGCCCCAGCTCTTGAACCTCGTGCTAGCTGCACTTTCACCGATGCGGCCACTGCCATTAAGAACAAGGCCAGCTGCTCTACTATCATCCTCAACAACATTGCCGTTCCTGCTGGAACCACTCTGGACTTGACCAAGCTCAAGGATGGCACTCACGTAAGCCAACTCAGCCTTTCTCTCATCTAAATCTAACAAAACTTGCAGGTTATCTTCCAGGGCAAGACCACTTTCGGCTATTCCCTCTGGGAAGGCCCTCTTATCTCGTTCACCGGTAACAACCTCCTCATCGAGGGAGCTGCTGGACACTCCATCGACTGTGAGGGTAAGAGATGGTGGGATGGCAAGGGCAGCAACGGCGGTAAGAAGAAGCCCAAGTTCTTCAGCGCCCACTCTCTCAAGAACTCAAACATCAAGAACCTGAACGTTCTCAACACCCCCGTCCAGGCTTTCAGCATCAACAGCGTCACCAACTTGGGTGTCTACGGCGTTACCTTGGACAACTCTCTTGGCGATACCCTTGGTGGACACAACACTGATGCTTTCGACGTTGGCTCCTCCAACGGCGTGTATATCTCTGGAGCTATTGTCAAGAACCAGGACGATTGTCTCGCCATCAACTCTGGTACCAACATCACCTTCACAGGCGGCAACTGCAGTGGCGGCCATGGTCTCTCCATCGGATCTGTTGGTGGACGCTCTGATAACACCGTCAAGACTGTCCGCATCCTCAACTCTTCCATCTCCAACTCCGACAATGGTGTCCGCATCAAGACCGTTTCTGGCGCTACTGGTTCCGTTTCCGATGTCAAGTACGACACCATCACCCTCTCTAACATTGCCAAGTACGGTATTGTCATTGAGCAGGATTACGAGAACGGCTCTCCTACTGGAACCCCCACTGCTGGTGTCCCCATCACCGACGTCACCATCAACAAGGTCACCGGCACTGTCAAGTCTAGTGGAACTGATGTCTACATCCTTTGCGCCAACTGCAAGAACTGGACCTGGACCAACAACAAGGTTACTGGCGGAAAGACCTCTACCAAGTGCAAGGGAATCCCCTCTGGCGCCTCTTGCTAAGTGTTGAGTTTGGCGAGGAGATATACATGACGGTTGTGTAGAACATAACATATAGCTGGTACTATCTTCTGTTTATTTGTTTTCTTTGTATATATAGTCTATCAGCTAATACTATTCTTTCTGATACGCAAATCAAATTTTTCCGCCTATGGCAAGTGATAAGAAATGCAAAGGCTGCAGGCTTGAACAAACCATTTGCTTGGTACATGGCCCCCCTCTCCACCTGCTATATGGATCCTGGGTGGAGTACATACGATGAAACCCGGCATCGAAAGTTGTTGACGCGTGTATTAATGTCGCAAAGGGCTCTGGTTTCATAGGCATCAGTTCTAATGCCCCATCATAGCCTGGTGAGCAGGACCGTATCTGTTGCCCTTTGGCTTTGCTGAGTCTATGATCCGTCTCAACTCCGCCTTCTCCTCCTCGTCAAGCTCAACGTCCCGTGATGCCCAATTCTCTTCCAGTCGCTCAGGTTTTGTTGTTCCCGGGATTGCAATAAAGCCCTGAGCTGCAACCCACGCAAGTGCAATCTGCGTCACTTTGACGCTTTTCCGGGCTACAAGCTTCTTGATCTCTTCGACGATCTTCTTGCTGTGATAGAAGTTCTTGCCCTGTAACTTTTGTGCCGTAAGCTGTTAGTCATGCCTATCACCAGAACAGCTTAGTTGAAAGAATACGTACGACGTCATCGCGGCTCTGGTATGGGAAGTCATCTACCAGCCACCCATGGCCAAGGGGACTATAAGCTACGTAGGCAACGCCTAGTTCTCTGGCAGCATCGATGAGGCCGTCAGTTTCGTGAAGCGTTTTGAATGCTGAATATTCAGCTTGTAAGGACTCAATCTTGGCAGCTATGATTCATGTGAGCTAGACCAGCGAGCTTAACAAGGCGAAGACTTACTAGAATTGGCTTCTCGAAGTGTTGCGGCAGAACACTCTCAGATTTCGATATACTTAGTCTTGTCTTGCTTGCGAAGTTCGTCAAGGGTACCAATCGATTCCCCCAGAGGGGTCACTATGATGCAGATTGTTTAACCGGGTCAGAATTTAGAGGCGGAAGTGACTTACTGGGGTCGATGCGGTGGAGGTAGTAGAGGTCAGGAGTGAACCCGTTATTCTGACAAAGGTCCTTTAGGTTGTATACAAAGCCGGCGTCAACGAACATCTCTTGGGAGGCTTCATCAGAAAGCATCAAGTTCGCGACAAGATATTCAGTAAGCTCTCACATCGTTCGTTGCCGCCTGGTTTGTCTCACCGTACGTATCAGCTGCCTCCAAATTTGGCATTGATTGCTTTGGCAACGGCTCACCCATTTTGCAAGTCAATGGGCGTAAAGGTTGTGCTTGCAGCAGTGTCCCAGAAAGTGCAACCGAGTTTAATTGCTTTCAGAAGCACGAACTCGGCTTCTTCAAGTGTCAAATTGTTTCCCAAGCCATGGCTGATGCCCATGGCACCAAAGCCAGGCGAAGGTACTGTGATATCAGCGAAAGGAAGATTCTTAACCATTTTAACAGAATGCACCTGACTGAAAGAGTTGGAGACTGCAGGAGAGGGACATTGATGAGATTTACTGGTTCATAAGACACTTCTTCCAATCTGAGAGCTGCCCTACCTATGACGTGAAATGGCATGCTGTCACCGTGTAGACTTAACTCCGATTTTTAAGTCCGGTCACCTATAAACTCATCAACAAGGGCATGACCCATCAACTGTAATCACGTTGCATTAAGTTCGTGTTCGCAAAGGTACGGGCTTACAAAAAAGCAGCTGAGTCTTTTAACAGTTGGATGCTGATCAGTTATGATCCTCTTGAATGGACATCGTCTTGCCGAGAGCCTTGCCCCTCTTATCTCTTTTTTGGCTCAGTCAAGACACCCAAGTCCCGTTTCCTAGCCATGCTTGCAGGATCTCATTGGTATCAGAACGCACGCGTTACATTCTTGAGACTGTCGCGGACCAAAGATCGACTTGATGACAGGTTTTTTGAACTTTAATCAGCTCAACTAATGAAATGCAATTATAATTGGCTATCGCTGGTCACACAGAGTCTTTTGCCTCAATTGCGGGGTCATGACACCAATGCCCGTCAGCACGGGGCTCGGGGCTCGCAAGACCAGAAAACACAATATTCCGCATTTTCTGCTGTCAAAATGAACGAGATGCCCTTGGCTCACCGTGAGAAAAATGCAGGGGTCGACTGTGGATATTCGCCTTATGAGTACACACCGCTCAGCGCTGGTCAGATAAGACTGCTTCGGTTGCACGCTGGCCAAGAAGCAGACCAACTGAATGGCGAGCTTATTGTCAAAAACTTCGAAGAACTACCCCCACGACCAAAAGCAGGCACTTCAGCCCTAACAGAGCCGATAGATCCAGAGAAATATGTTTGTTTCGACGCCATCTCCTATGTTTGGGGCCAATCAGCCTTCGCAGACTCCTTCTTCACGCCTCAAGGATCCATCCCAATAACAGCATCACTCGCTTCTATTCTACGACGTCTTCGTGATGAAAAAAAGTCTCAACTATACTGGGCTGACGGCCTTTGTATCAACCAGTCAGATATAGCTGAGAAGGAAGTCCAAGTGTCTCTTATGGGCATCATTTACAGCTCTGCCATGCGAGTTCTGTGCGACATTGGTGAGGAAACGGAGAATATCGCACTTGTACTTGAAGCCATAGAGCGTTACTGGAAGCGAAACATCCGCCATGGATTTGTAATGGGCCAAGGTGACTCTATGATTCTTTCAGGAGAGTCAACCGCAAAGCTCATGGGCATTCCATATCCAACAGATGAGGAGGCAGATTCTATCGAAGATGTTGAAGGAGAAGAATGGCCCAAGCGGTATCTCGAACTCATCTCTGCGCCATGGTTTCATCGCCTTTGGGTCGTGCAAGAGTTTGTCCTTGGGCGTGATGTAGTCATGGTCATTGGCCGTCGACACATACCTTGGGGACAGCTCTGGGCAGGTACTGTATGGTACAAAGGAGTCGATTGGCCATGGGACTCGGCCGAGTATACGAACGAGGATCTAACAAGCCTCTTCATGTCATTCAACGCCATGTGTCTTGTTCGTTCATGTCGACTTATCGATCTCGACACGCCCCATGGCCGTGAGTTCAATGACACAGTCAAACTACTTCTTTGTGGAGTCGAGATGAATCAAGCGAACTTGCCGATGTGTATGGTATTTTTCTGCTCGCACGGCTGTACTGTGCCACGGGACCGTTACTTTGGTATTCTCGGTATGGTGGATGAGGAGGACCAAGAGAAAGCACTCAGCCTGCGACCTGATTACACCTCCCCAATGAGTGACATCACCATGCGATTCTGGAGATATGCGCTGCAGACTGGTTCCGGGGGAGAGCTCATGCTCTGTGCGGGTCTACCAGGCCTGACCGAAGGATATCCTTCTTGGATAAGAGATCTTTCTGCACCGAAACCTCTGAATCATATATGGATAGGAGCTCCATTAAGTACTGCATGGCACGCAGCAGGAGGGCCGGCAAGCACGTGGTCCATAGCCTTCAGCAACGAGGACCCTGATCAAGCTTTTGTTCAGGGATATCACATCGATGATATCTCAGACAGGTCACCCACTGGGGCTTCTGATCCTTTCAACTTTGTATCGATGACTCGTTGGATTGAAGAAGCTTTCAACTTCTTCACTGGGTCTGAATCGTCAGACGGCGATTCGAACAGATTATATCCCCTAAACACTGATCCTGTCCGCGAAGCAGCATTGAAAGTGGTGATGGATTACAACAAGCAAGACACGATGAGCCCTGATGACGAAGAGTTTGAGGCCATGCTTCGAATAGGATTGTCTCTCCCTCTCGCAGCTTTCTCTGAAGACGCCGAGGAAGATACAATTCTGGAGAAGATTGTTTCTGAGTTTGAAGATGAAGATGAAATACTCACTTTGCAGGAGCTTTTCCTTCGTGTACACAAGACAAGAGGGCTGGGATACTACAAAACTGGGAAGGGCCTGTTTGCACTGCTGCCAAAAGGGGTCTGTGTTGGTGACTCTGTCTGGATCCTCAAGGGATGCCGGCTACCTGTTGTGCTACGACCAAGTATATCGCATCATGGGCCGTATGAGTTTGTTGGAGGTGGCTATGTGTATGGGGTTATGAACGGAGAGATGCTCGAAAAGCCTGGGTTTGAATGGCAAAAAGTCTCGCTCAGATGAGCGCTTTTTAAGAGAAGCTGGTGAACAATCTTTGGAGTAATTCTATTTCTCTTACTTATATAAAATCCTTCACTTATTGAAAATTCACGCTGTCAATTACAGATAAGGGAAATGTTAAATACCAATGAATTAAGCAGCGACTAGATCAGAACAAACAAAAAGCCTCTAATATATCTACATCAAAACCGTCCCGTGAAACCCATGAATCAATATCCTATCCTTCAGTTGATCATGATGCGTTGAGACTTGGGAGTAGCCTTAGGAACTACTATGGTCAAGAGACCATCCTTGAGATCGGCAGTGACCGCGTCGTGGTTGACATAGGTGGGGAAAGTGAAGTAGCGCGAGAACTCCTTGATATAGCCAGAGTGTCTTGGCTCTTTAGGCTGCTCGGGCTGCTTCTCCTTGGCCTTCTCGCTGAGAGTCTCAGGCTCTGGCTGGCTGATGGTCTCTGACTTTTCTGATGTGTGGCTCAAGACCTCAAAGTCGTCACCATCGACATCGTCCTCGACGGTGGCCTGGTAAGAGCTCCTGCTTCGGGTGTCCTCGTTGTCTGACTCGATAGCCGGGGCGGGAGCAGTCTTCTCAGTGGTAGTTTCAGCTGCCTTGGGGGCTTCTGTGAATCGCTCAACCTTGCCGCTAACGACAAGCTTGCAGGGCTCAGGGAATTCGACAGTGACGTGGTCCTTGTTCAGGCCTGGGAGCTCGCCGTAGACAACGAAGGAGTCCTCCGTCTCGTGGGCCTCAAAGCGGGGCTCCCATGGGCGGCTGTTCACCCGATAGGCAGGGCAGTGAGCCTGAACAGGGCTCTTCTGTTGAGGCTGGCATTGGCGCTTTCGCTGTGGCTGCTGGGGCTGCTGAACTGACTGGTCGAGTTCTCTGAGGAGATGGTAGAGTGGGTTCAGAGGAGCCTGGATATGGTAGACGGTCTGGGGAAGGAAGAATGCCATTTTGTTGATGTGCTTTAGTTGTGACTTGTAAAAGGCGATTGGTATGATGATTCAGGCTTTGGATTGGCAGCTTGGCTGAGCGGAGGCAATTTGTGTTCTTGTGTTTTGTTTGAATTAAATGAGCAGTTAAGATATTGAATCTTGATAATTAAAAATTCACCAAGCACGTCAAAACTCGTTTATTTATATATCGACATTTTACAATTGGCATTTAGGCAGCGTGTTCTTGCGCAAGCCGTTACTCACCATATCGAAGGGCCATGATGTTGCTCGAAGCATCGAGAAGGTTCATGGACCTTTTTCTAGCTTAGTGAGACGCCATTTGTCATACCCTCCACCAGCCACTGTGGCTTGTTCGGCTGCTTGAAAATCCACATTCCGAATCCGTGCAGGCTAGAGAATGACCAATCGAGCTGAGTAAATATTGCTGACAAATTTATTCCCAGACTTTCCGTGTTAACGCCGTCCGGACTTTGGCGGTCAAATGGCGATGATAGTAGTGGTGGGGCTGATTGTAGAACTTCCATCACTGCCTACCCGATACCAAAGCAATATTCATGATGAAATTGAAGAAACATTACGGAGGACTCACAGCTACACAACAATTTCTCCTATTGTTTCTTATCTACCGGCTCTTCTAGCTACTTAAGAGCATTTGCGATGCCATCGCGACTGTTGAGGACCTGAAACTTAATGCGTCTTTCATGAACAGGTTGCCGGGGTTGGAATTGTTAGTGCTGGTGTAAGCCTTACATTATTTATACGTATAATTTTATTTTTATTATTCCCTATTATTTATTTAAAATAATTAAGATAGAAATATAAAGTGGCAAATAGAGGTAAGTCACGGCCCAGTTTTGCACATTTCCAACCCCGGCAACCTGTAGCTAAGTTCATCAATGGCCCCTGGAGCATTCAGGCTCTTGTCATATCCCTTGGACAGAAAGTTACCCATGTTGCCAATGCAGAAGACTAAAGCAAGTGGGTCTGAAGACATTCCCGTCGTGCTTTTGTAACTAACAAATTGGAGGCCACGGTGCGAGTCGAAGTTGAGGGCAGATAGAGGAGGGTCTCGAATGCAAACTTGCTTGCTTGGCAGATTGGTGATCGAGTATGATGCTCGCTCAACATATGTCATGATCTGGAGACGAAAGATATAGTCTGGGTCGTGCCATTCAAGATGCTATCATCACTTCCTGGACGGACTGTTCCCACATTACACTTGCAATGTTGTGTATCAGGTGCTTCTCAGCGTTGGTAACTTCTCTCCTTTGTGGGCTTTGGCAACCGTGTTAAGCCAATCTCGAACCGATTCGAAGCAGATGTCCGTTTACTTTATTCTAGGCTACCCTGCCGTCGGTCGGTAGAGAAAATACTATACCCACAATACCCCTCACACCAAGCCAGCTTCTCTTAACCAACATGTTCTCTTTTCTCACCGTTACCCTCATTTTGGAGTTTAGCCTATATCATAGCCTCGGGTCACCCGCCTCCTGACTTTATTCCGACGACAGTATGCCAGCCATTTGTATCGCTAGACCGGACTTTGACTCGCCCGACTAACATGACATTCAACTCGTTCTCTACTCTGTGCCAAGCGCGTCTTCTGCATCATACGGTAAGGGGCATGGCTCAAATCGGCACCCTTCCCCGGGGATCAAGGGCTCACTAACGAGACAAACTCTCTACCTGCCAGTTACGGGAGTATATGCCTTGAGCTTTTTTATCTTTAGGATAAATGCTTGGTCATGAGACACGCATTTTACCTCCCTAATTGCCCTCCAGTTTTTAATTTTCTACCTTATTTCTCTCAAAGCCTTAGCTGCAGCTAGAATTGACCAGCTCTGGACTAAGTTTACCTACGGCCTATCCTATTCTCATCGCCTCTACTACCTAGGTGCTCACCAGCACCCATATTACAATATATAATGCATTCAGCTCTCCTACTCTCTACTCTTGGCTGCGCCTTCTTCCACGCCATTCATGCTTTTGAGTTCACTGGCCCTGACTCAGCCGAGAAACTTGACCTCACTCAATCTATCACGATCACGTGGGATGCCATTAATGGATCATTAAGCGAACCGAAGGCTCGCGCACTCCATCTCTGGTTCTATGCGCTTACCAACGATGATAGCGATTGGTTTGGCTGGGAACTTGCCGTCGATCTGCCGCTCTCGGCGGGCTCGTATAAATGGAACCCTAACACAATCGTCAAAAGTCTCAAGGACAAGGACGTCTCGCTCTCACCAGACGCGATGCACGCCTTCGAGGCCAGGCTGCTCGACAATTCTGGAAGTAAGCTATCAACAGTCGAGAGCGACAAGTACGCCGTTAAGAGCTTTGATTTTATTAGAAATAGTGGTAATAAAGGGGCGCAAGCCGGGCTTTATACAGTTACTGTAGCTCTTACCATGGCCGGCTTGGCGCTTCTCTGATAGAAGCTTGCCGGAGTGGGGAAAGTAGTCTAACAAGAGGACTTAATAAAAGCGGTTGCCGTTCTAGAACTGGCTCCAAATCGAACATGTCAAAGGACTGTTGGACTTCAGATCGCTCCAACAAGGGGTTTCGTTTGCCCAATTCAGTTTCGACTTAACTGACCAAATCCCCTGCCAAGATCAAGACTCTCATGATCGATATTGAGACATGAATGGGCAAAGGCATAGCTAGGCCTGTATCCCCGTTGACACTTTATGCGGCTGCAGTCCTACAAAATGCAATTCGCACTGCACAAGCAAAAGGTCAAACGGCCAAAACGGACATTACTATAGGAGCCGAAGATACAGTTTCTCTACATCTGTCTGTGCGAAATACGTTGCAACTGAACCCCAATGCTGCATATGTCATTATTGGTGTTTTAGGAGGGATTGGCAGAAGTGTTGCTCTTTATATAGCCAAGTCTGGAGCCAAGCATTTGTCTTTCCTTTCTAGATCAGGCTTATTAGATATAAAACGCAAAGACTCTTGCTAAAAACCTAGAGCAATATGATGCCTGGGCGGTTTTTTATAGTTGCGACATCGGGGACCCCGATCAGGCCAGAGGCGTCTTGGAACAGTATGATGGCAGTTCCATGCCTCGGATTACAGGCTGTGTATAAGCGGCCATAGTTCTGCGTGATTGGTAAGTGATTACGCTGCTTCTTGTCCCTAGCTTTGCATTGCTCTGACACAGAATAGTATATTTGAGAATTTGACGCACGAAGATTTCAAAACATCATCAAGACCAAAGGTCCAAGGTTCTTGGAATCTTGACTGGTTTCTACCACGTAAGCTCCACGGTCCGTAACAAATTTATTAGATCTATTAGTGAGATAAAGATAGTGTGAATGCGGACCTCGATGCTTATCTCGCGCGACTTGATTGGTTGACAAAGTCCGCTGCTTTTCAAACCCGCTCGTCAATCAGTCCAAATCAGGAAAGTAGCCATCAGCTCCCAATTATGCCCATATTTATTATCCCCGTGCTTCGCTCTTTGCTATTTATATTTTGCTTTAGTTCTCTTTGTTAATTCTTTTCTCATTTTTTATCTATTTATCCGTCCTCTTCTACTATTACATACTGTTGCGCCATTTCGACAATATGTCCAGCGAAACAAGCTTGGTCTTTATTCCCGGCGCTTGGCACAAGCCATCGTGCTACGGCAAAGTAATGGAACAGTTACAAAAACGACACCATTTGAGATGCGTCCCTGTCACTCTTCCAACTACAATGAATAATCCAATGGCAACATTTAAAGACGACGTCGACGCCGCTCGTTCTGCCATTATGCAAGAAACAGAAAAGGGCCGTGACGTGATTGTCATTGCGCATTCCTACGGAGGTACGGTTGGTAATAGTGCTGTCAAAGGTTTTTCTAAATCAGCCTCTGTACGCACCGAGTCATTTGCATCAAGCCAAAGCTCGATAATAGCATCTATGCCCAACAAACGGAACGCAGAGATAGGATGCGTTGTCGGTCTTATCCTCATTGCTACCGGATTTTGCTTCACTGGATTCACCTTTATGGACCATTTTTTCGGTATCACTCCGCCTTTTTTCCGCGTCAACAAGGAGACTGGGTTTGCAGACCTTACAGTTCGTCCTCAAAAGTTCTTCTACCACGATCTGCCGCCTGCTGAGGCGGACCACGCGACTTCAATGCTCAGCACACAAAGCCTCAAAGCATTGTTTGAAGGTGGCGAGTATTCGTACTCGGGGTGGCTGGATGTGCCTGTATGGTTCATCGGAACAGTTGAAGATCAGGGGTTGCCAATCGTTGTGCAACGAGCTCTGATTGGGATGGCGAGGACTCTGGGTGGTCGCGTGGTGTATACCGAGCTGCAAACAAGCCATTCGCCATTCTTAAGTCAGCCAACGCAAGTTGTACAAATCATGCTTCAAGCCTTTCAGTCTTTCACAGGTACAAGAGCCGATGGAACATCAGAGACACTCGAATTGGCAAATAAGCGATATATTCCTCTGGTGAGCCCTTGGCAACCTACAACATGGTTTCGGTATGGACTGCCGCTGGTTGTTGGCAGTCTTGTAGGTTGGACTATACTATCGTATAGAAAGTCCAAGGGCTTGTGGAATTTGCAGTCTAGAGAGACAAAGGCCGACTAGAAAATCAAGGCATAGTGTAAATCTGTATAAAGAAAGAATCTCCAATCAGTGTTTAGTAATTACAACTTGTTGAATCAAAGGATGGATATTCAAGTTCAGGTCCTCCTAGGTTTTCTGGTCAATGCATAGTTCAAGCCGGGATTTACTGCCGCTCAGTAGCTTTCCCTAAAACTACGGGAGGATTGAGCTCTAAATCGTAATTACATGGGATGCAGCTGTATCTGCATTATCTGTAGTGGCTAGGCGATTTCAATTATATTACAGACCGCTTCTCATGCCTTCTTCATTTATAGATATTTCAATTTCGGATGTCAAAGAATCGTGCTTACATCACGATATGATCTGATAAAAATGGCTGTTACTCAGCCCACCATGATGCAACGTCAGCAAACCTGGTCGTTGGCGAGGCCAGGGTTCCCCTCTCCCTTTCCTGTCCACTCAATTCAAACTGTCAAAAATATCTCTCGCAAGCAATTTAATCCAGCGTCGCACAACAGTAGTTCTCCATGTCGTCGCCAAAGGATAAATCATCAACTGGGCCGTCATCCCCGGCCTCTGGGCAGAAGTCAACACCGTCTCCACAGACTGAACTTATACCCGCCGCTGAAAACGATGACGTGAGGGTTCATGAGATGCTATGTCCCACTTGTTATGCTAACGTGTCAGAAAGGATGTTCAAGGCGACGCCGACTCAACACTTGAAACAGACGCGTGAGATTTACTCTTGCCGTCATGAATAACCCATACTAATATCACTTTTTAGTGATAGCTCCACTGCCTCTCTTTCTTCAAGCATCCTTCATTACAGAAGCATTCAGGGCCGCACATTCCATAGTGACAAGTTCGTCACTGAATACTCTTTTCCAAATGATGAACAACAACTAGAGTCTGTTGACATCAGGTGAGATTCAATATCCTTAACCCTCCCTGCTTCCTACTCATTGCAGTACCAGCCATCATTACCTGACGATTCTACTCGACGGTCAGTTATATCTGGCTCCCATTGGAGACAACATCCAGGTAAGTGGAGAAACGCTATATATGTCAGTAATTGTGGGTGTTGATATGTGATTAGAAAGCGCTTGACGTCGGGACAGGAAGCGGTAAGTCTCCGTAAAGTTGACTCATGCTCAAAGCTAACAAACCTGCTAGGAATCTGGGCGATGTATGACAACTGCAGGATCCATCAAGCAATGTAATGCTAACACTGTTGTAGAGACTTCGCGGATCAGTTTCCACAAGCAGAAGTGACAGCTACTGATCTCTCACCAACACAGCCCAAATGGGTTCCCCCAAATGTGCGTTTCGAGATCGATGATGCCACCGAAACATGGACTTGGAAAGATAACACGTTTGATTTCGTCCACATGCGTTATCTTTTTGGGGCCATCCAAGATTGGACTGCTTTATATCAGCAGGCCTACCGTGTCTGTACGCCTGGAGGCTGGGTTGAGTCTGTTGAAGCCGACATCCACTTTCGCAGCGACGATGGCACAGCTGAAGAGGAAGAGGTCTATAAGACATGCAACAAGCTGTATGAGGAGGGTGGCAAAGCGATTGGTCGAACGTTCTTTGTGCATGACTTGCAACCGAAGGGAATGGAAGAGGCAGGGTTCGTAGACATAAAGACGGTAGACTACAAGGTGAGTATTCAGTTGATGAGAGAGCTCTTACAAAACTGATTCCGTCGATGTGCAGATCCCGATTGGGGGTTGGCCCAAAGACCCAAGGCTAGCTGAGGTCGGTCGATTTGTCAAGCTTACATTGGAGAACGATATTGAAGGTATGCTGAGTCAATCCTTTGTTTCTTGTTTTATGCTCACGTATTGCCCAAGGATATACTCTGCTGTTATGGAATAATGTGCTGCAGTGGCCGAAGGATGAGTACCAGGTGTTCCTGATGGGGATACGAAAGGCTCTTCGCAACCGCAGGATTCATGGTTATTTTGTGGTACGCTATGTATACGGCCGCAAGCCAGAATAATACGCTACAGCCACCATGGCATTACGCAGTAGTTATGTATTGTCCCAGAGTGGAAATTTAGGTTTCAAGATCACAGAAGCTTTTGAGTACTTTAGTATCTAGTCGTAGGTCTTGTTCGTATTGTCAAATTATTCTGTCTTGCTATGTACCGAAAATTCAGTAGATCTCACTTTTAATTGTCCCCAGGCAATGCTGTTTTAGCAATGGCAGAATAGAACTCCTCCGGCTTATACATATCTCACCAATTCTGGAAAGTAAGGCGTTTCAAATGCTTAGTCTGATAGTTAGCTTATTCGGGACAAGCATTGACACAATTCGTGATGCCGAGGCGTTGCATCATGATGAAATGGAATAATTATACAAGCCCAGTGATAGAAACAGTCTATTCTAATACTCAAAGTCGAGGATCTCCATTCAATGTGCTTCATGTCCAAAGGCTAGGATATGGAGCGATAAAAAAATGTTCAAGGCCAGTCACTCTGTTTCAAACATCATGTCTATGAAGCTATTATATGCGATTGAAATCCCGCTATCTCTTGAGCAGTGGGATCTACTTGAGCCCTCATAGTAGTGTTTTAAACCTTTAAATTGTATGCGATACTCGTTTCACATAGAGTCTGGCATTTGAAACAAGGTTTGCACGACACTCAGGTGACCTCCACTGAGCTGCTATGAGACATACCGAGTCTCGAGACCAGCTGGTAAAACGTCATTTGTATGACACCTCGATATGTTCTCGGTAACTCATAGAATTAATCAAGCGACGTTGCCAAGCTTATTCATTAGCGTCAGTATGCATTCCACTGGTGAGACGGGAGTTGTGAAAACCTGACTCTGAGTATTTCAGGACGTCATTGAACCACATGAGAGAGGACAGAATTGAATTTCATTTCAATATTGCAATTGCGGTTATTAGTTGTAATCTGTTCTGGCTTCAATGACTGGGGACGTGCCCGTGAAGAATCTCGTCATGTGAATTGAATTGTATTTAGCTTGATGACTTTTACGTTTTAACGAGATATTTACAAAGCACGGACAACGACTTCAGTTTCTCACTTCAACCTTCCAACTAGAGTAAATAGAGTAATTCTCTCGGTTTGCATTTAATTAAACTTCTCTATACATTTCGTAGTCTATCATTTAGTCTTGTATACCTCTTTATAGTCATCTTTAATTCTTGCACTCCAGGTTAGAATGGAACCTCGGCCAAGTCTGCCCCACCTCTTTTGTTGGAGATGACTATCCTGATGTAGTCAAGCTCATAGTGAAATCATGCAGTAATATCGGCTAAGCCCGAATTAGGCACCCGGTCATTTGAAACAATGAAGGGGGCAACGTCAAGCGAGCAATGCAACGCATTCCTCGCCCCTTTTGCCAAAACATTGACCTTTGACCTCTGAGTAAACAAACCCAGCAGCAACTTATGACTGCTTTTACAGCAGCAAAATAGTGATGCAATCGGTGCTTTGATGCAACCCTTTGAAGTCGTAAGACAATGGCAGGCAACAAGAGCAGCAGCAGCAACGATAAACCTCTATGGCGACCACTGGCACATAAGCTGTCCAGTCTGATCCCGCTGCGACGCCTCAATAAAGCCAAATCCAAGCCCGATGTCAGGTCCGACCATGCTTCTCCATCCAACGCGTCGGACTTTCGACTTGATGTTCAGTTAAACGGCCTCGAGAGCCTCCGCCTCCCGAGTAGTTGGCTTCTCCAGCCCAAGGACGCCGACAAGCAGAGCCAGCAACAATCATCGCCTGCCGACGCGTCGCATCAGTCAGCGAAACTTAGTCATCCATTTTCGCGGAAGCCAGTCAATCGCCATCAAGGCAATCGACCCTTGACTTTTATCGACAGCCCCAGCGATGCAGACCAGCACCAAGCTCGGGCATCGGCACTGGAAGCCCTCACGAATCCAGATGCATCGACAACACCCAGTATTCTGGACCGTGGGCGACCAGTCGAAGCCAGACATTTAATTCACCAGCCGGTCAAGAACCTGAAGAACCATCGCAAGTCACTGCCTTTAGACCTGGAGACTATGTTCCAGGCTCCTAATGAAGATCACGATTCAAACGCACTACGCACCGCCACTATTCGCTTGGTGCCAAATGAAAGTCTCATTGCTACTCCGTCTGTAAAAGAATCGCCGAGATGGACTGCAGCTCAAGAGGCACGGTTAGCAATGCCGCCACCACCAAGGCCACTCAGTACCATCGCCATTGACACGCCGTCTACTGCATCGCCTTCTAAGGCACTGCAAATTCCACGTAACCCTCAATTGGCCTTGAAGAGGCCCACCAGCCTTGGACCACCCGCACCAAAGGCTGCCGAGTCAACCTCATCAGACAAAACTAGTTCAACAGATTCAACCCCAATTACCAGGGTCAATTCAAAGCGACCGGGTGCATTGAGTGATCGCCTGGCCTGGATGCGAAAGCTAGAAGAGAAGGAGAACACCAAACCAAACAACGACTTGACAGTACTTCAGAAACGAGCTGGCTCCGTTTCGGACAAGCTCGCCATGTTCGAGAAGAAGAACCTGTCGGTCACCTCTGCCTCCTCCAAGCGCCTACAACTACCAGCGAGGAACCCAAGCAGTCAATATTCGGCGTCGGTGCGCGAGTCGATCTTTTCGGCAGATGGCAGTGCTTATGCCCCGTCACCTCGCACCTCAATGGACACTGCGCGAACTTCCTCCGTTATGAGCTATTATGACGATTCGTTCCGAGAGAAACTCGAATCAATTGTTGGTCAAGAGCCTGAAGCGAATAAGCAAACAGAGTGAAATCGTTCCTCAGTGCTCTTGTCTTCCTTTGATGAGACGATTACAAATCAAGAATGAAGATGATTTAGAATGTATTTATTGATATTATTAGAGCAGGTTTCTTTCATACGATGGCGTTAATGACTTTAACTTAGATATGATTTGAGAATCAATTTAGATTCTCTTTAATACATACACTGCACACAACGTGTCACTTACAATTGAGTTGTCTTTGCCACGTTTGGCTATGCAAGCTGTTTATGTGCTGAAGAGACAATAAGTGCTGCCTCAAACCAATTGATGAAGAACATCCTTTCCGTCTAACCATCTCTCGACATTTTCTGCCTGTTCAGCATACCACCCATTCATGATGCCTTCCTCAACGTAACCCATATGCGGCGTTACCAGAACCCGACTCTTGTTTCCTCTTCCCCAGTCCTGAGACCGCCATGGGCTATCTGCAAGTAGAGGCTCGGACTCAAAGACATCGAGTGCAACGCCGCGGATAGAACCCTCAGTAGCTGCTTCCAGTAGTGCCGTCTCATCGATGAGTGCGCTACGGGATGTATTGATCAACAACGCTGACTGCTTCATCGCCTTGAGTTCCTTCGCGCCAACAAGGCCACGGGACCGGTCACTCAAAACATAGTGCAGAGTGACTACATCAGCAGTTGCGAAGAGTTCTTCCTTGCTTACTGCTTCAAAGGTCTTATCACCGTCTTCATCTTCAAGAGGCAGGCCAAGCTTAACAGTCACCTCATCAGCCTTGGCTTGGTCTAAGCTGCTGCTCCAGCACTTGATCTTCATACCAAAGGCCAGAGACCCGATTCTCGCCACTGCTGCTCCCAACCTTCCCAGACCGACGACTCCCAAAGTCTTTCCTGACAGACCAATAGCCATGTCTGATTGCCATCCGCCAGCTTTGATGGAAGCATCGTCTGCCGCAATGTTTCTAGCCAGAGCAAGGATCATAGCCCATGTATGGTGCGTTGCAGGATGACTTCCTCCTTTACGGATGTCCTGCTTATGCTGTGTTGTTTGGACTGCGTCACTCCGGCCACGACCTAACGCTGTAGCGACAGTGATTCCCAGCTTCTTAGCCGTCTCTAGATCATACGTTTCGAACTGAGTACCGGTACATAATAGTAACTTCAAGTTGGGTAGTTGGCGCAGCAGCTCCCCAGAGAATGGGGTTCGCTCACGCATGGTAGAGATAATGTCGTATGGGTAGAGCTTCTCAATCAAGTCGCTCCGCTCTTCAGCAGTTCGTCGGGGAATGTAAGTATCAGATATTTCAACTTGTAATTTTGGAGGCTGCAAGTGTCCAAAATGATGTGATGAGATTCGAAGATAGTCATCCAGGACTAAAAGGGAGGGTAACGTCGACTCTCCGTGAAGTGGAACCCCACGAGCTGTGCGGCCAAGCGAACGCATAGTGGGAAGCATCTCGACTTAATGGTCCTTGGAACGTTCAGTCTTTTCCTGAGAGTTTACGTTAAAAGAAGTAAAAGAGTTTCGTTGACTTGGAGTTAAGTAAAATGATTATAAATAATGATCTGCAGAAACCGCCCATATTATAAAAATCCGACGGAGCTCGGTTCAGCCGAGCAGCTCCGAAAGACATTAGACTCATACTAAATCCTACCGGGTAAATACTAAATGAGGATATTTCCATCGTGACTGTTCCATTAACCACCAGCTCATTTGATAATGAGTGGCAGAGGCAACAAAGGAATACCCATCAAGAATGGCCTGTTATCCGTTTTATTAAACATCGAACCTTCTAAAATGGCGCCAGTACAGTAAAAGCCAGAAGGCATGAAACTCACCTAATAGCCGGAGAAATATCCTCAACTTTTAAGAAGCGGTAACATATTGATACCAACCCTTTTGGAGCTCCTTCACTGATAAAAAGCTGCATCAATGAAGAAAGCTACTGTGAAAACGGAATGCATCGCTACGGACACTTGTCCGAACTATCCCCCAATTTCAAGCGTCATTTCCCAAGATTAAGCTTAATCGTGCTAGTAAGGAACCCCCCGCTGGATCCAACCTGTAAAGAGAAGGTATCTGAAAGCCTTCCCCGCGGGGAAGTGGGCTTCGGCAGCTCTTCATGAACCCGATTGTTGCTGCAATCGGTATATCAGACACCGAACCGAGGGCTTGGCAGTTTTTGGTGATCTATTTAAGCTTGTACCATACGCTAACTGTCGTAATGTAGCCAGTACACAGATTTCTGGTTTTGTCGCGTTCCAATGCATCTTTTGCGTATGTCCAGTGCTCTCAGGGCAGCCGGCGTGGCGTTGCTTGCCTTTACTGCCACTGCCTCCTCTGCTCCAGCCAAGGATTGGACCAGTCTAAAGCTTCTCACAAAGTCGGCGGATTCTCAGGTACAGACCGTTATTGATGGTAAAAATGCCTCATTGACTGGCTCACCAAGGTCATTGACACGTGAGGTCCGTCGACTTGTTACACCATTTGTGTGGCCAAACTCAACCTACTACCACGATGAATCTCTGTTGCCGCATATCGAGGAGATGCTCTCTGTCCTGGTAGAGGTTCAGCATGATGACGGGACTTACACTGTCGGCAATCGACACTCCCCTCCAGATACCGGCTTCTTGATTGAAGACTTTGGTATCATGGTACGCATCCTCGAGCGAGACGATCATGAGGCTTCACGACCTTTTGCCAAAGCCATGCGTGGGATTCTCAAAAAGGCTGCGCCTGGTCTTGCAAAAGGCGGAATCCATACCCCCAATCATCGATGGAAGATTTGCAGTGCCTTGGCGCGCATTTCCAACATCATTGACGATCCCAGCTTGATTCAGAGGATTGATGAGTGGCTTGCAGAGGGCATTGATATCGACGCTGATGGCATCTACTCGGAACGCAGCCCAAACTACTACTCGGCCGTGTCGAACCCCTCTCTGTTGACGGTAGCTCACGAGCTCAATCGCACAGAATTGGTCAGCTTTGTTCGCAAGAACCTTGAGCTTTCCATTGAGCATGCAGAGCCAAATGGCGAGATGGAGACAATCCAGAGCCGTCGACAAGACCAGTCTCAGCCTCCAGGGGACAACATGGGGAACTTTTACCCACAATTTCGCGAGCTTGCTCTGTTAGATAAGAACGGCCGATTCGCTGCAATGGCTCGTCTTATTGAGAAGCGAGTTGGATCGCAACTGGGGGATTTCCTAGCCAACCTCATAGAACGCCCTGAGTTGGCAGCAGAATTGCCCAAGCCAAAACAACCATTTGCTGACTTCAGGAAGCATTACAAGTCGGCAGGTCTTGTGCGAGCTAGACGTGGAAAGCTCACAGTGTCGGCATTTGGTGGGTCGGACTGGTATACCATAGACGGAAAGAAAGCCGAGTTCTATAACCGAATGGGATCGGGCCTTTCGACTAATCCGACCATGTTCCGAGCCTGGAATGGCCAGGCTGTTCTTGAAGCCGTACGACTTAGTGCCAACTTTTTCAGCATGGGTCACTTCCGATCGAATGGCGTTGAACTATCCAAGGATGGTATCATCAAGTTGGGAAGCGAGATCGAAGTTCCATACTACCTACCTATTCCAGCTGATAAGCGCGATGAAAACGGGACATACGCGCTATCTAAGTCGGTCGATGGTCGCTTCTATGCCATGCTTGACTTTTCGAACCGTCCAACTAGTGTTCGTCGGCTCAAAACCGATGTTGAGATCAAGCCAACGAAGAAGGGATATGATCTCAATTTTGAAGTTACAGGAGAGGATAACGTCGAATTGACATTTGAACTGACCTTCAGAGAGGGCGGAAAGTTCAAGGGAGTGAAGGAGATCATTGATAGCGATGAGACAACCATATACCACCTCATCGAAGGAAAGGGAGAGTACAGCGTGGGCGACGACAAGATCACCTTCGGGCCAGGAAATGGCAAAGGACCAATCGCAGCTGATGCTGGCGAGCAGTATAGTTGGCATGGTGGTAATCTCACTTTGCAAGGCAACCATGTGTACATCACAGGCACGACGCCACTGAAGTATACCTTGAACCTCGGCTTTGCATAGATGGGCCAAACCAAGAGACAGTTCCTGAGAAAAGCGAAGGTAGAATGGTTCGACCAGTTGTAGATAAACATCACGAATTCATCAAATCAGAGGAGATAGTAGTTTAAATCTCAAACATTACTTGGTATTAGTCTTCGTCTAAGATCAGCTCAACATTAATATACATTATGACCGCTCTTATCAGATTCTAATCCTCGAGCTCAGCCAGCATGATGTCAGCGGCCTTCTCAGCAACCATGTAGGTTGAGACAGCTGTGAAGGTACCGGGGATGCGAGGATAAACCGAAGCATCAACAACACGAAGACCGGCGACGCCTCGAACTCGGAACTTGGAGTCGAGAACCGCCATCTTATCATCATCAGCACCAATTGGGCAAGTGGAGGAAGCATGGTGACCCCAAGCAACATCCTTGACATAGGTCTCGATGTCCTTTTGAGAAGTGACTTCCGGGCCAGGAAGAACCTCAGTGACATTGACAGCCTGGCTGGCAAGTGCGGTTCTGGTAAGCTCGACAGCCTCATACAAGGCCTGGAGATCGGCAGAGTAGTCACCATTTCCGGTGTCGAAGTAGTTGAAGGTGATTGCAGGCATGTCAAGAGGATCGGCTGACTGGAGGAGGACCTCACCAGCGTTGTTGCGAGGGTGAGCCTTGAGGATGGCCCATGAGAACCAGTTGTGCTCAATGGTGGCGTTGACAGCGTACTGGGGGAAGTATCCTCTGAAGTTAACGGGACCACCGAAGGCAAAGATGTCAAAGTTGTCCTTTTCAGCAGTGGAACTCTTGTAAAACATGGAAGCAGCAAGGCCGGAAGAGGAGTAGATGCCGTGATCACCATCCACGGGAGCTCTCCAGCGGTCGACGCAAGGGTCTTCATCAGTGAAGAGACCGAAGGTGCAGCCATCGAAAGATGTGAAGTTGTTTTCGAGAGTTCCCTGGACAGAAATCTCGTAGTGGTCCTGCAGATTGGTACCAACACCGGGGAGATCAGAGATGACAGGGATGTCGAACTTCTTCAGCTCATCAGCAGGTCCGATACCGCTGAGCTTGAGGATCTGGGGAGTGTTGTAAACACCGCCAGCAACGACAACCTCACGGGAAGCAGTGGCATTGCCGGGGACACCAGCAGCACCAGTGGCAAGAGGGCTGGCCTTGTAGAGATGCTTGCCGTCGAGGAACTCAACACCATTGGCGCGAGGAGGCTTGGAGTCATCGAATGTGACCTTGGTAACGTAGCAGTTGGTTCGGACATCGAGAGGATACTTCTTGGTACCGTTCGCGTGCTTGGCATCTCGTACAGAGAGGATGAGCTCACGGGGTCCGATGCGGCTGGCGTCCTTGGTGGACAGAGGGATCTGGTAGAATCCAGCCTCCTGATCACGAGCTAGAGTGTCGGCATTGGCGTCATCGGCAATCAGTCCGTCCATGGTGATGTTCTTGCCACTGAACTCGGACAAAGCAACGGCACCTCCGCTGAGGATGCTCAGAAGCTGCTCGTCGTTGAGAGGAATGCTAAGGGGAGCCGTCTCAGTGCTGAGCCAGCCATCGTAACCGTGGCCAGCCTCTCCAGCAGGTCGGTAGTTGTTATCCTCAGCCTTGACAAAGTACTTTCGCATGTTGTCCGCCGACCACGAATCATCACCGGTGAGGGAGGCAATGTACTCAAAGTCAGACTGGTGAGGGTAAACAGCAATCAAAGCATTGTGAGCCGTGCAGCCACCCAGAGCCTGGGTTCGGGGGTACAGAGTACCCTTGAGCTCAGCGCCCTTGGGGGGTTGAGACCAGTGTACTCTCCGTCTGGTGTATCGTAAGTGGTCTTGTAGTCACGAGCTTGTCGTTCATCGTCTGCGTAGTGACGGACAAAGAAGTTCCAGGAGATCTCGGGATCCTCAGAGGCATTGGCCGAGTAGGCAGGGACGGTGTAGTTGAGCGAGGCGTAGTCATCACCAGCTTCAATGAGAAGTGTCTTGTGGCCAGCCAATGCCAGGCGAGCAGCAAGAGGTCCTCCTCCAGCACCCGAGCCAACGACAATGTACTCGTAGCCTGTAAGGGCAACAGCGCACACAGAAGCCGGGACGGCCAGAAGACCGGCAAAAAAGGCGTGTCTCATGATGTATTAACAGAGGTCCAATCAAAAGAGTGTAATAAATGAATGACGTCCCTGTGGCCGTGATGGGTCAGCAAGGGAGAATAAAGAGTGACTGTAATGAATGGATGGTGAAGTACAACATAAGTCGGCTGCAACTTACTATTTATCTATCCATTGATAGAATCTCACAGGGTCTCGGCTCAAACCAGGGAGGTCTCAATGAATCAGTTCAATGTAACCACCTCGGCATTCAGTCCTGAACTAGTCAGGGGTTGACTATAACAAACCAGTTGGTGTTGAAACTTGTCAGGCATATTCAGAGACCAATGGTTTACCTGAACCAACATCGAGTGCAGAATCGACAGGCTTGGCTTTTCGGAGTTACATATCAATATGATCGCATTACGGGCTATGCAATACTACCCCAACGAACAGAGCATTTACTGCGAATGGCATAGTATCGGGTCACACTAGCTTGTCTAGAGTGGCCTTCCGCACATCCCCGAACTTATAGCTTGGCTAGGTTCCACTGGCGCGGATTTAAGACATAACCGGGTCAATGAGCCGCACACTGTTACATGCACCAACCAGAATCATCAACCCCCCGCTGCAGGGGCTGTTTCTTGGCGTCGCATCGAAGATCAGCGGCTAGGTTCAATTCCGCAGCTCGCCGTTTTCTCCTGACGATAATTTTGTCGCCTCCCAGCTGTGAGTTATGCGGCCGCCGCTTCTATGCAGGATATAGGCAACTGGTCCGTTCACGAGGCTTAAGCATTGCCGTTATATGCAGGGGACATAAATGAGATGCGGTCATAATTCCAGTAATCCCAAATATAGCCACCTACATCCGAATCTAATGCCGGAGCCAAGGCACCGGAGATCTGCTTTCTAGAAAAGTCTCGTGGCCAGGCTGCGACCTATTCCTCCCTCAGCTTCTTATTCTTCCCAGAGAAGTTTTCCTCGACTATTCTGTTCTGACGAATAATCTCATCTCTTGCCCCCTCCCACGTCTTTCTCTTCCCTGTCTCGAAATACCTGAACATGTGAGCTGTCTCTACGCCGTGATTCATGAGGTTATACATCTTTCTATCCTTCCACCAGAACGTCCACCCTGCCCATCCCCATCCCAAGTTCTCCATACCAGTTCCTGCTTGTTCGTGCATCCAGGGTTGGAACTCATACTGTTTGACCATGCTCACGTCGAGATGCGGCTCTCTGACCCAGTTTGCCGCGACCCATTTTTGATGCTCATCAACCCATTCCTCCATTTCTTGATAAGGCGGCAGTTTGCTTACGCCTCGCCAAATGTTCGAAATAGCCATGTTCATGACGTCGCTGAACGAAAAACCATTGTTCTTGCCATATGCTGAGTAACAAAGCACGGCGCAGCTGTCTGCGTACTTTGGGGGGAAAACATTCATAAACAGGCGTTGAATGGCGGGTCCATGGTAGGAATGCGACTTTGGTAGACTCTTTTCAATGAAAGGAGAGACAGAAAAGTCGGCGCAGTACCCTGTAGTCAGGATAACGCTGTCCACGTCATCAATTATGGTCCCGTCATCAAACTCGATTGATCGTCCGCCCAAGAAGCGTTTGATTCCGTGCAAACTCGTCAAGCTACCGTCCTGCAAGTGAGGAAGAATGTCTTGAATGAGGCCCGGTAATCGCAACGTTGGGTTACGAAATGACTGAATTCGCCATTCCGGGTCGAGTTTCACGTCAGAGAACTGAGATGAGAGAAGTCTGGCTCCCCAGCCAGCCAAACACCTGTAGAAATTAGGTACGTTTCTTGCCATCCATTGAGTAATCTGGCGGCGTCTCCACGAGATCAATAGGTCTGTCGGCCGTCCTTTGCGCATACGCTTGACCACTATTTGGCCACTTCTATGGGAGACGTAGACCTTCTTCGCTGTGCTGATGACTTGCGGCGCGATCTCGCCTGTTGTCGTAGATAAGCCGAGGATCACCACTGTTTTGTTCTGAAACGCTTCTGGGCTAGAGCTTATTGGTGAGTATGTTCTCGAGAATGGCCCAACAAAGTTTCACGAACCTTCGGTATTGCTGCGAGTGTATTATCTCCCCTTCAAATTTGTCCTGCCCAGGAAATGTAGGCATGACTCTCTGAGTCTGATAACCATGACAGAAAACGACCTTGTCAAATGGGCGAGATTCTGTTTCTCCTGTTCCGACTTTCTCAATCTGCACTACCCACCCACTATCATCGCTGTTGCGGTTAATGACTTGAACACTGGTATTGAATGAGATGTGCTCCGTGAGCTTGAAGTGCTCGGCGTAACTCTGCATGAACTCTTGGAAGTTCGCTGCACTGAGATAAACAGGATATTCTGGTTCCAGTAAGCATCATCATGTCAGCAAGATCATGCCCAGCTTACTGTCTGGTATAGGAAAATCGGTAAATCCACAAGTGTACTTGCTGATATTCGCGCTCGTCGATTCCAATGCAGTAGTCCACCCGTTATTTGCATCATATGCCCACAAACCTCCGACAGAACTACGTCTCTCGAACAACGTTGCGCTGAAGCCATCTTGGAGAAGCTGTTTGAGCATGGAAATGCCCGTTGGACCTTGACACGTTAGAGGTTAATATAAGGTATTGCCTTTCATCGGCTGGCGATCACTCACCAGCGCCTACAATAGCGACACTGACGTGTTTCATCTTGCCTTTTTGTCCTGCTTCCTTTACGTCTGCTTGTAATGGATATGAAAGTAGCGCAAAGGTGAGCGCTCAGTGGTATTTATAATGTCTCATCAAAGGTACAGATATACAATTAGCCGATTGGCATGTTCGGAATGCGACGCTCTTTATTGGCTGTACGCAAGACTAAATTCTTACACGTCATCATTCATCTTCTTGGGATCGGCATTCCTGACTTGCTATCCACTACAGTTGGTGAGCTCCGGATCTTACGGAAAGTTTAAGCACTCCCACTAATACTCTGGTATTTCAGTTTGATGAAGATCCTGCTTAGGTGTTAAAATTGTCGAATGAAACAAACATCACCTGGCTCGGTACACCTACGTACATTTTTCCAACCCTGTAGTTATTCTTGACAAATTAGACGCAAACAGTAAAGCAGAACCATAAAACAATTAAAATAAAACCACTTTTGATTTGGAGAACCCCTTCATTTAAAACTTATCACCTGCACCTCCAGCGCTGCGCTTCACTACTTCCTCCCCACGCTGGATCAACAGCCTTGCGTAATCTCTTATTACTTCAGCTATGTTATCTTCAAGACTGATAAAGACAGTCCTTTGAGGGCTTCTCTTAGATCTGCTGCTTCTTGAGAAGCAGTGTTGGCACTAACGCCTCCAATAGGTGACATGGGATGCGCAGTATCACCCAGCAAGGTCACCCTAGAAGACGCAGGGGTTTCTCTCAACGCCTTCCATTCTTGCGTGAATGTTCCTGGCCAACACGTGTAAAATACTATTGTCGATGAAGAGGCTATGTCCTGACTTTCCAATCAGCATCAGAATATTGGGTGCTAGTCCTGTGACATCTCCAGTGTAGTTGAAGAAGAGTATCCAGTAGATGTAGTAACTAGGCACTTCATACGTGGAATTTGATTCGAAGGCCATGTCCTGTCGAAATTACATAATGTCGGAGAAAAGATTCGGGGTGGAACTGGCACTTGAACCAATAAGATACAGTCCTTGAATTATTTTAATGAATTTTGAAGCTCGAATTTGAGACGAAATGAACGTTTTGCCAAAGATAGCTCTGACAACTGTGTCTAAGACAGTTGTGGTATAATGTCTAAATTGTGAGCTAGATGTGTTATTTGCGGTTGAGACCTGTGGCTGAGAGCTTATAATCACCACACAGAACTTGGTTAATGATGCGATAGCTTTTCAAAATTTTCTCAAAGGTGATATTGTCGCCCAGTCCGTCTAGGAGAAGACCTCGAAGAACAGCCCGGTGTGCACTGTAGTACTGTTCTTCCGGCAACGGTGGCGGCCCGGGCCATCCACTTGAGGATGCCCGGCCTGGGTTGGGAATTCGGAATGTCGTGATATTCTAGTTCGCCTTATGGCGCTACCTCATTGCAAAAACAATCGACCCTTTCCTCCCGCTGTAGCTGAGGAAGAATCCGTCTTTAGTCGAACGAGTACTCTATGACTCATCCTCCAATATCATATTCGCATTTGAATCTAATCACTTATGGTGAAGAGGTGTTTGTATGCTCCGTACTTCCGGACCGTTCGCCGCACAAAACACAACAATAGCCCTTGGGTGTACGTAAACATGATTTGCATGCCTCAGAAGGCTTGAGAGACACCTCTGCCTTCTTCCCAACTTCTGGGCCACATTGAACACAACGACGATGACGGTCAAACACTCCATGTTTGCATACCCAGAACACGCCATCTGGTCTGAGGGTCTTGGGCCTTGCACCACATGACTCGCAGCCATGATTCGGCGGGTTATTTCCACACAATTGACAAAGGGTTGTCTGTGCTGCTCCAATAGGTATAGCACCACAGTAACCGCAACGATGACCTATGGGTCGATCTTGACAAAAGCCGCAAGAATGGGCCGATGGCCTTGTCTCGGGTGATTTGCCGCATAAACCGCAGTTGTAATCAATCGGATGTCCTCCGCACAATCTACAGAGCTCATTCTCGGGCGCAGAGATCGGTCTCCCGCCGCACATGCCACAGCGATAACCCTCAGGTCTGCCTTTGCATAGCTTACAGAGCTCGGTCATTGTGTTGGGTGCTTTTCTCAGCAGATCTATCGGAAGGATCAGCGTTTGAAATCCCGCCAAGAGAAACAAGTAAACCTTGAACTACTCTTTAGGACCTTTCTAGGATACTGTGGGGAGACGTAGGTAACAACTGAGGGTGTATTGTAAGAGTTAGTTAGGCGGAAATCTCACTGCCCAATGAGGCATATCAATATCAGCTTGGTCACATGATGCAGCATTACATGGTGGCTTGAGATTCTGGTTGGAGGATTTTCGAAGTCTTGCGACTACTGACTGGTGACTCTTGAAGAATGCGACCGAATTTGTTCAAGACGGATCACGAGATGCGTGAGGCGATTATGGGCTGAGATCCGAGATTGACATGCTGGATCGAATCATCAGTAGAAAATACATAATTCACTGAGCATATCTCAGTTAAATGTGCAGCATATATACCCAGTGATCTCTATTTTCCTCATGTAAGTGAATCCTTATAGATATTAGTGAGGCTGGCATCCTAATTATGCCTAGGCTTCTATTCTCTTAGTCATTCTCAGCCAGTTCATTAATACACATAGCTATAATAATAGACCTTTTATGTGGGAAAAAAAAAATCGCTTTCCAACAGTGAAACCGTGTGAACAAGCGATTTACTCAGGGCTTAGGGAGGTTTTGGTATTTATTATGTGGACTTAGGACGACGAAGAACCATGACAAGATATGGCACAATCTACACTCGGGGCCCTTTTGTACGAAATCAGAGTTCGATAGCTTGCTAGTATATGGTAGTCGAAACCTATGGACCGTTGTTGGTTCAAAGAGGTTGACGTCGGCTCTCTCTCCACTAAGGAGTCTAAGCAGATGTCTTCAACACCTCGGTCAGATCAACCAGAACCTTTCGCCCATTAATAACCTTGATGCTAGCAATCAGCAGTGTAGAAGCCTTGGTACCAACGCCAGTCTCCTTGTTCGAGTCCGTAACGTGAACCAACTGGGAGACACAGCCAGCACCTGAGCCGTCGGGCGCTTCCCAAAATTGGATTTCCTTGGTTTCGTGGATAGTCGTCTTGTTATCAACACGAAAGTTCATGATGATATCCAGGAATGTTTGTCGCGAGTATTGATCATGGTTGATTCTATGTGGCATAATTAGTTCGCTCTCTTTTACTGGGTAGAAACTTCTTCCAGCATCTAACTTGCCTCGCTGTGAAATCTTCTGAAATTGACTCTTTGATGGCATTTGCCGAGACTTCATCATCTGGCTGACAAAAGATTCGGTCGTAAAGAGCTTCTACCCATTTGCTCAGGTCAGAAGCAGGGCGAGTGGGCTCGAGACTGTTGGTCATGGTGATTGAGAATGAGATTCAAAAAAAGCTTTGAAAAGTGTGAATGATGTTGTATGAAGGTCAAGAAACAATCAACTTAGAGAGCTTCATGAGCACTGATTTATACCCATTATCCCAAGTCATCGACTTCAAAGTGTCTGCCCGAGTTGGGAGTGGATCCACACGGAAGCTTGGTCTAGTGTGCGGAACTCCGCATCTTAGTCAAACGCTCCCGGAATGGTCGGGCTCGGCGCTGACCGATCTCTTTTCCCAATGCCTCACCTCATTTGCAGCAGACACTTCTTCTCCTGCGCAAAGCTGGCCAGCGTTCTCTCAAACCGTTTTAGTCTTTTCTCACAGACATGGTATCATCAAGGCAAAAGTCCTGCTCGGCCTGTGTCCGGGGTAAAAGGCGGTGCGACCTCGGGTTCCCGCAGTGCGGACGCTGTCTTGCAAAACGAGCCACTTGTGTTTATGCTTGGATGTCGCCTAAAGACGCGCAAGAGATTGCGAAAAGCTCTGATGTGATTGTTTGGAATAGCCGAGCCGACACTACCGAAGCCTCACAGTCCAATCACGGGTCGTTCAGACCAGAAGTTGGCCATGAGAATAATGATATTTCATTGTTCCCAACTCCCATAACCCTCCCCCCGCCTCTGGTGCCACTTATAGATGAGATAACTGGCCGGGGAAGAACCATATCATTATTTACCCCAGACCCCTATCCTCAATCCTCGAATCAGCCATATCCAGATACACACATCAATTCACACACGCTCCACCCTGCAACTGACATTGGTACTTCATTAGTACCATTACGAGGGCCCAGGGGTAGCTCTGTATACACAGGCAAAACTTTCAGGGAGCGTGCAGAGTATGCTGCAAGTCGGCTGGTCCATCAGGTCAGCAGTTTTGCAGAAACGGGACAAACATGCTTCATCCACTACTCTCAAATCAGCAGCTCTTCATTGCGAGACGCTTTCGCTGCTTGCTCCCTACACACAACACGCAACTCAGCCAATGCATCTCTTGTCGTATCGGAGATTGCACGACGAGCAGAACTACTCATAAAGGCTACAAATACAGCCATCTCTTTGAGTCCTCCGAATTCTCACTCGACCATGAATCTTGACCTCCTGCCCTCCACACAGGCCATGCTGATATACCAAACCATGCGGCTATTCTCAACAGACGACAGCCCACAGCGTACACAGGCTGAGCAAGACGCCAAGTCACTCGCCAAATGGGTAGATATATTGCAAGCACAGACGTCAGAGGATTCTTGCAGCAATTCAAAGCTTGGTCTTTCTTGGGAAGATTGGATCCGAGTAGAAAGCATCCAACGTACCATGATATTTGCAGAGCTTCTGGAGAGCACTTACACCTTCCTCAAATTTGGCTGGTACCAACCCAGTTTGATGATGGCCAACCTAGGCTTTACAGGACAAGGAGCCATTTGGAAAGCAAGGTCACTGGTAGAGTGGCAACAAACCAGGGAACAAAAGGCTTGGCTCAGATTGGACATGTCGACGTTTCATGACTGCATCAAAGGGGCTTCTTTGGAACACCTTGATGAGTTGGGAATTATCCTTTTGGTCAGTTATGAGGGCGTTGAAGTTTTGAAGAACTGGGCTGGCGGTGACAAAAGACTGCTTGAGAAGTGGGGATTAAGCTCCAGTGATGACTTCTTCTCTTGGCTGTATTAATTCACCATATTACATGTTTGTCAAAGACTGTGTTTAACAACCTCTGGTGTTATTACCTTGAATTTGTTTACGGAAGCATATTGAATCTCCACAGTCCATTTAGGTATTGCCAGGCGTCAACTGAAATATCAGCTGCGTTACTCTTATGTAATGGTTTAAAAGCCGGTATACGTGAAAGACACTCGTAATTGCATAGTTATCAATTGCATATAGGATTTAGTGCGAATTTTTCTATAGCCTTCCCTCATCAACCTCTGCAAAGCCCTGCAGAGCTCAACAGCACATTCTAAATCAGTTCAAACCAACAAACTTATGTCTTTGACCTGCCACCTTTCAGTTCGCCTGCTTCCCTACTCATCATCCTCCAACCCCACCAGTTTGAGCGAGTCATTCCACAGCCTTGTGGCCTTCTCGACATCATATGCGTAAGGAGCATACGTAGGCGTGATCATCTTGTCCTCCCCACCAACACTTGGCTTGGCCACATCGCAGTCGACAAGGTACTTGCCACCATCATGCTTCCAGGCTTCACCAACGGCCGCCCATGCCGTCGTTGCCGCTCCTTGCTCGACGCTCTTCATCAATGGATAGATGTGGTCCATACCTTTGAAGGCATCGGGGGGCATGTGCCTAGTGAGTCCTGTGGCGACAACCCCTGGGTGGACACTAGTTGCGTGCAGGTGCTTTGCACCATAACGGCGTTCAATCTCGTTGGCCATATAGATGTTTGCTGTCTTGGATTGGCCGTAAGCTGCGTTGGGGTCGTAGTCGCCGCGCTGAAAGGAGTAGTTATCGGCGTCGTTGATGCCATGCAGGTTATGGCTAGAGGACGAGAGATTGACAACGCGAGACGGGAGTTCGGGCGAGGCAGCAGCAAGGAGGGCAGGCTTGAGAAGCATGAAGAAAAGGAAGTGGGAGAGGTGATTGGTGCCAAACTGGAGCTCATGGCCATCGGCAGTAAAACGAAGGTCAGGAATAGCCATAATACCAGCATTATTGATGAGGCAGTGGATCTTGGAGGTCTTGTTCAGAATAGCGGCGGCAGCAGCGCGGACAGATGCAAGTGATCCCTGATCCATCTCGAACAGCTCCATACGGGAGGGGTCGAAAATTCCATCGAGGGCGGACCTGGCCTTGTCGAGGTCTCGGGCTGTGAGGTAAAGAGTAGCGCCAGTAGCGGCGATGGCCCGGACAGTTTCGATGCCGATTCCAGAGGAGGTGCCAGTGATAACAAAGACTTGTCCCTGAAGCTTGCCTTCAAGGCCTTCATCTTGGATGATTTGGAGGGCTGTAGGGCGAGCATCGCCTGGGCCTTTGGTGTTGGCATGGACAGCGGTGTAGCGAGACATAATTGATTACAGGTATATAAAAGATAGTTGATCAGTCTGTGATACTCGTGGTCTTCAAGATGGAATCGTATTCGATTGAGAATAGATGGTAGGGCTAAATAAAATCGAAGTCTTTACATTATATACTCTCACCATCGAAACATGATTACACTTTTCTGCCATGGACTATTGCTTGGCGGGACTGCATCGCGGAGAACAACTTACAAATCATCATCTAGTATGGAGTTAAAACACTACAGATAGTGTTAACACCGCCTGCTACAGATGAAGTTAAAGACAAATGTGTTGTGATTATTCAGTATTGAAGATTGTAGGATTGGCTTGTGTACCTGGCTGATGACATTCCTGCCTTTTCTGGTCTAGCCCGCCCCATGCAATGTTGAAGCAATGTGGGGCTGATGACATTTTATCCTTATCCGGTCTAGCTTGCGGAACTTGACTGTCGGCTTGCTCCATTAGCGCGGGCGACACATTTCTCAGCTCTTGAGTGAGGCCGAAGTCGTCTCCGAGTTTCATCACTCCTCCTCACTACATTCCGAAGCTGATAACATCCAGCACGCTCAACAAATCACAGCATGGAACAAAAAGACCATCTCTCCGTAATAGCCGAGGCCAATAAGCAGCGAAGAAAGCTCCAGAACCGGAAGAACCAAAGAGCCCGTCGTGAGTCGTTCCCCCGGTTGGAGATAACAGAAGTGCTCATTGACGCATTTAGGACAACGAATCAAGGGTAAAGACTTTGAGATAGATCAGGGGTCATCTTCATTTGAGGTCAGGCGCTGGCGCGTTGACGAGGTCGATGATTTCTCCCAAGATAAAGAAACAAACTCGACAACCGTATCCGTATCCTATGCTCCGTCTTGTACACTTCCCTCAACTACCAAGACCATCACAGCCCTCCGGGTACCACCATCCACAGGTCAGCTTGATGAAGTCTTGGCCATAGACTCAACCCATCAGCCCTTCAACCTCAGTTACCCCCTCCCCTCCGATCAGCTCCTTCATCTCATACAGTATAATGTCTACCGCGCCTTCATCTCCATCAAACGCACTCTGAATACTATATCGTTGGATCCGACAACCTGTCCCGTCTTTGGCCCCTGCTTAGACGATACAACCCGCTATCCCCCAAATCCCAATATTCCTTCCTCTCTCGCCCCTACAAAGCTGCAGGAAACTCAATACCACTTCCCCTGGATCAACATTATGCCTTTCGCCCGTCTCCGCGACAATCTCATCCGACGCGAAGGTCGCTTTGACAATTTCGAACTATGGCGAGACCTCGTCGGTGATCTCATGAACTACACAGCAGCCCCTTGGCAGCGAGGCAAGCCCTTTAGCTTCTCTGCCACTATCCCAGAGATTGAACAGTCACGAGGCCTCGTATTAGAGAATTACATAGATACGGATGAGCTCACAGCCGGGCGAAACGGCCTCATCATTTGGGGCGAGCCGCATGACATGCAGAGTTGGGAGGCTACACCTGGCTTTCTTAGCAAGTGGTCTTGGGCAGTCGAAGGCTGTGAAGAACTCGTACAAATCAGTAATCGTTGGAGAGTGAGAAGAGGGGCGGAGCCCATGCGTGTGTCGATGTCGGTATTGGGGACAAATGTGTGATGACGGCTCTGTACCTTCTCAGTTAGAAGTAAAACAAAAACAAATTAAAATAAAGCTAATTCTTTATAGAGCTGTTTACGCTTGGCACTAAGAGCTACAAGAAATACCTTTATTACTATTCTGTATTAAACCTAACCACCTGTTTGCCTCCTGCTACCTGGCCTGCCCGCAACTTATTCAATCCTTCAAGCACACCATCAAAGCCATTCTTTAGCTCAATAGTCGGGATGGGTTTCAAGATATGTGTAATTTGTGGTAGAATATCATAAAAGCGAACAAGGGCCGCACGATCTTGTGGCCTGGCTTCAAACTTGGGTCCAATTGGGGGTAACCACTGAAAGGGAAGCCCCATGGCCGTATACGACATGACAAGATCGTAAGTTACACCAGGAGTGCTGGACTTGCCGTTGGGCAACAGTGTAACCACTTTGCCGCCACTGGGCTTGAGCACAGCGGCGCAGATGGACGTTGACTTGCCCTCAGAAAAGCAGTCCACCGCCTTTGTGATCTTGGGATACTCTTTGATGATGTCTGCTGCGACGGATGGTGACTTGTAGTCAAAAACAGCATCAGCACCGTACTCCTTCACTAGCTGGAATGAACGGGGCGAGGCAGTTGTGACTACCGTGTACCCAGCAGCCTTTGCGAGCTCGATATGGTATAGGCCAGCACTGGTTGCTCCCGCGTAAATGAAGACGGCTTCATCTTTGGGAGTGGCAGGTTTGGTATCGATGAAGGGGAGCCCGTGATGAACATTGAGGACTAGCATGGCGGTCACAGCAGAGACTCCATATGTAGCTGCGTCTGTGTCACTGACGCCTCCGGGGACTTTCCAGGCCAGGTCTGCATCGGTCTTTAAATACTCGGCGAAGGCGCCTTTGTCAGGGTATAAGCCGCCGTGGACGGCGCCGGCCACACGATCGCCGACGTTCCATTTATCCCTGACAGAGTCACCCACTTGATGAACAACGCCCGCGTAATCGCATCCGATGATGGAGTTTGGGGGAGAAATAACGTCTAGATGCTTGAAGTCTGTAGGGTTGAGGGCTACAGCTTTGACTTTGACGAGGATCTCGTTGGAGGAGATGGTGGGAATAGGGACATCGTCCTGGACACGGCCGCCCTGGCCGCCGATGGCCTTGGCGCGTGAGGCGTTGATGAGTCTGGTGACAATGCTTCGGTTAGAGACGAGAGCTTTCATGTTAGCCATGATGATGATGGTATAGGATAAAAAGAAATTTGGCGATACAGGTTGCTCAAACAGAGGATTTATACACAGAGTGCACAGCGATAATTGCTGGTAGTATCACGGCGTTGTTGAGTAATCTGGATGTGCAATATTAACACTTTTTAGGTTCAAGCTACTGCCGAATTGACAATTTTTCGCCTCTGATCTCCTGTTTGCGGAGCAACTATCTCGCCGAGACAAAAACGCTAGTATCAAGGTTGGTCCGGGTCCAGGTCCGCCCCAGCGGACTTTCGGGTTGGCAAACGGTGCTTTGAATAACGCTGCCGATCCTCGAAATGAAAAAAGCTGCTGAAAGCACTATCTCTGAAGCACCACTATTTCTGGTTTTAAATAGCGCCCAAGGCGACCTTCACTATACTTCTCCACACCGGCTTCTAATAAACATAATTAAAAGGTATGAGGTATACAAAATAAACCTAAGCTAATTATAAAACTGACAGACCTATGCTCCACCATTTGCCCTGATGAATGATTTAAACTCGTCCATGTTTCGCGTCTGCACATAAACCGAGCCAGGGCCAGTGAAGCGACATACCAGACCCTCGCCCGTCTTCAATCCAGCCATAGCTCCTCCACCAGCTTTTTCAATGGAATACTTGCAGCTCCATGCCACGAGGTGGCCGTTGTCTACAATGTGCTCCTCTCCAGGCCGAAGCTATTCATTCACAATTAGCAGTGCAAGGTAGTGATATGTTTAGGAAACCTTACGTCTAGCCGATCGACAGCACCAAAGCTCGTCAGCCACATGATGCCCTGACCCTCGACCCGAAAGACAAATAGATCCTCTCCCGAGAACAACGCCTTGCTAATCCCTTGAGTTTCTCTCTTCTTAGTGACCTCTGAAGTGCAAGCAAGGAAAGCGTCTTTGCCAATGGTCCAAGACTGATGACCATCGACAGGCAGAGTAATGATGTCGCCGAACAGTGTTGGGCCGAGAGCAATACGGCCTGGGCCAGTATATGTTGACTCAAATATGTTGCCACCCGTAAAGAGCTTTCCCAGAGAGAACTTGGACTTTCCGGTCAACTGGATCGAACCAGACATGTGGATCATGGCACCTGACTTGGAGCGCACCACGGCTCCTTGCTGGAGATCTACATTGAGCACGGCGTTGGTATCGCGGTGAGCGATACTGTAGCTGCCGCCTGGAAAGGCACCACTGTCATTGTTTGCGTGTTGCATCGCTTGTTGATGCTGTTCGTATCCTTGTTGGTGTGACATGGCGACTTATTATACGGTAATAGTGTGAGGTTGTGCGAAAAGGAGGAATGAAGATGAAAAAAAGATGAGAGATGTCAGAGTTCATTTATATTTTCAGTTTGGGCTATGCTGACTTCGCCCTGATCTTTTGCAGCTGTGACATACAGCCCATGATTAATAGGTTCTTCAGTAAAATATTGAAGTTCAGCTCTGCTGATCCCAGCGGCACTTGTCCTTTTTAGGCAAGTCGGTATTTAAATGTGCCTTGTCTTACCCTCCTCAGGACTAGAACAAAAGTACGGGGGTGCCTTGCAGGGGTTTTCGTCAACTAAACAGCCTTATGTTCTTTAATCCCCAAGCCACCCCTGCCCCCTGCCAAATGATTCGGGCTGAGTCGAAGTAACTATTATATAACTATGGTCAGTTCATTACGCAAGTGTAATCACATGAAACTGTCACTCCCTGACACAAAGTACGTAAATGCTTTCCCGTAGGATAATGTAACAAGAGTAAAGAAACGCTATTGAAGCTAGAATTGCCTATGCAACAACCTCTGAAAGAGTCTGTTGGATAAGAGATGATCATATAAACAAATATGTGAAAAGGTCGGCTAGTTCTCAACCTTTCTCAGTCGTACATAGCTCTCACGTGGCTCAACTCCAACATGCTCTACAACTTCCTGGGTCCTAAGTTCTGGAGCAACCGGGAGAAACTCAAAATTCCACATGAGCAATACCCAGAAGATCCGAAGCTGCAAGTAACCAAGTCTCCTCCCATAGCATCCTCGCGGCCCACTGCCAAACGTGAGGAACGGTCCCTTCATGGGGTTGTAAGTCTCAGCACCTTTTTCGTCGATATCTATCCATCGCTCAGGTATGAATTGCTCGACATCCTCTGCACGCCACTCTCCGTATCTACTCTTTGTACTCTGTGAGCTTTCACTCCGGACATTCTCGGGGATGTTGATTGCCGGCTTCATCAAGCTTGGTCCGTTCAATGTGAAGAAAACCGAAGTTCCCTTTGGAATGGCATGTCCTAGAATTGTTGTGTCGGCCGTTGCTTCTCGACTTACTATTGGGAGTACTGCACTGAGCCGCAGTATCTCCTCGATGACAGCATCAAGATATGAAATAGACGCATTGGTTATCTCGTCTACTGTAGGCTGACGATGCTCAGCGAGAGCTGTCGAGAAGGCCTTTTGGAGGAAGGATCGGAGTTTCTTTTGTGTCTCTGGCGCATCCGCAATGTACCTAACCCCCCAAGAGAGCGTAGCAGATGTTGTATCGTGCCCTGCAATAATGAAACCAAACAGCTATTCAGCTTTGTTAGTTTCAAGCTCGACTCATGGAGATGGGGGAAACATACTTCGTCATAAATACGGCGACGATGGAATCTTGGTGGTCTCTGGGCCTTCTTAGCAGCGGCTGCCTCGCGTAGAACCATGAATTCCAGAGCTGAACGTGTCGCACTTTCGTTGTCGGAGCCATCTTTGGAAATGGCCTTGACCGCCTTGTCAATCTCACGTCGTGTCCATTCCTCCCTAACTCTGGCGGCATCTTTCAGGTGCCGAAATTGACTCAGAATCCAATAGTGCCATCGAGGGATCGGTGACGAGAAGCCGACTGCGGAACTCTCAACGATAGTCAAGGTGGCGTCTAACTCTGTTGTCAAGGGATGAACAGGGAATTCAACAATGTCCTTTCGGGGTTCCGCAAATGTGACACCTGCAGTAGATCTGGACAACATGTCATCCAATTGCCGCCTTGTGGCACTATTCTCGTCGTCTAGTCCAAAGGACACAGCTGTAATAACGTCGAGAGCAGCTCTCTGAATATCTCTCTTTCCATCGAATGGACGCTCAGCTGCATATAAACACTTTTCATGCCAAAGTTTAACCAAAGTGCTGACTTTGGAATAAACCTCTGGAGCCGAGACCTAAATCTGATTAGAATTGTTATTCAGTGGCGTTAAGAACAGTTCTTACCTGATTGAGAAACTTTGGTGACATGAGATCTCTCATCAGCTCTCTGTGCTTTTTGAACTTTGGATCCACTGTCTGATAGGAAAGCATCTGGTGAGGAATGATTCCCGCAAATGCTTCTCGGGCTCTATCACTGCGGTCAAACTCTTTTAACCGTCTTGAAAGGATATCTTGCGTCTCTCGAAAGTCCGATACAATCACTCTCGGCTTGCCGAAGGGGCGGATAAAGACCTGACAAATTGGGGAGTTGAACTTCTGGTTCTGCGCCGCAAACCACCGACGTTGCTCCTTGGTATGTTTCTGATACTCAATGAAGTCTGGGAGGTCTCCCAACAGGCGCGTCGTGGCATTTTTGTTGTATGGTATTCCGGGGATAGGCCGGGGAAGAGCAAGGTTGTATAGGCAAAAGAGTAGCAAGAAGATGGAAATGCCACCAGCAGCCAGTTCAAACCAGGACATGGAGCCAACTTGAAGAGTGTACATATTGCTCATTGGTGAAGAGGATACGATATATGGTTCCCGCTCGATGATATCTGACCAAGCGTCACTTTGTTTTGGGAGGTAATATATTGCATATCAAAATATTTCAAATGTCATTGAATCACAACTAGTACGAAATGTTCTAGAATTTACTACGGTCCGTGAAATGGTTGATTTTCTATTCAAGGCTCATTTCCGCGGAACTAAGTAGGTATATGAACTCCCAATACGCCCACTTTGACCGTGCGTCAAGATCATGCCAAGCCTCTAAAAAGCACTAAATAGTTTGTCCCGAGGTTAGTGTGTTCCGCGGGGATACTGCGCTATGCTCAGCCATTCCGAGATAGAATTCCGGCTAAATCCTCCAAGATGCAAGTTATTCTTTCTGAAATATGATAAGCATTATTCATTGTCTGGCTAACGATAAGATAAGATAACTGGCGTAAACATTGCTGTCGAAACTTACTTTCCTCTGTTCACTAATTAGGTTGAGGTCAAGTTCTCAGTTGCAATTACACATCTGGCTCACACTTTCTCTAATATCACATATCGAACCACCATACGAAGCCAGATAACAATGCAAGACCTCAACGGCAAAGTTATCGCCATCACAGGTGCAGCATCTGGAATTGGTCTTGCAACTGCTCAACAACTGTTCTCAGTCGGAGCCAAGTTATCCTTGTCTGATAGATCACCCATTCCACTTGAGCAAGCCGCCCAAGCCCTTCTTAAAGCACACCCGAGCCGTGATAGAGAAGGCATCATGATAGCAGAGGTAGATGTTACATCTAGCGCCCATGTTACTGCTTGGATTGAAGGGACTGTGACAAGATTCGGCAGACTCGACGGAGCAGTCAATTCGGCAGGAATAAGCGCCGTCCAGATGGGCAAGGGCAAGATTCGAGACCTCACCGATGATAGCTGGGCTTTATGTATGGGAATTAATGCTACGGGGGTATTCTACTCCATGCGAGCTGAGCTCAATGCTATGATTCACGGTGGCAGTATCGTCAATGTGGCAAGTCTGGCTGGTCTAATGGCGGTCCCCGGGGCTGCTGAATACTCAGCTTCAAAGCATGCGGTGGTTGGTCTTACAAAGACTGGAGCCAGAGAAGAGGGCCCATCTGGTATCAGGGTGAATGCAGTCGCGCCGTAAGTCTCACAAGTCGCGCCAGGATCGAGTTGATAAATTTATTGAGTCTTTACTGACATGAAAGTTAGTGGCACGATAGACACTGCAATGACACGAAGTGTTCCCGCCGAGTTTACAGCGTTTTTGAAGGAAAGGGTTGCGAAGCAGCCCATCTCGAGACAGGGACGAGCTGAGGAAGTTGCGGCGTTGATTTGTTTTCTTCTCAGTGGAAGTTCGGCTTTTATAACTGGTCAGATCATTCGCATTGATGGAGGGTCCTCAGTGTAGTATAAAGTAAAGAGATCAGAGGCTTGGCCATAAACAACTTCTGGAATTTCCCTCCGATTTGAATAACACCTACTTGAGTTTCGTGAATCGTGGTTAGGAGGGGCTGGAGAAGCTTCAAACACAAAGGTCAAGAACACATCTCAAGACAGCCAGGTAATAGGCTCAGTACATAGGTCTATGGCTTCATCTCTCAGCCTTATACGTAAGAGCAACATCTAAGGGAACTCGGCGTTTAATTGCTTTAAATCATCTATAACATTGTCACATATAGGAATATGAATAGTGAAGTTGGATGTAGTTTACTTAAGACATGTACAGTGTAACATGTATTGACATAGCTATCTAGAGACAATTTCCACCAACGGTTGTGCCATATGTCCTCAGACGGGGAAGGTCTTTGAGATCGGATGCAGAACACTCCTTGCGTTTCTGTACATCGTTGCACCAACGTATCGAACGACCTTGAGTCGGTGAATCGGATCGAACTCGGAAACATTAAAGAGGCCAATAGATCCCTCACCAGTCCAAACTTCGGCATGAGTAATCTCGTTGCAGGTAGGAATGAATTCCCTGAGAATCGGTGGATCATAACTGTTCGCCGCAGGGATTGAACGGAAGTGAAGACTCTCTCGTTTGGGTCGATTCAGAGCACCCCAGTCCTGAACCTTCTTTTGGGGTTTGAACCCGAACTGGACAAGCTTGCAGCCTGCAGGACGCTCAACGTGGCCGGTGATAATTCCATTGGGAGCTGAGTTCATCTTGGAGGGATCCCATTCAACGTGGCCTAGAACCTTGGGAATACCCCAACGCTCCCGGCCGGCATATGTAGCACCTTCGTTGTTGAGAATAAGCTCAATCGAGAAGGGGTACTTCTTCCCTTCCCACTTCACCTCAACCTGACAGACAAACTCGTTGTAGGCGCCAATAGGGCCCATGCCGTAACTGAAGAGGGTAAGAAACACAAGCGGTTCATCTTCCAGCTCACATTCCTCAGGGATCAAATCCTTGGCAGCATCGTATGTAGTGTGATATTGAATGGAAAGAGCATGCACATCAGTGAATTCATCCAGGCCAACAGGGTAGGGCGGAGAGCATAGAGGGATGGGACCTCTAGCCTCCTTTGTCTTGAGAGTACCGAAAGGCATAGTTGCTGAGGTTGTTGTGCGTTTCAAGTATACAAAACAGGTCTGAATGATGGTTAGAGTGTTGATACAGAAGGTTTAATGCAAAGGAACCTGCAGATTATATAAAACAAGATATAGTAAGAACCGTCCAAGAGTTTTTGCTTTGCACATCTGAATCTTGGTCACAATGATCCCATGGCTCCCACAGAGAGTTCGGAAGGCTCGGAATATTAGATCTTATCAACAACGCATTGGAATCTCTTCCCCCAATTTTCATGGCCGGCCGTGTAACGCAATTAATGTTATTGGTAGTTGAGGAGTTAAGACTGGACCCAATGGTAAGCCGGACTATTACAAATTCTAAGGCTCTACACATCTGACACTCCATCATTTCCATGGAATTAGTCAAGTCCTCTCGGCCAGCCATTCTGCCTTACAATTGTTTCCGTGACTCCCCGCGGAATTCGGAGACAAAGGTGGGACATATACGCCGCTAAAATCGTTTCCGTACAGGCTAGAGTCCAACGGGTAATAGGCTCGTCCATCATTCTAGACACTAAAGGTTAGTGCCAATAACTACATCGAAGAAACAAACTCGGTTTATTTGAACATTCAGCTCCGAATCTCAATTCACCATTAACCCCTGAATTCTACATACAGCACCGCATACTTCGTAACTCAGTCACAGTATCTATCGTTAACTCATCCGGCCACCATGGGCGATCTGCTCCATAAGACAGCTTTAGTAACAGGAGGGGGCTCTGGTAAAAAATCTCTCCTCGCACTTCACTATGCTTTGATCTAACTGCTTGCACCAAGGAATCAACCTGGAACTTGCAAAGGCTCTCAGAGCTAAGGGATGTGCAGTCCTTATTGCTGACATTGCACTGAGTCCCACTGCCGTAGCATGGCTTGAATCTTTTAGACACGAAGTCAAACCCCAAGTGGTATTTCACAAAACTGACGTAACTTCACTGGAACAGTTAGTTGGGGTTTTTGACGTCTTCGAGAAGAAGCTCGGTGGGGTACCCGATATCGTAGTGCCAGGTGCTGGCGTCTACGAAGGGTCCTTTCCTGGGTTCTGGGATGACAAGGACGAAACACTAAACTACAAGCTTTTTGACATTAATATGTTGCACCCCATCAGAATGACACGGATCTCGATCCGCAAGATGCGGGAAGCAAAGAAGCCAGGCACCATCCTTCACCTTTCCAGCATTACAGCCCAAAAGCCCTCTGTTGTTCTTCCGCTTTATTCTGTGTCAAAGGCCGCTGTCAGCCAATTCGTTCGGTGCATGGCACCTCTTGACCAGATGTGTGGTATCCGAGTAGTCGGTATTGCGCCAGGGTGAGTTCAAGTTCCCTGCCAACGCCCTTGACTTACTCACATTAGATAGTTTGGTTGATACTCCTCTATTTCGTGATCACCCAGGAGCACAGGATCACGTCGATTTGTCAAAGGACTTTCTGCTGCCCACCAAGGAGGTTGTGAAAGCGATGGTGGCATTACTGACTGAAACCAAGTACGCTGGGGGGACGGTTTTGGAGGTTGGTGATATTGGTAGTTGGAGGGAAGTACACATATTGGGAGATGCTGGTCCTCAAGGACGATCAACTCGCGCAAGAGCCAAGACAACTGATGCCACAGCCAAGCTTTCAAAAATGTTGCTGGGAGAAGAGGAGAGTGTTTTGGGGTCTTCCAAATTATAGCTGCCTTGAACTAGTATAGCCTCTCACCGTTATACTAAACAACCTTATAGTACCTGCTGTCACTGTAAGAAATCTGTTAACGTTATGTAGTACATCCTTAAGAGTTCATAGGAATATTAAATAAAGATGCAATACATTTAGTTACAAAGCTAAGAAATACTCAGTCTATCTAGTTTATTTATAATCTTGCAGTCCCATTCACAAGATCTTGAACCTCTTCCTTTATGTCTCGTCTCTCAATCTGTTTAGAATGCTCGTCAAAGTTGATAAACCATCTGAGTTTCAACTGTCAGTCAGCAGTACTTGGAGAAAGGCCGACATAGGAGGAGAAAACATACGTTGTATCTGGATAGTCAGCGGGATTTCGTTCCCTATATGTGAGTCCGTTTGCCAGCCACGCGAAGGTCAAGTCCTCAGACTCGCAAAGACTCTTCCACTCAAAGTCTTCCCACCTCGGGGTACGTAGAAGCTCAAAGTAATTGATGCGGCTGCCAGGGTGTAAACTGTTAAGCTCTCCACCAGCAGTGCCGTTCTTGAACGTACTGCTGCAGTTACTGGCCCAAACCGTCTTGTTAAGCCATGCGAGGGCATGCCTCTGGTAAGCAGCTGGTATGTGAGCCTTGGGAACGCAATAACTGTAGTTCTGAGTTTGAAGCTTGTTCACAAAGTCAGTAATATACTTGGTAACCATTTCGATCGAAGTTACGAGACTCCCATGGCCCAGCGGAGAGAATGGACCTAGGAAGCCGAAGTAGTTTGGCATGTCTTGCGCAGTAACTGAAAGGTAGGACCGAGGGTTCTCATTCCAAAGTTGTTGCAGATTGGTTCCATTGAGACCGTTGATCGGGAACCGAGGGGCACAAGACAAGTCGAAGCCTGTGGCACAGATGATTGTATCGACATCGCTTGTTTCATGGCCAGACAAGGTACGAATACCCTTCTCGGTGAACGCCTCAACAGTTCCCCAAATTACCTGTACCTTGGGAGACGTAAGAGCCTCGAGATAGCCGTTGCCAGGTGTTGGACGGCGACACCTATACTTCAGGGTCAGTGATGTCTCCCGTGATGTCTCCCATGTCATCTTCTTCTCTTGACTTACCCAACGGCGAAATCCGGAAGCAAGGCTTGGAGTAGGTCCTGTCTCTCTCCAAGTTTGTTGGCCATCTCGCGAATACCGTACTCACGAGCAGCCTTTTGTTCTGGAGAGTGGTCTATGTATAGACCGAATCGACTGTTGAGTTCTTGCTCGATCTCGCGCCTATATCGGAGGTATGCGTCCGGGTCTTTCGCCCAAGCAGTCTTTTGCTCTTCGGAATAATCATAGTTCGATCCACCGGGACCGGCAAACTTGGATGCAAAATTGGTGGTAACCCATGTCGGACTTCTAATGTGGATATACACCTTCTCTGCGTCATTGAGGATGGCAGGGAGAATCTGGACACCACTGCTTCCGTTACCAATCAATGCCACTGTTTTCCCCTTAATGTCTTGATCAGTATCCTGTGGCCAGGCTGCTGAATGAAGCATTCTTCCTCCAAACTGTTCTCGGTCTTGCACGTTTGGCCATTTCCAGTGGTTGAAGAAGCCGGTGCAATTGATGAGGATATCACATTCCTCCACAAAGGTAGTCGAGGTTTCACCATCTGTAACACCTGGACTTGAAATGACAAGATCCCTCCCATCAGTCTTGGTGACAGTGACCTGCCATACCTCGCGCTCTGGGATCCAAGAAGCATTGGTGATCTTGTGAGACGTTTTCACGTAGCGCCGCAAATTGTGCTGTTCCGCAACCGATCTCATATACGATAGGATATCCTCCTGCTTTGCGTAATACGATTTCCAGAACGGATTCGGCGCCCAGGAGAACTGGCAAATTGGTCAGACTTTGGCAATGAGCCCAGGTGTCTCGTGGTTCACTCACTTGATAATTTGGAGCGGGTATGTCGCAGGCACATCTAGTAGACCGTTAGCTTGGACATCAGGCTGTAATTAGACAATTGAATCGAGGTGTGTGATGAATTGCAGAAACAGGGAGAGATAGTTGAAATTTCTGCTGAGACATGTCACATATCTGGCACGCGTACTGACCCTGGGTAGCGATTCTCATACCACGTTCCTCCGACATCACTATTCTTTTCATAGACTGTAATAGCAGCATTTTGTAGGCTACCAGTGTTAACAGCCCTGGCCATGGAAAGTCCTGCAAACCCCGCGCCGATTGCAATAATCCGTACTGGCCGAGGTGTAAACGTGGGCACTCGGGATATAGCGTAGGCCAGATCGTCAACATCCTTGTATGCTTCAGTGGCTTCTCCAGGCTTGGCTGATCCAGGAGTGAGACTCTGGAAATACTTGATGGCACGGTCTCGCGCGCTCATTGGTAGATTTGTTGCCATCTTGGACTTGTCGCTCTGCCTTGGGATAGAAAACAAGAAGTGAATGGGGTGGTATTATGGTACCTTGTTTGCATGTAATAATAAAATCATAAAGCGATTTAAACTAATTAACAGCATTAAATGAATACCTAAACTCAAGCCGTTAGTAATAAGAGTCTTAGACTCCTTACCTGACTCGAGTGTGAAATTTCGGAATTATTTGAGTTCCGGATTCCCCAAACACAATTACTACTTCCGTGGAACTGTGCTACCCTTGCCAAGCCACTTTCTGTCCTAATCACGACACATGCACAATATTTAATGTGTATTCCGTGAGTGCGATCCCGGGAGGAGTCTGGTCTTACCTAATTTAACCTTCACAAGGTGATATTTCTATATTGTTTCAACAATTCTCTGCAAATCGTTCACCTATCACAAGCTGATTGCGGCTCATAACAATCCCTTCCAGCTTTCGCAAGTTTTCTCTTCCAATTTCACACATCATGGTTCGCGATTCGCAGCTGAACCCTGCAGTGCCGGGTATCCCATTCTTTGCACCAGCACAGCACCCGAGTCCAGGGACTGCAAAGCAACTTGAACCAAACACCCCGACAATCTTTCGTCCCCTCAAGATACGTGGCGTGACGCTGCGAAATAGGATCTGTGTGTCCCCTATGTGTCACTACTCGTGTGCTGCAAGTGGACCGCAGACGGGTGTTTTGACTCCTCTGTACCATACTACTATCGGGCATTATGCTTTCCGAGGAGCGGCGTTGGTCATGTTGGAAGCAACTGGTGTTACACCCAATGGCCGGATCAGCGTCAATTGCCCTGGAATCTGGAACGATACGCAGAGAGATGCCCTCAAAAACCTGGCAGACTTCGTGCACTCCCAGGGTGGTCTCATAGGGTTACAGCTTGGCCACGCTGGAAGAAAAGCTAGTACTTTGGCGCCATGGGTTGCAACTCGTATGGGACAGTCAAGCGCTAGAGCTGATGAATCTCAAGGTGGGTGGCCTAATGACGTTGTAGGGCCTTCTGGTGGCTCGGACTTCGTCTGGGATGGGAAATCCAACCATGACCCAAAGGGAGGGTTCAGGGAGCCCCGGGAGATGAGCATTGACGAAATCTCTGACTTGGTCAAAAGCTTTGTTGAAGCGGCAGAACGAGCCACTTGGGCCGGTGTAAATGTACTGGAGATCCATGTTGCCCACGGTTATCTCCTTCATCAGTTTGTCAGTCCCATAACGAATCAGAGGAAAGACAAGTATGGCGGCAGCTTCGAAAACCGGATACGGCTGATTCTTGAGATCATTCAAGCTGTCCGAGCTGCTATCCCTGTATCCATGCCTCTGTTCGTCCGAATCAGTGCGACTGACTGGATGGAAGATACCGCCTTGGGTAAGAACCTGGGAAGTTGGGATGTTTCAAGCACGATCCGCCTTGCAAAGCTTCTCCCCGACTTGGGAGTTGATGTTCTCGACGTGAGCTCCGCCGGCAATCATCCACAAGCCTCTCACAACGTGTTTGACGCCGGAAAAGAGCAAGCTGCCATTGCCGCGAGGGTGAAGGAGGCGTTGGCCAAGGCAGGTAAACACATGATTATAGGTACTGTTGGTGAGATTACGGATGCATTCCAGGCTAGAGACTTGGTTCAAGAGGGCACTGCAGGTAGCGTTGATGTGATCTCGGTTGGTCGACAGTTTTTGAAAGAGCCGGGTTGGGTTTTGAAGGCTGCTCAGGAACTGGGTGTAGATGTGGCTTGGCCGCAGTTCATTTCTCGACCTCAGATATCTCAAACGCTCACCAAGCTTTAAGCTCAAGTGTGAGTTGGTGTAGCTTTTAATTAGTAGGATACTGGTAGCTGTTAGTTTCACTTTTATATCTAAGCGCAGTTTGTTACGTGGGACTTTTAATTCACATAGTCTACGACATATTTCATACGAAATGTAAAGGAACGTTAAGTAAAACACGCTTAAAAAGTCTTTATATTAATTTAGACTTCAACATTATAAGTTTACAAGCGTTGTCATGGGAGCATCACGCTGGAACTGTCTTTTGTTGACCTACCCGGGAGTGCAACCAATCGGTTAGAGCCAACTAATTTTAGAAGTCTGCACAGACCAGAAGAAATGGAGACGCAGAAGTGCCCGCGGAATTAATGTCTCTCGGAATTATAAATTCCGTTGCAACTTTGTTTGGCAATTTCATCACGGAGGCACCGTAACTCCTAGAGCGCGTGAGCTTGGGCGATAAGAAACAGTGGGAGGAAATGGACAACACATCCATGAATTTTGGCCAAAGGCATTCCGCTGATGTCTTTCCCGAAGGATTATATACCTGAATCACATCTTCAATTAAAAACACCTGCCTCAAGGGGCTTGTTAACAAGTCAAGTTTTGTCTCAAATGTCGGTCAATGTACGCCCGAAGTCCGTGTCCGATAAAGTCCGTGCGACTCGCCTCGACCTTGTTGATCGCTTCGAGAAACAATCAGCAAATACCAAGCAATGGTATGACTTTGAAGACCCTCAAGAGTACCGAAAAGCACGGGCAGAAGGCACTCATGGGTTTGTACGTCCACCACTGAATGATCGAGCTCGTTTGGTCTATGCTACCGGGCGCAAGAGTCAAAAGATTGAACTTCGGGTGATTGAACCACCTGGACCGTCCAATGGTGTCTTCCTCCATTTTCATGCAGGTATGAGCACCCACTCCTACAGAATAATGAAACCGTGTTGAGATTAGTAACCATCTATAGGTGGATACGTCATAGGAAGCAACGCGTCCTACGATGGATACTTGACTCGACTCTCTGAAGCATCCGGCCTGACCGTGGCGTCTGTGGAGTACCGACTCGCACCGGAGCACCCATTCCCAGCAGGCCGTGACGATTGCGTCGATGCAGCTCTCTTTGCACTTTCTGCCCAAGGCACCAGTGATCTTGGAGCTCCTTTACGAGTACTTGGTGGAGAGTCGGCTGGTGCTTGGTTTGCCGTGGCAGTTGCCTTGGAATTGCGGGACAAGCACGGCATCGATATCAAGTCACAGATCGCCGCCATCTGTGCAGGTTATGGGATATACGACCTGACCTACACGCCTTCCTTGCTGTCGCACAAAAGGAACATAGTCATCAGTCGTGAGCTCATGATGAAGTTTGCTGAGGCGGCTTTCGGGCATATTCCACCAATTGATAGAAAACGGCCTCATATATCCCCATTGTATGCCGATTTGAGCAACCTGCCCCCGGCGCATTTTCTCGTGGGCAATATTGAACCACTACTTGACGATAGCATCTTTATGGCTGCGAGGTGGATCAATGCGGGAAGTGAAGCTGAGCTGCATATTGTTGAGGGTGCCTGCCATGCCTTCACACTGTTTCCAATGGGTGGGGTCACAGAGCTGGGTATTCAAGCGGTTGTTGAGTTTTTACGAGTGCAATTGCAAAGGCTTTCTATGTAGTAATATATCAATACCCATATCGCAAACTGGTCCCTTTCATCTCCAAGCATTGTGCTTAAACTGTTACGACAGAGGTAGCATTCCAAGAGAAGACTATCTGGCCTCTATCTCAGTGAACATCTCAGCCAATACTGAGTTGATCTCAAGGCTAGATTCTGCTATCGGGTTTGAAACCATTGCGTCAAAGCTCTTAGAGAAGTCAAACGTGTCTGTACTTGAGGAATATTCGACTTGATCAACCGGAATGCCAAAGCTCATATCCGACTCTGACAAGCCCGTCAATGGGAATATGAGGTCGTAATCCGGGCGTGACTCATGGAAATTGAAGTTGAGCACGCACTGCAGGGCTTTGAAGGCTCTGGCTGCCGACATGATTGTGGTGGACAGAGATTCCAGCATGCTGCCGGCTCGATGCAGTGCGACTGAAATGGCTTCAACGTCAAGCACAGCAATTCCCTCCCGGTGTCCAAGCGTTAAGTAATATATGGACTCGACCAGAGAGGAAGTTAGTATATAGCCTGTATTTGGGTTTGCGCCCCAGTTGTTCAGATAATGGCCGGTTGCATCTAAGGACTCAATGGAAATCCTTAGACAGGATTCTACCCTTCGAGCATTTGTCTCTGGGGGACTCAGCGTCCTATGCCGGATGCTCAGTCTGAGAGATTGATATCTCTGTAGCCGCTTGGTTAGTGCTGTGTTACTCATCCCCTCTACCCCTTACAGACTTACCAGGAATACAAGAAGACGCCGTCGATCTTCCGGCTCAGAAGAAGATTTAAAAATCGTGTTATCAACTGACTCTCCGTTCCATGATAGATTATCGGAGTACTGTTCCTTAAGAGCCAGGAGCTTGGCATCAAATGCTTGAATTTCTACCCAGTCGCTCGCCATTGGAGCGTTCGGAGCTAGAAATCCGTCCCATATAGATGCCCAGAGTCTGGCATGGCTGAACATAGTCTTGAGATATGCCTTGCTCTTCATGTCAATATGAGCACTGGTTTCGTGTTCAATATCCACATGTCCAAGACTGTTTCCAACAAAGTATGGAATGCCACATTTCTGACTGATGCGCTTGTCCAGGAAGTCGAGTGTAACCCAAAGGGCCAGGGGATCGACGAAATCCTCTGAAGATGTAGGAAATCCGTGACTTTGGCCTAGTCCCAAACTGACAGCAGAATGAAGTCCATTGAGTACGTGGATCGAGGCCAGACGCAATCTCTCTGCTGCCAACAAATACGCCGCGGAGATGGTATGATAGATGACACAATTGGTCTGAAGCTCACTTCCCCCTTCAAAGTACTGCACAAGCTTCCTACTCTGCCAATAAGCTTCTGAGCCTGGCCATGCCTTCTCCCGATACAAATCGGAGCTACTTTTGTCGTCCAGATTCTGTCCAGCTGCAATGATGATAAGAAGAATAGCTATGACCAAGTAATGCGGCTCGGTTACAACGATAGATTGGGCAGTAGAAGAGTAGCTCAGCGCCTTCAGGGTCCCTGAAATTGCTTCAACCAGCCTCGTCCCGTGGACGGAAGGAAAGAAGCAGTCGATCCCAGCTAGGCCAATCTTTATTGCCTGTGTCAGGTCCTTGGGACAAGGGAGGACTACAGCGCAGCTCTTTGAGCTAGTTGTTTCTGGCAGGATAGGACCTGCTCCGACACTGGAGCGTAGATCGCAAATCTGGGAAGCAACAGCAAAACGGTTTAGCCATTTGCTTCCGGGGACAAATGTGTCTGACTCGGCATAGGTGAGCTCAGAAGGGTGACGGCCATCTTGACAAGAGGTCGGTGATTCTTCTTCAAGATTATGTGTTACATCCTGTGGTCCAAATGCCTCGGTGGTCTGACTGAATGTGAGAGGCCGTTCATCTGGTGAAGCTACCGAGTTATTTGTCGGGTGCGGCAGTGGGGGAGTTGTATGGGAACTGAGAAAGTCGAAACTAAGTGATTGCTGCATCATCAAGGTATCCAATCCTTGTTGCAATCGTTGAAGTTGCTCCTTGAGCAGTGCAGTCTCGTCCGATGCAGAGACGGAAACATCAGAAGGGGGAACAGCACGTTTTCTTAGTAAGTGTTAGCTCTAAGGATCAATGCCATGACTGGTAATTGATGAATGGACAGTTGTGTAATATAAAAACAGGATATGACTTGGAACAAACATACTTATTGCCATTGGAAGAAGATTGTTTCCGCTTCCTTTTACCAGATCCATTGGATGGACTATGATAGCTACAATCAGCACCTCTACCAAGGCAGTTGTGGCATGGCGATTGTCCAGAACACTGCAACAGTGGGATCAGTACCGAGATGACTGTAGACCAGATATGGAGATCGGACTAACTTTGACCTTGCGTCGCTGGCATTCGGTGCTACATTGATCCTGGTCAGCGCGTGCCCCATTGTGAACGTGGTATGTGAGACATGACTTACCAAGCATGGGAAGTATACTCATCCCTTTTACTAGACTTCTTTGTTGTTGAAGCCGAGGACATTTTTCGGTTCTCGTTTACCCCTCAAAAAAGACCGGGAAATGCGGGATTGAAGGTTCAAGTTGGCTCAAGGCGAGCTCCATCCATTTCGCTTCAATCACCATTTCCGCGCCCAAGTGCCGAGACAGATCCACTAACTGCATTAGTATGTTGTTTCCCCGCAATTTCAAAACCTGGGGTTAATCCTACACCACCATAACACACACGCAGACGCTAAATAAATGCATATCAGTTATTTCCATAGGAACTAATTCGAGTTGATTGGCAGCAAATTATATCATAACCTGGACAGCTCAAATTCAAAGTCCCTAGTCACTTTTTTCCTATTTCTAATCAATATCATTTAAAGTTTTGAACCATTTACTAATATTCAGTCCCGTAAGCGGCTCAAGCCATGCCTTAACAGCTAAAAGCTCTTGTTAAGTCCACATATTAAACAACACATCAGCTGCGAGTTATGTTGGGGATAGGACATATAGTTAGTATGATGCTTAATAGAGTAAAATAAGTCTGGTAGGAATTTTAAGCAGTAAGAGAGAAAGAAGTATTCCACAATAGCTTGATGATTGTATAGCAAGTTTATAAAAAAGAGTTGAGACTAACTAAAAACCTAAGAAGTAGACAATCTGATATATAATACATTAGGAAACTACAATGGGGCATAGGGGTCCTTTGAGAATACTGAAATCCTATCACAGAGAGAGTTAAATATCTGCTCCGCGAAGGCCGTGCTTATAGCTCCATCTCCAGTGTAAATCAAGCAGACTTCAGTGCTGTTGGCATCTTGAGGCGTAGTCACGACACTCAAGTCAGCACTGTCTTCTTGCGAACCCATCACACCAACTTGGTACGTGTTTTGCCCAATTGCGAAACTCTCTGTCTGCGGCATACTTTGATGCTGGACAACAGTGGAAAAGCCGTTAGCTCCATCATCATCCCACTCAGTGCACTTGTTGATAATCTCCCTGAAGCCCAGTGTTTCATACGGGATATTGTCCACCTGCTGACTTTGGATGTATTGAAGGAGATCCAGAACGGTCCAAGAGGGTCGGTGACGAACACGTACGGGAACCACGTTCAGGCAAGGGCCGACAATGTTTTCGATTCCGGGCACCTTGCTGCCATTGCGTCCACTGATAATGTTACCGAAAACAACGTCCGTCTTCCCTGTGACTTTTGCCAATACTGTTGACCAGGCAGCCTTGATGACAGTAGAGGTTGTGGTGTTGACTGACGCGAGCGAGGGTGTAGACACGACCTTTCTCAAGACTTGGGTAGGGCTTGCTTGTAAGGAACTACGTTGTCTTTGGATGACATCTGTGGGAGTAGAATCCTTCAGAAGGGCTCTCCAGTACGCGTAGCATCCTTGTTTGTTCATCCCCAACACCCTCTGGATGTAACTTGCATACGAGGGTGTGGGATGGATAGGTTCTCCCTCAAATGAAGCTTTCAAACTCTGTAGGATAGTTGGGAAGCACAAGCCGTCATACTGCGCGTGAGATATCCTGATAAAGATTCGATGTCGTTCCGACGACTTTTGTCGCGCTACTATGAAGCGGAGGGAGGGTTCCTGAGGAAGCGGAACCTCGTGCTGATGGGCCAATCCAAGTTCTGAAGTAAATTGATCGATGCTCTCAACCTCTTCAACAATGAGCGTGGGTTGGGCGTGTCGGAGGATGACCTGCAAGTAACGGTCTTGATGGAAGACGAAGACAGTGCGCAACACGTCGTAAGCGGCAACAACGTTTGTGATACTTTCTTGTAGTAGGGAGATGTCAAGCGAGCCTGTAGAATCAAGATAGAAGTAGTTGAGCTGCCATCGTGACTTGAGAAGGCTCCCATGGATGGCCTGGTCTTGAAAGTCGGTGGTTGGGAGGACGTCGATAATGCTGGCTCGGGACACGCCGACAACAGGACAGACATGGTTTCGCACGAATAGCTCAGCGTCAACTGTTTCGAGCATGGAGAGGGGCCTGTAAAGTTGTTCACTCGTGTTGTGATTCTCCTTCTTGGAGCTAGAGAAATCCATGTGGTCATGACCAGAAGCTCTGTCATCATCCCTGTATGACTTGTCGTTGAGGCAATCCAACAAGGAACCGAATTCTGGATATTTGAAGATATCGGCAACAGTAAGCGGCAAATCCAGCTCTCTCGCATTGCCCACCATTGACATGGCGATAATTGAATCACCGCCGGATTCGAAGAAGTTATCAGTAGGTGAGATTGCACAACCCTCAGAATCGAGACTGTCTCTCCATAATGCTGACAGTTTGTTGTGGAGATGCTTCCTATCCCGCGAAAACGAATCACACATGTTTGATGACATGGAGGCTGCGTCACCAATATCGATCAAAGTCGAAGATGCACTGATTCCCGAGCTGTGCATCTTGGGTTGGCTGTTCGTATCGTCATGATGGGACGCCCAGCCGTCAACCTCGGGCGAATGTGTGTACACACTGCTAATCACCGGTGAACTCCGTGATATTCGAAGATGGGACAGAGCGCTCTCGCTGTGATCGATAAAGTCGTTCAGCAGCTCGGACATGTTGACAGCGAGGTCCTGGGCTTGCGAGCATGAAAGTACATTGGTCCAGTAACGGAAGAGAATACCTTGGTCACCTCGTGTGGCATTGGCGTTCAGCGTGACGGCGTATTCGCTTGGGTCATAGGCCTCGACGGCTTCGTAGGTGAGCGAGGTGGACTCGGAGCCACTTGATACACCGGCGTTTTGGATGGACACGGCTGTGTTGAAGAAGCCCCGTTTGGCTTGGCCCAAGGCATGGCTAACACGAGCCAGAGAGAAATGCTGGTGCGGTAGACTAGCCACGTAGTCATCTCGAGCGCTGCAGAAGAGTGTCTTGAGAGGCATTCCGGGCGTAAACTGGAAGCGGAACACGAGCATGTTGATGAGAGGACCAACAATGCCATCAACTCCATCAATGAGGGCATCACGTCCGGAGGCCAGATAGCCAAAGCACACATCTTGGCGGCCTGTGTAAGCTCCAAGTAGCAGAGCCCACGCCACCATGACCATGTTTGAGAATGTCACCCCGAGTTTGGAGCCAAGGGATTGCAGCTCTGAGAAACGATCGAACTGGACTGCAACAGACTTTAGGCGGCGGTGAGACATCAGGTCTGGGTTAATTGTTGGGAATCCGGTGTGCTCTGATCCCGACAGATAGCCTTTCCAAAAGTCAAGACTCGACGCGGTGGATTGGTTGGAAATGTATTTGATGTATTCCTTGTAGGAAGGGGCCCGAGCTGGAGGCAAGCTGTTGGTGTATGCGTTGGATATGTCACGGAGGAGGATTGATGTCGAAGCGCCGTCGGTAACCGCGTGGTTCAGTTCAAGCTTCATGAAAGCCTTTCCTTGTGGCGTCTCGCAGATGGTGATCTGATAGGGGAGCATAGGGCCATCGCGTGTTTTGTTGGTCTCGCTGAGAGACCTGGAGTTCAGCTCGGCCATGACGTCGATTTCCCGACACTTGATAGTACTGATCTGAGACTCAAAAGGCCGCAACACGACCTGATCGAATGAGCCACCGTGGCGCAAGCTATCAATAAAGACAGTTCTCAATGCTGGATGACGCTCAATGACTTTGTGACAAGCCTGAACGAGTTTCGCAGTATCGATGGCCGAGCCATCGGGGAGAGTAACTTGAAGAACAACGTGGAACAGATATTGCGATGGATCTAGGAGCTGGCTGAGCAATATGCCAGTCTGCATAGGCGAGCATGGGTACATATCTTCCACCTTGTCAAACGGAACATGAGCATTGGGAAGATGTGTAGTGATGATCTCGTGCAGCTCCGTGTAGCTGATGGGCAAGAGAGGAAAGTCGCTGAGTGTGGGAGCAGATGGGGTCTCGGCTAGCTTTCTCGTAGTATTGATGATGATCTCCTTACAGTTAGAGACCCATTTCTCAATACCGTCTTGGTGAAGCATGTGTCGGTTGTACATCAAGGTAAAACCAATGCCCTCATCAAGTACAGATATAGTAATCTCGAATAGAGCCAGACGGCAGGTCTCAGGCGCGACGTCGGAAATAGCCATCATATCTTGCTCCGTGAATGGAAAGTCGACTGCGCTAAAGAGAGAATCGCCGTGGTTTGTTTGTTGAGTGCGACCGAGATAGTTCAGCAAAATCTCCATTGGTTCATCATTGCCGAGATGGAGGTTTCCTGACTTAGTGAGGTAGCGATGGGCAAAGTACGGGCGGCCATTGCTAGGAATGCTGCGGCGCACATCTTTCACCCTACGAACATGGTCGATTTCGTCGCCGTGGTCGAGACTCTGTCGTGATACGTGTACAGGGCAGAGCGAGGTGAACCATCCGACAGTTTGTGAAAGGTCAATCGTTTGATCCCAAGGCTCGCGCCCATGACCTTCGTTGAACAATGTTGGCAACTCCCGCTCGTTGAAGCTCTGTGCGAAAGACTTGAGGATTGCCGCGATGAATAGATCGAGTGGCTCAGTCTTGAGGGCTCTGTGCGAGTCGCCCAATATGGAGGAAACGAAATCGGCCTCTGCAATGACAAAGGACTTTTGTTTCATGTCTCGATAGACGTTGGCGGTTTTTGACATGCCCCAGAAATCCAAATCGGCGGGTTGGATAGCAAATGGCAGAAGAGGTTCACCATTGTCGAGAGATTTGGCATGTTCGATCTGTAAAGCATTCCATCTGCGGAACGAGAGGGGTTTGAATGTTGTCGAATAGGTAGACGTCAGTAGTGCCTCGAGGTCCTGGATAATATTAATCCAAGAAACGATGTCGACGACCAGATGATGAGCTACAAGTGACAATACTTGAGAGCCATTAGACTGTGTGAATAGGTCGACCGCAAAGACAGGACCAGAAACATCAATACTGCTGTGGCTGGCGGCTATGATTGGAATCAGGTCGGTTTCTGAAGCGACCTCGTGGTGTTGGAAGCCACATGAGCCCTGAACATGTGAGGCGATGTGTTGTGTCCAATTCCCATCAGAAGATTTGTTGAACCGCGCGCGAAGCATCGGGTGCCTTTCAACAAGAGCGTCAAGAGCATCTTGGAGGCTGGATATGCCGACAGCTTTGTTGATGGACAAGAGTTGGCTTTGGTTGAGGCGATCTCCACGGTCCTTATTGGCGCTGTTGTTGAAGAAGAGGCGCTGGACCGGGGACAACTCGAATGCTTGATCGTTCTCATCCTCGTGTTGGTTGATTTCACTCTGCACTTGGTGTCCTTTGGCGGCGACGACTGTGGCTAACTCGGAAATGGCCTTGGCGCTCATGATGTCCTGCATAGTCAATGCGATGGATTGGTCGTGGCAGCGAGTAAGTATTTGAATCGCCATGATGGAGTCACCGCCGAGGGCAATGAGAGAACGGTCCATAGGCGTTTCCGTCTCAGCAATGTCAAGGACTGATGCCCAGATACGTCTAAGCTGCTGACCAACTGGTGTTATTACCGTGTCCACGGCATCTTGGCTATGATCCAGGTCGACAGCAATTTTGCGAAAGTCCACATCTGTATCAGCAAGCCACCTGTGAGAGCTAGCCCTGTCGAGCTTGCCAGAGAGCAAGAGGGGAATGGCTTGGACGGCGAGCCAAACTGACGGAATCATATAAGGTGGAAGCGTCTCGGCCAGATCGTGTTTTAGCGCGCAAATCTGTGTTCGGGCAGCATCCATGGCGGAATCGGGGATAGGGACAAAACCAGACGTAGCAAGGGATGACTCGGTGGGCAAAGGATCATGGAGAGAAGCAATGGCTACCAGACGGCCCTTGAACATGCCAGATCTGGGTAGATTGACTAGGATCTGGCGAATGCGCGGGTCAGACTCTAGACGAGCCTCAATCTCACCGAGCTCCATGCGCTGGCCATGGAGCTTGACCTGATGATCCTTGCGCCCTAGATACTCGAGGGACCCATCAGGACAATACCTGACCAAGTCGCCTGTCTTGTACAGACGCAAGGGCTCGCTCGTGAAAAAGTGCATCCATGCTGTGTCCTTGATGAACGATGCAGCCGTCCTTTCCGTGTCGTTCAAGTAGCCGCGGGTCACAATGGGGCCGCTGATGAGCAGTTCTCCTACACATCCCACAGGGGCAAGGCAGTTGTGATTTCTGGGATCGACGACCCAAGTGTGGTTCCCGTCCATAGCGTGGCCGATATTTGCAGGATCCTTGGTAGCGGAGACGGCACTGTTGGCAACCGCAAACATGGTACACTCTGCTGGCCCATAGCCATTCATAAGCTCGACCTTGTCTCCCCAGGCACTGATCGTTTCGGGAGTAAGAGTCTCGCCTCCACAAACCAGTGTCTGCAATGTGTTGAACTTGGAGGGATCCTGCAGATTTGCAAGCGAGGGCGTCAGGAATGCCCAAGTGACCCCGAGCGTGTTCATAGAACCTGCAAGATCGGTCATCCTCATCTCCTCGCTAGGAATGCAGAGACAGGCACCAATGGTGAGCGCAGCGAATGTCTCTCCCATTGCGATGTCAAATGCATAGGATGCAAAATGGAGTACACCCGAAGCTGGACTAATGTTCATGCGTTTCATGAAAGCCCTGGAGCTTGTGATAAATGACCCATGTTCAATAACTACGCCTTTCGGCTTTCCGGTACTGCCAGAGGTATAGATGACAAACGCGGCATCTCGAGGTGCAACGGCTGGCAGATCTTGCAGAGCAACATCTTGACAAGGCAGTTGGGCAGTGAACAGCTCGGCATCGACCAAAACAATAGACCCGACAAGGCCCCGGAAGCGCTCTTGATATTGCGGTGCGCATAACGCAACACGGGCCTTGCAGTCGAGGGTGATCTCGGCGTGGCGAGCAGAAGGGTGTGCAGGGTCCAAGGGAACGATGGCGCCGCCAGCGAGTATCACAGCGAGCATCGAGACTGACGTCCAAAGGGATTTGTCCATACAGCATGGGACCAGCTCATTAGCCCGTACACCCTGTTGCACGAGTATTCTGGCGAGGTTCGTGGCGTGCTGGGCAACAGCATCGTAGCTGAGTTGACCATCCCAGGCGCTAATGGCGGTGTCATTGCCCTTGGTTGCCACCGACTGCCAGAACAAGCTGGGAATACTCTCTTCTGAAGGCTCAAGGACTCGGCTGTTCCATGTCTTGATAGTCTCCACATCCTCTTGGCTATAGAGTCGAAGTTCCGATACCTTGCGAGTGGGCTGTCGAAGCGATAGATCCGTGAGTTGTTCCACCAGCGCCTCGAACTGCTGGGCGATGCGCTGCGTTTGCCAACTTGAAATGACCCTGTCGTCGTGGTGAATTGTCAAGACGAGCTCGTGCGTCTCGATGGAGCATTCGACAACGAGTGGGTATGTGAAGAAGCCTTGCTGACCTAGCTTGTCTTGGATCGGATTCATCAGGTCTTGCTGGCCCGTTCCCTGGTCGGATGACTGTATGACCAGCAAGTTCTGGAACTCACAGGCGACTGATATGGCATTACCAAGACGTCTGATGCGCTGGAGGCCCGCATGCTGATGGGGGATCACCTGTGCAGCTCGTTCATGAAGACTGTTCAACAAGTCGCCAATGCTAACCTCCCGATCAATTTGAACCCTTGAAGGCACCGTGGTCAATGTCGGCCCAAGGATGTCTTGTACATGATCGAGGGCAATGTCACGTCCAGACAAGGTCTCGCCGAAGACGACATCGTCAGATCCAGTTTGAGACCCCAGGACAAGCGCCCATGCTGCGCGGACGATTGTTGGAATCGTTATGTCCATGCCAAGGTCATTTCTGCTGTACTGGATGGTATGTGTCAAAGATTCATGGCATGATTGCGTGGTTGTTGCAGAAGAGACTTTGGGGAAGTGGGATACGGAAGAAGCGTCTTGGAACCTAGCCTTCCAGAATTCGTCAGAGGCTTCTGTGTCAACGTCGGCCAGGTACTTTATAAAGTTGGCGTAGTAGACGACGGGCTCATCTGTAGTGTCTCCATGGTAGAGCTGAGAAACCAGCTTGAGCAGTGACGGCATACTCCAAGCATCGTACAGCGCGTGATGGATAACCCACACAAAGTGGCAAGCCCCATCATCAGGAGAGTTGACAATACTGTAGCGGGCTAGGGCTCCTCCGTTGTGCTCAGGTATCGATCCAGCCTTGGCTGTAGCAGAATCAAGGTCGTCATGATGCTCCCATTCAATTTCCTGGGGCGCAAGGACAGCTTGATATGACTTGAGCGACATGGTGTTCACAATACGTGTTCGCAAAATGTCGACTCGATCAATCGTCTTTTGCCAAGCGAGCTTGAAACGATCTATGGAGATACCCAAAGGAAGTTCAAAAACATATGTAGCGACATATGCGCCTGGCTGCTGCAAGGACGAGGCAACAAGACCTTCTTGGAGAGAGCTACAAGGGTAGACATCCAGGATCTGGCTCTCCTGGACGCCGCATCGACCTGCAAGCTCATGCAGAAGCAATGAAGGGTCTGCAACGTCTGAAAGGAGTGAAAACGAGTCTACGCTCGAGACAAGAGTTTCATCTGAGTGTTTGCATGACGTTGCCATATCTGACAAGACAGGGTTGTTGAAGATGGCCATGACGGTGATGACCACGCCTTCCGTCCTAGCCGCCGCAACAAGCTTCATGGCGTCGACTGAATCACCGCCGAGTCTAAAGAAGCTATCACTTTTGCTGATCTGGCCGATGGGAATGTTCAAGACTGTGGCCCAGGCTTTCTGTAGTTTGCGCTGCATTGGCGTGGTAGGGTGGTTTCCGGTTCGAGCCGTCCCAGAGAGCTTATAGGAAGCCATCCGCTGGGGTGGTATAGACTTGGCGATAGCCTTGAGTCTCTGGCGATCAAGCTTGCCAGCCAAGGTCCATGGCATCTTGGCCAGTGGGATGTAGATGGTAGGTACCATGTACGATGGTAGAGCACTCCCGACGGCGGACTTGAGGGACTGGGCAAGTTCAGCCGAAGCACTGGACATGGTTGTGAGGAGTGGATCCATATCTTGGGTAGACGTATCCTCGACTTTATCGTCGCTGCTGGTGAAGAAGACGGCTAGTGCCTTGGTTGATGTCTTGCTCTGTGGAACAACGATATCAACAGCGGATTGAATGTGGGCTGGTACGTTGGCTTGGACATGGTGTTCGATCTCACCAAGCTCAATACGTTGTCCATTGAGTTTAATCTGTGTGTCCTTGCGTGATACGTACTTGAGAGAACCATCCGAGTTGTACATGACCAGATCACCAGTCTTGTACAGACGACCTATGCCATCTCCCTCAAGCTTCATACCTGCACGCCAGGATGGAGGTTCGATGAATGACTCTTTCGTCTTTGCCTCGTTGCCAAGGTAGCCTCTGGCCACAATAGGCCCTTCCACGAGGAGCTCACCTATGCCGCCGACTGGCATTAGGCGATTGTGGTTTCGCGCATCTACAATCCAGCAACGACTACCAACAGCATTCCCGATAGTAGCAGGGTCCCCGTTGAGTATGTGTCCGTCATGATCAACCTTTCTGCTCGTTGCAGCAATAACAGCCGTCTCACTGGGACCGTAAGCATTGATCAGAGCAGCATGGCCAGCCCATTTCGTAATGTGGTCTCTTGACATTGCTTCGCCGCCGGTGACGAGGACCTTGAGGGTAGGAATACTACCCGGCTTGAGAACGCTTGCCACAGATGGTGTGAGAAGAGTCCAGTTCACGTTGAACTTGTTAATGGCGCCTGATAAGTCATTCATGCGGTCTTGGTCGCTGGGAATGCAGATACAGCCGCCCGCTAACAAGGTGGAAAGAATCTCCATGACGCTGGCATCGAATGTGTGAGACGCAAATTGCAGCACGCGAGAGGTAGATGTCATCATAATAGCCTTTGCGTGAGCCGTGCCTCCAGTGGTGAATGATCCATGCTCGATTATCGTACCCTTGGGAACACCTGTTGTTCCTGAGGTGAAGATGATGTAGGCAGCATTGTCAGGCCGAACCATGACTCTGGCAGAGCCCGGCAAAACGGGGGGAAGAAACGACATAGTCTCCCTGCCAAGAGCAATAGCCGGAAGATCCAGGCTTTTGAACTTGGCTGTCAGGGACGTGGAGCAGATAATGAGCTTGGCGTCAACATTGCTGACCAAGAACTTGATACGATCAGGTGGATGAGTAGGGTCCAGAGGAACAAAGGCGCCGCCAGCCTTCAAAACTGCCATCATGGCAACGACGGTCCATGCCGACTTTTCGAAACAAAGCGGGATGTACATCTCGGGCCCAACTCCAAGAAAGACAAGGTACTGAGCAAATTGGGAAGCCACCGCATCAAGTTCAGAGTACGTAAAGCTTGCATCCCATGCTTCGATAGCTGGTGTATGGCTGGGTAGTCGCTGGCAATTGTGCTCAAAGACGCGATGCACACATTCGTTCAATACCTCGGGCTCAGCATTGTTCCACGACATCAACTGCTGTCTGCCATGTTCACTGAGAATGTTGAGTTCTCCTATCGGAAGTGCTGTGTCGCATCTCATAATTGAGGACAAGACCTGGTCAAATGTAGAGGCAATGTTGATGGCCTGCGAGTCTGACACTTTGTCTTGCCAGTAACATAACTGCAGTTCGACATTAGAGTCCCAGACTTCGACATTGACAGTCAGGTCGTATTCGCTAGGATCTTGCGCATCTCTAACGTCGAAAGAAATGGCATCAGTTGTCATATCTTTGGAGACTGACCTGCGCTGAAACGAATAGGCGGTGTTGAAGAGAGGCTCGTTAGAGATACCCATGGCGTGTTGAAAGCTGGCAAGCGAGACATTCTTGTAGTTCATAGCCGTGGCGAGGTCTTCTTGGATGGCTCGCAGCACATCGCCGAGGCTGGTGGATGGATCAAGGCGGACTCGGCAGACGAGCATACTGATGAATACACCAATTGCCTCATCAATGCAACTGACCGGAACGTCCCTCTCAGCGACAAGATAGCCAAAGCACACATCGTCAAGGCCTGTGTATGCTTGGAGGACCAGCGCCCAAGCCAGTTGTAGCAGGTTGGATAAAGTGACGCCTCTTTCGTTGCAAAGCATCTGAAGCTCGGCAGCATGCGAGATAGCTTGGTCAAGAGTTCTAAGAGCCCTGGGATTTGTGGTCCCGTCGGTTAGCAGAGGCAGGCAACAAGGCTCAGCTCTGTCCAAATACTCTTTCCAGTACTGGGCGTCCTGAGAGCCTCCACTTCGCTGCAAGAAAGAGATGTAGTCCCTGTAAACTGCAAGATTGACAGTATCCAAGCTGCCCTCGTACGCCAGGCCAAGGTCGCGGAACAGAATTGGCATAGAGGTTCCATCGGAGATGGCATGGCTCATTTCTAGAACACACTGCACTGTACCCTCTGCGGTGTTGAAGATTGTGAGACGATGAGGTGGCTGGTTCATAGGAAGGCCGAGTGGTGGAAGTGCACTAAGCCTCTGGTCTACCTCTGTGTCGGGACATTCAAGGATGGAAACATTGACATCAGGGTTCCTTAGAACAACTTGACTTATAGCGCCCTCCTGTAGTACACTGTCCACAAAGGCGGTCCGAAGCGTAGAATGACGAATTACCACATGCTTCCAGGCGTCTGATAGTCGTTGCGCGTCGATTAAATAGCCTGATCGCACGCACGTAACTGAAAACGTGATCGAGTAAGAGTAGTATCCAGGGTCCTTGATCTGGGACAAGAGGATGCCCTGCTGAACCGAAGAGCATGGATATACTGCTTCAACATTATCAAGAGAGGCGATACCCACTTCAGCGAGATTCTGTTGAACCTGGAACTCCTTCTTGAATGCTAGAGGAAGCAGAGACAGGTCCACGGATGGCTCATATATGACTTGAGACAACCTTTGGGCTGCGCGGTGTATATGCTCCCTACAGTTCTCGATCCAGCTGCTGATAGACGACTGGCGGTCCATGTGGCGGTTGAAGGAAAAGTCGAAGCTTAGCCCGTCGCTAGTGAAGGAGGCAGAGATTTCGATGAGTGCCAAGCGTGGGATGTTGGCCCCGATGTCGGATTGTGAGCTCAAAGAGTCCAACATGTTTCCATCGACGGACTTGAAAACGGAGTCCTCCGTTCCAAAGTCCTGTGTATGGCCGAGGAAATTGAAGGCAATTTCCGCCGGCCATTCCGGATTAGCGATCTGGGTCTTTGAGTCAGACAACATGCTATGAGCAAAGTAAGGTCGACCGTTGCCAGGAAGCTTTCTCCGAAAGTCCCGTATCCAGCACACAACATCAAGGATGTCGTGCTCAACAGGAATGACCTCGGGGAGATAGACAGGACAGAGAGTGGTAAACCATCCAACGGTACGTGATAGATCCAGAACGTCATCAGGAGGCTCTCTCCCATGACCCTCGTTGAATATGGGGGGCATCGAAGCCCGGTCTGGAAAGGTTTGGCGGAAAGAGGCCAACAGGGATGCTAGCAAGACGTCAACAACATCATGGCTGCCACCTGAGAGCAAGGATGATGTGGCAGTGGGTATCTTGATAGTCTCAGTGACGGAGTCGCCATGAAGATTTGGTACGCCTTCCATTCCCCAATATCGGTGGTCCTGTAAAGGGACCGGAATATCGTGGAATACATGCTCCAGTGATGGCTTCTGAGCTTGTTCGTGTTGTTTAGAATTCCACATCTGGAAGGAGACTGATTTTGCAGGGCTGTAGGAAGATGGTGACAAGAACCCTTCTAGATCCTGTAGTATTATGTTCCAAGACACCACATCGACAATCAGGTGATGAGCCACGAATGTAATGATTTGGTTACCCGTTCCCTCCATCTCAAATATGTCGGCAGCGAACATAGGTCCGTCAATAATGTTCAAGCTAGTCTGACTGTCCACTACCAACTCCAAGAGGCGCTTCTCGTCAACGATGACGTGTGATCGGAGAGTGTAGGAGCCCGCGATGTCGCTAGTTATACGCTGGGTCCAGTTACCATCAACCTGTGAAAAGCGAGCACGCATCATGCTATGCATCTTGACGATAGAGTGCAAAGCTTTCGATAGCTCCTGCGAGGTGATGTTGCGGGTCGTGGCCAGAGTCATGCTTTGGTTGAAGTGGTGAGAACCTAGGCCGATACTCTCAAAGTAGACCTTTTGAATGGGTGACAGTTCAAAAGGTTTGTTCAGCTGTTCTTCATCATACATGACATCCTCGACGTTGGTGACGGCAGAGGCAAGGTCGATGATGGACTTGGCTCGCATAATCTGACTGACGGACACAGCCATATTGGAGGAGCGGCAAATGGCCATCAGCTTCATAGCGGATATTGAATCACCGCCGAGATGGAGAAATGACTGCTTGAATGGCACCACGTCGACCTTGAGGTTCAGTGCCTTGGCCCAAGCAGCCCTAAGCTTGATCTCCACTTCCGATGCTTCTCTATCCAGAGCGGACGCCTCTTCCTGTGCATCAAGAATCAGATGGTATTGTTCAAGAGTCATACCCTCGACCCATCTCATAGCGCGCCTGCGGTCAAGCTTGCCAGAGGGGAGGAGAGAAATATGGCTCACGACAATCCACAAAGATGGGATCATGTAACTTGTCAGATGCCTTGCAAGGCCCTCACGAATACCCATCAAAAGGGACGGAGCATACTTGTGCATGATCTGCATCTCTTCATCTCCTGTCATTTCTGCCTTGATGACAGCAAGAGAGTGGAGGGATAGAATGGCTACCAGGCGGGCTTTGAAGGGGCCGGAAGCTGGAACAGCGGCCAGACAGGACTCGACGGCAGGGTCCGCGCTCAAATGGTGCTCAATCTCAGACAACTCGATTCTCTGACCGTTGACCTTGACTTGATCATCCTTTCGTCCATGGAACTCAATCCCACCCTCAGTAAGCTTGACCAAATCCCCCGTCTTGTAAAATCTGCGTTCCATGCCTACAGCCGCGGTTGGGAACTGTTGGCACCACTTGGGGTTGGTGATAAAGGATTCTGCAGTTCTCTGGGGGTTATTCAGATACCCTTGAGCGAGGATCGGCCCTTCTATCAAGAGTTCGCCTACAGCGCCAACAGGCATAAGTCTGTCGTGGTTGGTGGCGTCGGTGACCCAGCAGATACCCCCCACTGCGTGACCAATATTCGACGGAGAAGAATTCAGCGTAACAGTCGGGTTGACAGCAGCTACCACGGCAGTCTCACTGGGTCCGTACGCGTTCATAAGACGAACTGATGACGCCCAGGAAGAGATATGAGCAGAGGACATGGCCTCACCTCCGAGCACCAGTGTCTCGAGCCCAGGCACAAGCGACGGCTGAAGCAGCTGGGCCACAGAAGGCGTTAACAAAGCCCAGTTGACACGCATGCGGTTTATAGCCCCCGCAAGATCGTGGAGACGCTCGTCGGTACTTGGCACACAGACTGTCCCGCCATGAATAAGCGTAGTAAGGATCTCCATGATGCTGGCGTCAAATGTGTGGGAAGCAAATTGCAAGACGCGCGACGATGCTGTAATGCCCATGGCGCGGCCATGTGCATACGCACCAGTGCAAAATGCTGAGTGATCAACAATGGTTCCCTTGGGCTTCCCCGTTGTGCCAGAGGTGAAGATGATGTAAGCCGGGCTGTTGGCAGATAATGATAGAGCTGCTTGCCTAGTTGGTTCATCTTGGCCTAGGGTACTACCGTCTACCAAAGCTTGCGAGACCGAGATCACCTGTGATCCGAGCTTCGTTAAGCGCTCAGCGTGCTGGTCGGACGAGAGGACGACTGTGGCCCCAGTGTCGGTAAGAATGCCCTCGATTCGAGCGTCGGGATGTGCCGGATCCAGTGGCACAAAGGCAGCACCCGACTTGAGGATGGCCATGATGGAGACGACAACCAAAGATGACTTGTCCATGCAGAAAGGAACAGTAGAATGGACTGAAACGCCATTTTCGACCAAAACACCAGCAAGACGTGTAGATTGAGAGTCCAGATCCGCGTATGTGAGGTTTTGGTCCCACGACACGACAGCGAGCTTGTCTTGTGGTTGGGCTAGTGTCTGAGTCCTGATAGCGTCGTGGATAAGTCCATCAAATGGGGGAGTCGAAACATGGCTCATATCCTGCAGCGTCTGGTGGTCACTGCAGCTCAACAAAGGTATATTGCCAAGCTTCTCATCCAACAGATCAGAGGAGAAGACGGACTCCAACATCAGTGCAAAGTGGTGCATGATGCGCTGCATCTGAGGCTCAGGTATCACATTGGGATCAAAGTGCACGACAGTCTCGAGCTCGCCGTCTGAAAGGTGGCACGAGAGCATGAGCGGGTATGATGAGTAGAAATTAGTACCAGCCATTTCGTTTGACTGCTCGCACCAAAAGTCATCTGTCAACTCCCGAGGTCCATAGTTTATGGCCAAGAGATTCTGAGCGCCGCAAGCAAGGGCCGTATCAGCGTTGATATTCTTGATGGATTGAATGCCAGCGAACTGGTGCCTTCTCACAGCTGCTGAGTGATCTTGGACAGAGGCAAGTAGTTCAGTGATTGTCTGTGAGGGCTCAATGACTACACGCGTCGGCACAGTTGCTAACGTGATACCCGCCATTTCCTCAATTCCGACGACAGGAGCATCGCGCCCTGTCATCGTTTCCCAGAAGACGACATCGTTGGTTCCAGAGTAGGTAGAAACCGCCATTGCCCAGGCTGTGCGGATTCTAGTAGCGGCAGTGATCTCTGATCCAGATGTGCTCGCCAATGTTGCTTTGTGAATCATCAAGCTCTTTGCGGAAGCCTGGTAATCAGCGTTAAGACGTGGGAAGTGCTGGGTGGACATGTTGGAAAGATGGGACTTCCAGAAGTCGGCGTCTTTATTCGTGTCAAGGTCTGTGAGGTATTTAATAAAGCCGGAGTAGTCAGGGCCCTTGAGTTGCATGGAACTCAGATCGTCATGGTAGCATCGCTTGACCTTGTCCAGGATGAGAGGGAGACACCAGCCATCATAGATGGAATGGTGAATAGTCCACACAAAGCATTTGCCAGTAAAGCCATCGTCAGCGAGACTATAGTTGGTCAATCTCCCACCATTATGGAGCGGAAGCTGGCGTCGAATCGCGTCGGCATCAGAGAGACTGTCAATAGTGGACCATTGGGGGGTTTCCTCAGCTACAACAACCTGCACGAACCCGGCATCTTCTGTATGAACAATCCTCGTTCGCAGTGTTGGTTCAGCCTCTACCACAAGACTCCAAGCCTTCTGGAACCTGATGGTGTCTATGTCGGTTGGTAATCGATAGATGAGTTGAGCCACATAAGCTCCAGGCTCCTTAGTCGAGAGAGCCATGAGACCCTCTTGCAATGCGGAACAAGGATAGATATCTTGAATATCTCCGACGCTGATACAAGCAGAGGCAGCAACAGTTTGTCGCAACGCATCGACCGAACACTCGCCAGATAACAACGAGAACGGCCGGTATGCCGTGATCGGGGCCTTGGATAATGGTACCGCCGAGTCCGCCATATCCAATAGGGATGGCTTTTGGAACACCCCAGCCACGGTCAAGTCCATGTTGGAACATCGAGCAAGCGTCACCAGTTGCATGGCCCCGATCGAGTCGCCTCCAAGTTTGAAGAAGTGATCTTGGACCCCGATAGACGCCACGTCCATGTTCAGCAGCTCAGCCCACATAGCGGCCAGCTGTCTCTCCACTTCGCTGAATGGTGCTCTGCCGCTCTTGAGGGCGAGCTTGTATGACTTCATCTTTGTTGCCGGCACCGACTCTCCCAGAACCCTGAGGCTGCGCCGATTCAGCTTGCCTGACGAAGTAAGAGGCATCTTGGAGACGGGAAGCCACGCGGATGGGACCATGTAGGCGGGAACTGCATTGAAGAGCACAATCTCGAGCCGTTTGGCATGAGCCCTGAAAGTGTCATCCATGTCCAATACCATGCTCTCATCGCTTGTTTCACGGAGGGAAACATCGGCATCAGCACAGACAAAGCAGGCGAGAGACTTCCTGCCCTCTGATGTGATAAGCTCCACGGCAGATTCCCAGCCTTTGGGAAGATTCTTCTCGATGTGGTGCTCGATCTCTCCAAGTTCGATGCGCTGGCCATTGAGCTTGACCTGAGTATCCTTTCTCCCCAAGTACGTAAGGGTGCCATCGGAATTGTAGCGCACAAGGTCGCCGGTTTTGTAGAGTTTGCGATCCAGTCTACCGTTCTCAGTCATTCCCTCGATACAAGCGGGTGGAGGAACAAAAGACTGTGCCATCTTGTCTGGCAAATTTAGGTAGCCTCGAGAGACGATAGGGCCATCGATGAGGAGCTCGCCTACGCAACCAATTGGGACGAGGAGGTTGTGATCGGTCGCATCAACTACCCAAGCGACGCTACCAATGGCACGGCCAATGTTGTTGGCTTTCCCTGGCTGGGCAATATCTCCACAGTAGGTCGAGTTGACGGAGCATTCTGACGGCCCGTAGCAGCATTGCAGAGACACAAAGTTGCGCCAGATGCCAACACACTTGGCAGTCACTGCTTCGCCTCCTAGAGCCAGAGTCTTCAAGGTCGGGACTTCTGATGGCTTGAGGAAGCAGGCCACCGTGGGTGTTATATCAGCCAATGTGACCCTGTACCGATTAATTGCTCCGGCCAAGTCGTTGAGTCTCTCATGGTCCGAGGGTACGCATACGCAACCCCCCAGGCTGATGGTGTTGAATATTTCGGCAAGACTGTTATCAAAGGTGTAAGAAGCGAACTGCAACACCCTCGAGTCCGGGCCGTAGCCTAGCTTGGGGCCTGAGTATATGGCGTTGCTGGCGATTCCTCTATGCTCTAGCACCACACCCTTAGGACGTCCTGTGCTACCAGAGGTGTAAATAACGAAGCAGGCGTTATGAGGCGTGACCTGAGGAAGAGGTGGCTCAAGTGCCGTCGAGATGGTTCGAAGTAGATCTGCGTCCACAGACACCGTTGTCTTGGCGATGTAGCTGAGCTTGGACACCAATGAGGGAGACACAAGGGCGATAGTAGCCCCTGTATCCTCGGCACGAAGTCGAAACGCAGTGTCCGGGTGTGCTGGGTCCAGAGGTACGCATACGCCGCCAGCTTTGAGAATGGCCAGCATAGAAACTATGGCAAATGCAGACTTGTCGAAGCAGACCATCACGAAGGTCTCCAGGCCGACGCCCAAGGAACTAATGTGATGGGCGAGCTTATCGGAGGCGTCATCAAGCTCAGCATAGGTAAAGTCCATATCCCATGAGACAATCGCGGGGCTGTCAGGACGTAAGCCCACCTGCTGTTTGAACAAGCCATGGATGCAGCTTTCAATGGCTTCGGGAATCCGCTGGTTCCATTGGCAGATCTGATTGCTATGCCAGGAACCTAATTGGTCGAGCTGGGCAATGGGCTGGTTGCAATGATGCAGGATATTGCTGAGCGCCTTTGTAAAAGTGCTACCAACATTGGCAGCCTGTCCACCCGACAGAGTATCGGACCAGTACATCAAGTCAATGGCCATGTCTTGCTCGCCTGCTTCGACATTGACTGACACATTGTACTCATCAGGGTCATAAGTAGGGCAGCATTCCTCGAACACAAGGTCCGTCTGCGGGATTGGTGGTAGCTTTCTATACGACAAGGCTGTGTTGAACAGAACGGCGTCGGAGAGCTGAAGGGCGTGGTGAACCTGGGCCAAGGGAGTGTGGCGGTACTCTAAACTATCGAGATAGTCCCTCTGCACTGAGCTCATTATGTCTCCGAAGTTGGTCGCACTATCAACGTTGACACGACATGTGACCATGTTGATGATGGGACCAACCGTATCACGGATGCCTTCAATTTGCAGGTCACGAGCCGATGTCAGATATCCAAAGCAAACCTCATCAGAGCCAGTATACAAACACAATGTGGCTGCCCAGGCAGCATATATGGCGTTGACAATCGTGACTCCCTGGTGCTCACAAAGGCTCTGCAACTCAGCGAGCTCGTCAAATCTGACCCTCAAGTGTCTCAGCTCCTTGACCTCGGCAATTTCCCCGTCGTCCAGGACGGGGAAAAGACACGGCTCGATACCAGCCAGGTAAGATTTCCAATAGTCGATGCCGGGTTGAACCAGCTGGGTTTGCAGGGATTTGATGTAATCGCGATACGGCGGGCCTGTTTCAGCCTTGAGGCTTCCTTGGTATGCAAGTGCAAGGTCGCGGAAGAGGATTGACAGCGAAGTGCCATCCATGATGACGTGACTGATGTCCAATCTGCAAAACACCCTGCCGCTCTTTGCTTTACAAACTTGGAAATGGTGTAGCAGCCGGGATGAGTTGTCGCCGTGATTCGTAGGCACTTTCAGAGCCGCAATTGCCTCCTCGTCTGTACCACTCTCGGAAACAGTGAACGGAACTTGAACTTCTTTTAGCACTACTTGGTCGTAGATGGAGTCTTCCAATGTAACGCTTTCCAAGAAGATAGTTCTGAGAATAGGGTGGTATTGGACCATGCGTTTCCAAGCAGTGATGAGTTTCACAACATCCACCGTCTCGCCGCTCCTACTCTTGACCTCGTGGAGCGTGTATGCAGCGTAAGCAGCGTTCTCCCTAGTGGTGCTGACCAAGAGCCCTGATTGCATCGGAGAGCAAGGGTAGGCATCTTGGATAAGATCCACGTCTGTAATCCCAGCCTCGGGCAGTTTCTCCTCTGTGAATACCCTCAGACGATCGTAGGTCAGGGAGAGGAGCGGGAAATCGCTTAGAGTAGGCTCGGGTGCCATTGAAGACAGAGATGTAATAAGTTCGCCGAGACTCTGCTCGCAGTAGGAAATCCACTGGCGAATCTGTGGTTGGTGCTTCATGTTCTGGCTGAACCCAAATGAGAAACGGAGAGATCCCTTGATGATGACGGCTGACACCTCGAATAGGGAGATACAGGCTGTCAGAGGCCCGACGTCTGCGCCTTGACTGGCCTCCCTAATCTCGCCGGCGATATTGCTCTCAGCAGTGAAAAGAGCGCCCTCACGCTCCAGTTGCTGGTACTGGCCGAGGTAATTGAAGGTGATTTCCAATGGCCAGTGGCGAGAAAAGGCTTCTTTACCCTCTTTTGTCAGCCAGCGGCTCGCAAAGTAAGGCCGGCCGTTATCGGGAACCTTGCGTCTTCCATCCTTGATCATCTTGACTGTATCGATGAGACTGGAATGCGTATCTGAGCCAGCAAAGACGGGGTAAATGGTAGTGAACCATCCCACCACGTTTGACAAGTCAATTGAACTGTCCCAGGCCTCCCTGCCGTGGCCTTCTGCAAACACGGCTGGAATTGGACGGTCCGTGAATATCTGGCCAAAGGAATAGACCATTGCTGCCATAAGAACATCCGGGATCTCTGTTCGTAGAGAGTCATGGCATTTGGATACAAGAAGAGATGTTTGGTACGGCCCGATTTCAAAGCCTTGACGAGCCATCTGCCCATAGAGATTGGGTATGTTCGTCATTCCCCAGTACTCGGAGTCTCCGTCGGGAATACCGTGGATTGGCAGTACTTGGTCTGGGGTCTGGGCTTCAGCATGCTCGGACTGCATCTTACACCAGACCTGAAACGGGAGTGGGCGATCTGTATCATGCACAACTTCAGGCCGGAGCAATATCTCCTCGAGCTCTTGGAGGATGATTCTCCACGAGACAAGGTCAATGACCAGATGATGCGCCACGACGAACAAGAGCTGCTCTTCTGCGTCTCGTTCAATAAGATCAGCAGCAACAAGTGGGCCGCCTACAGGATCCAGGCAAGTCTGGCTATCGACAAGCGAGTGATCGACGTCCTCTCGCGAAGCCAGTTTCAAGGCACGCAGCCGATACGAGGACGTAACATCGTTGCTGATGCGTTGTTGCCACTCCCCACTGGCATCCTGCTGGAACCTGGCACGGAGCATCGAGTGCCTGGAAATGACAGTCTCCATTGCCTTGCGCAGATCTGACTCATGGATATGTTGGCTCGTCCGGAGGAGAAAGCTCTGGTTGTAGTGACCCTGGTTGTAGTTCGGCCTCGAGAAGTAGAGCTTTTGGATGGGCGAGAGGTCAAAAGGCTTTTCCACCATCTCGTGGAGAAGCGTGGGCCTCTCAATATCCTTGACCTGTAGTGCCAGTGCGCTGATGGACTTGCAATTGATGATATGCGAGACTGCCAGGCCAAGGCCACGTTTCTTGCACTCGCTCATGACTTGCATCGCTGAGATGGAGTCACCACCAACACTCAGGAAGGACTGTGCAAGGCCAAGTTGCTCTTCCTTGAGGTTCAAGACGTACGTCCAGATCTTGTGTAGCTCCAACTCAATCTTGTTTTTGCACTGCAGATCCCCCGAACGCTGAACGACTGCTACAGGATTGAGTTGTCGATAAAGGGCCTCGCTCATGCCATCGACCCATTTTGCAGTTTGCTTACGGTCGAGTTTTCCAGATTGGAGGCGAGGGATGAACTCGACGGCAAGCCACATGGACGGTATCATGTATGAAGGTAGCCTCTCGATAAGCAGATCCTTGGCCTCTGCAATCTTGTCCTGCGCCGTACTCTCGAGCTGGCCGTCGATCAGCTTATAGGGCTGGCCGTTGGGCACGAGGTCCTGATTCAGGGCATCGCAGAGCTGCACGATGGCCAAGAGCCGGCCATTGCAGAAGCCTTCTCTTGGCAGGACGACCATACCATGCTTGATGCTGGCGCTGGCATTGATGTGATACTCTATCTCTCCGAGTTCGATGCGTTGCCCGTGAAACTTGATCTGGGCATCTTTGCGGCCAGCGATATGAAAGGTACCATCGTGATTGTACTTGACGAGATCACCCGTCTTGTACATTCGTCTAGAGCCCGCTCGCGGTGGTTGGTCTTTTGCCCACGATGGATCTTCAATGAAGGCCTCGCTCGTCTTGTCGGGCTCTTTGTAGTACTCGCGTGCGAGCGTATGACCTTGGATGACCAATTCGCCGACAGCACCGACAGGCATGAGACGATCGTGATTGTCCCGATCCACAATCCAGCAGTGTATGCCGACCTGATGGCCAATGTTCAGCGGATTGGTCCCTTGTACCATGCCTCGGTGGACGTGTGAAACAACAGACGTCTCGGCAGGGCCGTAGCAGTTGATGAGGTTGATGTGAGACCACGAGCGGATGATGGCCTGCGTCATGGCCTCTCCACCAGTGACAAGTGTCTTCAAGGTCGGCACATTGGTAGGGTTGATGAATTTGACGAATGTCGGAGTAAGTAGCGCCCAGTTTGCTCGGAGCTGTGTGATGGCCTCTTCGACGGCGTTGAGCCGAGCGTCTTCGCTTGGTATGCAGACACATCCACCCAATATCAGGCAGGTCAAGATCTCGGTGATGCTCACGTCAAAGGTAGACGCAGCGAATTGAAACGATCGCGTGTTGGAGTCCATCATCATTGCAGGTCCGTGAGCGAGTGCACTCGACATGAGGGCTCCATGCTCGATGAGGGCGCCTTTTGGCTCACCCGTTGTCCCACTCGTGAATATCATATAGGCTCCGTTGCGCCACGATCCGCAGTCGACCTCGTCACTATGCTCAGCTAGTTCGGTGAATAGCTGGTCATCGACGGGGATCAACTCGGACGCTATACTCTCTAGCATGCGCTGGTGTTGAGGGGAACACAGGATAGTCTTGGCTTCCACCTTTTGCGCGAGAGATTGTAGACGAAGCAGTGGTTGCGCAGGGTCGAGAGGCACAAAGATACCGCCTGCCTTGAGCACCGCCAGCATGGAAACAACAACCCATTTAGATTTATCGAAGCAGATGGGCACAAAGACTTCAGGCCCAACGCCCGAGGTTTGCAGACGACAGGCAAGACGATCTGATAGGGACAAGACCTGTTGGTATGAAAGGCTTCCATCCCAAGCGCAAATGGCCTCTGCATCGGGTCTTAACACTCCTTGCATTGACACGGCTTGGTGGATGCACTTGTGCACATTCCTCACAGAGTTGCTGTTCCAGGCCAGGACTTGTCGCTCATTTCGCTCACTGAAGCAGTTGATCTTTGACACGAGAGTCTCGGGGCGGTTGATGGTTTCCCTCAAAATCTTGTCGAAGGTGCTGCTGACGTTCTCTGCTTGATCTCGGCTCATGAATGAAGGGTTCCATGTCAGGACAGTGTCGAGCGTCACAGGATCTACCGTCAGGCGAATTTTGCACCACGAAGGAAGGTCCTGGGCGACTTTGTTTGGCCCAGGGGCGAGGCTATGAATTGATAGAATAGTGTTGAATAGTGTTTTGGCCTCTTCGTCTCGTACCAGAACCAGCGAAGAAAAGCTGTCGGTGAGAATTTCCTGGACACGCTGATTGGCAGGCAAACGAATATGCACAGCTTGTCTCATGCGTTCTGCATGTCCCGACGTTTTGGTAACGCTGTGCTGACTGTCAAGTCCGAAACATACGTTGTCTAGCCCGGTGAAACAGCCAAGAAGGATCGCCCATGCTGCCCAAAGTGCACTGCACATGTCGGCCAGATCCTCGGGTGCAACGTGGTCTGCCTGACTGGCGAATTCCAAGTACTCGGAATGCGTCGCCTCAGCCAAATCGAACCGCGGGAACATGGCAGGCTCCAGATCCGGCATTGACTGATCAGCAGTCCTGAGACAGCCGCAAGCAGTGGGTGCCATTGTTTGAGGTATACGAATTGATTCCGGGAGTATTTGGTGTTAGAAAAGTGTATGAAAGAAACTTGTGACGTTTAACAGTTGACCAAACGAATAAGATGTAAGGTTTCTGTGTCGTAACAGCAATAGTATCTTCAAAGTTAATTGCAGCTATGTGTATGGATGTTACACCTGATATATCCTTGTTACAGACCAGCAACATTACTACGAGGAAACAGTGTTCAGGGATAGTTCAGGGATGTACACAGCAAGCGATACCGGATTAGAGGACTATTTTTCAGCTCGACAGCGACATGCAGCTTGTTTCGCTATGCGAGCTCCTTTTTCTTGCTTCTGAACAGCAACAGAATAGTTGTCTCCGCCCGTTGGCCACTCACATCACGGGTACACCAATTACATACACAGACGAACTAAATTCTGCATGTCATGGTAACTTCGATATTCCTGTTCTGTTCTGTTCTTCTTCCCCCTTTCCTCTAGTCTCTCGTGTGGCTATGACGGCCAGCTTTCGGGTGAAAAGCCGGTATCCCGGAAAAGCCGGATGCAGCAGTCGTATGGATCACAGAAATCTCTTCTTGACTGAGACATCATGGCGGAGGACGCAGTCCGGGATGCTTCAAACGATCAAGTCATTGTTGTGAGTGCGTAGGCGGCGCAGCCTAGCCAAGAAGAAACCAGGTTATCCGAATGGAACTGTGTTGACAAATCCATTGCTTGGTCCCAAGCCACGCCTTAATCAGGTATACCATCCTTGCCACTGAATTGCGTGATTCACAGTCACTAACCAGCGGAGTCACAAATATGGAACACCACTATTCCTGAAGACGAATAGAGTATCCATCGAGATACTTCATGATAGTGCTTGGCGCTAAGACGCGGCAGTTATTGACGAACCGACCTGCAGCTGTAGGGTTTGATCTGTGGGGGGCTGTAAATCACGCTTCTTTCATCCTTCCTGGTGGCGAACCGTTGGACTTTTTGCACAGACTCGTTCGGTTCCACTGCAAAATTGGAGATAGTGGCTGGCCTCAGGAGAAAGCATTCCAAATTGATGTGATATGACAAGCATAATCCTGCGTCACATGGTTTAAAATGAGGAAGGTCTAGCTTGCAGAATATGAGGTCATGTGGCGGCTGTAGTGCCAGGAACAGAGAAACGGTTTTTCTAGGCTAGGTATTTATGCGACTTTCATACTAGACTTAGCACTTTATACAAGCTTTTAACATTGTTCAACCAACTACCTTCGTCACTATCTATAACACAATTGTATCTTAATTAAACCTAAACAAATCCAGTAAACAGGGCATTAGATAGTGATGAATACCTATGTCTTCTTCTTGGCGGGCTCGCAGGATCTTCCTACCAGTATTAAACGCCTGCTAAATAGAACTTCGGTCTTCATCCGTCTAGCCGCGGAGATGAGTTATGGGGCGGCACATGCATGTAACGTGCCGATGCGGACTCTGGTGCAACAGGACAGGGATGAGAGACCACATAAAATGGAATACGAGTCGTGAAGTGGAACTTGTTATGATCTGAGCAGAGAGGCCTGCCAGCCAGCCTCCTCAGGATACACAGGGGTGGGGGGGAGGAAAAAGAAAGAATATGAGATAAGAGGCTGAAAGAAGCTATGTCATCCCAAACTTGGAAGGGAAGGTAAATAAAGAAAATACCCGGGTAGTGGGAGATCCGTATGTAGCATCAGAACACAATCATCTAATAGTTTTCTCGAAAGCCAATAGAGCTGTTTTGTCTACCTATCCTCGCTTGTGGCTGCTGCCGTGCTTGCATTAGTCCTCCCGTTGGGTCGCATTGACCTAACCCAATCTACTCTAGCCATCGTGCTGCTACCTTAGTTAGGCTTATGATCGCCGTTGTATGCTTTTCAGTGGAGTCAGCTGAACTTGGCCCCCGGGGAGACTGCCCTAAAACGCCGATCCTTAGCAAATCCGCTCCGTTCCTGATCAAACACGGTAGGCAGATGCAGATCAGATCGATCATATCATGGTCGTCCCGGAGCCAGAAGTAGGGCAGGTAATTTTAGCCAGGCCGCTCGTCCATTTCCACCGGCTCAGAGCCGCCATGCGCGCCGTGCCGTGGCGAGCCGTGCCGTATCCTCCCTACCCTGTATGTACCTTATGCACGTCTGACGTGTCTCGTTACTCTTTCACGACATTTGTCTTGCCACATTTCTCGTTTATCCTGTTTTTTAGTCTGCGGAGCATTTTCTCAGGCGAGCTGCAGAGAGGCTGACTAGCGAACGGTGAAAAATTCTCAGCTCACTAAGCTTGTAATTAATCACCCGTTGATCAAATAACCTTATCCGATTTCTCCAAGATACAGATCACGATCAGACATTGTTGGCTTTTGGTCGTACATCAGCTACTATCATGGTCTCGTCGTCGTGCGACGACTCCTTCGGGCCACATGCTGGTGACTGTAGAGGTGGTTTCGACTTTACACTGCTTTTTGAAGAGTCGATACTTACTTTACCCATTACTGCCCTGGTGCTTCTCGCTGCCCCGTGTCGAGTTGTCTACCTCCTGCAAAAGAACAAGGTAAAGGTAGACAACAGCCGCTGGCTATTCTGTAAAATTGTGAGTTGGTTGATGCCCCCCCGGACTTTATCGTGCCTCATGTACTAACAGCCTGACGACATTGTGCCTTGTTCTCCTAGCATCGCAGATCAGCTTTCTTGTCTTGTGGACTCAGCCTTCCGCAGTCGCCACCAAAGCCTCTTTGCCAACTGCTGCCCTATCCTTTGTCGCGTCAATCGGCCTCTTGTGCCTATCTTATGTCGAGCATGTCTATTCCTACCGACCATCAACAGTGGTCATCCTCTTTCTACTCTTCTCTGCTCTTTTCGATGCTACACGAACACGAACATTATGGCTTCAAGGCTACAACCGGCCCGCCGCCATTACCGCGCTCATCGCGACCGTGATAAAGATTGCGATGCTCGTTGTTGAGGCAATCGAGAAGCGTGGTTTCTTGCGGCCCCAGTACCGTGCTTTGCCCCCCGAAGTCACTGGTAGCGTCTTGTCGCACTGGTTCTTCTCTTGGCAGATACCGCTGTTCCGCGCTGGCTATTCTGAACACTTGAAGATTGAGACGTTGTTTCCCCTAGAAAAACATTTCAAGTCTCTATATCTTCAGAATCTCTTGCAGACAACGTGGGCTAAAGGTCAGTCATTCTGCCAGCTCCGCAGAAAACATGTGGCTTATACGATACTGACAGTCGCATAGCATCCAGAAGGGGCAACCATGCTCTGATGCTTACGGTCCTCAAGACCTTGAAGTGGCCTATCCTGTCCATCATCTTCCCACGTTTGTGCTTCATCGGCTTTACCTTTTGCCAGCCATTCCTCATCTCAGCAACCCTCGAGTGGGCAGGGAACAGCAGTGATTCAGACGACATGAACCAAGGATATGGCCTTATAGGCGCATGGTTCCTTGTCTTCATGGGTCTAGCAGTACGTTCATCTCTGACGCTACAGGTGCATCTCACTAATGCTTCATGCAACAGGTGACGAGTGGCCAGTATCAGCACCTCACGTACCGCGCCATCACCATGGCACGCGGTCAGCTCGTCTCGATACTGTTTGACAAGGCCACAGATATCAGCATCACTGCTGCTGACCCTAGCGCAGCCCTGACTCTGATGAGTGCCGACATTGAGAGGATCGACACGGGATGGCGCACCGCCCATGACGTTTGGGCCAACTTGGTCGAGATTGTCATTGCAGTCTACTTGCTGGGACGCCAGCTCGGCATTGCATGTCTTATTCCTGTCGGAGCAGCAATTTGTGAGTGCATCCATCCATCCATACTATGAGAGGTGAAAGTACTGACCCAGCACTGGACGCGTGTAGTCTCCATCATCGGATCTATTATTGCAGTCAGCTTCGTCATGGCTCGTCAAGCCGCATGGCTAGAAGCCATCGAAAAGAGAATATCTGTTACATCGCAGATGCTAGGCAGCATGAAGGGCGTCAAAATGTGTGGACTGACCGACGTGCTTAGCACTCGTATCCACGCCCTGCGAACCGACGAGTTGCGCATTTCCGGCAAATTCCGTAGGTTGTTGATCTGGAATATGGTCTTGGGTGAGTACCTCCCTGCCTACCTACCTACCTGCCTGCCTTACCTGTTTCGAAAAGCCTCTATGTAATATTTGCTTACTAGATACCTATAGCCTACCTCGCTCCTATCTTTGCCCCAATCCTGACCTTTGCAACATACAGTCTTGTCGCCCGGTCACGGGGAGGAGACAACAACCTGGACATAAACCGCATGTTTACTTCTTTATCACTGTTTGCGCTACTGAACGAGCCTATTTCCTCGTTTGTCACGTCGTTGTCTTCTTTGATGGGGTCCATCGGGAGCTTTGCGCGTATACAGTCTTTCCTCAACACAGACATTCGTGTCGACGGCAGAATCATCTTACATGATAACAAGAGCGAAGGGTCATCGACCACCAACTCTTTACGCAGCGAGCAGGAGAAGGACTCAGTCTCATCCGAGAAAGAGCCTAACCCTCAGAAAGATTCGTTGCCTATGAATTCTCTGGACGGCAACTGTATCGTTGTCAAGACAGCCGCATTTGGATATGATACTACCCAGAAACCCATCCTAAGTGATATCACTGCCCAAGTTCCACTGGGCAAGCTTACCCTCATCGTGGGGCCAGTGGGCAGTGGCAAATCAACTCTCCTCAGGGCATTTCTCGGGGAGGTGGCAGTCATGGCCGGATCTATCCAAATGCTGAATTTGGAAATGGCCTACTGTGACCAAACCCCCTGGCACATGAACGGCACCGTGCGAGATAGCATCATCGCCTTTTCGCATGTTGACGAGCGTTGGTACCAAAAGGTCATACAGGCTTGTTCTCTGACGGAAGATCTCGCCCAACTCCCCAAGGGAGATCTCAGCACGATAGGGAGTAAGGGAATTGTCCTCAGCGGAGGTCAGAGCCAACGGGTCAGTCTAGCGAGAGCCGTTTACGCACAGAAGAGGATTATCATACTAGATGATGTCTTCAGTGGATTAGACATGCACACTGAGAATGCTGTCTTCCACAACCTACTCGGCACTGATGGTCTCCTGCGACAGTTGAATACAACCGTCGTCATGGCGACTTCTCGTGGTACGTTTAATGCTTGATGATGGTCTTTACTTGTGCTTATGTTGACACTGCCACAGCAAACCGACTCTCTTATGCAGACCACATCATCAGCCTCGATAGCACTGGGATCGGCTGCGAGCAGGGAAGCTTCGACAAGCTGACTAATGCTGACAACTACGTGTCTCGCTTGGCCGTAGCGTCTGCGAACTGGACATATAACCAAGCGACTGCTACTGCTGCCTCTAATTCTACTTCTACCGAACCCTCGGCTGATGCGTTGGTGGATTCAGAAGTAGTCCTCTCAGATGAAGCCAAAGAGGACGCGGGTCGTCGTACTGGCGACATGGCAATATACCTCTACTACATCCGCGCCATTGGCTGGATTCCAAGCTTGGTATTCGTCTTTGCCATCTGCGCCTTCATTGTCTGCCAATCTTTCCCCACCATCTGGCTCAACTGGTGGGCAGCTGCCAACGCCAACGACCCATTCGCACGGCTGGGCTACTACCTGGGGATCTACGCAATGTTGGGTGGACTGGCGATTATCTTCCTGGTCCTCAGCACCTGGCAAATGATCGTCACCATGGTACCGTTGTCGGGCAACAGCTTCCACCAGAGTCTACTAAAGACGGTACTCAACGCGCCCATGTCCTTCTTCGCAGCTACAGATGCAGGAGTCACTATCAACCGCTTCAGCCAGGATCTTCAGCTCGTGGATATGGACTTGCCCCTCTCAGCCCTCAATACATTTGCCACATTCGTGCTGTGCATCGCTGAGATGGTTCTGATCTCTGTTGGTTCATACTACACAGCCATCGCGTTTCCCTTTCTATTCGCCGCCTTGTGGATGGTCCAACATACATATCTACGGACATCTCGCCAGCTCAGGTTCATGGATCTTGAGGCAAAGAGCCCGCTGTATGCCCTCTTCACGGAATCTGTCGCTGGACTGGCGACGCTGCGTGCGTTTGGTTGGCGTGATGCGCTCGAGAAGAAGCATCATAACCTCCTGGATCAGTCTCAGAGGCCATTCTATCTCCTCTACGCGGCTCAGAGATGGCTGACTCTTGTTCTAGACTTGTTTGTCACAGTCATTGCTGTACTGGTAGTGGTCCTTGTTACACAGTTGAGAGGTGTACTGCCGACTGGGTTGATCGGTGTAGCCCTTGTCAACATCATCCAATTTAGTCAGCACCTGAAGCTGCTGATGACATTCTGGACAACCTTGGAGACTCACATTGGTGCAATATCTAGGATCAAGTCCTTCACGTCTAATACTGCCTGTGAGCACGAGCCGCAGGAAAAGGAGCAACCACCGCCCCTATGGCCGTCCAAGGGCCAGATTGTTTTCGACAATGTTTCTGCCGGGTACAGGTGCGTTCACTTTAATCCAAAACTTACAACTAGTCGCTGACCAGTTCGCTTGTAGGCAATCTGAAAATGTCTTGAGAGGTATATCCTTATCGATCGAGGCAGGTCAGAAAATTGGCATCTGTGGACGGACCGGAAGGTAATATCCTCTCATCATTCACTAGCCATGCTTAAGCTGACCTATATACACTTGCAGCGGTAAGAGTTCCATGGTCTCATGTCTTTTCCGTATGGTGGACCTTCACGGTGGTCAAATAATCGTAGATGGGCTCGACATTAGCACGCTTCCCCGTGAGGAAGTTCGCGCTCGGCTAGTTGGCGTGCCTCAAGATGCATTCCTCATCGAAGGAAGCAGCGTGAGGTCGAATGCGGACCCTCATCAAGGACTCTCAGATGCCGCAATTGAAGACGCCATGAGAGCCGTTGAGCTGTGGGACATTATAGCTGAGAAAGGCGGACTTGATGTGCTTATTGAAGAGCTGCACCTTTCCCATGGCCAGAAGCAGCTATTCTGCATTGCACGCGCTATCTTACGCCCATCGCCCATCGTAGTTCTCGATGAGGCTACCAGCAGGTAAACTTATGAACCATCCATTTGCTCCCGTCTTTGTATCAAATACTAACATTATGACTAGCGTGGACTCGCATGTCGATGAGCTTGTGCAGCGTGTCGTACGCGAGCGGTTCGAGAATCGCACAGTAATTGCAATTGTACACAAGCTCCAGTCAGCCCTTGAAGACTTTGACATGGTAGCTGTACTTGATAAAGGTGAACTGCAAGAGTTTGGACCTCCGCGAAAGCTTCTAGAGGAGGGACCCGAAACCTCGGCATTTGCTGCTCTGTACGAGAGCTTGGGTACGGCAGAAAAGGAAGCATTACAGGAATGATTTACAAATAGATTTTGTTTAAAACGTAGAATGATATCTAGTACCACTTTGCATCAGCACCAGCAAAAGGATTTCGAGGCTGTAGTAATATACCTCATGCCGTCATGACGGCCTTTACCGAATGGATCGGTTTAAGGCCTCAGCTGTGATAATACGAAATTTTAAAAAGGATTACGAGCTGAGACCCCAGAGAGATGTTGTCTCCCAAGCTGATATGTGAGTAAGTGGCTTCACGCAACCAAAATGTACAGCACGGTGACGATCAGACGTTGAGAGAACGACCAAGGAGCGCACATCAAAGTCAGAGAGAACCTAGCTACAGGTGGAGGCTAACGAGAGCCTCCCACGTCATGTTTTTGTGCTTGCCGCGCTACCCATTGTCGTGTAGCCTCACTTTCAAGTTTTGATCATGCAAGTTCGTATTACAAGGATACTTTCCTGATCAAATGTTGTGATCAACCCATGTACGATCATTGTGTGGATATCTCACTTTTCAGCCGCAGCCACAATTACTAGATCATGCATTCACGGATAGCTACCATGTTGTCTGTGCCATACCATTATTTTATTGGGTCGGAGAAGGATTGTTAGCCTCATTTATTGAGATCGCCATGCTGGCGCGTGAAACAAACAAAGCTCAGCTTGCTAGACTCTTTCCTTTTTAGACGTGGGATTCGAGCTCTGCTGTGTGACGTGAAAGAACCTTGCTGCATGCAGTAGTGGATTTAGGAGGCTGACTGATCTGATACTACCCAAGTCCCGGTTGTCCGCTGTTCTGTTCTATGCCGCGCCGAGCCGTGCCGTGCTTGCCGTGCCTGCATAATGGTGACGGGAGGTTATTTCCCAATTTTCAGCTGGCTCATAGCCCTATAACGGTAGCGTACTCCTACCTGTCTTGTGTAGGTCAACGTCACCATCACATCCACGACCTTGCGTGCTGTCACAGGCCTTTTGACACAGGTAGCCATGCGTCTCCCTATTGGCATGATTCCTTGTTTTTTTACTTTCCTAAGTGGGATATTGGCTTTTCCCGGCCCTCCTGGTCCAGCAACACGGCCTCATTCCCTCAAACGCCTTTCAGAGTACAAGTCCTCGACAGCAGGTTGTAGCTCTGGTCAAGAGGCAGTCATCCAAGCACCAGTAAAGAATATCTTCCAGAGTCTTACGGATGAAGAATATGCCCATGTTACGGCGTATCTTCATGAGCAGAAGGAGCTCAACTTGACGGCTGTAGTTAACTCGACCTCGTGAGTCTTTCTGTTTCTCTTTACTCCCTATTACAGCTTTCTCAAACGCCTTCTGTCTACTGCTCACATATAACTATCGCGACAAGTCAGCTAATGGTGCCCAGTTGGGATAATGTCATCGTGTCTCTGGACCTATTACAGCCGAACAAGACAGATGCATTGGCATATCTTGAAAGGCACGGTCCTGCTCCAGTCCGCTATGCAAGAGCAACCCTCCAATTTAACTCGAAAGTGCAGCCCTATATTCAAGAGTACATGGTCGGGCCGCTACCAATCGAAAAGGGGCTGACGCATCATGAGGAACTTAACTACATGTTCACATCTGGCCGAGGCCGAATCAATGTGTACAACGCTGATGGTGAAGCCATCGCTGCTTTCAATCTCAAGATTGGCACGGAAATAAAGGACATTACCAAGCAACTTCTCAATGGCGTTAGTATAACCTTCTAGGATGCCTCTAAGAAGCCCTCAACTAACCATGTCAACAGACCGCAACCGGTGCCAAGACCGACAATCTGCTGATTGCAGGTAGTGACCCTCTGATTCATCGCCATGATAGGGTCTACCAGTGGAACGAGTTCTACTCTGCTCATACTGGTGAATTCTACTCAGAGACAATACTGCCCACAAGTCTGCAATTCAAGGTCGACCTCACTGGTCGAGATCCATCCAAGTGGAAGGTGGTAGGCTGGTACTACGACGGCAACTTCTGGCCGACGACTGCAGCCTTTCGGAAGGGCATCAAGACCTTGAAACGAAAGCCAGGACCAGTCGTTGATGGATCTTGGACTTCTACTGATCAGCAAGGCGATAGCTTTCCACGTGATCACCTATACCCTCCCATTTCCGTCCAACCAGATGGTCCTCGGTTCGGAGTGGATAGAGAGCAGAACTACGTTGAATGGAGTGAGTGCTTTGGACATCATTTTGCCGTACATGTGGCTGATAAGAGTTCAAAGTGGATTTTAGTTTCTTCCTCTCTAATCACAAAGAAACGGGTTTGCAGCTACACGACGTTCGATTCAAGGGCGAACGTCTGATCTACGAATTTGGTCTTCAAGAGGCTCTTGCGCATTATGCTTCGCAAGACCCCTTACATGCCTCATCGGCATATCTTGATTCCTCATACGGCATAGGCACCAGCCAATGGAACCTTGTCGACGGCTTCGACTGCCCATCCCATGCTACCTATCTCAACACAACGTTTTACATCAGCGAGACTACTCATGTGCATCCTAATAGTTTGTGTTTATTTGAGTACGACACCGGCTATCCTATCCAACGCCACTTGACCATGGACCATGTGTCTGCGACCAAGAACATAGTCTTTACCATACGGAGCGTCTCCACGGTAGGCAACTACGACTATCTCTTTGAATACTCTTTCCACTATGATGGCTCTATCGCCGTTACTGTTCGGGCCTCAGGCTATATTCAAGGAGCCTTTTGGTCAGGAGACGGTGACTATGGTTATCATATTCACGATAATCTGTCTGGGTCTATGCATGACCATGTCATCAATTTCAAGCTGGATTTAGACATCAAGGGCAGAAGGAATAGTCTGATGAAGACAGAGTTTGTACCACACACCCAAGTGTAAGATGTCCTCAAGCCTTTGTACCTCAACCTGCTGACTTTGAACAGCTATCCGTGGTCTGATGGTCAATCTATAAATACAATGAGGGTTGACCACTCGTACATTGCCAGCGAGGACGACGGCAAGATAGATTGGGCACCGAATGGAGCTGCTTCATATTCTGTTGTTAATAAGGACAAGCTGAATGACTTTGGGGAGGCACCCGGTTACTCCATAACCCCAAGTATAACACCCTCCCCATACACATACACCCACATTGTGACTAACAGGACCTACAGATAGCGGTAGCACTGCCCACCTGACAGTCAAGTCATCCTCGGCCCTCGGACAAGCCGCCAATTGGGCCAATCATAACCTCTACGCCCTTCAGCACCACGACACTGAGCCAAAGAGCGCATATGCCTTTAACAGCCACGACTTGAACCATCCAGCTGTTGACTTCAACAAGTTCTTCAATGGGGAAAGTCTGGACCAGGAAGACATTGTCCTGTAGGTACCTGCTGCCGCGACATGGCTGTTATTTCAAGCTGATAATCATTACAGATATTTCAATCTAGGCATGCATCACCTCCCTAACACAGCCGACCTACCCAACACTGTGACTACGAAAGCTGTATCTTCCATGATTATTTCTCCGCAGAATTATTTTGCCGGTGACCTATCACGACGAACCGTCCATCAAGTTCGACTGTCCTTTGATAAGAATTCGAATGTCACTGAGGTCAAGAGGTTCGGTGTTAAGCAGCCGACCTGCGCGCTCGATATGAACAGAGCGGCACCCGATCTGAGCAAGTTTGTTGGGGAGATTGAGATTCCTAAGTTTCCTTGGAATCCAAGTGGTAGTCTGCAGACAAACCCTGGTGGCTAAGTGATAAGGATGGAGAGTAGGCAATAGTGGTATTATATATTAGTTTAATAAATGAATATACTATATATTAATACTATAAACCTTAATTCTTTTATTATATTAAATAAAGAAGGGATAAAGTAGATTTAATCTTATATTAAATTTTAATTCTAAAGAGGTAAGTTTATTTTAAGTTACTTCTTATAGTAAAGAACTTCTTTCTTTCTTAAAACGTAGTAACTTTAATGTTATCAGCTTTACAAACGCCTCTGTAATAAGACTAGGATAGAATTTCTTGAACATATTTATCTCCGAACCAGCGCCTTCAACTGACTGTATCTTAAGTAGGTGGTTACGGAGAATGGTAGAGACGTATGTGGAGTACGGTGTGTACACTAAGTCCTGCCTTGGCCCAGTGCGTTCAGGCTCGGATCCTTGACTGTTGCCACGTCGAATCAGCCGTGGTAATGCGTTTGCGCTTTGGATATGATGAAGTGGAAGATTCAATCGAGGGTAAGCTCTGCCTATCAGGTATCTCAAGGGCTGGAATTCTATGAGGCTATATGACCTGGAATACCGTTGCTGCCTGAAAGGCAGCAGCTATTGCCTAGTAGGCAGGATCGTACTAAGTGTTTGCTATAAGTGAGCCACTTGATCTTGGCATGAAGCCTGACAATGTGGAATCTCATATTCCTGGTTGGGTGATGAAGCAGGCAACAGAGTTTCATCAAATGCAGATTCATTTCTCTACCCCATACCATTATTTCTAATGGCCATCGGTGATCAAAATGTCTTACTAAAGCAAGGTTGGCTATGTATCATGACGGATGCCAATGCCACCCTCCTGAACTTTGCTTAGAGGATATTTATTAAGAACTCCCTTTTAGGTGAAAGTAGAATACAGGGCTAGTACAGGGATTATTAGCTAATAATATCGCGAAATATCTACTTTTACCGAAAGTAAATAAAACTATAGAGATACAGCATGGGAAAAGCTTCAACTTTTTCTATTCTGATCCAAATAAAAGCCGTAGTTGTGTAGTGACAATTTCCGATAATATCATGCCTCACTGCAGTCTTCGAATTGCTCTTCGTGATCGATGTCGCTGTCGTCATCAGAAAGAGGGTCGTCCTCGATAGCATCAACGCTTTCCAGCACTGCACCTTGACCATTCGAAGCTACTTTCAAGTCTCCCATAAGATCTAGAGCTCTTTTCAGCCTCTCTCCCGCCAGGTCACGGTATTTTCTATCCTCGCTTGCCGTACGACGCAGGATCTCCTGCTCCTTCTGATCAAGTTCAGCGCGCTGCCTCGCTATTTCTTCTTGAGCCTTTTCCAGTTGCAGCTGGATAAACTGCTTGTTCCGTATAAGCTCTGTAAGCGTTGCCTGAGTATCTATTCGTAGTTGAGAGATGGCTTGTGTAAATGTGTTATCTCCCAGAATTCCAGCAAGGTTTTCTGCATCAGCGAGAAATCGTTCTAGTCCCGCTGAGTTGGTACGTAGACGATGAACAGCGGTATGTCGGATTGCTGCGATTGATTGCAACAGTTCTTTTGAGGGCTTACCGCTCCCTTCCCAAACTAGGTTTCCCTTGCGTCCGAAAAGCTTTGCCCACTTGCTGAGCTCTACCGATTCAGGGCAATCCCAGCCTTGTTTCTGCATGACGTTGGGAAGAGCTCTCGATCCAAATTGGTAACAGGCAAGTTCCAGGGTCTTTTGTATTTTCTCCATAAGCATATGTTCCGCAGGGAATGGTAGGTATACTGGAAGCACCGATGTGTTGCCAACGTCATTTCTCGCAATACTGTCATTGATGCCTGTCGATCCAGTCAGTCACCATGAGCGGTCTGTGAGAATGATTTCACTTACCGTTCAGGACCGTTGTGGCTTCTGTCCATTCCGAGTTTTCCTGACTGTCATCGCCGTGGGTGTGGATAATGTCCTCGGGCGCAGACTGTTCGGTCCTGGTCGCTTCTTCTTCCAATAGAGTCCTAGCTTCGCTCTGGGCCACGGAAGGCTCAAATAGATCGGGAAAACGTTGGCTGGCGATCAAGTTCGACTCGTACACCTCATCCGACAAGAGGCTCAATATTGACTGATGGACGGTCCCGGCGCCGTACTGAGTCACAAGCTGCAGCACCGAACTTCTGTCCCCTGGATGCTCCCTAATATATCGTTTCACAGCTTTGACCTTTCTGGTTCTGGCTTTCTCGTCTACAAAAATCTCCCTTGTCGCCTGATAGACAGCCCTATCGAATTGGGTCAACACACCTGTATCCATGTCGGGCAGTCTGTGAAGTTGACTTAGTATTTGAAATACACAATAATGAATCAAGGCAGAAGAAAAATGAAAGTTTTTTGTAAGCTGTACCAGCTCGTTTCTAGGGAAAGGCCTAATTAAAAGGAAGAAGAAAACAACCAGAACATTTTTTCAAGTGCTTCTCAAGGCAGGGAGCGGGGAAGTCGTGCTGCCTTGTTGGTAGGCCTCCTGCAACCTGTTGGTGGCATACTTATTGGCTATCTGCATCTCTATGGATTCTCTCACTTTCACTGAGAGACGTTTCGCATTATCATTGGCTAATTAAGTATCCTTGTACTAAACCCGCATTCTACTTTTACCTCAAAGAGAGTTCTTAATTACGTGCCCTCAGCAAAGTTCAAGCCAAAATGGTGATCTCGCTATCTCATTGGTTGAATTTGCTTTTTTCCATTAAATGGTTCCGATTTAGAACTATTCGAATGACCTGGGCGCGTCGACGCGTGTACGACGTGTATCTTAGTCACCTCCATGCTTAGGCTTGGGCGCTCTGAGAGCCAGAGAGTTGCATTATTATTACCCTCTTAAGCTATCCGCCAGTATTTAACCCAAAATTGAGATATCCACATCGTGAAAAGACCGTTCGAAAAAACTCAAACTGATTGTGTCGTGGTTGCTGGGACGAGCGAGACGACGCCATTCTATACAAGGTGATTAAGCGCGAAACAAAACCATGGGGTCAGCTAAATTTGCCATTTTGGATTCCGAGGTTGTCAAGCTAGCCTTCGGCTTTGAGGCGATCTTGATGGTTTCCTTAGGATTGAAGCTACGGAGATGTTGCACGGCAGCCCAAGCTGCCTCCGCGTAGCTTAAGTAACAGGTTTTTGAATTGACGATGCAATACCAATCTGGTCTTATCTTACCCCATATCAAGACCCAAGTCTACCATTTCTCCATAAGATTCTTCCTTGCAGTCCACATACGCGCTCGCTTACCGAAGATGTACATTGGTATCGAAAATAAGCAAACAACAAGCTGAATAACTCCAATCCAAATGAAAACCTTTTTTGGTCCGTCTTTCTCAAGCCAATGAGACACGAAAAGACTAAATACAAGCCCATGTGCAATATTCTTTGTAAAATTGAGTGTGACAAGGGCTTCACCGGCGTATTGGCGGTAGCTATCCACGCAGAAGGTGATGGATGTTGTGGAACCTAAAGAACAGCCGAATGAAATAATGCCGAAGAAAATTGTTGGTACGATCCATTCGTCGTGGACTTCGGCAGACCATCCAAAACCTATCAATCCCATACATGTTGTAATTAAGATAGGGAGGGCCATAATGAGTCTAAATTCGGGCTCGTATAGACCTCCGTTTCGACGAGCCATGGAGCGGACCAAGATATCGCTGATCTTACCGGCGACGCCTGTACCGAGAACAGCTCCGATGAAGGGAGCGAGGTACACAAGACCTGTTTGGATGGCCGTGAAGTTATACCTATGAGGGTCTCGATAGATCATCGCCATTGTCTCGGCTAGGACGATCAGCCAGCCGATGGAGCATGAGTACATGATCGCTGACCAGAGGACAGCAGGATAGACTAGGAGAATGAATGGTCGTATCATAACTTTGAACCAGTTATCGTTGTTGAGACGGCCGTTGAAGACCTTCATGTGCTGGATGAATGAGCGGGCGGGCCTTTGGCGGAGGTCTTGTGTGTAGTTGTTGGGGACGGGATAGGTAGGAGAGGCCATTTCGGGGTCTGATTGTTTAGCTGAGCCAGAAGACTCGCCGTTCTTTTCATTCTCTATTGGTAATGGCGTTGCTCCCTCTGAAGAGATTTTGTTTTGATCCTCTGGGTCTGCAGAAAAGCCAACATGCTTGTGGTTCTCGTTCGCGGAACGGATCAGAGCCTTTTCATCAGACTTGTTGCCCTCTGCCATGGCTGCCAATAGCTGCTCGCCTCGGCGAGAGGACATGCGTCGAAGAAGGCTGGGCTTGTGAGATGGCTTTCGCGACGGAGTTCTATCCCAAAAGGTCTCTGGGACAAACAGAAACAAGAGGCAGAAAGCGAACGCAACAACCATGGCCATGATGCTTTCCAAGTTTAGCAATACTTCAAGCCAAATAGTGAGGCGTAACTTACAAAAACGCCCACCTCCATCCAAGCTTTCCAATAATGGCAGCTCCTGCAAGCGGGATCAAGTTCTTTCCACCAAGGAGTAGAAGTGTATAGATACCAATTCGATAAGCCCTCTCATGAAGAAAGAAAATCTCTGCAATAGTCGCAGAAGGTAGACACTCCACCGGACTTATTGAAATACCCTGGAAAACACGCGCGGCCAACAATGACTCAAAGCTGGGCGAAAGGCCAGACCAAAGGGCAGTACCGATAAAGATGATGGCGCCAGCAAGGTAGATCGGTCTTTTACCGTAGAGGATAGCAGTAGGAGATGCAATAACGGCTCCAATGCCGAGACCAGTCATGCAAAGACCCGTCGTCAATGCTACTTTCTCAACTGACACGTTGAACTCTTCTGCAACGTCTGTGAAGCCAGCGGCGATAAGGGGAGTGATTCCACCGCCGATCATACAGTAGAAGCCTAGTGATAAGAGGGCTGCGTCACGACGCCAGCTGGGCCAGTTCAGAGGGTCGTTGGCTGAATCATCAGGTTGCGGGTCTAGAATGATTGTTCCGTCATCGGTTCTCTTCTTACTTGCCACGGCTGGTCTCGATATTTGGGTTTCCACGGCAAAGCCAGCGGGGATTGAAGAGTGGGATGTGCGAGCATGGATGTTGCGCAGACCGAGAGGCTCGTTACGGTCGTCTGCGAGGAGCAAAACGGATCCTAAATGGTGTAAAAATACTATTGGATATTCAACGGCGGAAAGACTGACCGGGTACTTCAACGGTTTCCCTGTCATTCAGAATGCCCATGGTCCATTTGGCTGGGCCAATAGAATCGTTTGTAGAGTCTTCATTATTCGAAGCTCTGTTTCCGAATAGACGGTTCCATCTACCAGGGGTGACAGACACATCACGAGACGCCATTGTCGTTGATGTCAAAGACAAGAAGCTGAAATGAGTCAAGGTAGAGCAGATTAATTCTTCGACGAACAGAGTCTAAATAGGGAAAGGAGTCTTGTGATAGTAGATCTGGGTCTAGGTCGAGAGATAAAGGATAGAAGGAGAAAAATAAATGCAATTATACCAGAGAATGCGTCTAAATAAATATTATCAATTAGCCTTTGCATTGCAGGATCATCATATAAGATAAAGATGAAACTTATCAAATGGCAAGCGCCATAGATATCGTCGATGGAACTGCCCGTTAATTGATCATGTGCAATCCGCTGAATTAGCCTCCAAAGCTCATGTGAGTTCTGACTCTCACCAACTTGTTTGTGTAGGCTGCATTGCACATTTACCAGCAGATCTACATTTTCTAGGCAAATAAGCAAGCGGGCGGCTATCGTGGGTGAAGCAGCTATTCTGATAGGATACACCTTGTTCGTTGTGTATATCTCGTGAGACAAGAGCGAAAGACAGTCTTGGTGTTGTTGGCCCCGACGCTAGTATGTAGACTAGACCATGTGCCATGCTTTGTGGGGGGTGAGCATGATAAAGTCCCCGCGCACGAGGAAAAAGTTTCTGGGGCTGGTGTCGCACCTGATTAAGTGTATAAACATATCTCCGCGGAGCCTAAATTTTAGAAAGTTTTCACACTTGGATTATTGCGTCACAGTGCAGCAGGGTCTTGTTAATAACAGGATAATACTTTATTTCAGGGTCTTGTTTGGCTTTATTTTTTTTTTGGTTTAGGAGTTGAAGATGGTGGTGTCGGGGCTAAAGTGTCGTGCGTGCAGCCATTATCCGTCGCATTCAAAGGATATAAAAACATTATGCTGAAGAGCATTAGTGAGTATACCTAAGAGGCAGGGGAAGACCATCAGCGGACTATGATATATCTATTCATAAGCCGGCATGGGAGGAAGGTGTTGCGTGTTAACGATTTTTCCTTAACAGGGCGGGCAGTAAATGGTTTCAAGTGAATGCCCAGAAGCGAACATAAAGTGATGTCTACAAGAAAGTGCATACAGACTCGTTCTAATCGCAAGTGACGCCTCAAGAACTCGGCCCGGTCTTAAATTCTCATCTGAACGAGGTAATAGAACGTGAAAAGAAGTTCTAGGAAGTAGTGAACCAGCCGCATTTGTGTAGCAAAGACATAGACACTAGCTCTTTTGCAACTACAAGTAGCTAGGTAGAGAGAACACAATGGCAATCTATATACAGAGGCTCAAGGCGCGATATTTTGCGACCATCGACTCGATTATATACCCGGACGAAAAATATACATAACATAATAACATAACATAACTAATACGACAACCGGTGCCTGCGCGATGGCCAGCGCCGATGACTGCGCGAGGGCCGAGCCTACTGAGCGCTCCATCGATGATCGCCTACTCAACACTCCATCTTTAATCCAACCAGGTAAAGTACCCCTGCAAGAACCGCTCTCATGACATAAATGCATACTTACAGTCAACCAATAATAAGAACGACTCTCCTTCTATAGAGCCGGCTTATGAGATAATGACACTGATGAATGAGTCATGGTGTAATCTAACAGGAATATCTGTGGACCAAAGCTCAAGGAATAAACTAGATTAATCGGCGGCAATTGAAGGTTCTCCGATTATGAAAATAGTTGCCACTTTACCGAACTTACAAGTTGAAGCTGTATATTGTAAACCCAACGTATAATATCTCCCCTAGAGCTAAGCAGCTATATCGTATTTAATAGCGAAAATAAAAACTTAATCTATTAACCACAAAGTATAAAGGTTACATAGTTGCAATGTTTTAGGATATGCTTAACATAGCCGACAACTTATCTTGCATGCAGATGTCGGAGGTCCCTGTATCCGACCTCCGATCAGGTCAGTGGGTCTTTTGATTTGATGTAAGTGGAGCCGAGGCCTTGACTCTTGTCCACGAACTTATTATAAAAGTCCTTGCATTACAGAGTGTATACCAGTAGCTTAAATCTATTCCTCTCTATTCTATTTATGTTAAATAATTCTAAGAAGTATCTAAGCTACAGGATTTTCTACTATCAACAAAAATGGTTTCTCTAGTCCTCTTAACTGCTCTTTTACAGTTAACCGTCCTCGCCTCTGCTACTCCCAAGCAGCACGACTATACCGATAAATTAACCTCTAAGAAATATGTCAATTCTTTGGAGTATTCTCTCAGTGATGAAAGAAAGTTCCGCGAGTTGTCTTATAGATGGACACACGCCTGGGATCAGAAGGTATTGGGGATGCCTTATGCTTCTAGTTTATATTTCTAATCGTATACAGGACAGAGCGACATGGATGGCTATAACTGCCCCTGAAGTTATTGCCAACTATACCGACTATCCAGCTGTCGGAACACTAACTATCAGCAGCCCTGGAAATATTTTCGACCATTCATTTGACAATACGGGCCTTGGTGATAAGCGATGTAAGTTAGCCGCCCTGTTGATTCATCACCATTACTAACATACTAACGCTAGTGCACACCCAGCATTTTCTCGGCTCATCCCTCTTTACACATATTAGCAAGACCAAGGCAAAGGGAGACTGGCAGGTTCGAGCTCGCCATGTCAGGGAAGTAAACGGTGAAGAGCATCAATGGGATTCTAGTGCATATGTTGAATTCACCTACGAACTCATTAATGAGAACTGGAAGATTTCTGGACTACGTCCCCATACAGTAGTGGCTACTACTGGACGACCTGAAGAGGTTATTGGTTTATTTCCCTAAGGGCTCTGGAAAGGGATACTTCTGGTGGGATAGCTAGGGCTATGACGGGTGCTATTCCAGAATTTATCCACTAAGGTATGCAAGATATGGTACACGAAAGACTGTATGGAGTCGTGCCTGAGATAGCGCTTTAGTAAGGACCCTAGTACCTTTGTATAGTAACATAGCATTTCCAGTATATAGTGTTTAAAGGAATGCGCCCTATAATCTTGGCCTTCAATCAGTCCTATTTTCTCTAGCTACTGCTACTGGCAACACAACAATTCCGAAAGGCTCAGAATGTACACCTCAATGTTGCTGGGCAATCTCCGACGTCATATGTGAGACCGGGCTGCCTGATGGGTGCTTAAACTTGCTATTCCATTCACCGACTGAAGCGGCTAGCACAATCGACAACCTTGTTTCACACCTACTTGTCGAGAAGATCAACTTTACTAGCAGTACTAGAGCCAGGAGGATCATCTCGACCACTGCTGAGAAGCACTTGAAGCCCGTCTTAATAGAGCTTGAAGGAAAAGCCAGTGGAATCATACTCAAGGACGCTGATCTGGAACAAGCCGCTATATAAGGCGTTTACGCTCCAGCCATAACGCCTATTCCGGACACTGAAAATCCTCTGATATTCTGGCTCTCACTTCTCTTTTACATGCAAAGTATATTCTGGGTGAAAACGACTGTCTTGCTGCCGCACCATGGTTTTGTCATCTCCGTGCCTTGAATAATTCCTCAGTCTGAGATGGTCCAGAGAAGTAAATTGTATTGTTTCTATATTAAACCGCGAGACCGTTCATGGTAGAATGATGAAGCATGGGATTCTTGTCAACACCCTTCATGAGCTTGTCAGCATGGATTATCTCTCCTGACGATGATGTAGTTGTCGGTATCGAATTGCTATTTCTTCACATGTTAAGTAATTACGCTGATAAGGCAGGTTCTGCAATGGTTCAAGTCGACATTCCCGTGCTTGCTAACAACGTTGCCAACATAACCCGGCAAATATAAGCATCGTGGCTGGCTATGTCCGTTGTGGTCGTTGCATAGCTGATAGAATTTGTGCAAGAGCAGGAGATTTGAACTCAACAAGGCGAGTTGACACAACAGTTGCTAGGCAGACTTTTGAGAGGGGAGGATGTATAAATCCCCTCGTTCCACAAGTAGTTTCTGAAGTGACTCATTATCCATTGCAGGAGCTCATAGTGCAGTTTGGGCTAAGGATTATTATTATAGAGAGCTTGGCACCATCAAGGCAGAAAACAGTAACTAAAATAGAGCTATCTAATAGATACTCACAGACTAAACTGGTGAGGGCTTATCAGTGACTCAAGAGCTTGCCCGCATTGTTGCCATGTCGTCGTGTAAGTCTTGTTTTTTCCGTCGACCAACATTTGCATCCGCCCCTTGTTCAGGCCGAAACCGATCCATTACACCAGGTAGGCTAGGCTGAGCTTGCATCATCTCTCACGGCATGGTTGACAATGCTCCTCTGGCTTCTATACTCCTAGTCTACTAATATCCCTGACGCCCAGTTCCTCATCCTCTGCGTGGCATCCTGTGCTGCTTCTGCTTGGTTCTCGATGAGGATAAAGTCATGAACCTCATGCTCGCCGACTTCAAGCTGAACAGGGATCGAAAGGCACTTCTCTTGAGCAACTTTCCCAAATTCGATAATTGCATCACTGAAAACCTCGCGCCTACCAGCAGTAACGTAAAGGGCGCTCGCTATCGCTGGGAGATCACTTAACCATGACAAATCTCCATCCACGGCGAGGCAGGGGTGAGCTTCATTTACTCTTGGCTCCAGGTCCTTACTACGGAATGGGTGCCCTGAGATACGCTGGAGGATGGCTGCAGAGAGCATGTCGACGTTGCCATATTCTTTGAACGAGGTTGTGTCTGTTCGATCGCTGAGCCAAGGAGAGACCAAGAACATGCCTGCGACTGGGATCTGAAGCTTCACTTCTGGAACCGCTGGATGGGGATGTAGGAGGTGGTAAGCGAGCTGAGCTGCCAAGTTCCCTCCGGCTGAGTCACCACCGACTATGAGGTCACGCGGATTCACGCCGCTCTGAAGCAGATGATTGAGAGCGGCAGAGGCTTGGCGAAGCTGATCAGGATATTTTCCACCTGGCGCCAGCGTATACTGCAGTACCGCAACGGCAACCTCTTTCTCCAATCCAGGCCCACCATTGACATATGCCTCCCAGCACCAAGTGAAGTGGCCTGGCAGAGGGGGCGCGACGTATCCGCCGCCATGTAAGAAGAGGACGAATTTAGATGCTTTCTTGCGATTCCCGACCCACATTATAGATGCGTCAGTGCCAGTGAGTGGCTCGATATCGAGATTTACTCGACTGAGATGGCCCTGTCCAGGTTGTTGGCTCAGCCGATCTCGCTGCTTCTTGATCCAGGCGGTATAGACATCTATCGTTGGTGTCGAGAGGAACTGAATTTGGCGTGGATTGAAATCGCCTAGGAGGATGCGTCCGACCATGGACGTAAGCCAGAGCTGCAATGGGATCTTATATTTGATAGCAAGGGGTATGCCTCGGACGAGAATGAGCATGATGGTTCCGGGTACTTTGTAACTGTGAGTCTAGGAGGCCAGGGCCACTGTGACGTGGAATGGAATCTCACCTCGAAGTATTCTGAACGCAAGGTCCAGTTTCTCTGAGAGGGATAGTGTTGGGATGGTGGTTGACTTCATCGCTGCTTTGTATTTTGATATCCACTAGACTCGTGTCACTTAAGTTCTTAGGCAAGTTTTGTGGATATTTTACAGACTCAATAATCTAGCAGAAGAATAGTGGATATTCAAAGTATCGGCTTAATATATCTTATCAGAACATCATAAGCTTAAGACGATTTATTGACGCTAGACAGAATACCCTCGGCTTTGGAAAGCGGCAATTGTCTGCGGCAAGTAATAGAGTTTATGCTAGTTTAAAAGTCTCAGCTTGGTGATCTAGCCAGGATCTACAAACGCCATTCTTAGGCTGTGTTTTTATTAGATACCCTGGTAATCCAAGATCCCACATTACTTCTACCAAGCTACCATGCTAACCAGATTTCTCCACTGACAAACCCCAGATTTTATTCTAGCAAGTCTGATAAGGAAATCAAGGCAATGTGTCACGTCTCCGCTATCTTGGTGTGCTTGGCCAGCTCGGGCAAGCACTCATCATTTAATGAGACTAGCCTCTTCCAGAATATCATTTCTTCCTTCGAGCTAAGAGGCCGGAAACTAAAACGAGAATTTGGACGTCTACATCAGTTCCTTATAACAGCAGAGGGGTTAAGACAGCATGTTTTAATATCCCAGCCCATTGAACCTGAGTTTCATGGCTTTTTTGTTAGGCTCCCCCGCACAGACCGTTAAATACTACAAATCGCCGTTAGAGGCTGAGAAGCCTGTCAAATCATAAGTCACGAAGATTTCGTAGAATTCAGCTTATCGGTTATCGATTCAAGTAGGTACCCTATCACTAATGGGGGCCAACTAGCTACAAACTTCTCATCTGCCATTGGATGCACAATGCGTCAAGGTGAGCAGAGAGTACCCAACAATTTCCGGTGTTACATCAATGGTCACCACGTGGGTGGATCTCCATATCGTAACCGCCAGCATTTATTATCAGCCCTGCCAAACCACGCGAGATTCCAAGTCCCATGACTCGCGCGGGCTCTAACCCATGGGCAACAGATCAACGGAAGTTTCCAGCACCATTGCATCGGGAAAGAGGAATACCGCTCTGTCTCTTGATACACATGGTGATGGCACCAGCAACCCATTTGACACCCTCATAAGAACCCTCCTCATGCGCGTCAGCCATCCAGGTACCGGTCTGCTGCATAGAACCAACGCATCCTCTGAACTGACGGCCGTAGCGGCGGTTGGTCCAAGGTCTAGTGATAACAACACCAGTCTCGCCGGACTGCACGGTACCGCGGACAGTGACAGTGGCTTGAGTAGTCCAAGTGCGGGAGTAGTTGATGCCAAAGTTGGCGCCAAGACGGTCCTTGACAGCGGTAAGATCGAGGCCAGCGCTGACAGAAACGCTGTTGGCAATACTGAAAGAGGAAGCAACGCTGACATCAATTCCGTTGCGACCGGCACCGATAACAACGGGGGACATCTGCACGTCCCAGTCGACAAAGCGCTCAGTGCGGTCGGTCACGTAAGAAGTGGTAGATCCACAGGATTGACGCTCCTCAAGATCCCGAGGAGCAACGGCCTTGGCTCCAGCATCAAGCCAGTCCTGGTCGATCTCAGGAGTGACGGAAGAGATGCCCTCAGACTCAAGAAGCTTTTCATAGACGGTGACATGGACAACCTCCACTGAGGCTCTGTTAACCCATGTTCAGTTGTCAAGACATGAGGGGGACTTACTGCGGCCCTCGCCGTAGAGGATCACTTCATCTTGCTTGAGGACGTGGTCGGGGGTCCAAACAGTCGAGTTGAGATCTCGCTCGGTCATGAAAGGAGCAGCACTGGCAACAGCGGCCAAGCTGAGAAGAATAAATTTGGCAGTAATCATGTTTCTAGAAAGACTCGAGAGAAGATAGGATATGGAAGAAGTGCTTAAGAGAGTGGAGAGAAGGGACTGGCTGAAGGAAAAGGGTTGTTCTGGGGCCAAGAGCTGCACGGCCCTTTATACACAGATATGGTAGGCCACAGACTCAAGTTCTCAAGGTATCTCAAGTTGTGTCAAGGCCATTGATAATTCTCTCACCAATACAACACCGGCAGTTACTTCTCATCCGATTCCGGAAACTCCCTCGCAATCCCAGGTTGTTGTTCTTCGAACTATTTGCGCGGCTAAACATATCGTCCGTTTACAGAATGTCGATCTCTCTATGGTTGTGGATACATCCAGTTGAAGTCTCGGCAAGACCCGAGCTTCTGGTGTATTAGGAAGGTGATGCACTAGTCGACGGGTCCAACTAACACTGCAGAAACAGACCGTCTCGACAACAAGGTTAATATGTCGGTCCGAGATACTGGTTTAGCTATTATTGGACAGGCAGCATACAGAGCTATCTCTATAATGACTTCAATTATGATGTGTTCATACAGGGAGGTGCGATTCCAAGACAACTACCGAGCCTCGTGGGAGAAGTATAGGACTCGGAGAGGCGCTGTATCCTAGTCATCTGTCGTATAGCATGACTCTAGTATTAAATTGGCAGGTGAAGTTGGAAGAAAGGGCATAGGTTCAGATAACAATGAGGTCATGTGTTGGTCATGGGTTGTTGACAAAAGAGTTGAATCTTCCGTCCTCGGAGTCGAGCTTGGGATTTAGCCGTGATTTGCAACATATAAGCATTCTCTCTTCCATTCTTGAAGCTCAAATACTCCAGTATAACGTTCTCGTTTCTCCCCTCAACCTCACCTCAACTCTTCATTGTCCCTATCATCACGAGTCACAATGCAGTTCCTCAACATCGCCTCTCTTCTCGCCCTTGCGGCTCTGTAGGATTCCCTAGAATCCGTGTCATGTATCTCAGTACTAACAGCAACACTGCAGTGCTTCTGCTAAGCTTCACAGTCAAGCTGTCTGCGTTACCAACCGTCGTTACGACCCCATCGGTGGAACAGCCTGGAGCCCAAGCTACAACTGGAAGGTGAATTATGAGATTCTCCCTGGCGCCACCAACTGCGCTTGCAACTACTACAAGAGCCGCAATACTGGCAATAACCAGTGGGACAAGTGCCCTGACTGTCGCTTTGTAAGAAGTCCCCAACACCAGATCTCAGTAGCACAAGAAACTAACACGAGGCAGGATGGCCTTGCCTGCGAGTCTAAGGGCTGGCACATTGGCGGTGACGAGGTGAGTACCATAGCAAACTATCCCCAGTCCCTTGAAATGGGTCTTCGGTTCAATGTTGACTGATAATGGCCCTCAGTTTACCTACTATTGTGAGAAGAAGTGCGGAGCGCAAGGAGCGGAGGCGAACTAGTGTGCAACAGCCTTGTCTTTAGTTGTATCAAAAGGACCCTGAAGGACAATGCGATGTTTGAGTACAAGCTCTGATAGGTCAATACCAAAGAGGAAATTCGTATAAAAAGTCGTAAAAGCGACATTCATGTGGCAGCTCGACATTTGCCGTTACCGTGGGGTTCCTGAACCAGTCCCGCAATTTGACATGACTCGTGCTGATCATCAACGTGATGAGGACCATGACAAGCAAATAGGGAACGGCTCGTCGCGCATTACATTAGTTCTCTCTGCTGATTTAGAGACAAGCTACCTGTTTAGAGTGTAGTATTTCCACGAATGGTAGCTCAAAAACCGGATTTTAAACTTTACAGGGAATATTGACGTTGAGTTATGATTGGTGTATCGTGGTTCCTGGATGAATGTACTTCCAAAATGGAAGTTTCTTGCATTTCCCACAAACCATGCGAGCATATTGTCAAGAGACGTATCAGATTTATGGATCTTTGACGGAGAAATTTAGGTCCCTGAGCCCAGCTCATAATGGCACCTTGGCTACTACAAGGGACCTAAGCTCTGACAGCCCACGTGCTCTAGTAGCTGTCAACCGAACTATGACATTGGTCCTCCAACGCCCTGGTATGTTCGCAATATCAGTGCTTTTACAGCCAAGTTGTAGTGGAGCCAGTAATGATATACAACCCTCTCTCGCCAATGGCCGAGTTGGTCACTCATCGTTCAGCGGGTTCCACGAGCCGCGGGAATAGATGACCCGAAGACCCTGCAATGTTTTCATTGCCGAAATGAGTATGTGTCGATCGCCATGGCTCAATCTGACCAATGCCTGGTTCTAATCAGCTACGAGACCCGCGGGATGGGTCCCTGGGTTGAGTGATCCGGGAGGTTGGTGGCTCGAGTCATCGAGTCTGTAAACCTTTGTTCTCGCGCCTGTTGAAAATGCAACTGCAGAAAACTTTTCGATCTGCCGATTGCTTTGAGTGAGCTTACAAGACAAGGATCAGGGTAACCTCATCAGAGAAGACTCATGTCACATTTCTTTCGCCTTCTCGTTTACTTTCGTCTCTCAAATCATGGAATAGTTCGCGAAGCAACCCGAAAGATGTCCGTAGTCTTGCATTCTTAAGGACTCTTGCTATTCTTACTTATGGAGAATAGTTCCCTTGTGTCTCAACGAGCTACAGTGTAATAAATTCTTGAAAACCAAAATAAGAGATGCAAAGAAAAGGTAACACAACTATATGCGGTTTTATCGGTTCATCGAAAGCTTGTGGCTTGATGCTTTGCGCTGTTGAAACTAGCCACCATGATGAATGTTTATTTAGCCCAAGATCTTGCTCTGCATAATGCACTTGTGGCGGAAACCGGATGAAACTAAAAGTTAAACCGCCACTCAAGGCGAAGCCGAGACTTAATAAAGCAACAACAGTCAAACTATCAGATTCTTGATAAGTTCTGATTTGTCGGTCTTGCAACGGATGAAAGGACAGAGTTTCAGGCACAGGCATGTAAAAAGCTTAAGAATAGGAGGTCCTTTATGTTGGAGTTTTATTCAATAGCTTCACCCCTCTCTTGTCTTTCACAATCGCTGTGTCGTCGGCCAATGATGCAATGATATCGTCTGAATGCAGAAGATGTATATACTCTCTGCGGTAATAAATATTTGCAAGTTAGAATGTATCTATTTTTCTTTAATTGAACTCTATGTTGGTGCCTGGAGATGCGCGAATTTAAAGTCTTCTATATAACAGTATGTTTTGTTTCTCATTTTCACACATTCTCTCGCATCGATTCTCTCGACAAGTCCTAGTTTCGCCATGTCATTCCAGCTAGTCAGGCAGGTAATGGAATCTCATCCAATGCCCCCATCTGAGCCCCCAGACAAGTTGGAACCCCAACCGTCGGAGGAAAAGGTCATCTTCTTCACCTTCAACAACACTCTCTTCGACTTCGACCGTGCGACCCGCTCTGGTCTTCAGAAATGTCGGCAGATGAACCCAGACCTCGGAAAGAAGACCATCCAAGATATCACTAAAAGCTACCATCAAGCCATGAAAAAGGCATTCGAACTCCACCTCCGCTGGGCAGTCCTAAGCCTGCCTCCGCCTCTTGGTAGGCAGGCCAGCTTCTACCGCTCCAACCCCGTTCCAGGACCGAGAACTGGCAAAGTCACCTTGATGTTCCAAGAGCTTGGTCTCAAAGAGCCACCAGTCAGTGAGTGTAGACGGATTGGCCAAGCGTTCGCGGATGAGTTCAAAAACAACCGGTTCGAGATTGAAGGGGCTTCCCGGTGTTTGACAGAATTGCGGCAGCTACAGTACAAGATCGCTATTATCGACGACATTGTTGACATGGACCTTGTGAGACATCTAAACCTCTTGCAGTACATCGACGATATTATCATCTCACCAGATCAATCACACCGCAAGCCAGACCAGCGCATTTTCAAAAAAGGCCTAGATACATATAGAGTTCCTGCGGCGAAGGCTGTGATGGTCGGCTCTTCCGTTGACGACGACATCGTAGGTATCATCAACGTTGGGGCGGAGCCAATCCTATACAGGCCAAGTTCGAACTTGGCTTTTGCTGAAATTCAGATGACGAATGTCATGGTTGTCCGCAGCATGGATGAGCTCGTGTCAATGATTAAGACACGACCGGAAAACCAAGCTCTCGTACGATTCCAACAACAGCAACAACGGGCTGTCTTCTTAGCTTTCCCATCCATCGGTTACTCAAACCAGGACCAAGGATCTCCGGATGATCTGAACAGTGGACCCTCAAGCCAAGCTCCAGATGGAGGTCCGTACCAGCCTCTGCATCCGTCGTTAGAAACCCAGCCTCGACCCTCAGATGATGGGCTTGGAAATCAAGCTCTGTATGAGGCTCTACCTCCACCTCCACCTCCACCTCTGCTACCAGTTTCAAACTACAGCTACGGACCTTCACAGAATGGCGGGCTTCCGAGTTCTCGACGTGGTGAGCCCTCGACTGTTTGTTCTGGAAGAGATGTTGTAAGGGCATATGCTTCGAGTGGTGTACCTTCATACCGCCATCGTGAGGAAACTGTAAATCAAGGTACTGCTGTATATACAAACCCTCACATGCTACCTTATCCCAGTCAGGGATGCCAACAACTCGCTGGGCAAGGAGAGAACATCGGGCCTGCAAACGAATCTTTCCCTGGTGCGTCGACACAGCAGCACCCTAGCGAGCCCATGATGCAATCCACTGAAGTCGGAAAAGAGAATGGTCACAAACGCCCTACATTTCTTCCTTTAAACGACCTTCCCCCCAAGCAACTGAAGAGAGATTCACAAACCTCATCGCGACATGGGAGTTCACAGTATCCGCTCGACGATGCTTTTGGCGTTGCTAACCGATTCGACACCGAGTATCAGGATTCGCAACGCTTTGAACGTTGTTACGCAGACAACGGTGAGGTGTCGAGGATTTGGTGCCCTACCCGAGACGAAGATCGAGTTAGAACTGCAAGTCAGTATCGAAGTTGGCATGAGCATCAAGTGGGACTCTCAGGTCAACAGAACGGAGAATCAACTGATGTATTTGCTGGACCTCTGAGAGACGTATTCTCAAAAAGGAGTGAATCTGGCAAGTTCCAAGAAGTTGGCAGGTTTTTGGAGGACAGGCGTGCTGGACCCTCGAGCGAAAACGGATCGGAACCTTCAGATGAACAGCGACATGGAGACTCAGCTTCCGGCAGCGAACATTCGGATCGTCGAGCAACAGAAGTAACGGACTTAACTTCTGATGCTGAAGATCAAGAACCCCCTAATCTCGCAGGTCTATATCGCCCATCAATACAGGTATATGACACAACCTCGAACGGATCTCAACTTGAGCCTCGGGGCAAAAGTCAAGCTGAAGCTCCAGAACGCGGAACTAGATTCTCTGATCAACAGCCCTCATCTTCAGCCCATGGGAGTGCTGTAGCCTCAGGTGGACGTCTGCGGGGGATGCCATTGAGTGATATGCTGAATCACGCAAATGTACGCCCATTTCAAGCTTCCGGATCACAAAGTCTATCTCAGGATGATGGACCCGCTGGATCCTCGGGACAACATCAAAGGACAGCTCCACATCACCCTGACATTCGCATCTTTGCTCAACAAGCTAATGATCTCCTGGAGCAAGAGACTACACGACTTGATTCGTCTTCCGAGGATGTAAGTGGTCCCCCTAATCGCAAATCAAAACGCTATGGAACTAACATTTATAGGTCAGGGAACACACCGAGGCCACGCCACGTCCTGAACACCAGGATCGATAAGAGCTGGAAGAGTGGCCTCTCAGCACCTAACCTAGCAGACTCCTACTAGAAATCCCTCAGTACAGATTTTGTTAAGGAGATTTGGGAAAGGTATACAGTGGACCAGATAGTTCAGGTAGTTGAATTGAATCCGGTCACGTATAGTTTTGCAGGGAAACTGGCTCCTTTCCATGGTGAAAGTAATTGTGTTGTATCCTAAAAATCTAAGGAGATCACTATTTACAAGTGTCATCAATTGAACAGCTAATACTCACGATCAGTTGTGGCTCCAGGTCCCCCTGACAATCGTCGTGGCACCATGGCTGTTACCAGGAATGTTTTCTCTCGGTGGTACACGAATTGAAGGAACCATACATACTGATCACCGGGTTACAAGATCAGGCGCGGAGAGAGACGTCGATAAAGAGAAGAGACGTCGATAAAGAGAAGAGACGTCGATAAAGAGCAATAGCAGGACTTGTTCAGTCAGCAATGCAGCCATAAACTAAATGCCGACCAACTTCGCTATATCCCTCGAAGGCTCTCCAAAGCTGGGAATCTTTGCCAAGGTCATAGGCTAATTCTGAGACACAACAAATGGACCACATCTCTTCTCCCAAAACTGTCTCGCACTATTCACAATCCTCTTCTCATGCTCATCATTACCAGTCATAGAGTTTGTAATAACCCAAGCATGTGCTCCCATAGCAGCCCGCGGTGAATTGACCAGACCATGTCGCACCGCGGTATCCTTCGTAATCAGATTATCATCGGCAGCGTCATTCGTCACCTCGCGGAACAGGGCTGCCCAAATGTTTTTATCCCTGGGCTCAGAATGGTACCATACTTGGTATAGATCCTGGCCAAAGTATGAGTAGAGATCAGTGGCAGTCTGGGGACAGTCCAAATCGTCCAACACAGGACCTAGGCTGAAAGCCCAGATACCTTCTGTCAGCGCAGTCAGGACTTCTTTGCCATATGGATCAATATTGATGATGTCTCTGTGATCGTTTTTGGTGAATGTACCTTCGGGGAACTTGGCGAGGAGTTGTGCGATGGGTTTCCAAGCCGCAGTCCTAGTACGACCATTCTGAGTTCCCGTTCGATATGTCTCACGCTCTTTTAATGCCTTGCGGATGAGAGTGTCAAGGCTCTTCCAGGCCTCGGCATCCAGAGCTGTCGCCATTATTGCGATTATAGGAAATGTCAGAAGTGGTAAAATTGAAATTGTTATTAAAGGATTAAAATGAACTGCGCTCCGTCATTATTTTCAACTCAAGTGTCAGCCGCGCAATGCATACCCAGATAGGCAAGTTCAGCTTTGCTTAATTCAACCGCAGTGTGATCTACCAATGGCTGCGTGTAATGTGTAGTAGCACAAGCTAACCTACAGGCTCGTCAGGCGCCATTTTACGGAAAGGTCTGCGCAAGCTAATAAAGCATACAAGCGAAATAGGAAATACGAGCAGTATATCTGCGCTTACTATGCATGTAGTTACCCCTCTTTAAATCAGATCATAGTTAACGTGAGAGAGAACAGGGTAATAAAGCACAACATAATTTGAGAAGAGCCTTTCATTAGCAGTATTGTTTCTCTTCTTACTTGTTGGATCATGGCTACACTATCTCAAACCTCAAGTCTCGCAGACGATATTCCGGAATGGACATCCGGTTGTCCAACCTGCAAAGCAATCTGGCTCCAATTCGCAGACCCTGAATCTTCGTCTGAGACCAATCTTGGATCTTCTAAAGAAGCTCTTTCGACTACGTGCCCTAATCACAAAGTACTAGTGCAGAGATTCATTGATTATGTACTCTCTGAGGGACCTCACAGTGAATGTTTCAGTAGTAGTGACTTGAGGTTCCGAAAACTAGGCGAAGGCTTTAGCATAACTATCAATCAATCCTTATCTGGAAGAGGCTATCTTTGGAATTTGCTATTAGTAAAGAAGAATAACATTCCCGACCACCCAGGTAAAGGGCGCTTACTAGACACGAACTAGGCTAATATCGAAATTATTAAGAAATAGAAGCATAGATGCGTTTCTTCCCATGGCGCCAAATGCAAAAACCCTCTCAAAGTCTAGCCTACTCGTCCTGCTTGGTTAGTTGACGTGTAGAAGCAATGTATTATCCCTGGCCATTTACCCGTCAACTATGTGGCAATAAGTTACACTTATAGAAACCATACTCAGCCAGTTATTACTTCAAGCGACTTCACAAGGCTACAGAAGCCCTTCTCTTTAGAAACCACAGATTTTTCACACTTTGTCTCGCCAATCGTTCGTCACGCTATATGCCTAACTTCAGTCATTGAGGAGCGGTATCTATGGGCAGATGCACTCTGTATCACTCACCACGACCCCAAGGCTGCTTCTGAGCAATTGAGATCAATGGGCGCTATTTATGCTAATGCCATTGTGACTATTGTTGCCACAGATGGTGACTCTGAGTCCGGGATACCTGGCCTCAAGGGCATATCGAGCCCTCGAGGGATGAGACAGAATATCATTCCTTTTGGGGATGAGAGACTGTTGTTCGGAACAGTACCTTTCTGAACGAGATGATTTTCTTCCCTTCTCTACCTCAGCGTTATTATCAAAGAGGTTAGACATGTCAGGAATATGCAATGGCCAAGAGAAAGATCATCTTTAATAACCTCGAGCTACACTGGGTATGCGCGTGTAGTTTATGGCATGAGGAGCTGACTTTGTTTACTGAGATCGATAATGAGCTCTATCCTCAGTCCAATATCGCAATGGCAGGGTTCCTGGATGACTCGTCCCTTCGCCGCTATTTTGGTGGATACAACCAGAGGTCGTTGACCTTCGAGGAAGATGCACTTCCAGCTCTGTCGGGTCTACTATCAGTTTTCAGTCGGTCCTTTGAAGGAGGGTTCCTTTATGGAATCCCAGAGATGTTCTTTGAGCACAGTCTCGGCTGGCGACCGTGTGGGAACGGATGTCTCCAACGCCGCATCCCATCAGGCAGACCTATCGAAAGTCGTTTCGAATCTTCTGGTATTCCTTCGTGGTCGTGGCTGGGTTGGAAAGGTTCTGTCGATACGCGGTGCCAGACAGCAATTCGGGTTGCCAGCAACTATGTCTCAGGAGAAGCCTATGTTGAAGAAGCGTTCCCCATCACTGAATGGTACACAAGCAGATTACCCACCGATCCGCAGGAGCAAAGACGGAGAATTCGGCCGACTTAGTTCGACAAGCGTGATGGCTATAAGGATTTCATCAACCCTATGCCCCCTGGGTGGACGCGTGTAGCAGCGCCTGATAATGAGCCCCGCCTCTACCCCGATGGATGCGGCAGGTATATTTTCAAGCATGAATCTATGCTTGAACACTATGGGGGACCAATAGAGTGGTACTACCCATTTCCAGTAGATGAAATCCAGGAATTAACACCTCCCTTCATGCCAGAGCAAACCCAATATTTATTCTGTAACACAGTCCAAGCCAGACTGTTAGGATATCAGCAGGACTCCGATCAGTTGCAATATCTATGGGACAACGAAGCAAAGCTTTGTAATAAATTTGGAAAGGTTATTGGAAAACTGCACCTGCTTAACAAGGATTCGAGGGATCGTTTCCCGGAGAATGCGAATGGAACTGAGGCAGGGCTACCAGTGGATATAGTAGCGGTGTGCAGACTGAAAAGATGTTCCAAGACATGGCATCGAGAAGAAATGGAATCTCGATTGCCGCTTATTAAGGAGGATTTATACCTTGTGCTATGTGTTGAGTAGAAGGATGGTGTTGCATACCGACTTGCAAGCGGAGAAGTGATAGCAGCAGAATGGGAAAATCTAGATCCAGAGAAGGTTTCTCTTGTCCTTGGGTAGACAATGTGCCAGGCTTGGAGAAGAATGGCTGAGTTCTTAATATGCACCAAAAGGTTCACAGAATAATAGACAAAATTACGGTGCAACCTATGCGCGTATGACTTGATGTGCCAAGTTCCTCCTGTCTCGGGCTCCGCGCAATACCATGGTTCAGACTTGGCCCACATCTCCATCTCAATCGTTCCAACCCTCATTCATAAGAAAGGGGAAAGAATGTCTCGTTGTGGAAGCTGAGTTCCAGGATTCTAGTCGATAAGCTCATACTTCCAACCAATAGCCTCGCTACAAGAATGCTAATGCCGATCACATACAGTTGACGCTTAGCTGCCGACTTACGCGAGGAGAACGATGGCTTCTACGGAGTACGTGAAGATCTGCTTGCGACTTTTTGGGCCATTCCACTGATTATTGACAATGTCTTTCAATATAGTTTGACACCATAGATCGTGAGGCTATCGAATGTCCACCTGTTTCCATCAACGACGAAGGGGTTTCTCTCTGCCAGGAACATAGCAGCGCCAGTAAGTCACGGCGGTTCCTTTCCGAAGATATAATTCTGACCAGGAAATTTAGCTTGGATCAAGTGCTTCAATTGGAAGAAGCAGATTATCAAAGCTCAGATAGACGCCAAAAAGGCTGGCAGGCATTAGGTGCTGGGAGCACTCATAGTTATCCAACATCACCATGCTATCTCCTAGATCTGAATTCAAGTCGTCTCCTGAAAGCCACCAACTTGGGAACAATCTCATTCGCAAGCCTCCAGTTCAAATTCTCTTGATAAGATGAGAACTTGAGCACTGATGTAACCCTGATACCGCGATAGGTACTTTCAGGGTCATGCATCGCCATCGGCCAAAGATTCTCGAGAAAAGCGCTTTGCATGACCAGTAGAGCGCCTAGTTCATCCCACAAAAGACTACCCAGTATTCGCAAAGTTCCCTTGTAGCCTGGTGACTCGACGTTCTCTTCGTCGGTTGGTTTGTACTTCTTGTCAACGGCGACAACGAATTTCTCTTTACCAGGCTCTGGTTCGAGATATGATTTCATGGTCGCTTCGTCGACAACCAAGAATACCCTGTCGTGTACCGAGTCATCCGACAAGGTTTCGAAATGCCTGCATAAATGTTAGCATTTCCTCTTATCTTCTGGCCGTGGTGAGCTTACTTCCTCGCAGCTTCGATATCATCATCTGCAATATCCTTTTCCTGACCATCAATCCAATGGATCTTGCACGCTTTCCGTATATCGTTGATGCCCACTGTACCTCGTCCCCAATCCGAAATGTCAGCCTCGAACTTTATCTTAAACAAATCCCACTTCTCAGGACTATATCCATGACAAAGCCGATATGCCATAAAGCCCAAACGTTTGTTCGACTTTCGTCGAGCATACTCAATCCACGGCTCAAAGTCTGGATGATCCGGAAGACCTCGTAGCTCTTCCCTAGCCATAGACTGTGCATCGATCTGACTGATCGCCGAGATAACCATAACCGCTGGGTCAGTGACGCCAACAGAGCTTCGAAATTGTCTGAAGTCCTCTCGCTCGAAATGACTGTACATCTCTTTCCTGTCGAGATACCTAACCCGCTTGGTGTAGTCAGAAGCTCGCCATGCCAAATTCGCAGACCACCTGATAGGTTCTGTGCGAAAACCACCTCCATGAGCTTCTGTAAGTCGATCATCTTCTTTTACTGGAAGACTGTCGCCTTTATATCCATCCGTGGGCATCATGATGGTATAATCAGCTTGAGACGTGTTTTCGGCAAGATCGTGAAGCTTGTTCGTTAATTCCCATTGCTTGTCGCTGTAGTGATCCGGATTATCGGGTTGGTGCAGTGCGAGCTCTTGCACAATTGATTCTCGGATGCGATCAATATGCTCTATGATCCAGTGATGCGCATTCTCACAGATGGAGTCGTATTGTGCTCTGATGAACTGATACCAAAGACCAGTGACTGATACATGCTCGTACACGCCGTCTTCCGCCTCCGCTCTTCTCTTCGCGTTGATCGCCTGCTCGAAGACCTGGAGATGATCCCATATCAGGTTATAAGTCTTTCGTAAAGCCGCCTTGGTACGCTTGGTGTTCAAGTAGATAAAGACATTGATAACCGCCACAAAGTAACGACAAGCCTCGGAGAATCTGTCCGGGTGATCAAGCCCCAACTCTTGCCATCGTCTCTCGGATAACGGTGGCAGCCCCTCCCAAAGCCTCGACTTCATGGCATGAAGCTCTTTGGCAATTGGCCAGAGTCGCGAACTGTCTTCATATGAACCAATCCGTATACCGATCCATTCCCCAGTCGATCTAGCCTGTCGATTAAGTGGAGCAGGTGCCCATTCCGAAGCTGGTCTAGTAAGGTTCTTGACCTCTTCAACCATAAGCAGCGGGCGAGACGTCTTTCGATCCCCAGGAAGTTCTCCAGTCATGAGAAACTCAAAAAAGTGAGGAACTGTCTGAGGTTCCATGATACGGTCTGTGATCCATAGCTGGTGTTTTTTGCCAGGTTGCGGACCGTACACCAAATGGCTGATATCTGTAGGCGTGTTTTTCCGTTTGATCCGAGCTTGACGGAGATGCGGCGTGGCTGGTGTCCCATTCTGGGTCACAGCCATGTCTAGCTGTAGCAGCCGTTCCCCTAGACCCGACATTTCTGAATTATGACGATATTCCGTTGTGTTGTAGTAAATTGATCGTAAAATGGATGTCGTTGAGTGAGGTGATTATAGAAAAGGGGAAGACTTTTTAAGTAACTGGTAGCGAGGTTGTTGGTTCGCTGGCATTAAAACCGGACCCGTTGTTTCAGGCACGGTTAGGCAGCCGGTGGGCAAATCATACGGTGAGTTGGGAGCTGAACCAATAATATCAATTAATTCGGAGGGGAACTAACTTAAAGTGACCTAGAGCTGTGATAACCAACAGTGTTGGTTCTCCAGAGTACAAACGTTGTTGTCGTTGCAGAATGTTGTTTATTTATGCCTCAACTCAAAAGCAAATGCTTCTGAACGCCCTGCGATTTGAAATCAAATTCAGCGCGCATTCTAATAGGTAAAAGTATTTTGTCACATGACGAACACGACGGAGTTGATTAATTGAATCATTCAAAGGCTGAGCGGAAAATGTGAGGATGGGAATAAAGGCTACCCGGGACTTGTTTGACAGAATAATAAATCTATAATATTAAACCATTAAAACCCTCTATAATAAGTCTATATGTTAAGAAATATCTAAAACTCTGAACAAGTGTCATTTTAAGCCTTGGGCTTAATTGACTGAGGGTTGCGGAAGATGTTCTTGGGATCGTACTTTGCCTTGATTGACTCCAGTTTGGCGAGGTTGCTACCCCAGTACATCTCCGTAGCTCTATCACCCTGGAGCTGCGAGTCAGGGTAATTGACATACATACCCCAAGTACCCTCCTTCAGAGTGTTGGAGATACTCTGGCGCAGACCCTTGATTAGGTTGAAGCCATCAGAAGGATACTTCTGGTTCTGAGCAACGCTATCATAGAACTGGAAGAGAAGGAGAGCGTCTCGGTGAACGTAAGCTGTGTCGGTGGGCTTGTGCTTCGAGATGGCGGAGTATTTGCCTCCAGAGATATCCATTTGTAACCACCATGAGTGACTGCTGCTCTGGCCGGTTGTGGAGATGTAGTTGACGAAGGACTTGAATTGAGCGAGAGTGAGCTCGGGAGCTTGAAGGCTACTGGCATAGAAGTTGTCATGCTGTTGAAGATTAGCTATTGAACCCCGTTTGTCACAGATGAGGGAAACTTACTGCATCGTATGAAGCGCTAGTAGGGTTGACGTCAACGTTGGCACCAGCAAAGTGAGTAACCAACTGGATCCAATCAACAGTCGTCGCGCTGACTTGCACGTTGAACTTGGTAAGCAGAGGCTGAAGAGCCTTCTTCAGCTCAGCCTCGGTACCAACAAAAGCACCATCAACACTGTATCCAGACTTGGAGATGAACATCTGCATGGTGATTTCCGCAGGCATAGTCTTTCCAAACTCCTGAAAGTCCAACAAATTCTGAGGAGCTGTTTGTTGGTTCCAGTTAAGACCACCAATGTCGAAGTATGTAATCTGCTCGGGTGCAGCGAAAGTGTCGAACTCTAGCTCAGCGACGACACCGAATGAAGCACCAGCGCCACGTATAGCCCAGAAGAGATCCGAGTTCTCAGTTTTGGAGCAGTGAACGACTTTTCCGGTGGGGAGAACGACAGTAGCGCCTTTCATCAAGTCCAGTGTAAGACCGTATTTGCGCGCGACCATGCCGTAGCCACCGTGCAGGGCGTGACCACCAATACCAACACCCGGGCAAGTTCCATGAGACAGAGCACGCTTTCCCTGGTTCCAAAGCTCAGTGGCGACATGTCCAAGTCTAGCACCAGGCTGAATCTTTGCAGTTCCATCCTTGGCCAACTTGACGCTATACAAACGGTCCAGCTCAATCATGAGATGGCCGTCTTCTCCACCGAAACCAAGTGACGTATAACTGTGGCCACCGCTCTTGGCATTGACGGCGACACCGTGTTTTGAGCCGCAGGCGACAGCAGCTGAGATCTGAGCTACGGTCGTAGGGACTGCGATGGCGACGGGCTCGAATTGAAGGCGCAGATTGTAAGCGGTGCCGTCTTCGGTCCATGTTTGAGTGCCCTTGCTGTCAATTGGGACTTTGGCTTGAACAAGGCAGCTGTTCACAGCTTCTCGTTTCGTCGGTACAGCTAATGATTGTGACGCATTGGCCACGAGGCCGACGACCAAACATTGCAACGTATTCAGACGCATTGTGAACAAATGAGATATAGAAGAGTGATGGAAGGATGAATCGAATGAGATGAAACAAACGGGATGAGTAGATATTAAATGTTATTAAATAGAACAACTGCCGTGCACCCTCGCACTCGCATGATCCACAGATCGACATCTTACGGACTGAGGTTCAAGCCCAATACGACATGAGCTAAAGTAAAAACTACGTTGCGGATCTAATGTCAGTGGTCCTCGCTGTCTCCGGGTCCTAAATAAACGTTACGACATCCCTGCATCGTAAACTCAACGTCACTATGGGAGAAATTACGAACTTTAAGCCGCTAGAACCACATTGCGTTTTCTTCCCGCGACACTAACTGCCGCCTGCATGAACTTGATAAATGGCCAGAAGAGTTAACTTGGATCGAAAATGCAACGTTGATGTAAAAGGGTCCCAGCTAAAAAGTGAACTACTGAGGCTAGTGGCGTTGATGCTCGTGATTCCAAGCCCCCAAGTGCCGATCTACCGGGTAGCATACGAAGTGGACTCTCTATAATTAGCATTTAGCAAATCACAGGCCTCACTAAGCATGAAACATGATGTCACGGCTTTCTTAGCGTCAAGCTGGGCTTACCTGTAATGGGAACGTTTATGGGGTTGGAATGATGGCTGCTGACTGTGCTAAAGGGATCACCGATTTTGGAAGAAGCTTTTCTGCTAACAGGAAGCGTCCTACTAATCCACCCTTCCCTAATCACAATCTTACAGCTTTCACTGTTCAGTTTGTCAAGACGTTAAGAATTCTTACAACGGGCTTGACTTCGGCTGGGTTCGCTTCTTGGCCGTCTTGAAGATGCGAGGCAAACTTGTTTGCTCAGAAGGAACCCAAACACGCATCTTATTAGTCAAGCCTTTGGTTAGCAATAAGATCTTGGGCTGATTGTAACCAGTAAACGCTGTAATGATGAACGGGCCAGAGTTCCCTGAACTTTCATCAACATAAGGTAGGAAGTCAGAGCTATACTCAAGGAGTCAAGGCCTGGAGTGATCTTCATCACACTGCATGAAACATGGTCAAGCATGACTTACTTACTTACAGTCCAGACTCTACCGCTCTTCATTTCACCGTTTTCCCATAGAACAAAGTGGCGCTGGAAATAATTGTCAGAGTTCAGAGTACGAAGCAGCCTACTCAACTAGCTGGTTGTCTCTGACGTTATCGAGCCATCGGTGTTTCTGCACCCAAAACTCGTATCTTGCGGCTCCAGCAATAATATCCCCGCCTGCACGAGGTATGAGGTAATTGTTAGATTGCCGAACCCCATACCGTTGACATTAATAATGTGAGGTTGACTTGATGTTCTCGATATCACTCAGTGTAGAGCAATTGCTCAGGTTACTCAGGAAGTATCCTTAGTGAATAAGCGTTACTTGCATGCATGAGTATGGGTGCATGAATGGTTCCACCGGATGTGCTGGCAGACTGTGAGTCCGATTCAGTGTCCTCGGTTATCGTTGTTGAGTAACAGGAATGTGGGCATTGGCATTAAAACTGGCCGCAGTTTTGTTAAGTAATTTGGGAAATATTGTCGCTGGTCACAAATAGGCTACAGTATAAGAAATGTAGCATTTGACCTCCTATGCACCTGGCAGATAGAATCAAATCGCACAGGTCAGATAGCAAAAGTATGTAACAACGTTAGATTGACATAAAATCCACTTTCAGCATCGTTTCTAGCAGTGAACGTCAGGTTAGGATATTCTTCTTTTCTCTTTGAGAAATGCCGTGATTCCAAAAGTTTGCTCTCCCGGTCTGATTGACATATAGCGCCAGCGAGAGTCACAGTCAATTAGACGACAGCCATCAGTGAAACGCAAGGCCAGCAAGGTATAAATTCGCACTTATCTCTGTATTCTAAACCTTTCCCTAACGCAAACTCCTAACAAGACCCATTAAAGAGAACACCATAATACTTCTATATCTTGACAGTACAGTTAGATCAACATGCGGTCGAAAGCTGAGATCGAGGCAGACCTATACAGCGTCAGAAACGAGGTGGGAAGGCTGCAAATAAATGTAGACACCGCCTCCTGGGAAATAAACGACAAGCTGTAGAAAAGGAGGATTTTGGAGGCAATAATAAACGGGGGCGATGAGCAATTCACAAGGGATATGGCCCAGATGCAACATGAAGAGCTTTGTAGGGATCTGGCCGATCTCTGCAATAAGCAAGAACAGCGGGTTCAGGAACTGCAGAGACTGAAGGATCTGGAGAGCGCGCTTAGTGAGAGTTTGCAATCGGCAAGCTAGGCGGTTGCCTGGAAGGGCAGGGCATCAAGCCTGGCTGGATATTTCTTAAAATAAATAGAATGTTATGGGTTTTCGGTATAGTTTGAGATTTGGTAGTTATCTGAAGAGTCATGATGTGAAATATCGGGCTTCACATGGCCACCTTTGTGACTAGATTGATTGCTTCGAGATAAATCTTGCTCGCTCTAATGAGCAAATAGACGGGGTATAGAGGTTATCTTTGAGCAGACGGCATGCAGGGTTGGCGATCTGAAGGACTTGATAAAATGATTGTGATATTGGCCTTTGTTAGCACTTTGGAGGAGCATTGGAAGTTGTTGGGTTTCTTGGGATCGTGAATCATAAAAGGAGGAAGCGAGGTGTACACGGGTGCGGAATCCGAGAATACTATGCCTTGTGGTTTTCCAGTTGCCAAGTGATCCTGGAGGGATAAGAGAACCTGGCGCATTTGGGAGTCATTGCTACACAAACTGGTCAATAGAAAATCTGTGGAAAGTACAGAGTACGGATACAAGGAATATAGACCGGGCCGGGGTCGCCCAACCCTCCACTTTTAGCCGGGCCTGCCGGTATTGCGACTTTGTATCATCCGCTCTGATGGACCCAGCAGCCACTGTTACCAAGCTAGTCAACTAAGCTCAGAGGCAAACAACCTTCTCTTTACTATACAGAACTGCATCGCATACTGTGACCCACGACAACCCGGACGAAGGTAACAACTTCAGTAAGTGTAACTTGCATAATTTCACCCCCACTTTACATTTGGATAGGTATTGAAGCAAAGTCTAATAAGAAAAGCCGATGGAATGCGTAACTATAGTCCTTTAGGATCTTTCAATACTAAGATGCCTATCGGGACCCCTTCCGATGTATGCCAAATAGCTATGTCGAGGTGATATAAAACGCAGAAACAGCAGCTGGTATTTTCCTGTAACTGTGTCATTCAAGCTCCTCTTCCCCATATCATTTAAAACTCTCAAACACTTTCTATACAAGAACGAAATCATCATCTCGATATGCCGACCAACAATAAGCATGTCGTCTTTGATATTGTAGGTACTCTCGTCACCTACGATTCTATCATTGGCGCCCTAGAGACCAGACTCGGTGATCGCCTGCGCGCCGAGGGCGTCAAACCCGCAATGCTAGGCTACATGTGGTTCGAAATCTCAGAACGAGAATATACGTACCTGAGCATCACCGGGCGGTATCACCGCTTCTTTGACGTCTTCTGCAGTATATTCTACCGTATGCTGTGGATCGGCGGCATTAAAGAGCCTAGATCCTTCGCCTCGGATGAGGACTTGGCTTACATTGTCGGCCACTTCAGAGACCTCCCTTTGCGTGACGGTGCTGCTGAGTGCTTGCAGCTGCTACGGGATGCAGGATTCACTGTTTGGGGATTTACTGCTGGCGACACGGAGCAGGTACGAGGGTACTTCCTTGACAACGGTATCGACATGCCGCTTGAGAATTTTACCTCTTGTGATGACGCGGGGGTTGGCAAGCCGGCCCTCAATGCGTACAAACCCTTGCTGGAACGGTTGGGCAACGATGAGAAATGGTTTGCGGCAGCGCATATGTGGGACGCCTCGTCGGCTAGGAAGGCAGGGTAAGTTGAACTCCGTAAAGCTAATTTTTGTACTTTCTAACCCTGATCTGGATAGATACAAGGGTGCGTACTGCACTATCCTGGAGAAGGAAGCGTGTGCAGATATATTCGGCACGATGGATGTCATGACTGACACTCTGCCCGATATGGCTCGCAAGATCATCCAAGTGTCCAAAAGCCAGGTTTGAGGCCTACAAGCTATGCAATGTTAGAATGGCTGTGAGCAAAGTATAGTCGTATCTCTCTGAGATTGAATACCAGAGCGCCTGATACAGCTGTTTGGGTGAGGTAGTGTTGGCGGTTATGTAGAGACATGAATGCATTCATTTACACCCACTCTGTCGCTGTTGAGCCTTTGAATATTCAACTATTAATTCCTCTATTTTCGTGTCGTCATGAATGGACTTTGGCATTGGTCGACTAACACGCACGTCATCCAACCGGCACGCTTCGTTCACCAGTTCGTTGTTGGTCATACGTGATTCGTGCGACCCACCCAATCAACGTCTGCTCTCATTTAACTTGCCTGAATGAGGAACGTCAATGTCTACTCTCAATTAACCTCCTATATAAGACTTAGTACTGTTGAACTCTGCTCTCTCCGAAGCGCGGCACGTTATATTACTCTGTCTAACTAAATCCTGCTAGTTAATAGTAGCCAGACATTATACATGTCTGACTTCAGAATCTCCGATGATAACCGCGAGGTTCGTGAAGGACTGGTTGTGACGCTCATGTGTGCTTAAGTGATGCTCTTTGCTGGTTCTTTATTCGCGATTCTATAAATAATGAACTATTATTTTACTTTACATTATTCCTGAGCTTGTAACTTAAACTCTTGAAAAATAATAGCTTCCATTTTAGACTCCTGTAATAGAGTCTGAGTAAAAACACCAATTAACGGACCAGTGAAATCTCTAGCATCAAGTGCTATAGTCTCTACTGAACCGATTTCAATCCAGCCCTTGTTGTTGATTTCAGTTTCTCGTAGAGTCTCCTGTACCTGGAAACTGTATCGCGATGGTGTAGCTGTAATCTGAAGTTGAACTTCGATTAATCCCGAGGACAGCTTGCGAGAGACAGTACCAAAAAGCCCAGTAGCAGAGTTATGAACTTCAAACACAACAGTAGTGTTGTCAAAGTCGTAGACTAGGCTGGCAAAGCGTATGGGGTCTTTGTACAGAGAGATGCCTGCTCTGATACTATTCCCAGTCAAACTTTGGTCTGCTGTGATGCGCGTAGACCCTGTGCCGGTCAAGAAGCGCTGGCGTCGCCCTAGGAATGTGGGACTCTCAATAGCCGAACCAAGTCCATGTCGGCTTGGAATGAGGTGTAAGGTTTCTTTGTCATCTAGATACCGATATTTTCTCTCGTCATGATCTCGAATGTAAAGATCTTCAATATGAGGAGGAGCCTGGAGTGGATTTTGGGGGACAAGCGACGGCACAGCTTCCCTCTTAAAGCTCATCCTAGGCTGGCGGACAGTGGGCCATCCCCCTTCTGGCCAGTCGACGGGTGAAAGAAAAGACTCACGACCGAGGCCCAGAGTACCATTCGGCTGCTTTCGGACTCCAAGTACAGCGGCCCACCATCTTCCATCACCGTCCTGGAAGAGTGAGCCGTGGCCAATATTCTGGATGTACTCGTCCTTGCCATCAGCCGTCATAATGGGATTCTGGTCCCAGGACTCGTAGGGTCCCCAAATGTCTTTGGACCTTGCGATTGTCAACATGTGATGTTCGAATGTTCCACCCTCTGCGGCCAGGAGGTAGAAATATTCCCCAACTTTGTAGATGTGTGGCCCCTCGGTGTCGTATTTTGCCCAACCAGACCATATTTCTATCGTTTCAGAGAGCAACTCTCCAGTGTTGATGCCAATTTGGACCTGCTTGATGGTGTTGGTTGGCTGTTTATCGTCTCTGATATGCCAAGCTCCCTGCACAAAAACCCGGCCGTCGTCATGAAAAAAGAGGCTGGTGTCAATGCCATGGTAGTCGAAATAGACAGGGTCGCCCCAGTTATTGCTCCAGATGTCGTGGCACTTGATAATGAAATTGTGCCTCTCGTAATCTTCACCGTTGAAAGTTTGATTCGTGGTGACGATATAGAAGACTCCATCATGGTGATGTATACTAGGAGCAACGATGCCCGTAGTTGCAACCATGGTGAAGCCTGTATCCAGTGGCATATGTATCGTGTTTGCATCTCGCAGGCTCAGCTGTGAGCGTGTATGCAGAGCATTGCCTACAAACAGAATAGAAATGTCAGTCCTTGGGCTTCTGAATGATAGCTTATGAAGGTTAATACTAACCAATGTGCGTCCATTGTCTAAGGTCCTTGGAAGCGTAGATAGGAAGACCTGGGAATACATGGAATGAGGAGGTGCAAAGAAAGAATGTACCATCAACGAAGACAACCGAGGGGTCTGGTGCAAATCCAGGCACGATTGGGTTTGAATACAGAATTTCCGCGTTAGAGGGCTTCATGGTTGACCGTGATGGAAACCTTTGCAAATGAAAGCAATATAGTTAAGAATTAAACGGACTCTAGGACTGTTCAATATTTCATATTCTTATAAATAAAGCTTGTATTATCTGAGTTTTATAATGATGGAGGGCAATTGGAGTCGGCTAAATTGTGGCATTACGCCCTGATCGAATTAATAAACTCCGGATTTTGAAATCTAGCTATGGATTCAAAAGGGAAATTACATAACTTGGAGGAATTCGCCCGAGTCCCATTTCTTACTGCAGACAATAAATGTAATATCCCGTCAATTGCCCGATCTGCACATTTGTATTTGTCCGACTCTGCGGGTATTTACTACTAGCCTCAGAATCCTCGGTCCACATATTTTTCTCGATGTTTTGCTCGGCTGTATTGCGGGGAGTGGCCTGCCTGTGTGTAATGCTCTCGGATCTCTGGTGCTCAATCGTAGACCGATCTCTCCAAGTTCTTGAAAATGCTGTTTATCAAGTATGTATTCCCACCGAGGATTTTCTTTTCGAACTCAGCTAATCCATACGATACTACTACAAATTATCACGTCTGCCACTCATCGGATCTCACAATGCCTGTTCTCGTAGAAGTAGGCCATGCTTTGAAACAGCTTACGATTGAGGAAAAGGTCAAGCTTCTCTCGGGCAAAGACAATTGGTCTACCTACCCTATTGAGCGCCTCAGCATTCCCTCTCTTACAGTGCGTGTTGTCATACTCAAGCCAAAGGTGGGGTACCATGCTTACCTTCATTGAACAGGCAACAGATGGTCCACACGGGGCGCGAGGCACGTCCTTCTTCAATGGCGTAAGTCATCCCCGTCCCACCAGCCCGAGAAGATGGTATAGCTAATCGCGATCAGCCGCTAGGGGCCCTGCTTCCTTCAGCAACGGCGATGGGGGCGACCTTTGATACCAAGTTGATGCGGTCCGTCGGTAATATGCTGGCGGCAGAAACCATAGAGAAGGGCTGCCAGATTTTACTTGCTCCAACCGTTTGCCTACAACGTTCGCCCCTTATAGGCCGTGGCTTTGAAGCCTTTGGCGAAGATCCGATTCTCAGTGGTATGATGGCCTCCGAGTATATCAACGGTGTGCAGGAGAAAGGCGTTGCAACTTCCATCAAGCACTATGCAGCACATGACCAGTCTTATATGTCCCCAGAGGACGACTTGCAAGTCGCTGAAAGGACACTACGAGAAGTACACCTTTTGCCTTTTCAGCTAGCTGTAAAGCACGCCAACCCCTGGTCATTCATGACTTCATATCACCGCATAAACGGCGTTCATACTTCAGAAAACGAATGGCTCAATACACAGATCCTACGCCAAGAATGGGGATGGGACGGGCTGCTGATGAGTGATTGGGGTGGTGTCTTCAGTACTGCTGAGGCACTGAATGCTGGCATGGACCTGGAGATGCCGGGTCCTTCAAGGTGGAGAGGTGATCTTCTGCACCTTGCCCTCTTTTCTCGAAAGGTCAAGAAATCGATGATTGATGAACGAGTTCGGAATCTGCTCAACCTCGTGAGCAGGGTACGGCCGGCAATTGAGCGCCAATCACCGGATGAAGAAGCCGGCGATACACCTGCAAAGAGAGCGCTATGCCGAGAAGTCGCTCGAAGCTCTATCGTCCTGCTCAAGAACGAAGGCAAGGTATTGCCTCTCGACCCATCAGCGCAGCAAACCTATGGTCTGATCGGCCCTGGAGTTATGTATCCCGCCGTCAGTGGCGGCGGTTCAGCCGATCTACGCCCATACTACGTCCAAAAGCCGCTTGAAGCCATACAAGATGCTGTCGGCAAGGAGAGAGTGAGGACTGCCGTTGGTTGTTATTGTAGGCTTGCTTCTGAAGTATCCCTGATTCAATTCATTATCCCACTAACCTCTTGTCCCAATAGCTCACATATTCACACCACCGCTATCCGAATACGTCACTGTTCCAGGAACAAATGAAGAGGGGTATCAACTCTTTTGGTACGGTGAAGACCCAGAGGCGAACCCGAAGGCTGAACCACTTCACTCTACGACTACAACCCAGGCCACAATGTATTTTGCAGACAACCACCCCTCCAGCGTTCCTGACGTATACTGGCTTCGCGTCGTGACATTATACAAGGCACCTAAAACAGCGACTATGCTTATCGGCCTTTGTGTGATGGGCAAGGGACGCCTCTACATCGATGGCAAAGCGGCCGTCGATCTTTGGTCAAGCCATCCCAAGAAGACGCTCCAGACGCCCATGTTCAATCAAGCAAGTATGGAATTGACAGCTGATTTGGAAGCCAATGAAGGACAGGTTTACGAGATCTCTGTCCTCCTGAAGAATGAATCTATGTCCACCAACCTTGGAGGGCCCTATGTCGGAACGCCATGTATTGGTGGCGTTCGGATCGGATGCTGCGAGAAGATTGACCCCGCTGTCGCTTTGAATGAAGCTGTTGAACTGGCGAGGAATGTAGATGTGCCTATTCTCATCGCTGGTCTGAACGCTGATTACGAAACCGAGGCGGTGGATAGACACGATCTAGAGCTGCCACCTGGGATCAACAACCTTATTCAGAGAGTCACCGAAGCAAACCCTAAAACCGTGAGTCAATGGGATTTGACGTCCAGATAACTATGGTCCCTGGCTAATGTGAAAGTAGATAATTGTCAATCAGTCCGGCTGTCCAGTGACCATGCCCTGGGCGAGCCAGGTTTCGACTCTTCTCCAGGCGTGGTTTGGTGGCCAGGAAACTGGCACTGCTATCACCGATGTACTCTTCGGTCGCTATAACCCATCCGGGCGTCTGTCTATTACGTTCCCGCGCCGACTGGAAGACACGCCGTCCTTCCTTAGCTTCGGCAAAGGAGTCCAGCACATGTATTACGGAGAAGGCGTATTCATCGGCCATAGATATTATGAGAAGCTTGGCAACGATCCGCTCTTCTACTTCGGATTCGGTCTTTCATATACGGCCTTCGAATACTCGAACCTCCAGGTCCCAGAGGTTGTCGACTTGGGCGATGATGGGGAGCAGACTTTCACTGTGTCGGTTGATGTTACCAACACTGGTGACAGAGATGGCCACGAGATTGTCCAATTGTACGTCTCTGATGTCGAATGCGCCACTCTACGGCCATGCAAAGAGTTGAAGGGGTTCGCTAAAGTGTGGGTGCCCGAGGGTGGGAAGGTAAAGGCTGAAATCAACTTGAACAAGTACGCTGTGTCATACTGGGACGAAGAAGAGGAGAAGTGGCTTGCCGAAAAAGGTTCTTTCAAGGTGGTCATATCGCGGAGCGCAGACCCGAAGGATGAAGTCCTACAGAGCGAGTTCAAATTGGAGAGAGATTTGTACTGGAGAGGCGTATAGACAGTGTAGCAAGATGAAGACGACGGATGTGGAAGTACGTTAATTCATGCAATATGTTTAGATATCAAGGCATCACTAGGTCGTAGAATATGGAATGGGTGAGGTAATCTACGTTATACTTCCAAGTGAGGATGGGTCGCTCTGGCTGCAGTGTTGAGAACCAGTTTGATGACGGGGCAAAAGTAAGTGCTGGAAGTCTGCCACCTTACACTCCAGAAACTTTGTTTATGCGTTTAATCATATCCTTGCCATTCTTTACGAGGTTATATTTATAGAATGCTGAACTATACAACTGTAATGTCTAGATATTTCACCCTGACTTGGTTATTGCTAGTAGCAAATACACCAATGACAGGCCCTACAAAGTCATGTCCAGTCATATCTAGGGAGTCTATCGCGCTCATCTCGCGCCTCGTCCCGTCCTCCCCAAGAGAATACCAAAAGACAAGATCTAGCTCCGTATAGTCTATACCAAATACGACCCTGTTGTCGTTCGCCAATACACCAATGTTTCGAGATAATGTCCGTTCGATGGACCGGGCCTTATTGACAACCTCAAAGACAATATTCTCGGAGTCGACGTCAAGAAAGACACGGGCATATCGGTGCTCGTCTTTGTAATAGCACAATCCTGTCTTAAGCCGAGATCCCTTCATGCCGGAGCTATCTAGGGCCTCGAGTGTTGCGGAAGATGTGCCATGAAGACTCCTTTGACGCTTTCCAATGAATGTCACCGGCTCGTCGTCCTGGTTCAAGTCCGCTGTGCTGGATGTCAGAGTGACATCATTTCCATCATGTTCATAGTTTTCCGGCACGGGGTCGCGGATCTGGAGATAAGCGACGTCTGGACGTCCAGGCTTTCTCGCGATGGGAAAATTGGAAGAGCATAGGCTTTGGTGTATTGGAAGTGGCACGTCGACCCGAACGGCGTCAATCAACGGAAATTCCCCTTCCTTCCACGAGGCTGTAGTAAGGACGGACTCGCGTCCCATGATGAAATGCCCATTATTCTTGCGTACACCAAGACATGCAAAGTACCACTGTCCCGAAGGATGCTGGAAAAGGTCTCCGTGGCCTGTGTACTGGATGTATTCATTAGGGTCCGCCTTTGGTAGCACCGGGTTAGCTGGGTTAACCTCATACGGACCCCAGATATCCTGCGACCGAGCCATAATGACATGGTGGTCCGCAAAACAGCCACCTTCAGCGATGAGAAGATAGTACCATCCATCCCTCTTGTACATGTGCGGACCCTCGGGGTAAACCTTTGTGACACCTTCCCAGAGCAGCTTCCTTTCAGAGAGGTCTTTTCCCGTCTTGACATCGATTTCGAACTGCCAGATCTGCGATGCAGGAGCTGGAGACCGAGCGCCTATGAGATATGCGCGGTCGTCGTCGTCCCAGAACAAGCTAGTGTCGATTCCATAAAAGTCATAAAAGATCGGATCGCTCCATTCATCGGCCCAAATATTGGTGGTTGACAAGATGAAGTTTTGACACCCGGTATCTCTAGGCAGAAGATCTTTGTGATCAATATTGGTGCAAACGATGTAAAAGGTGCCTTTATGGTATCTGATCGAGGGAGCCATAAGTCCTCCCTGCGCAGCGATCTTAACACCATCCTCATCAGGGCCTACCAATTTAGTTATCGAGCGCTGAAAGGACATCAAGCCTGTTCGATTTAATGCATTGCCTGGTTGGAGAGGTAAGTTTGGCACTGGTCATGGCACAGATACAAGGGCAAAAAAGGCATACCAATGTGTTTCCATTCCTTCAAGTCTCTAGATGCATAAACTGGTAGACCAGGGAACATGTGAAAGCTTGAGTTGACGAGAAAGTATGTGCCATCCACATAGATGACGGAAGGGTCTGGGGCAAACCCGGGAATAATGGGATTGACTTTGACGCGCTCCATTTTCGACGACTCTTGGCTCGATGAGAATCAACACCAGTTGAAGTACTATACAGGCTTATTATACCTCTGTAGGACTTAACAAGCGCCATCATCGCGAGCTAGCGCAGTTTCAAGCTCAAGCTCGGGGTTGCGGACCATTATCCTGCAAGTCGCGTGATCTTGTTAGACCACAAATCCCCATCCCGGGGAAATAGTAATGGAGTTCGGTATCATTGCGGGGTCTTTTGTTAGACTGTCTCGGTGAAATTGGGGTGTCCGGACCCCCCAGGCCACTTTCTTGGTATCCCCGTGTTAGCTTTTCGGGCAATTGTCTTTACCTCTAGTGCGTCCGTCACCGAAGGACTTGGCCGCGCACGAGCCAGCGGCTCATTGCTGGCCTGAAGGAGCGGCTCTGTCCTGCTGTAACAGGAATTCCATCCGTCACGACAAAGTTTATCGCCAAATGTTCACCCTAGAACCTCCATTAACCTGTGAGTCTGTACAAAGGTGTCACCTGGTTCTGTCAACTGAACCTCCATGGCGACGCTCAAGCAGCAACGCAGACAATGTCGTGCAGGTCCTGTTTAGTTTGTATTATATTCCGTTGTTAGGTCGCGTTGCTACTCTTGATGAGAATGAATCTGGTAACGTTACCGAGGTCAGTGTCTAGAGCATTCGACAGCTCGACATGCTGGTTCTCCTGTTTGCGTGGAGGAACAGAGGAGCTCACTTGGACATTTCAGGTTACAGAGTTATTGATTCAAAGGCAAGCACGAGTGGAATTCGTGTATTTACGTGTGAAATATGCATAAGCTAGTATTTAAGTACCAAAAAAGAACAAACTTACTAAGTGGTACCCTTCTTCAGTCCGGCCATGTGGATTGTGGTTAATTCCACGGTTGATATGAGTACCTACTGAAGTTCCGTTCCAACAACCCTCCCAGTTCTCTTACTGACACAACTTCGCCATCCAACACAACACAACACAAAACTATGGTTCCTTGCCATCCGATGTGACTCTGCTCTTGTGGTCGACCTCGGGAATGCCTTCAGCCTTTATATCGAGAGTTCTGTCGAGCACTTGTCTACCATCAAAGACCTGGGCGACCTCTTCGAGGGCCAAACCCCGAGTCTCAGGGTATGTGAAGTAGATGATGCTGAGCCACAGAAGTTGAGCAACAACAAACACGATGTAGTACTTCCACCTCAAGGCCTTCAATCCGACCGGGTTTACAAAGCCGTTGAAGAGGCCGCTGCAAATCTGTGCCAAGTTGAAGATGCTAAGACCCTTGGAGCGCAGGGTATATGGCAGCACCTCGAGAAGGTAGGCAATAGGTAGAGGCGACATGGCGATATTGTAAAAGGTAAAGAAGACGAAGATCAGAATGACAATTCCGATGCCAAACCCCTTGTGGGTGCCATTTTCCATCTGGTTTCGTGCCGCCAAGATGGTCCAAAGAGTAAAGGTAGATAACATGCCGATAATGGACGTCAGCAGAAGGGGCCGTCTTCCAATTCGGTCGATAAGCGTAGCAGAACTGCAAGCAATGATGAAGTTGTAGATCTGAAGGCCTCCATTGATAAGATTCTGCGTTTCGCCGTCCGTAATGCCGATATCTGAGAGGACGAGAGCGAGATAGGGACCGATAAGCTGGTTACCACACCACTGGATGATGAAGCCCAGGGAAGTGACAACTAATAGACGATGACGGTTTCCCTCTGTGAGCAGACCACGGATTAGCATCGCACTACTTTCTAGTTTCGGGACACGCAATGCATGTGCACAAGACCTACTTGTTTTGAAGAACTGGAGGTACGAGACAGACTCAACAGAGCGCTCAAACTCGATAGCGCTTGTGATCTCGGCAATTTGGAGGCGAACAAGCTCTGTCGGCTCATCGGTTCCGCTGTGATGCTTGCTGAGGACTTTGGTCGCCTCCGCCGAACGACCATTGGCAACAAGCCACCTAGGGCTTTCAGGCAGGAAATAGACAAAAATGACCTGAAATATGGAAACTAGTGCTTGGAGGAGCGAAGGAATTCTCCAACTCCAGTTGCTGTTCATGTGAAAAGTACCATACGTGGCCCAGGCAGCAACAATGGCGCCAGTATACTGTATTGCAGCAACTGATTAGGTGGTGAACTCGCAAGGTCAGGAGGATGGTCTGCTTACCCAGGTGGTGTTGTAGATGCCGGTGATGATAGGTCGGTGAGTCGGGTATGCCAGTTCTCCAAGGAGTGGAGGAGCAGCGCATGAGATGAACATGCCGCCGAGGCCGATGAAGAAGCGCCCAGCCAAGAACATGGCCATGTTAGTAGCACATCCCTGCAGAATTGCAGCGCCAATGATGATGCAGGACCCGAGGAAGATGGGATGGCGTCGCCCGTACTTGTCGGCCATCCAAGGGGCGATAGGCAAAGCAACCACGCCACCGATGGTTTGAATATTAACCAAAAGGCCAAGAATGCCACCAGAGGGATAGTCGAATTCTGAAAGGCAAAACAGAGTCAGTATACTTTATTACCGGATCGACAAACTACCACGAGGATGAGGATTGGGGGCTCTGTAAACTTACCAGATTTCCAATGGTCGAGAGTCTGCATTCCATTGAGAACACTACCATCATATCCGCCTATATAGGCCGACATGAATGGAACCGCAAGCATGAGGTTCAATCTCACCAAATGTGGCACATTCCACCATGACTCCTTGGTGCAGAGGTCGTGAACCCGCACTTCATCATGCCCGCCATTCTCGTTGGTGCCCATGATGGAATTGACAAGCTGAGACGAAGCTACTATGCTCGACGTGTCGAGGGAGAAGAGTAAGAAGTGAGGGAGATGATATTGAAGGAACTTTGGCCGATATCTGGATGTTTCTGGGGATGTAGAGAGGAGAGATTGAAGTTATATACAACAAGAGAGAGCCAACAGTCTAGTCTCTATTGATGGATTACTAGCGCGAAATGGATTAAGGCTTCTCTACCCCATACATCACCCCATGGGGCACGAGACCAGTGGCACCAGCGATGGGGTTCGCGTGCTAGCTAGCCTCTAGTAGCTAAAATATTTCCGGAGGGTGTTCTAATCGAGGCCGAGGCCCTGGAGCCATCGGCCGAGTGTGCCCTCTGAAAGCCTTGATCGCTATCAAACTAATCGATAAGCCTCCAGCACTGCCATTCCTCGTTGACACGATTTTGGAACAACTGGCAATAGCCATACCAAGCCAGTGATGTTGTTGTTCGATTTGGCCCTGAACCTGCTGCTTGTCAGTCGATTGGATATAATTCACCAAGTTGACACTGGCCAGCTAGCTGGGTCACCTAATGGATAAATACTGTATTTGCCCGAGCAGGGGCCCGCAGTATGTTGGAATTCCACCGAGCGCGACAAGGTAGCGCAAAATCATGGCACGGCCCAGGGAATACAGTACAAAAATATCAGGTCGTTCAACTTGGATCAATATTTACTAGCCTCAGCATCGAGAAGCGTAGTTCAATCATCAATTTTGCCGATTGGACTGCTATGGGGTGACATGACTATGCAGGCTTTTTGGCTGAATTGCAAATGGATGGGTATAGTCGGTGTAATTGTTACTTGAAAACTCATTTTCCGCGAGTCATCGACAATTAACCGGTTCATCTTGGGGGAGATGACGGCAGAAATCACAAGGCCACATTTTCTTGATACAGCTGCATACAAATCAATAAGGCTACTTATTATATTAAACCACCAATGCTATCGGAAGCCTTTGAATCTAGCCGGACAAGCAGGTTGACTGAGCGCTGTACGCACTGGCTTGCCCGGGACGTAACAACTTCCTCATCATAGTTGTGCGCAAGCTCGAGCAGTAAACTGCCAACACGCCTAATCTTTTCGGCCTGTTCCAGTAAGCTTTTGTAGATACGCAGACAACCATAGCTCGCTTATAATGAAAATCCCTGCTCGTCACTTACGCATTGCTCCCCCTCGGCTTGGAGATGAAGAAACGGAATGGTTTCGAGGACGTTGAAGAAATCTTGAGCTAGCTCTATTAGTCTCATGGCGAGAGGAAGAGACTCCGCGCTTAGGCCCATGATCTGGGTCATATTGCATGAAATAGCCGAGTTCAGTACGAAGAGCTTGATCGAGTGTAGAGAAATCAGATAACTGGTCTTTTGCCGCTGTAGGATGTCATTTAGACCTGTGTCTACCTCTCGGTCGGTATAGGGTGACAATGCAGCTGGTGATGGATCCCAGGCAGGGAAACAGTTTGTTAGGGTGATTATCTCGAAGTATGCCTTGGATAGCTCAGCCATGTCTTCTTGATACAGCTCAGTAAATTTATCTGTATGCCCGGTGGATCGTGACTCCATGCCTCGGATGACTCGTGCAGCCATGGCCCATAGACGACGTATGATGTGAAAACCCTCCATGAGACGCCCTTCTATCTCGGCGCCGCTGGATTCTGGGCCATATTCAAAGAGTGTCACTGGGCTTGGTGGGCTTGACTTTAGACTTAGCTGGGTGTCGAACAACGTCTCATGGATTGAGACGGGACGGCCTCCCATTACTAAGACAGTCTTGTCACACACGTAAAGCTGCCAGAACACGTTTCGGAGGATTTGCTGCTCGATCGGGTTTCTTCCTTCAAGAGAAGTCTCGCAGTAGAGACGCATTCTCATCGCAAGTAGGCCCGCTTCGCTCAATATATGAAAGGCCACACCGTTAGTGCCCGTAGAAGTTTGTATAGCCGATGACAAGAACATGCGGATATTGAGCGACGAAGAGTCAGGGTGCTCGAGATCGTAGTCGTGGTATATATTCAGTAGCTCTCGCGTTGTTTTAAGGAACAGCGGCGCTGTGAGATGCTTAGTAGGCAATAGGGACTCGGGAACAGCATATGACACAGCCGCACACAGGGCTAGGAGAAGTGTCAGGCTCCTGAGCTTCTCAATCTCGCTATACTCATCATCGGATGAAAAGCAGCTCAGTGCCCAGCTGTAAGTGTCCAGGGCATCTTCACAAGGCGAATGCTGTTGTGTGTCGAAGAATCGAGTGACTGTTGCTCGCAGTGAGGCTTCATGGCAAAGAGGAACAGACCCGAACACATAACGAGTGTATAGGAAAATGCAGCGATTAGCAATCGATACCGAGGATTCAACTGAAGCAGGAGTTTGCAGCCCTGCCAAGAAATCAAGAAAGATTCTGACAGCAGCTTCGGTTTGACTCTCCGCCAGTGATGCTGGTCTCGCCCCTTGACTGCTGCTGATACAGCCATGCCCTGTCTGGCTCACAGCTGTGGTTGGTTGGAGGCAGGTCGCTGGAGAGGGGAGTGACGGATCCTCGAGGATCTCGGATGGATCGGTGAGAGGTGATATCGGAGTTGGGGTATCGTCTGAGATACTGCTGCAGTATCGAACAGGCTTGGGACCTCTTTTCTTCGGAGGGGCATACTGGCAAGCTGTCCCTGCGGCTCGACAGTTGCTACAAGTCGGACATCCATCACACTGCGTTGGTACCGCGTTAGCAACAAGACTGTTTGACTAGCTACTTAAGAAGGACAGAGATTCACCGATCGCGGAACCTCGGCATCACAAACCTTGACTTTGCGGCGACGACATAGCTTGCAAGCCCGCTTTGGGCCTGAAGAAGAGGTCATTCCCTTATCATGTGGGTATGGGAAGATATGTGGATAAGACAAAGGAGAGAGGGAAACTCGGACAAAATGCAGCAGACGGGTCGGGCAATTAGTTATACCTCGGTGGGCCATGCGGGGATTCTTGACTAGGGTGATTGAAGGGAGTCCACAGATCGCCCGAAAGGCTCGACATTGGTGGCTACCCTCTAGACTAGCTCTTGTCCCACCCTGTTGCATTTGTGGAGTTTGCAAGGAAAATGAAGAAAGTGTCGTGAAAGTGTTGTATCTGATATCCAAGCGTGCGTTTTGTCTATATGTCCAAATTACTCAAATGTTTCTCGACGATAAAAGAACCCATCTACCTCATCTTGGGACATCTACCAGCCCGACGGATATAACTTGAAACGCCTGTAACCCAAAGAAGATAGGCACGAGAGCCATGGCACGCCAATATACCTCTGCACCGGCGCCCAAGGGACTTCCTTCGGACTTTGAGTGGGGGTTTGCAACCGCTTCCTATCAGATTGAAGGAGGCGTGAAAGATGGCGGGCGAGGCCCTTCCATTTGGGATGCCTTTACACACCTCGATCCATCGCGTACCAACGGTGCCAACGGCGATATCGCTTGCGATCACTATCATCGATATGAGGAGGACCTTGACCTCCTTGCCAAATACGGTGCCAAGGCCTATCGTTTCTCTCTGTCGTGGTCGCGCATCATTCCGCTAGGAGGACGACATGATCCCGTGAACGAAGAGGGCATCAATTTTTATAATAAAATCATCGATGGGCTAATTGCTCGAGGGATCACCCCCTGGATAACTCTCTATCACTGGGATCTCCCATTAGCGTTGCAGGACCGGTACGGAGGTTGGCTCAACGAGGAGTCACAACACGACTTTGAGCATTATGCCAAGCTATGTTATATTCGCTTTGGTGATAGAGTTAAGAATTGGATCACGTTCAATGAGCCATGGGTCGTTTCTATCAAAGTGAGTACTTGTGATGGAATTCCGGGAGATGGTGCATTAGCAGATCTTAACAGAAAGGCTAGGGGTTCTCTTTGGGCTGCTTTGCCCCCGGACGAAGCAGCACGAACCCAGACTGCGATGCTGGTGACTCAGCGAGAGAACCTTGGATCGTCGGCCATAACCTGATCCTAGCCCATGCGAGAGCAGCAAGATTGTACAACAAGGAGTTCAAATCGAAGGAAGCTGGCCGCATCGGTATCTCTCTCAGTGGCGATTACTTTGAGCCGTGGGATGCTACCGACTCCAGGGACCAGGAAGCTGCTGAGAGGCGAATGGAATTCTGGTATGGCTGGTTTGCCAACCCTACTATGTGAGGAACCGTATCTAGTTCTGTCGTCCTGCTAACTTGTTGATACCGTCCAGGCTTGCACAAGACTACCCTCCTGTTATGCGTGAGCAGCTTGGATCCCGTCTCCCCGCCTTTACAGAAGCCGACTTTGCTCTGCTGCGCGAGGCTGACATCGACTTTTGCGGTATGAACTATTATACTGCTCAGTTCGCCCGCCACCGCACCACCCCGCCGCCAGACACGGACTTCCAAGGCAATGTAGATGAGTTGCCAGAGAATAAGGAAGGCATCCCTATCGGCGAGCTAAGCGGCTCTGACTGGCTCCGCTCCTCACCCAAGAGCTTCCGGAAGCATCTTGTGAGGATCTACAAGAAGTATGGGAAGCCCATTTGCGTCACTGAGAACGGGTGCCCTTGCCCTGGTGAGGACAAGATGAGTAAGGAAGAATCTGTTGAGGACGAATTTCGCCAGCGATACTTCGGCCAACATTTAGATTCATTGGTCGGGGCCATACAGGACGGTGCAGAGGTCTCCGGATACTTTGGATGGTCTTTGATGGATAACCTAGGTCAGTTAAATTCACCCACAATTGCGAAGAGCAATAGTCTGCTTCAAACCAAGTGCCAATACTGACAAAATCACCAGAATGGTCTGATGGATATGGCATCAGGTTTGGCGTGACTTTCATAGACTACGATACGCTTGAAAGGACGCCGAAGAAGTCGGCATTGATGATAAAGGACATGATCAAGGAAAGGACAATCTAAACATTATAGTAGCCATTTCAATGACTTCAGATCCTGTTTGTTTCTGTTATTGAAGAAAGGCCAACCATTGTAGATGTCCATTCACAGTGCTGCCCTATTTGTTCCTGATACATTGTAAGCTTTCTGATAGGAGAACAATAAGGCCAAACCTTATACAGTCCTCGATTCTTTCTGTTTGCATGTGGAGCTGCGGACTTCATACCTTGACAAACCCGGACTTGTCACATGTCGCGAGCCAAAGAAGTTAAACGAGGCTAAACGAGGCTAAACGAGGCTAAACGAGGCTAAACGAGGATGAAGCCTAAGAGATTAAACGTTGGTGGTGATTCTTCCAAGAGCCGTACCCACCAACCCACCAGGTAACTCGCTAAGCTCCGCTTTGCCACCTAACTGTTGAGAGCTAGCCTAGTAACACGATTTCTCAGTCTTCTCTTCGTTCCATTACATTCCCATCCCATTTGTCGTTCTTCTTCGTACATCGTTCACCGTTGCTGCAGCCCCGCTTACTGTTTTCCGTTCTGTTTGCCTACGAATCGGCTGGACCTTTTCTGCATTTTACGTATCGGGTTGTAAATCATGGGGTCATTACCAAGACCTCGGACACGCAAGCCACACAAAAAGTCCAAGAATGGCTGCCTCGACTGCAGAAAACGCCGAGTTAAGGTATGCCCGTCTACGTATCCCTGTTTTCCTTTCCCGGCCAAAAGCTGAAACAAGGATTTGCCCCCCTTTGTCAGTGTAGCGAGGAACACCCAACATGCCTGTCATGCGCGCGCCGCCGAATCGTTTGTGAATACCCAGATGGAGTAGTGGGATCATCCACAACATCAGTGTCTATACCACCGGTATCGGCCTCTCTAGAACCATCACTGGGCGTGTCACCGTCCCCTTCCAATGCCTCAGTGTCAACAAGAACGTCGGCCTCAGCCAGCGTTTCGCTGCAGAGTCTCGGTCATACAACGACTCAAACATTGGAGTTGAACCAGTTACATTTGCTCCACCACTGGACCATCTCTACAAGTGTTGATCTCTGCAGATGTCCCAAGACACTGTACATATGGCAGGAAGCACTTCCTCAAATTGGTATCCGTTATCCATTCGTCTTGCATGCTTTGCTAGGTCTCGCCGCCTTACACATTGCTCACCAATCTCCAACTGACCGAACGCGAAGTTGGCTGGTTGGCATGTATCATCATAACGAGGCTTTGACCGGATTTCAGAAAGAAATTTCCATCATCACCGAAGAGAACAGCGAAGCTTTATTTACCTGGTCCATATGCAATGTTTTATATGTTTTTGCTATATCGAATCCATTTCACGAGGCTGTAGACGGAATCCCTACCTCGTCGATATTGGCACAGAAGGAGAAGGTTTTGGGTACTGAATGGATTCCCATGATCCGCGGTATGGAAGCTGTGCTTGAGCCTACCCATAATTACCTTCGTTTTGGGAGGATGAAGGCCATAATGAGTCTTGGGAATTGGTATGAACTTGATCCGGATCAAGACAGTCAGGGCCCTGAAGATGCCTGCTTCTGTCGCGTCCGTGAGACTTGGAGCAACTCAGATTGTGCTGAAATCTACGAAGAGGCGCTTCAAATCCTTCGGAAATGTCGACTTTACTCGTCGCAGTTCCGCGACATGGACTCTGAGACGAGAAACAGTTGGGGATATAATAAAGAGTGGTCTGGGCCTCTGATGTTTATTCATTTTGCACCTGACTCGTACTTCTCACTCCTGCGACAGAGGCAACCGCCGTCTTTAATCCTCTTTTCCCTCTTTGGAGCACTTCTGCATAGCGTAAGGAACTACTGGTTCTTGGAAGGCTGGGGGAAAGCAATAGTGGAAGTAATAGCAGATGTCCTTGGGAGTTACTGGAAAGAATGGTTACTGTGGCCCTTACAAGTTGTTCAGGAATAATAGTTAAGATTGAAATTAATATTATAAGAAACCAGAGGTTCTTTCGTATTAGTTTCTTGAGAAAGTTTCTCATCTCTGGGGAATATGATGCAGCGTAGCATGGCAGCAGCCGCTAATCAGAGGTAATGAGACAGGCGAGAGAGAAGTTGAGTCCGTGAGCATAACCGGTGACTATTGTTGGTTGAATGGAGGCTACTGCAATCTTCTCACCCATTTTGGTAAGAGTGGCCTGCTGGAAGAAGTGAAGTAAGGCAGACAGGTGCTGTAAGAGACATGTTATTTTGATCTGGTTATCTGTTTTCGAAGCACATTAATTCGCGAGCAGTCCCGGCAGATGTTACAAGTACCGTTCGAAAAGCCCTGGAACTCTACAGGCGACTTGAAAACTGTTAGAAATAAAATGCCTGTGTTTAAAAGCCTAATAGGTCGGGAAGCTGATCGAGTGTCATAGGTGGTGAAAGATTCCTGGCGTAAAATGTCCTGTGAAACTAAAAGTCATCAGATCATGACTGCCATACCTGGCAGCGGTGATTTCATACAGGGTGTGTTGGATGGCCTGTAATAAGGCATTGCTCCCCGTCAAGTAACGAATCTGTGATGTCCGGAACTGGTGCTTTCGCGCTAAGTTCCATCCATTTCCCTTGTCGCTCTTTAGGTTCGAATTCACCATACTACAGTGATTTATGCGCACCTGAGATCATTGCTGATTATAGTAGCCCATCTCCTACTGCCAGGTTTGTGCTTTTGTCGGCTTTCATCCTCGGTGTGGTGAATATGGAAATTGCAGCTGGAATATCTTCAAGGACTCCTCACGATTGGAGAAGAGCGTGACCGGCGTTTCAAAGTCGTTTGGTCAGAATTGCTTCCTCAGATTCAGGCCACCTCGCCAACTGGCCGGCTATTTCCTGCTATATCAAGTAAATAATATGCATCTGTTACAGTTACTCTATAGGCCAATGAAAGTAGATCAGTCTGATTCTAGTGATATACATAGCTGAGAACCCAGTCATGGAGACATGTATAAAGCGGTTTGACCTCATGATCACTATGTAAAGATGAGGGCTACTGTTATCAGATAGATAACAGAGGAACAGGTCTTGTAAGCTTCCTCAAAAAATAAAATGATCCTGCGCTTGTCGTCGCCTTGTGACTGTTTCACTTTTCCCAAGCATGAGTTCATTGGCTGATCGGCCAACGTCATATATCAGGTGGTTGATTCACAGTGCGTCGACAGTCAGTGGGTTGAGACACGGGGAACATACATGTGCTTGGTAAATTTTGTATGTAAGAGTGTTTGACGAGAGAGGCGCTACCGTGAGGAGCGCCAGTGTCGTCTACCTTTTTCGGGAGCTATTCTGCTTATATGTCCCCAACTGGTGATCCCTATAGTGGTGAGATTATCCAAGACGTCAGGAGGTAAGTTTGATAGTGTCAATGTAAATCTCTCATGGGGAACGGCACGCGCCGTACAGACTCTTCGACTAGGCCAATGCGTCAATCAAAAGGAGACTAACTGCTGAAGTATTTTAACAAACTATTTCCTATAAGAAAAATGAATTATCAGTCTATTATAGGAAACGCGACTTTAATAAGATTGTTGAAAAACTGACTATGGCCAATCATACTCCTAACAGCGCGTATTTTGTAAGCAGCAACTCCATCATTATCTTCCCACAATACCCATCCACGACATCGCTTGTTGTTATATGGCCAAATCAGTCACCTTCCCATCTCTCGTATTATGCCCTCCAACACCTAGTCCATATCTTCTGCCACCGTAGCACGCACTTTAAGTCCAAAATCACGGAACAAGGCGTAACTTTCAGAACGCAAAGGACTAAGAGGCTCGGTAAGCTGGAAATCAAATGCCCGTAGCAACTATCGCAGCACAGGTCAGCACATAACTTCAGAAGCCGGTATGCAGCTTTCTGAATTAATTACCTCAAAGTAGACTTTCTGAAGCTCCATAAACGCCAACGGTTTTCCTGCACACATCCACCGGCCATACCCAAAGTTCATTTCCACATTGCGGCGCATCTCGGCGAGATCGGAGGCTGAAAGTCCAATGAAGCGTTCTGGTCGGAAGACATTGGTGTCTGGGCCAAAAAGAGCCTTTGAACCTAAGATAGCAGAGAAATTGATGGCGATGGATGTGCCACCTGGAACGAAGTACCCGTTGATGGCGTCGCCTCCCGCAGGTACCTCTTTGGCTTGCTGTCCTGTTGTCACTGGCCGCATACGAAGACCTTCATATATAACTGCCTGTTGACAGGGAGGCCGAGAGTCAGTATCTCACATACGGTAAACTATACGTGTATATATGGACGTACTTGGAGGTAAGGCAACTCTCGTGCCTGAGCAGCAGTGATCGGACTTGAGGCCCTTCCCTCGCGTATAGCACCTCGAATCTCCTCCTTGAGCTTCCGATAGACGCGGGGACACGACATGAGGTAGAACAGTGTGACTCGCATTGCCGATGCAGTGGTGTCGGATCCTGCAACAAACATGAAAAGGGTCTCAGACTGCGCGTTGCCTTCTGATAGACCATGCACTTTGAACGAGCTCTGAACGCAGAAAGTATCAATGGTCATCCAATAAACGTCTCAGGTTAAAGGGGAAAGTAAGTGCTCTTACATACCAGCATATCTGTCTTCTTCGTCTGGTCTTGACTATAGCGCTGTCGGACATTATCATTCGTAACTCTGAATACGATTGGTTAGTCCAAGACCATTCCCGCCATTAGCTTCAAGACGTGAAGGAAGAACGCCTTACTTCATCAACGGGCCGATGCCATGAGTATCAGTCTCGCGCGGCCCAAAGTACTTAAGAAACGTAGTCGAGTACATTACGGCTCGGATCCACGGCACATCACTCGTCAGCGCCATCAAAGGCATATGCTCATCCAAGCCCTCATAGAACCTATACGGGTCCGAGTCAGAAGCGCAGCAACCAAACTCAGTACCGAGTGCCACTTTGGAAATGACGTCGAGGGTGAAAAAAGACAAGACATTGAGGAGGGGCAGGGTGCGGAAGACACCGGAAATCGACTCCGAGAGATATTTGCGACGGATCAAGGATATCAGGCTGTTGATCTGCTGGTCTACCGCGCCCTCAAGATTGGGCGTGTCACGACCACTATATGCGGGCGCAAGTCGTGCTTTTGCACGATCGTGCTGTTGAGGGTCTCGCACTGCAAACATGGTCTCGTGGTACGGATTGAAGCGCACGCCATCGACCCAAGAGAATTTGCCATATGAGCTCTTCGTCGCTGACATGCGTTTGACGAGCTCTACATCTGAAGTGAGTAGGACTTCCGGGCCGATTCTGACAAGTGGGCCGTATTTTTCGTCGAGAGCAACGAACACATGATGCTGTTTACCACTGTAGGCAATCCACCCGTTCCATATGTAGCTCAGTCCTGCGAACCAGGGGCCAGGAACATGTCGGAGACGGTACCATGCTAAAAGAGTCGTTCCAAGCCACCAGTATGACAGCAAGCAGAATACGGTTATGCCGATGCCATTAGGAGTTAGTAAACTTGATAGATAAGATGAGCTCATTGACTCTAGTTGTAGGTTTCTGTTTAATGGTGACTTGGTATATATCCAACCTGGAATAGAGTGGAGAGATGGTGAAAGATTCAACGAGGATACGACTGGGATTTTTACGTATTAATACATTCAAAGCAGGCTGTGAGTCTGCATGTGTGCCCTCATAATTCAGAAGAAGTGTCTCATAACTGTGCTTTTGTTCTGTATTTAGCCGGTAGTACAAGACAGCCATGTGTACCTTATAGAGCCTCCCGCATATGCAGTTGCTTTGTCACGCTTATGCGCTTCATTGCAGATTGGCATAAATACGACCATCTTTGACAGCCAGGAACCAATAATCAGTCTCCTATTTATCTTCTCTGTTTTCCAACGTATCACTTGACTTGTGGTCTCTTCTGGGTCTGTGGGGAAGAAAGTCACATTGCGTACCCGCATATATGAACGTCATACATCCCGGAATGAAGCCCGAAAAGACGCTTGCTGGTCGTGGCTGATTGAGTTCATTGAATCTAGATGGCCTCAAAACTGAGGATTGCACTTTTCAAAGCAATGGGCTGGAGTGCCTCTCTGCTTTGATGCAGGGATACCGCATTTCTCTGAGAGTCGCACTCCAGCTTGCGTCTCCGTCTGGTTCAGAGCTGTATTAGGGAAGAACAAGAAGGACAGTAAAGAGTATTCAAAAAGAGGCAATATACGCCATAATTCTACGACAGCCCAATCAACTGGTGACCAATGCCACCAATGAAAGTCATCAGCACCGTGGATCAGGTTCGTTTGCGTGGGCTGTGCATGGATCTCTTTGCTATCAAGATCAGAACAACTACAAACGTAAATAAGAGCTTTCTCAAGTTTCTTGACCGCTGCTCAGTAATCCAGCGAACTTGTACATAATTTTTCGGTAGTGGCACATACACACTTCCAATAGGGCTAATTTTCCATCAATGTTTTAGAATGGTTTTATTAGCAAGTATACTTCGGCTCACTTAAGACTTAGCTTTGATTCCTTGACAGCTTTGCTGAGTGTTATAGACAGAGGGGCGAGACGCATAATTATATGACAAACTTGATGTTCTGTTGTTATTCTATGTCGGGATTAGATCGTCCATTAAAGTCTACTTTTGAGATTGAGGATAAGTCTATCTCATATCTGCTTAAGTCACTATTAGCCTCTATAAACGTATTCGGCATCTTTGGAAAGCAAAATGGCTCGTTTCAGGAGTGCAATTAACCATTAAATAATGGATAGTAACCTGGGAATTTCATGGTGGGAGGAAGAAAGAGGAGTAAACATAGCGACTTACTCCCATGAAATGGACATGCTAACCAGGTCGCAGTGTGTGCACAAGTCTTGCGATGGGGGTTTTTATGGTAGTGATGGAGGCTTTTGGGTCGAGTGGGACTTTGGTCGAAGAACGACGAAGACGAGATGGTATTGTAGTCGAAACTGCGCTAGGTGGACGGCCAAGCAAACGGTGAGTGCTTCTTGGTTGTTGTTACGAATCTTGCTAACTGAGTAGTGTCTATGCACCGATCGAAGTTAGGCCTCGGCCGAGCTGTGTTCTTTGACTAGCCGCGATACATATAGACTGTGTATATCACTCGCAATTTTGGTCCACCATCTTATTGCGAGCAGCAGACCGAAGGGGTTGTATACCACAGACCTCGCTCGGGTGAGACAGCAAGCACTCCAAAATGTCTATTAGGGTCACTTGAGAAACCGAAATGTTGAAGAGCAAATGATTGATCCTCTTGGCTAAAAGAGAGATATCAGGCCCTGGAGGGTTTCCACCAAAGACACCTAAAGCAACAAAAGCATCTAACTAGCCATATTATAACTTGTTCTGGTTTCATCTGCTAGTTTATTGGACTTAAGGTTTGTCGTTCTTCAGTGGCTGTGATATAGCTGGGAGTCATTCCCCTCATGAGCCTTGTAAAAGCCCAGAGACTGAGGCAAGATTCATGGCAGCTGGTCTGAGTATCTCTTTACAATAAAGGTTGGACTTTCGGGCTTTAAAGCTTAGCTTCGATTCGGCGTTCGAATAGCTTCCTGGTCGATCTGTGTCCCAAGGAAAGGGCTTTCACCGGCCTGGAGGCACGCCGGGTTACTGCTACGCTGAGGCCTTATAACGCTCTCAAACCTTATCCGCTGGAATCACAGCCGCTTTTGTCGGGACTTTTACTAGTCTCATGGAAGACTTAATGGGCACTAGCAAGGACCGCCTTAAAGAGGTAATGGCTATAATGCGCCAATGAAAAGGGCCATCAGAACGGTGTAACTATCACCATTCGGGCACTCATAAATTGCAGCCGCGGCATTGATTTCGATAGCTTTCTAGCCATTATGCCGTTTCTTTACCACGATTAACCAACGGAATCCAGAAGCCAAGGCCGTGTTTCTGATATACGACGCCGTGGAATAAAGCCTTATCATCTCAGTCATCCTCGGCGAGATATGGCGCTAGTCTGCGCGGTACAGATGAAGCAAGAGACATTACCCAACAAGCTTGCGCGCTCGAGTAACGTAGAGGGAGATCTTTCCGGAGACCACTGGCCGTCTGAAGCTCCTCAATACGGGAACGGTGCGGAACTAAACCAGGAGCGCAGCTCACCGATCTCTCTTCCCACGAGAGCAGGACATGTCGGTATTTCTCGTCGATAAATGGTATATAGCATAGCTAATTCTAGCCACCGAGTCATACTTCTTCATTCGCAAGCCTGAAACCGAATCAACTGTGTTCAGGTTATTTGCCAGGTGAGTTGATCATGTCGCTGTTGGGTCAGTAGCTATCGTATCGGGGGTTTGTCTAGCTTCAGACATTGAAGGCTGCTTCGTTTGCGAAATGAGAACAGCAAAATACAATATTATCCGCGCAAATCCGTTGTCGAGATGTTGCAACTTTCTTCGTGCGTTGAACTTGCGACTAGATGCTTTTTTTGGTCGTCCTTAATGCCAGATTACGCACAAGGAGATCGGATGCTCGTAAACTACAAAGTCAAATAAATCTATTGGCAGACCGTTAATTTTCCCCTGCATTTCCTCCCAATAGTCCCTGGGCTAGATGTGTTAGCGTCCACCTGAGATCAATAGTTCCCTGGTGACAGCGCGTTAGAGTTGACAAGCGCCAAGCCCTAGCGCCATAAAGACATTGCAGGGCCCATTTGCGTATTCTCTCTGATTCCGCCTTCTTTTCTGTCTCAATTCCAACTTTAGTCCTTCGCTAACTATGTATGCGCGTGTCTTTTTGTCTCTGGCTGTTGGTCTCATTGGCGTGGCTGCCAGCCCGTGCAAGCCGTTGACCTCAGGTATGATTGTGTGAGGAATTTGGCATGGAGCATGTACTAATTGGGAATTTTGCAGTTTCAGTCGTTTCATCTGCTACTCTGACATCGAGCGTCGCTGAACCCACTGTGTCTACCTCTGTTGAATCCGTTGTCACCGAGACCTCAACTTCGGCTGAGTCTTTGGTAACCGACACTCTGACATCAACTGCTGCGGACTCAACCACCGACTTGACATCCACTCTCGCTTTGACCGCCACGTCTGCCGATTCAACGACACTCTTTACAACTGAGACATCCGCTGCTACAACTGATTTCACCTCAACCGAGACTTCAGCCGATACTACCACTGCCGATGCGACAACCACGACGTCCGATGCCCCAGCCGAAACCACCACATTCTCCATCATCGCCGGCGCAGGCCCAGCAGCCAACAACCCACTCAAGTCAGACAACCTCTTCGGCACCCCCTTGTATCTATCCTCAAGCACCACTCTCCCCGCCCAGCACTATTACCTCGATACCGCTACTGGACAACTCAAATCCGGCACCATGTCCATCTGCGCATGGTTCCAGCACAGCGACATGACCAAAGCTTACATCACCGCATGTTCCAGCGAGAATGAGGATATCAACAAGGGCGTAGTATATCTGAATTGTCAGGTTCCTACCGAGGGTTCTGCACTCCAGTGTAGCGTTCCGGTGCTGAATTGTGTACAACTTGGTGGTGGTGTTCAGAACTGTGCTGCGACAACGGATACATTGAGCCATTTCAGCATGGAGGGTGATGTCAAAATGGTGTATATTGTTGCAGATGGCTTTACGGGTATAAATCAGACCCCTGTTGATCTGATTGTTGACCAGGCTGCGGTTGCTGCTCCAACGCCGTGAGCTAAGGATAGAATATGGATTTAATATGTAGGGCCGCTGCTTCGTCCATATTGGCATGCTTCATTACTTGTATATTCTTTCAGGTGGCTATATTTCAATTAAGTAGACTCTCAGGAAGGTGAAGCTTCTGATACTGGAGCAATCCATCCCTGAACAACTATAATTCTAATTCTCAGCACCCTAGCCATATCGTTTGACGGTACGTATTGGTCAATAATATATCATCTGTGATCACCATTGGTTGCGTCTCTATTCCTCCTTCCTTTCAATACAACTCAGTACAATATCAAAACTCGCCGCCGTTCCGAATCGCGAATCATAATGCCACGGTGAGACAGCCAGTATGATGAATCGATGCAGCTCCAACTGGTCATTTTGAGGACAGCACGAGAGCTTTGTGATTCATCTGTGGATGAAAGATCTGTTCGAGCTGTCTTGCATCTCGCCATGCGATGAAGCTGAACTGAACTGTGTACTCACTGGATACCTGTTGACATAAAATCTGAGCTTTACGGGGAGCCTGGCCAATTTGGAACGCATTTTTAAAATCCATGCCAATCTGGGTACCTTAAATAGCTACTTGTATCTTGGAAATTAGGCAAAATTGCGATGCGCTTAATATTCTTTGTTCAAGCACCTCAGAAGTTCCATCTTTAGTTATTTGTCTCCGCTGAAGATATCTTCAAGTGAAAACAAACGAGTGTAGGGTAATTGCCGCGCGCTTCGGGAGATCCCGCTTGTGTTTCAGCTGCTGACTCAGGCGGCTTATTAATAGCAACAGTCACGCAACAAACGGCCTACTTTAAATCCCCCGCATCTGGCCCCCAAGAACAGAGACACTGCCTCACAATAACAGATAACAACTTACCAATTCCTACCTTTACGGCATTTTGATACCATTTAAACTTATCATCATCAGTTGGGAACCATGGGCGACGCCTCAGTCTTCAAATATCCCTCTCCCTTGACCGGGTACGAGAATGCCCCACCACTGCCAGATGAGAAGGCAGCAGATGGGAAGAGTTATGTCAATCCTCAGTCAGAAAAGCTCAGCGAGGCGTACGAGAAGTTTATAGACCCATTGGATCGAAGTGAGCGTGGTGGCTTGTAAGTCTGCTCAGCCTAACACTACACGTGACGTGTCTGACAGGTATCAGTGACATTCATATCTACTACCTACAAACGAACGAAACGCAGGTCAAGTACGCCAAGGAACTGTGGGAGCGAATTCGAAGAGAGTGTAAGTTAACTGTTGATTTAATTCGTCTCTATAAAGTCCAGCAGCTGACACTTGCTAGTCCCCGAACTACGAATCTACAAGCTTTGGGAGGGACCAATCGGACCTCATCCTATCGCCATGTTTGAAGTTAATGTATTCTCACCCGCTCAATTTGGTGCTTTCGTCGCGTGGCTTGCTATCTGGAGAGGTCCCCTGTCGGCGCTTGTCCACCCTAATGTGATCCCCGAAAAGGGCGTGAACCGCTGGGCGTCGATGAAGAGGGATCACCTAGAGAGGGCGATTTGGATGGGCGAGAGGCTTCCACTAGATGCTAGTCTTTTTAACAGGGAGGACTAAATGCATAAGATACCTTATGTGGGAAATTATTTAAAGGTTTACAGATAGAGTCAAAGATTGCAGCGATTTCTCAAGGTATCAATTATGTGACATTATGGGGTAGCTTGAGATAGAGTTTAACACATATCTCGGTATTGCAGATATAATCGCTTCGTTAGGTCCTGCATGCTAATCCGACAGGCGCTTCACCATTCAGTGCCCCCAACCATGCCTGAGCTCTAAGCTTGAGGGTCTTATTTGTGCTCGCCTTCACCATTGCAGAAAGGAACGGGGTAAGTTTCGCTGCTGCATAGACGAATAATACCCTTAACCCATTCAAGGTTTCCATAAGTCTGACTCTCGTACGATTCCGATGTAAACTCCGTCTTCTCGATATCATCACCGCATCCGTCAAGAACATTGCCCTGAACACGTCGGACATAAGGCTGGCTGACAATGAGACCGTGGTGGTTTTCGGGGACCTGGAAAGACAGTGACTGCTGCTGGCTTGAAGTCCAAGTCTCGGTATAATCAATACTCAATGAAGCGGTAAGAATATCCTTGATGATAGGAATACTGAAACTAGCACCGACTTTGAGAGAGTTGGCGATGGTGAAGCCGGAGGTAACGCTAACGGTGGCCTTTGAGCCGTCAAGACTGCTGATGACGGGGGACATTGGAACATCCCAGTTGAGAAACTCCTTCTCGGACAGAACTTGGACTTCGGTGCTCTCGCATCCACGACGTTCAACGTTTCTCTTGGAAGGTGTCTTGGTTTCGATAGCGGGGGCAGTCTCGAGACGCTCAAGGTCAGCCGCCTTCATGATCTGGGAAGTGCCGTCGGTTTTGAGAACGATGACATCGTCGGAAGAAAGAATCTTGGGGGCGGCTGCCGCTTGAGTAACCGAGATGAGGCTGATGAGTGCGAGAAGAGTGGAGGGCATCATGGTGAAAGATTGCGCGTAGTGATATTATTAAGCGCGTGGAACTTGTGGCAGGAATGTAAACACAAAATGATGCGATCAAATCAGATGAAAGAGTGAATTGGTAAAGACTGTAAAGAGCGAACTGGTGCACAAACGAATGAATGATAAAAGCTCGATGTTGACAAAAGCTAATCTCATCAAGCCAGGGCGCATTGATCTTTTAACCGTCCATCTCCAGATATCACGGACCCAGTTCATCTGAACAAACTCCGAATACCCTCCATGACTCAAAAAGGCAATGCGTAAATTCAGATATGACACAAGGACCCTCCCCATTCCCCATTATCAATGCAATCAAATTATGTAACTCTGGCCCAGTAAGGCAGTCCATACAAGGGTTACAACCTGTTCAAGACGGGTGATCCACACGGAAAAGCGTATCCCGAAGTTTCAAAACCTCGGCTGCGTCATGAACTTCTCCTTTTTTCGCACCGACAACGAGAATTAGAGTTTTTGACATGTTTCATCCCTATATCGTATCTCCACCTTCGGAACTGCCGATGCTGGGGTATTTTTGAAGAATGGGGGTTGAGAGTGGATGAGAAGCAGGTTTCTGGAATATTGGCCCGCGGGAATATCGTTATGGTTTGTCGGATGTTGGTGCTGATCGTTCGGAGGGTTCTTGGTATTGTTTCAGGTAGGTGTTCTAAGCATGATATTGGTGTAGATGCCGGTACTGGATATTAGTGACGTTACATCAATGGAGAAAGCTCGGACAAACCCGTTCAGCTGAGATGATGGACATCTGATCCCTGAGATAAGGTGATATAAGTGTCTGCATGTCCATTGATAGTCGATGGCTTACCATCCGTCACCAACAGTCTTTACCAGTTTTGGAACTTTGACACTCTTTTGTCCTTTAGTCATTCACTCTTTACATTGAACTATCTGCGTCTACGATCTAATAATACTACTCGTCTCCGTCTATAATATCCCAGAAACCATTATGTTGGCCAAGATCCTTAGCGCTTTCTTGCTCGTCTCCGCCGTGTAAGATCCATCCATCCGGCCGTCAACACAAACGTCTAACATGATGAAAGGACAGCTAAGCTTCACGATAACTGTGCTTGCCACAATGGCGATAGTTACAACTGGCGATTGACTGCCGCTGCATGCACAGAGTACAACGATGAAGACTATGAGGTATATCTACACCAGCATCTCATCAAGTATTCCCATATCAGCTAACTGACTGTGTAGTGGGGCGGTGCTACCTACAATGAGACGTCTGGCCGTGTAAGTGGAAGTTTCCCTAATAGATTAGATGCGTGCTGACTTGATAATAGTGTGTTCAAGCCACTACTGAAGACAAGATCGCTGGTGATGAATGGGAGGATGCCTGCAGAAAAATCGCTGAGGAGGGCTACGACTGCGCCGATGGAGAAGGCAAATGCTACGCTAACCCCGAGAAGGTCCGTGGCAGATGTTAAAGGTTTTATCTAACACCGGGCGGGGAATGATTGATGGTGAAGATATCTGTTTTAATGTCAGATCTAAGCTCACAATCTGGAACAGACCTCTGACAGAGGGAGGCCCCGGGCATAGTATACAATACCTCTGTTCCGCTTTTTCAAAGGATAAATCGAGTCTGGGATCCAAACGCTGCATGACCAATATCTTCCGCAATACCTGGCCTTGAAAGCCCAAATTGCACTCTTTGCGCCGCGACGTCTCCCTTTAAGGGCAGAATTCCAAGGTTCTGTCCTTTAGCAATTATATCGAGCTCTGGATTTCTCGTTGTACAAAGAACCCCTGAAAAAGAGCTACTATGGCTGACGCCGTTGTCTACCAAGGCGTAAAACCAAATGAGCACGAATAGCAGAGTAGCTCCTGCGCCTGCAGAGTAAGGCGCGAGCAATGATCGTGCTGTATAAGAATATAGAAGCTGTGTTGTTGACTTCGTGATTGGTGTCTTCGTATAGGTCATGTTCGACTTCGTGTCTCGGTTCTAAACATATCTATGTTTACATTAGCTCCAAATAACTCGTTTTGGTAGAGATCTCTAGATACGCACACCCCTGATATGTTTGCAAAGCTCTAAGTTGCCACCTCACTCAACTTCTCGATACCTTCCTCCAATAGCTTGCCAGGGCAACGCTGTCTGATGAACACTGTGGTCACCGCAGTAGCATTTCGCATCTCTGGACAATCCACCAGTGCTGTTTTGAGAACTGTTAAAGATATTGTAGTGACATGCATATTAGCACCCATGTAAGTAACGACGCTGCCTCCGAATAGTTGACTAATCGCTCGGTACCATCATGTATACCCAAAGCTAGCAGCTACATCTCAGTAGGCTATGGCGACTACGCCTATCTTCTTCACATAGTAGTGATCCTCAAGACTCGTGATATTAGACTACAGGGCGCCATTGCCAAAGGAAAAGTCAACCGTATAGGTGGTATTCCAAACTTGACAGCTAAAGTTACGTTAGGTCGTTGAGAATAAAATGTCGTATATCTATCGATTTGACTGGCATTATACCACGTCGTATCCCCTGCAAGATGGAGTAGGTAAAATGAGGTTTGGTTGCTCACATCTCCACATCGAGGCGGGGCCCAGGGAATGTCACGCTATGGCTGTAGTTCTGATGCTTTGCCGTCATAGGAAGAACCGTGTTGCTATACAGAGATGCAATAACAGTCCTGTATGTTTCCAGACTGGTATCTGCCATTCGACCCTCGCCGGCTACTCCGTGTGGGCAAATTTGCCCCAGTCAATGTAAGACACATTCTCGGTTATCACTTCTTGAGATGTAAGCACACCAATCGGGAGACTGGCCCTATTCGTCGGATGAGTCATTGTCATGTAACAATATGAGAAAAATATTCTACCAGAATACCACCATACTCAGAGACGAAACTCAAGCATACCAAATTCCATTCCCATTCCCAAGGCTGAGTTCATGCCGCTTTAGGCCGAGCTGCTGCTGAGCAAGGGCTGAGGTTTCGGAACGCAGAGCTGAAGTAGGCTGAGCAAAGTGCTGAGCGAGGTGCGGGGACCTATTTTTGGGATCACAAATCCCAACTGCGCGCCAGTTTTAGGACAAAGCCTAGTTTGAGTCCCCTATAAAAATATTCCTACCAATAAAATCTGACTCTATACAGTTTATAGTATCATTAACTTAAATACTTATCTCTGCATGTGCGAGATACCTATAATAATTAAGTCATTTCTTCCATAATAGCTATATTTGCGGCTTATTTCTCCTTTATTTCTTTGCAAATGGTCTGGTTCGCGTCAAGCGGCGTAGTTAGCCGTCATAATAGGTTTAATCTGCAAGAAATTAGCTAGTAGAAAATCATATCCTAAACCCTTAGGTAACTGAAGGGGTAGGGCGGGTTTGGGGATCTTAAGGAGGTGTGTTATCCTGGCTTTAATCCCCCATGAAGCCATTTAAACTAGCAGGGCAGCTGGTGCGATAACAAGAATAATCTGGCCGGCATCATAGGCTAAAGCAACCGCCTCGCCGATGACCCATTTCCCGCTTCATTTTACGACATGTCAAGTATCTTGGGATTCCTCCCGTCGAGTGGCTTTGGTGAACAGGTAGAGCAGAAACCTTGCGAGTGTGGACCAGGATATCTCATACAAGAAGGATATAGTTCGGAGTAGCAGATGGCAGGACAAGGACATAAGGATCATTGGTGGTTAACTAGGTTCAGGTCACCTGAAACCCACGACTCTTCAAGATGCTGGCCTGCGTAATCAAGGAATGAGAGGCGACACTGCAAGTCACTAACCGTCGTGTAGTTGGGACCTTGCCAGGGATGGCGGAAGGACCCAAGGCCCATGTAACTTAACATGTTCCATGGGTAATTTATGTGCCAAACCAGTACACCGAGTCTTCGTTATTACCCTACGCATCAACAACATCCCACTCAGCTTTCCACTCGGTGCGAGATGCTGAACACCTAGGTCAGCAAGGCGTATACTAATATGAGATATGGAATATTCTACAGTCCATTAGTCTAAACTGACTAAAATCATCTACAAATTGCGCTAAGACAAGCTCGACTTTATCGAGGTCAGTTTCCCAAAGGAGCTGAATCATATCCCCGACTTTGTACTATATATTGTTTTCCATATTGTAAATAGTATTTATATTATGGTTCCATTCTAGAGGATAAAGAAACTTAGAGCTACAATAGGCACGACTAGCAGATATAGAAACTATTAGAGTAAAGACTAAAATGATAAGCAAGTTGGCGACGAAGAACGGATAAAAGTTTCAAAACTAATAGCTAACAGGCCCTTCACAGTTAAATAGGACCCATTTGCAGGTATTTAAAGGATGGAAAGAGTCATGTCACTGCTGGGCCATGACATCTATTTGCTTTGACTGATTCGTAAGCCAAAGCCAAGAAAGATCGATAAGGTATATTAATTAAATCAGGACTCTTATCCCTGGATAATATGTAGCCGATGACCAAGGTAAGATTAGTTGAGGCACGAGCCGCAAACGATTCTGCCAGGGTTACAGCTGATGAATGACATGGTTTCTACGGCCATTAAATCTTTAATATAAGCGCGAAGGCCACTGAAAACCCAGTCTCTGTCACCGCAATAGATTATACAGATAGAACTTAAAGCATATTTCCTTTTAGATCATTAGATGCAATTACAGCTTTATACCTGTCTTGCATCCTTGGACATGCTTCCTGATTTATCTAGTTGCATATAGCAGTAGGACAAAAGACAACCGACAACCAACAACCAACAGAACGTCACATTTAACAGGGCTGAATGACCAGTCGGTGAAACACTTCACATAGGCATATTTCTAGGGCTAGAAGGTAGTTAAATAAAAGCTGAAAAGGGAAAAATAATATTGATAAGGCAAGTTCCTGAAAAGGGGTTTTGGTCATAACTAACAGTCCAAGCTCATCATCCTACGCAATTACATCATTAGTATGTTATCTATTGATTTTAAGACGTGATCAAAATCTTTAGCCCGTCTTGCTTGAGCACTATAGATATAGCGCCATGTTTCTACCCTAATTATAGGTACGTTTGGCGCTTCGCGTAGTATAGTTCACAGGGAAGGTTACTATGATGTGGGGGGGGGGCAGTTCTAACTTGATTATTACCAGGGGCCGAAAAGTGATACGATGACTGTCTGGTTTCTACTTATTGGCTCAGGAAGGGCTCGGGTTAAAGCAGCGATCACTCAGGATGGTGGGCGAGAAGGGAAATACTGAAAGTCGATATTCATATTACGCATGAGGCTGTTTTAGTCTAGACCTTTCACACCCCGCACTCTGTAGGTTTGCATCTTATGCTCTGACCAGAGCGGCCCTGCCCTCCGTATTAGCGAGTCGTGTTAAACCTCACCTCTTAAACAGAAACGTGGAATATTTAATCACTCAAAGCTTGAAAAAGTTCTAGGTTTTACTTAGCAGGCGATCATCTTCGGGGTCTGGAGACCTACGTAAAACCAACCAACATCCATGCTTTCCAATTCACTATTTTCTAAGGCCTATCAGTCTTGACTGGAGCCTGCTGGCCCCACACCGGGCTTGGCCAGCCAGACCCGAGCCAATGAGTAATCACGCATAAACGCCCTTTGAGTCTCATATGTGCGGGTTTGTAAGATGGCTGCTTATTGGACATAACTTTGCAGTCAGCATGGTGACTGCGGCATTAAATAAGCTTCCGCACACCCTCGTTACGAAGCTCGTTTTGGCCCCTCTGTCATTAATATTGTAAGACACCGCGATAATGGCAGACGGCCTTAGTGTTGCTTCTGGAGTATTAGCTCTGGTGACATTTGCTTTTCAATCGAGCACCATTCTTTTCAAGACTGTTCGCAGTTTCAAAACCCAGGACGCCAACGCGCGCGCACTCAAAACTGAGCTGAGTGATCTCACTGGAGTCCTGCACTCGCTCCTGGAGACAGTTACAAATTACCCTGAGATTAAATTCGACTCTCTCGAATTACCTCTGCTACGTTGTGGAAAAACGTGTGAGGAGTATGGCAAGCTTATTGCTCGATGCACAAAACACTCTAATGGAACTCGGCCAAGTTTCCGGGACTGGATTGGCCAGCAGTACCTGAAGGGAGATATCACAGACTTCAGAGAGATGCTTGCTGGGTATAAATCCACTATTAATATAGCATTGGCTAATGCAAACATGTGCGGTTCCTCAATCGAGGTCAGTGTATGAAATCAACTAATAACTCTATTCTTATAGAACTATTACGGCTGTTACGCGCAATGTCATCGACGAATACAAAGACATGATAGATGACACAACCGCCGACCTCCAAAAGCACATGCAGCGACTGGATGAGAGAGCACGTAGCTTGGCTATCCCCCACGCTGAAAGCGTCGAGTCTGATAGCACTGACTGGCTTGCTCTGTTTGAAGAGAAAGAAAGTACTCGAAAAGGCCTCCAGATCTGCACTGAGCTATCTTTGCACATCGAAGCACTCGAATCGACATCCAACGAGAACCCGCAGTTCTCCCAACAGCCTTCAGCAGATAAATACATCAGAAGTAGTTTGAGTTCTGCTAAAAGTTCTATCAGTATGTTGGAATCGCGCCTCAGAAGCCACGGAAACGAAATCGATAAGAGGATGGATGCTATGAAATTGAAAACGAACCTCTCTGAAGATGATATCAACCAACTGGCACAACTACAGGAGACGAAGGAAAGCATCCGTCAATGCATGAACGTGGTTGCTGATGCCGGCGAGGACTTGGTTAACGAACGTGCTAACGTCTTTGAAGACATAATGATGGCTGATAATGCTTACGGTATCACGGTTTCAACCGTAAAGGATCTGGTTTTCGCAAGGCGAGTCAATGTGCAAGGCCAGGCGCGTTATGTGGGTGGGCAAATAGATGAGGCAAGCTATAACGCAACGATCAACGCACTTACCAACTTGGACCGAGGAAGTGCACAATATGGAGGGCGGGATATTACATCGGTGTCTTCCAAAGATGAAGCGGCCAAGAAGACTGTGACATCCCAAGCCTTTCTTGAACGTCATGGCCCCGGCATTAAACTTGAACCGTCTGATGTGTCAGCCAAGCCTTCTGGGTCAGCCTCGCCTTCTGGGTCAGCCTCATAAGGGTGATGGTAATTTTGAAAGCTTAGTTTCCATCAAGGGTAGCTTTAAACAAAATTGCAAGAAGAAATACTTAATAATGGGTCTCAAATTGTATGTATACATTTATATTTTTTTTGCCCAGATCCTATATCATCATCTTACAAGGATTGTTTATAGGTCAAGCTCTGCTCTCCCATGAAATAAAATTGTTCGGAAGACGTACCAGAGACAAACAACAACTTAATATCACATGGGGCCGAGTATAGCGCTGATAATACTATGATTGACAAAACCGGCACATCTTTTTGCGGCCAGAGATGTCTTGAATATGATAACAAAATAGAGCGACACAACGATAAAATCGTGAATCACTGGTTGGTTTTGAGGTCAGAGGGAATAGCGGCTTGGCCAAGCAATCTTCTTCATTGACAATTGTGGATGGTTCTGAATAGTGATAAACAATCAACAATATAGGGATATAAAACTTACTAGTTATTGTTTTGATATGATGAGTCTACGTCTATCTCAAGTGCTGAAGATGCAGTAATAATCTTATCTTTATCTCAGCGCTCTGTAGCTAGTGTGACAACTCAAATTCCAGCAGGTTTTTCAGTGCCTTGTATTTTGGATACCTTGAATCCGCATGTGAGGTCCTGAAAAGAATTAAATCGTCAAGTCATGCGAAAGCTATGCCAAATGTTGTTAATCACTGAATACTCTAGTCATAGGTCAAAGTGGCCAAAATTTACTCAAGACATGGAAAACCGGCTAGACTTGATGGCATCACGACTAGATCGTGATAAAATTTTTTTTTGAAGGAAAAGTTTAAACTTGAAATGATAAATAAATAAAATAAAATAAAAAAGCCTGAACCTTAATATCAAGTTAAAAGATTTTATTGGTCAGACGCCGCTGTCATGGGCTGCCCAACAAGGGCATGAGTCTATTGTGGAGCTACTACTTAATAACTATGCTGATATCAACTCAAAGGATTCTGCTGGACAGACACCGCTTTCGTGTACCGTTATGGGAGGTCATACAAGCGCTGTAGATATATTATTCACCAGATGCGCTAACATGGACACCAAGGATATTTTTGGTCACACGCCAGTGTCATGGACTGCTTGGAGAGGGCATGGGGATATGCTGGTGCTGTTGGCAAATCATAGCGCTACCAGATAAAGAAATGCTAATTAGGTCTGAAGTATTTACTATATGCATAATGAATGCCTCGGCCTAGTAAGTATTTACACAATAACTACAAGGATAAGAGATTTTGTGAGAATAAATCTTAGCATTATAACCTCAAAATTTAGAAGCCTATGTATTACAGGTCTGAGGCCCTGATAAATGGATCTTAGCCCGAATTGAATGAAGAGAAGATGCTGTAATAACTTTCACTTAATAATATCTACTTATGAACTGCTTAGGCAGCTAGAAGCCACATGTAATGCTGCCCAATTACTATAATACCAAGGCTAGATAACTACTAATCTTCAGGGTTTCTGGCCACCACAGTCCCAGGAAAACCAATTAGAAAATCACGGCACTGGCAGTCTCTAACCCAAGTTTAATAACATTATTTCTTGCTATAACACTAGCTAGTATAAGCCTTGATAATGGCTTAGGATTAAGAATGCCAATATGATAAGAAATTTGCCTGTAAGAGTTAAGGGAGGTAAAAAGACCTTGAGCTTAAGGGCCTAGAAGTAGGACCGAGAGCGACTAGTAGGCTCTGCTTAGCTAGAGGGGTGATCAAAGCTGAAGGGGGCTGATGAATAGCTGAGCCGAAGCTGAGCCAGCAAGCGAAACGGCCTGAAAAGCGGCAATCCATAGAAGACCACGCGTCGCTTGAGTTTCGTCTTATAATACCAGAGCAATAATGATACATGAAAAGGCGTTGCGGTGAGTGTCGATACTCATCAAACAGGTAGGATTAGATAGAAGACCCGTGTGGTTGTCGATGCTCTGTATAGACATGGCACGAGTGCGTAGGACAGTCCAATAGTATTGCTGATACGTGACGGTAGCGCTTGCGCAGAGGCAGCCATTAGAGAGGAACCCAAGACCAGTTCCAATTCGTACTGTCCAAACTTGGGATATCCCTGTTGGTGGTTACCCGTTAGAGAGCTTTAGAAGATATGGTGGGCAATGGCAGTGACGACTCCAAGAATAAGCAATCTGGCCATACTAAAAGGCGTAACCCAGTGGATCTTCTGTGGGCTTGATAAAGTGTTGTCTTGGACGTGGCTTGGTGTTTCGTGTGTCTCCAGCTTCGAGGGACCACCATTGCCTGGGCCTGTCATTGGGCTGCCAGTTTGAGATCTGAATGGGCTGGGTGAGCCTTGGATGGTCCCGTCAAGTCCTTTTGGCCCCTGTATGCAAGCCTAGTTCTTGAGACATGTTGCTCATGAATCTGCGGGAGTGCAAGATCTAGTTGGGCCAGAAGGTAGGTATTAATAGTATTGATAAACGAGACAGTTGAGATTCATGTGCTTTTCAACATAGCTTTAGCAGCCTAGGAAGCGATATTTTGTTATGTCTTCACTGCCAACAGACTGTCCTACCCCGCCGTACTTAGACTCGCATATGCCGTTTGAACGCCTCGTCTCACATGGTGGAAGGAATTAAATGTTTTTGCTTTTTATAATGATTTTTATGCAGGCCTCAAATCAGAATGGAGTTAGTAATTGGTGAAGCCTGCAGCAGCCGCATTACCTACATAACCCCCTGCTACAACATAAAGTCCTGTTGTATTATCCACCTGTCGAATTAACTCCATGTTGTCATCGCTGTGTCTTTCCCTTGGAGCTAGGTCTATTTTCTACATTGGATGAATATAATACTGGGCCACATTAGTTTTGAGGGGTGAAACGGCCACTCTATATTTCTTAGCTTGGAAATTGCATCGGCGGTTGACGTGGCACGCAAGCGTTCTTGCACTACAAAAATCAGGCTGTGAAATTTTGGTGCTTATTGGTTCCAAGTATACCTCTATGTATAAAGAGAAGTAGGCTGTTAGAGATAGGAGGCTATTGGCTCTTATCTTGATGGCTTATGCACGAAGTCACATTTGGGTAGCATTCATTTTTCAGCTTGTTCTTGACCCCTCTAAATCAGATGATGTTGCTCAACCGGACGTATAAATGACCCCAAAGTCATAAGATGACCTGACACTTCGTAAGTAGCTTTATTCGCTCATTTACAGCTACTTTCTGCTACTCAAATAGTCGTAGTATGTCGTGATTATAGAAGTTCAGAAAAGTATCACAACTTCACGGAAACGCCACTGGCCACGTTACCTCATTAGCCTGGCTCTATCATACCAGCTGAAGAATGTGGCTTTGAAGCGGGGGTATCTGGGCCTACTTCATAATAAGCTGAGCTCCCAACCCCGCCAAGCATCAATTGCTTCTTCACTTTGCCAAGCTTTCGTTAGTTACCAGCCCATAAGCATGGTCGACCCCATATCCATCATTGGCCTTGTAGGCCAAGTCTCGGATCTCATTCAACGAGCCTACAACTACGGCAAAGCAGTCCACGATGCTAAAGGTGATATGCGCAAGCTTTACACGGAGCTTTTAGGCCTCAAAGGCGTCTTGGAGCAACTCGATAGACTAGATCTTGCCTCAGCAGAGCCGTATATAGCTGACCTTGTCCGCTCAAACGAGTTTCGCAATACGCTATCTTCAACTTCAGAGCTCGTCGCACGACTTATTGAGAATTTGAACAAGAAACAAACGTCTTCTCGTCGCATGAATGCATTTCTGTGGCCATGGGTAAAAGATGACGTGAAGGCAGATATTCAGGATCTCGAACGTGTGAAAACTTGGTTCATCGTGATGATGATGGCTGAGAATTCGTGAGTGCTCCCATCAACATGATATTGTGGAGCTCTGACGGCAGCTAGTACACAAATGGAAGTTCTGGTGATAGAGTCGCATGAGATTTTGAGCATCGCAAAAGAGGGCCAGACGAGTAGGAAGCTTAAAGAGGAAGGTCTGCAATCAAGCGTGCGAGACTTAGTCAATCGCTTACCATTTTGACAGATGAAAAGAGAGCGATGATCAAGGATTGGATCCAGCCATTCAGCCCTGCGCAATTACACGCGAAAGCTCTTCAAAAGAGGATGCAATCCACCGGTTTGTGGTTCTTGGACGGCAACTTCAAAGTCTGGAGGGACAGTGGTGAAGATACCCCAAGAATCCTATGGCTTCGTGGTAAATGTAAGTCGGGAACCCTTCCCATGTGCCGAGCTTTGCACTCCTTCTGACTTAACTATGCGTAGCTGGGTCTGGAAAAACAACATTGCAGTAAGTCAGATGAATCTTCTCCTGTCACTGATGCTGAAATGAATCCCAGTGCTGCTGCAGTAGACCAGCTCAGGTCATACCACCAAGAAGCCCCCAACATCGGTTTTGCGTTTTTTTACTGTTCTTTTGATGACCGAGAGTCTCAGCAACCTCTCAATATCCTTGGATCGATCTTGTATCAACTCTCAGAGCAGTATCCCGAAGCTTTCGATGGCATCGATCAGTTGCGCAAATCCGGTGAGGTCCTGGGCGAGAATGTTCTACTAAAGCTGATCTCGCAATACGTGTCCAGCTTTGACAAATTCTACATCTCTGTCGATGCTATCAACGAGAGTTTCAGCTGTATCGAAGTGTTTGAGATGCTTCTGCAGCTTCTTACCGACAACCCCAACGTGCGAATTCTTGTGACAGCCATATCGAGTTGTACGTATTGGCTAGAAGATCTACAACTGCAGGATCCGCCGGAATTGATTGAGATAGATATGGGTAAAGAGGATGTTGGGAAAGATATCGACTTTTACATCATGACGAGGCTCAATCAAGAGCGTCTTCTCAAGCGACTAAGCAAGGAGGCAAAGCTTGAGCTGCGTGAAAAGATACTCTATAACGCGAATGGAATGTGAGCAAAACTATAGCTAAAAGTTTGTCTACCCTCCTATTAACATTTCCAGGTTTCGGTATGCCCAGTGTCAGCTTGATTCGCTCGGTGGCCTCAGAACCGCCAAAATGGTTAGCGACGCACTCTATAATCTTCCAAAGGATATATATGAAGTCTACGAACATATTCTGCTCAGCATCCCCGAGGCCGATAAAATTCTCGCCAGAGAATCATTCTTCCTTCTCTCGGTAGCCCTGCGGCCACTTACGATACTGGAACTAGCAGAAGCTGTAATTCTGGGCGACTATGAAACCGCGGTTGATGAGCAGTGTAGACTTCCAGAGCCCATGGTGTTACTGGAAATATGCCAAGGCCTTGTTGACTACGACGCAACAACAAATGTGGTTACATTAGCGCATTCATCGGTTCGGGCGTATATCACCTCCAGCCGCACGCGCGAAGGCGAAGTTTCCTGGTTTAGTTACAATATCCCTGGCATACACGCCGATTTTGCCAATAAGTGCTTATCGTATCTCCTTCTCGAGCATTTCCAAGATGGCTGTTGCACCGAAGAAGAGCTTGAAAAGAAGTTTGAAGACTACCCTCTTCTTCGCTACGCTTCTCGATATTGGCCACTTCACGCCAGGATATCTGATAGACAAGGGCGCCAAGAGGCTTCTGCTTTGGCATTCTGTCTGAGTTCTAAGAAAGCTGGAGGGGGCAACTTTAGCTTTTGGGTTCAGTGCCTGATGCCTGATGCATCGAGAGAGACTATTATGGCAAGCGAGCCTCTTTACTACGCTTCTTCTTTTGGCCTTACGGATCTTGTCAAAAGTCTACTGACGTCGGAAGATGTCAAGGTTGATGCCCGGGGTGGTCGATACAGCTCGAGTGCGTTGCACGTAGCATGTTACAGAGGCCATGTCGAAGTAGCTCGTCAGCTACTCGAGTGTGGCGCAGATATAAATCTGCTGGATAGCGATGGCCGCACCGCGTTATTCTGGGCAAAGAGATTAGGTAGGACTGACATTGTTGATCTTCTGGAGGATCCCAAATATGCACAGACGAAAGGTCACGCTGTCATGAAACTCTCGGATCTTCCAGAATATATCGACTACCCATCGTGGTTCTGCTGTGGCTGCAATGGCGGACCCCAACGAGGAAGATTCAATCATTGTATGGGCTGTCATCACGAGAGGTGCGAGAAGTGCATCAAGCTGGCTGGCCTGGATGATCTTGAGAAGGCTCCTGAATCACAAAGTCGCTGGATATGTTGTAGCTGTGAGGCTGGACCTACAAAGGTTGAGACGAAGGAATGCCGAGATTGCGAGCATGAAAAGTGTCGTAGGTGCTGGGTCTTTAATGTTTTAATTTGAACTTTATGTACTTGATATGTGAGTCAAAGACGATATATAGTATTTAGTAATGACGATAGAACGGCACGGCAGCGCGCAATTAAATGAGCAGGATGAGGTTGCTCAAACCATAATTTTGTTATGGGGTATCTGTGATTGTCCTCTGAAAGTCGAAGGGATTGGCAAGCTGTCATCACAATTATCCCACTTCTGACAAAGTACAGTTTCCATTGGGTGGGTTCCCTTACTCCCTGTAACTCTTCCGCTTTCAGCTGTTGGTGTTGGAAGCCTAACACGGCATGTCTCATGGCAGTTGAAGAAAACACCTCACCTTTTGAATCAGAACATTATTGTATACATTACTTAGTACATGATGGCGGGGACACCTGCCCGGTTGTCGTGTTTTGTTGTACCGTGCCGTCTCCTTCGTTTCTTTTTGGACTTGGATCGGCGTATTGTGTATATCAGTGGCTGGCTGAGTCTCATTTCTCCGACATCCCTTGCATCGCCTTGACTGTGACAATCACTCTGCAAGGCCACCGCCTTGCTGTGATCTCGGCAAGATATCGCTGCTGGCATGACCTGAACTCAACAATCGGAGCGCCCTCCCGTGGTAATTGCCAAAGTCCTCATTCAATCGCAAGGGCTGTATTTCAAAGTAATTTCGTTGCCCTGCAAATATTCGAGCAGCCTGAAATCAAGCGACCAATAACCCTATGAACGATACATGGTGCTCCCACGGAACAGTCCAAAATATTGCTGTTGGTAGTTGCAGAATCGGTCATGAGCTAGGACCGCACTGTATTGGTCTTGTAAGAATTTATACAAATCTGCATGGGCTGAATGTAGGGAAAACCTGCTGTGAGACAATTCTTTAACATCCAAACGACCGCATTGCTATTCATTCCACAGTATAGCAGGAGGAGTTTTTGTTCAGCTTGTCTCAATTCGCGAGCTTTGCATGACAAATGGCAGGGAAATTGCGGTATTTCAACATTGTTGAATATTAAAGATCAGATTGTATGTATGCTACTCTAGGTATGGTGATAGTATCTTGACACATCAATCACAGCCAAAGTCTAGCTTTGGACTATATGCATGTACTTAACGTCGTGGCAGCTACTGAGACTTTGATCTGCTCATTGGATGGCAAAATACCGAACCATTTGAGTTCCTGATACAATCGTTATGACTATACTTACCCAAGACACATTTCATGACGAGGATTAATCTGATGTTGTTACTTTTCTTTTTTAAAAAATGGTGAGATCATCAACATATAATTACTTATATAACTGAAACCTCTATGCATCTACGTTTAAGACACAATGATCCAGAATGACTGATGGAACTCACTGAAACAGCTCCCGCAGGATATTGTGGTTCAGTCATTACCAATTGTTTGAACAGAAGACAGGTATCCTCTACAGTCAGGGAGAGCGCTAGGAAGCCGGACACAAAGACGAGGGGAGGAACAAACCCTGCATGTTCGGTCGCCCAGTTCGGTATCGCGGGAACAGCAGAGCATCGGAGGTTTCCAACGATTACACAAAGTCACTCATTAAGTAGTTGAAAAGCCGGCCGCAGTCATTCGTTCATGATTAAGACGCCCAGTCAATCGCCATTTCTTGAGTTTAGCATAACTCAGCATATGTGAGAACCAAGCAGTTCATGAGCCTTGATAGTCGTTGTATATTTTAAAATGCTAAAGTTCGAAGTTGTCTATTTACAAGATTACGGCAAGCCTTAAAATAACTTAAGAGATAGAGCATGCATATTTATAAAGTAAATTAATATTTATAGTCTTTATCAATCCCATTATAGAAGCTCGTGTGCCCTGAACTAACATACATCTATCATTATATTATTACGAAAATAAAGCTAAGTTGCCCTAAAAACAACACCATGACGACTCGCACTAGTCTAAATGTTATTGGAAACTCCTGGGGCGATGATCTCCAGCTTCTCTAGCAGCTCAGCAAAAAGCGCAGTCTGGATCTTTGCACCAATTTTGTTCGTGACATGACATGCAGGCCTGATAGCATATTAGCTTCTAAGAACTCTTCTCAATAAAGAATTACTTACTCGTGGACTTGACAATTGGTCATGTATTGCCCGTTGCTTTCGGGACCAGCAAGGACTCCAGCGACAAGCGCACGACTTCCCATCTCTGTCGAACGAGCCATAAAGTCCGGCGGCGTAGTCTCTTGCTTCTCGCGAAGAAGACCTGACTTGCAGTAGCTTGGGTTCGGCGCGTTGATGATGACGCTTGACTTTTCGGATGCGCTTAGACGAGCTGCGATCTCATGGGTGATGTAAAGAACGATGAGCTTGCTGACGTAGTATCGAGACTCCATGATTGATTTTTCGGGACTGTTGAGTCGTGAGAAGATCTTGCTAGCCCTCTCATCTGGGATCAGCTCTTTGATGGGAGCCCAGTAATGTGTTGCTGAGTTGGGAATGACAAATTTGCCAGGGTATAAAGACTTTTGAAGTTTGGGAAGTAGAAGAAAGAAAAGCAGAAAAGTTGAGACGACGTTGACTGTGATTGTTCTCTCATTATCTTCAGCTATTGAGAACTCGTCAGAAGTTGCAAGACCCGCATTGGCGAGAACGACATCAATGGTGGGCAACTCCGCGATGGCCCGAGCAGCGAATGACTTGACAGATTCGTATCTCGCCATGTCAAGGTGCCAAACTTCAATGGACTCTGGAGCCCGTTTTGTCAATTGAAGCAGCTCATGTCTTGCTTTCTCGCCCTTGTCAAGGCTGCGAACTGCCATGATGAGTTTACCGACTCCAAGGCGGAGAAGATGTTGACTAGCTTCAAAGCCAAGACCAGTGTTGGAGCCTGTTACGATCATGATTTTGTCTGACAAGTCATCTTTTGTTTCGGGATATGGAAGATTGATGAAGAGGTTAGAGAAGATGGTACTGCTGATACCGTAGATGCTTGAGGCGATCGACATGGTTGTTATGAATGCAGATAGGAAATAGAGGTCTGTGATAAGAACTTGGTAAGTTATTGAGATTGATGTGAGTGATTGATGATGATGCAAAAGAATATTGAACGGCTATTGTTGTTCTTATATATCATACATACCTGCCAAAACCACATGCGCAAAGCGGGTTTAATAACTCCGCTGAAACCAGCAACCAATGAAAAGGGCGCGGGGTTAATAAATCCGCTCCATCCCCGAGCTCCGTCAGCATTACTTATCTCCCTTCACTCAGCAGCATCGTACTTCAACAAGCATTAGAACATACAAAAAAAATATGATTGGATCAGGTATGGGAATGACTGGCATCAAGTATTCTTAGAGATAGGTACTGACGTCTTCCAGCCAAGGTTGAGAAGCGTAACCGACCGCCCAAGTCATGCGAGCCTTGTCGTACACGAAAGTGAGTCTCAGAGATCTGGTGAGGCATATGATGCTGACTTGACTAGGTTGAAGTGTAATAGAAATCAACCTTGCGACTCATGCATCAGAAGAAACAAGGAGTCGCTGTGTCATTATGCTTCCAATGCCGATAGACACAATCAACGTGCCGAGAAGAGTGAATCCGTTGCTGATCGTCTCAAGAACCTGGAAAGTCTGATCGCGACGGTGGCTCAGAAGACGCAGAGATCAGATCCTTTGTCTTCTCTTTCTTTCAACGAGAACTCAACTCAACAGGAGCATGGGATCACAGGCGTCAATAATATTCAGCCTTCCCACAACTCCGTATCAGAGGCTGTCGCCAATAGTGATGGCAGCGTCGCCACCGGCCTCATGGGCCAAGTTGACTCAAGCCACTGGTCCTCTATCCTCGAAAACATCAGAGCCATCCGGGACGAGTTACCTGCTGCGAGCCCGCAGACCTCGACTCTCAGCTCAGTTACCCTGAACAATGACGCGTCTACGAGTGAGGCAGACTTTGACATGGGATCCCCTGATGGCCTGACAATTGAGCATATCTTATCGGCCTTGCCACCACGACAGGTCTGTGATACACTGGTATCTGTCTTTTTCCTGTCGCACTACACAATGATGCGTAAGCCAGTCAAAACATTGAAGTGCTATTTGATTAGAGCTAATGGGTGATACTGTAGCTATCCTGCATCCGACAAAGTTCCAGCAAGAGGCAAGTTTTCTGATGAACGACTGATCAAAGCCTAGCTAACACTCTCAGTATGAATCGTTCTGGGACTCGCCATCAGAAACCCCAGCAGTGTGGGTTGCCCTGCTTCTAGCTCTTCTCAGTCTATCAGCAGGCGTCTACGAAATCTCAGGCATGGCACGCGCTTCTCAAATCCCAATCCCCTCCAGCAAGACCCTTTCCAAAAAGACGCAAGAATGCCTTCTCTTGAGTAACTACACAGCCGCCAATGAACACTCCGTCGAAGCATTTCTTCTTCTTCTCGTCGGATGCTGGCTTCGCGCCAAGGTCTCCGATACGAATCTCTGGTTCCTCATGGGCAAAGTAGTGCAACTCGCGATCTGCAAGGGCTACCACCGAGATTCGACAAAAGTACCAGGGTCCAGGATCTCTCCATTTGACGGGGAGATGAGAAGAAGAGTCTGGGTTTGTTTATACCAGCTTGACTCTCTCATGTCGTTTCAGATGGGTCTTCCAAGCATGATACCATCGGATTTCTGTGACACAGAGTTACCGAGGAACTTGAACCAATCTGACTTTTACCCTGGTATCTCAGAATTACCTCCATCTAGGCCTCTTTCTGAGAATACGACTATCTCATACGCTATTGTCAAAGCTTCTGTGATGGCCATGTTCAAGAAAGTGGTAAAGCATACACGATCTCTTATACCACCGTCTTATGAAGAGACAGTTACACTAGACGCTGAAGTCAGGGCTGCCTACCGCAACATCCCCCATAACTTCAAGTACAAGCCTCTCACTAGCTTCATCATCGACGAAGTTAGTATCATAATGAGCAGGACGACTATAGAGCTACTATACCTCAAGAGCATCATCGTTCTACATCGTCAGCACTTAACAGACCGACAAGACAGCCGCTTTGCTTTCTCAAGAAAAGCTTCTCTGGAGGCAGCGGAAAGGTTACTTGAGAGACAGGCTGAGATACACCAGATTACTCAACCAGGTGGTTTGTTGCATGATAAGAAGTGGATGATCACGTCGCTAACACTGAGTGATTTTACTCTGGCTGCTATGGTTATCTGCTTGGATCTAACCATTAGTATACGAAATGGCACGAGAATAGCTGCTCATCCTGAGGATGTAGAATTACGCAAATATTTGGCTATTATCGAAAGGGCCCATGAAATATGGTCCAGTTCGTCAGAAACCTCGGAGGGACGAATAGTAGCTCACGCTCTAGACTCGACTATCCGGCGCGTGAACGACTTCATCAACACTAAATCAGCGTCAATGGCTGCGCAAAGTTGGCCGGCTTCTTCGTCAGATACAGAGACACCAAATTATCTGACGCACGATTATGCGGATCAGATGGCTGATTTTGATATGATTGACAGCATCGACTGGGTAGGTCTTCTAGGTCATATATCCCTTACATCATACATACTAACAATCCCTTTAGAGCCTTCTCGATAATCAGATTCAAGATCCTAGTAGCATTCAAGACTTTGATCTGGATATGTGGCTTATGGACACGGCTGGGCCTTTGGGGACTGTGGAATCTCTGTGAGTATTGGCCTCAAACGGTTCCTCCGACCAGTGGCGTTGCTGAAGGATGACTGTCTTGAGGCACACGTAGCGGGTAGTGTGGCTTGCGGCTGATGAGACAGAAACGAGATTGGTGAATACGAGTACTTGGACTGAGGGGAATGGGATATCCCAGAACGGACGGCCCGAGTCCCTCCCTTTCCAGCCGTTCACTTGTTTCAGACTACCTAATGCCGTTAGAGTTACTTTTAGGGGTACTTTCAAGCGTACTGGGGATTGTGTGGTGAGAGTATGTTCCACTCGATGGTATTTTTATCTCATAACCCTATTGAGCGCGCGTGTTACCGACGGTGAAAAAGGACCCAGGCCGCAGATACATACATTGGTCAGCCAATTAATTGACATCTCGCTGTCGATCGACCGTTGAAGCGAGATATGCATGTCTGAGAATCATGGAACATAGTCATCCCAATTCGTCAACTTTGGCTCTCATGGCTGTAGCTGAGCTTTTACCCCGGCTGGCTGAATCCATGCCAGTCAATGTCTGAAGTAGAAGACGCGAGTACCGAGAATGTGATTCAGAAATGTGATTGAGATCGAAGCTGTTTCTATATATGAAGAACTGTGTCAGTTCGACATACACTGCTGCGACTAGGGTGATTCTATCCTCGCTCTCCTTGAGATCACCAAGTATCGCCTGTCGGTTCTCTTTGAGAGCCACTGCGATCTGGGGCATCGCGCCGAAACCCTCCTCATCGATTCCTTCGTTTCCCTCAAATGGGAACTCTCCTACTCTCACGAGAAGGTCTTGGTAGCACTTACTCGCATCATTGACTATCATCGCAAGCAGAAGCGTCGGGAGAGTATCACTGTTGCTATCAAGGTCAGCTAGGAGTACATTGTTGGTCTTCTGGTCGAAGAGCGCAATGAGATTGTTCTTTTCGACATAGCGCGAAGCTTGGCCAAGATGTATCGTGAGCTATCTTCCGTTGAGTTTGGCAAAAAGTTCATTCAAACTCTCAAGGAAGAGGTTCTCATGGGTGAGAAGAGCAAGGTCGAAGGCTTCTGTGGTTTCTGCCATGAAGATCGCCTTGCTCATCTCGATCGACGATGCTTTGTCCTCATCCACGCCTTTGAGCAACTTCTCTGTGGCTACGAGCGCGAGAACATGCTCGATATCATTATTAGAGACGTCTACACTGAAACCTGTCTCTACGAAGCATGGTCCGTCTCCGTCAGAACCTCGAGCCGTCCCATCCACATGCGTCTCGCAGCTGGCGCCCGTCTCATTGCCTTTCTGGAACTCAAGGGTCGACAGACCGAGGTACGGAAGCTCCGTACAGATATGTGGGAAATGTTCAAGGGCTTCTGCTCAACATCTGTCTCATCCGAGTCACTCTGGCAGCTTTTTGAGTTGACTCTTTCTAACATCAACAAGAAGGTTGTGCATATTGACATTCTCGAGCGTTTGGTTGAAGTCGGCCTTCAGGTCTACAAGGCTAAGGACTTCAAGGTTTCGCTTCAGCCGTTAAAGTGATCACAAGTTTGCTTCCGACAACTCACCAAGACAAAGCACTCTCATGTTGTCAAACTTGCTTTCAAGATCTCAGAGTCCTTCTCACGTCGCCACACTCACGACCATGATCATGTCATCATTGAGCTCCAGCAAATCTCATCAGAGATTCTTGTCGAGGTCCTCAAGGTCGGTCGTCTTGACATTGACTTCGGTACCATACCTTTTGATCAACTGAACGTCATCATTCGCCTTCTCGGTGACAGGAAGAACTTCTCTATGCTGGAGCGTATCCTTCAGTACCTCTGGGATACACGCATGAGTCGAAACTGGTCCGGTACTGCGACTGTTGCAACTGGCCGTCGACTCTGTGAGGTCAAGTTCGCTGCTAGCCATCAGTCATCTGCCATTTCTCTTGTTGAAAATATCTGCTACAGCCTTCGCGACGTTTATGGGCCTCTCCACCATCTCACTGTCGACTGTGAGACTCTTCGCGCAAGCTTCCACAACACATGCGGGAATCATAGAGCAGCACGAGACATTCACGTTCATCTTCTCGAGCAAATTGGCAGCATGGAAAGCGAAACTATGCCTGGTCGTGAAGATCTCGCTGATATGGTTATGGACCAGGCCAAGAGGTTGAAGTGGGCTCATCATAACCATCGAAGCAAGTTTGGTGGTGAGGATGACAAGGATGAGTCGTTCTACATGTCGATTCTCGGAAATGCGCAGAGTTCAGTTGGTGTACATCATAGAGTTGAGTCAGCGAATTTCGGGGATGCTCTAACGTTGGATGGGGAGAAGATGGAGACTAAGTGGAAGCATCCTGAGAATTGGAGCCTGCCTATTCGTGAGGTTTTGTAAGTGGGAGTGAGGGATTTCCCTTCATATACACGTGTAGTAGTCGATCGTTCATCTTTCATTTGAGTTGTTTGATGTGTAAGCTCCTGTCTGTTCTGATGCTAAGACCCATTATCTGGTCACTCCGCCCATCACGGATTCTTCTTAATCAAGTCATTGTAAATCCAGCTCAGTGGCTCGAATGTCTATCTCAGCCTGACTCCCCCTTCAAAACGCACTCGATATCTAGTCTGTCTAGTCAGAAGCGGGCTCAATCACTCTTGACCTGCTTCAACCTCTCTTCCATCTGCTCCCTCGGACTCTTAAGCTTGACCTCTGGAAATCTCGGATCCTTAGTCCAAGGCATGACATCAGCACCCTCCAAAAGCCACTTCAGCGTAGCCTTCTCATATTTATCCGCCAACTCCTTATGATCAGGGTCTTGAGCCAGATTGTGAAGCTCATGAGGATCGTCATGTCGATGATACAGCTCGGCCGGTTCGTACAGTCGGTACACATAAGTCCAGTTCTCGTCTCGCAGTGAGATGGCCTTTCCGACGAGAGTCGTGTCTTCGTGTTGAAGTCCGGCTTTGAGATCGTAGGGATAAGGCGCTTGCTCGAGGATTGGTTCTTCGGATGTGAGGAAGCCACCTTCAGAGAAGGAATACTGCTTGTGCTTTTTGGCATCGCCACATAGAAGAGGGATCCATGACAGGCCATTATGAGCGAATGACTCTCCGATCCCTGATGTCTCTAGCATCGTGGGTACTAGATCAACCATTTCGGTCATGGCATCGACCTTCTTTCCTTCTGGCAGTCCCGCACCTCCAATGATGAGAGGTTCGTGGACTAGTGTCTCTGAAAGGCCTGAAGGCCACTTCTCAATGAGTCCATGATCACCGAGATATTCGCCATGATCAGTGAAGAACATAGTGACAGTATCCTTCCAGAGCCCAAGATCATCCACTTTCTTGAGAACTCGACCGAACTGATCATCCAGTCGAGAGATCATACCATAATAAGTTGCCTTGATCTCCTTCCAAATCTCATCCGTCGCGCGACGAGTGCCGTATTTTTCTCGAATCGACTTCATATACCGCGGTTCGTATCCAGTCTTCTTATCGACCGTCGCCTCAACACTGGAGACTTTGGAGCGATCATACATAGAAAAATACGGTTCTTCAACTTGGAACGGACAGTGAGGGAAGATGAGAGGCATGAAAAGAACCCATGGCTTATCCGTAGGAGGACAATCCAACCACGTCAAAGCCGATCTCACAACAGCTTCATCATAATCCAAAGCCTTGTCCGCATCTCTCAATCCACGGTAGAACAATCTCCCCCAAATACTCTCATCAACCTCTCGTCCGCCACCAGCAAACTTTGGTGTAAATTCTGGTGTTTCAAGGAACCCGTATTCACTGAGACTCAGCTCCGTAACAGTTGGTGCAAAAGTGTCGCCTCGAGGTGCAAGACACGCAACATGATATCCCGACTCTTTCAAACTCCTAAAGATATTCGGTTCCCAAGGCTTGATGAGGTTTTCAAGACTCCGATGACCACTGACGTGAGGGTACGTTCCAGTGAACATACTACATCTCGATTGAGAGCACACAGAAGCTTGCGTAAAGCAATTGGTGAAAAGACTTCCTCTTGCAGCGAATGCATCGATATTCGGGGTCCTAATCTCAGATTCGGGACCAGTTGTACAGCCGAGAGAGTCATATCTCAACTGATCCGGCATGAAAATGATGTAATTCGGTCGGTCTCCTCCATTTTTGGAATCAACCTTCAAAGGCAGTGGCTTCGGGGGAAGGCGATGAGATTGCGACATTGTGAATTGCTATGAGCAGGAAAACAACACTCAATGCTGAGTTTGTAGTCGTAGTTATCTAGTCATGAGCTAACACTCTCGCGTAACTAACCCATCACTAGCTTCGGATCTCGTTCTCCGGATCTCGCCCCTCGCCATTCAACCTCGGGCTGACGTGCTTGATTCTCGCTATGTAAAAGACCTAGCAGACCCCACTCTCAAGCAAAGCCAGGAACTCGTTCGGATCTCGTACAATGGAATCTAGGTCGTCCCCGCAACTCGCGTGTAAACAATGTCGCGCGAGAAAGGTTCGTGCTCTGTTACAGTTTGCGGGGTTCTCCACTAATCAAGGTCATCAGGTTAAATGCGATCGACGAATTACGGGCTGTATGCGCTGTGAGAGGTTGGAATTGACGTGTAGTTATGTCGCGAATGATACTATTGAGGTATCGGGTGGTCATGAACAAGACTTGACGCAGGCGGGTATCAAGAGACGGAGGATTCTGAGGGCTTGTGCGGCTTGTCGGAGTGCTAAGTCCAAGTGTTCGGGGACATGTCCTTGTAGCCGATGTCAATCGCAAGGACAGGAATGTGTCTTTGGGGATGAACCGGGTAGTTCCAGTATCGACATTGGCATGGAAGCACATGCTTCGCCAGCCAGTACTTCCCAGTCTCACTATGGATCAGTACCCAGTCAGGCATCGCCAATGGACATCTCTGCCAGTGTAACTGGCGATGCGCAGCGGTATGTTCCGTTTTATGCAGATCTCTGCCTCCCGCTAACATTCAGGGAGGGTCTTTGAGCTTGAGAGCCGTGATACAATACGTCAATATCTAGATACATACTTCGACAAATCAGACATTGCCGACTGTGTCTTCCTTCATAGAGCGACAACAATTGCTGAATGGAGTCAAGGAAAGCTCGAAAAATCTCTCCTCAAAGCAATCTGCGCCTCAGCATTGCGACTCGCACCAACATATCATGCCGACAGCTCACCTGCGCATACCTGGATAAAGCAAGTCCAACATGAACTGGTCAATCACATGGGCGACATGTCAGTGCCAAAACTTCAGGCTCTCATGTTGGTCATTAAATTTCTGTTCTCGATGCGCTTCACTGGAGATGTCTGGGTTCTTCTTTCGATCGCATCAAGGGTCGCATTCACCAAGAGGCTCAATTATGAACGTCCAGCTATCGACCCAGTTAGGCAAGAGTGTCTTCGACGGTTGATGTGGTCCATATATGTTATTGACAAGGTCTTCTCCGGCGGTATTGAGGATCTCACTGTTTGTCCGACGCAAAGAATGCATATTCGATTGCCGAGTAGTCATCATAACTTCCAACTTGGTTCAAGATCAAAGGCTCCATTTCTTCGCAGTAAAAGCGACAATGACACAGATCTGAACGTCTTGGCCTTCTTGATGAGACTGTACGACATTCGAGATCGAGTTCTTAGGTAAGACACCTAACCATTTATGAAGACCCCTACTAACACGCCAAGGTACACAAGACAGGTCATCCTGAGCGGGGCAAGTCCGTATCTCAGTCGCGGACAACTTCGCTCATTGGACCTCGAACTGACATCCTTTGAAGAGTCGTTACCGGATGAGTTGCAGCTCACTGATAATAGACTTATGATAATGTGTCACTCCGACGAGGCACGCACATATACGACACTCCATACCATTCTGTTCAGTTCTCGCTGCGATCTTCACCGGTTTCTCATTCTCGGTATTCGAGAAGCTGTGTCACCAGAAGCAGTGAACCAAACACCAAGAGAATACATCGACTACTGCCAACAACAGTGTCTACAGACGGCACTGAAGTATATAGACATGTGGTTCAAGGTCCGACAAATGGAGACGAGTAGCCATGTCGGTACACCAACATTTGCTGTAGTGACATATCAGTTTGTCAAGATGGTTGATCATTTGGCCGCTCTACTACCATTACGTGGGGAATCATCGTTGCCAGTGATCAAGCAGAAGTTCATGGATATTCTACTCATTGTGTCACGAAGTCGAGCTGAGGTTGGATGGGTCGGGTCATGCGTGAGTATTCACCTCGCTTTCTAGTGTCAAGAAGCTAACCAAGATGTAGATCACTGATATCGAGAATCTCATACCACGATTGGGAACCAGACATATATCGCCCGGCTCACCGTAAGTCTCCATCATTCACTCGAGCTCCCTAGCTGACAGATGCTGCAGTAGCGCTTCGCCGGGAGCACTTCGCTTACAGGAAAAGCTCCATCGTCGTTCAAAGCATGCCTTTGCTCCAGACGATGAAGAGGAGGAAGATCCAGCTGTTAGACCGCCAGAGTCCAGTACTGGCGAAGAGATGCCTGAGACTTCCCTTGAGTCCACAGTACTCGAGAACCCTGCAGGGCAGGATATTTGGTCTTTTCCAATTCAGGGTGATGAACAGGGTCTGACTGGGTCAACTGGAGAAGGGTCTCTTGGCTCGTTCTCGTCTCTTGGATACCCGCTCATTAACTATGACTCGATTAACTCAGCTGACATGGTGTTCGGAGACCAAGAACTTGGTTTTCCATTGGATCCTTTTGATCTTCAGATGAATGCTTATACTGATGCCAATGCACCGCAGTATTAGTTAGCTAGTTGGCAATCTTAATACAGGATACCAAGGCCTCCAAGTTCCCATTTTAGCTTTGACTCATGTCCTGCAATGGCTTAGACGCGTTTCTCTGCTGTTACAGCGTTATCCTTCCCGTCAGAGTGCACTTTGCCCAAGTCACCTTCCCCCTGTGTAGCGCGCATCATCTCTGCTGCATCAACCTTTCCGAACTGTCGGATCGGAACACCCTGGTTGAACAAGAAATCCACTTGTTCCAGCGTCTTTCCCTTGCACTCAGGAACGCAGAAGTACACGAATACAAGAGCAGTAGCCATGATACCTCCAAAGATGAAGCCAACTTTGCTGTTCAGGCCGGCGTACTTGTCGTAGATAAGGTATGGGATACTGAAGTTGACCGTGAAGCTGAAAGAGCCTGTTAGCACTTAATCCATACTATTTAGGTGATGGACTCACTTCATGATGACATTGGTAGTGAAACCAACTCGCGATGTAAGATCACGGAGTCGAAGAGCGGAGATCTCAGTGGTGACGACGTAGACGAGAGGTGCCCAACCCATAGCGAAGCCAGAGGCAAACACGGCCATCATGCTGATCACGCCCTTCTTTCTTGAATCATCGACAGGAGATACGATACCAAGGCCACCCATTGTCATCATGGCAGCAAACATGGTGATGGACGAGGCCATCATGAGGACACTAGATATTGGTCAGCTTGAGTTGGTAATCCAAGATAGGCAAATGACATACCGTCTACCAATGATATCCGTCCAGAGGAGGATGCAGGTAATTGAAATGATGCTGATGGCCGAGGTGATCAAACTGAAGCCAAACGGATTGATGGTCCCAAGAGACTTGACGTAAATAGTTCCATACTGCGACACAAAGGCTTGACCACCCGCCTGCTGATAAAAGTTGACCGCCATGACTATAAGCGTTCGTTTGAGGTTGATGCCCCTCAGAAGCTCAATAAACCGCCCTTGCTCAGTCTCCTGCTCCAAAGAGACCTTCAGCTCGGTGAGCTCAGCTTCGATCTCTTCATCTGTAAAAGCTCCTTCGCGTATTTGCTGAAGACTCTTTCGCGCCTCTTCAACTCTATTCTTTCTAAGGAGCCATCTCGGCGACTCGGGAACGAACCAAATGCCTGCTACGACAATAGTTGGGACAATGTAGAACATTCCGAGGGGAATTCGCCAGGCACGGTTATCGGGGAGGGTGCTTGTTCCGAAGCAAATACTGTTGATGACGAGACCGCCGATCGCGAGACTGAGTTGGTAGGAACCGACCATGAAGCCACGGGCTTGAGCGGGAACTGTTGTTGTTAGCGGTGGAAGTGCTGTACTTGGGGTATGGCATACCAATTTCGGACTGAAAGGTTGGAACAACGCCAAGTTCCATGCCGACATAGACGTAATTGAGGATTCGAGCTGCCATGATCTGTTCACGGTGGAAAGACGTGACGGCGATAGTAGCTGTACCAAGAGCATACACGCTCATGACAAACATACACCATCGTCGACCCCATCTAGAAGAGATCCAAGTACCGATAAGAACACCTGCACATCATCAATAAAGCACCATAAAACCTCGGCATTGACTTACCAGCAGCAAAACCAATGTAGTTCAAACTGTTAAACAGCGAAAGCCACGACGGCTCAAGAACATACGTCCCCGTCTTCTCATTCCAAACCCCAAACTGCTTATCAAACGCATCCATCGCCTGCGTCGTCGCGAAAGCTTGGTTGTCAAACCCATAATTAAACGTCGACACGGCGATGAGCACGCACGAAAGCGCGAGTCTTCGATTGAAGAAGCGGAACTTGGTAAAGACGCCCATGATGGAAAGATGCTTGTGATTAACTTGTCATGATGAAGGTTGGAGTCGTAGACTTATATGAGCAAGACTAGAGATGTCGTGATGGTTGGGATTGTTTGACGAATTGGGGCGGTTTTGATGGTGTATCCTTGTTGGAGCCGCTGAAAATGTGGTTTACCCCAGAAAAGTGAGTGTGAACTCCCCGAGGGACGAGATCCGGACTCGGCTGATCCACATACGACATCCGAGGACGACATCCGACCCAGCAAAGTGACCAACCCTAGCGTCAAGCCATTCACTAGTGAAATTGGAGACTCCGAAATCTGGTCCAAGAGCCAGTGTCTGCTAAGTTCATCCATCATCTTCACTCATCCTGTTGAGTTAGTCTTTCTTGTCTGCATGGGACTTCCAGCTCTGATGGCTAAAACTACTCGCCGAGCTAAAACTCGTGATACTTCTTGGACTTCTCGGGCCATTTGCCGGGGCTGGAAATTGCGCGTACGTCCTAGTATGAAAAGTTTCTCTGTTAGCTTCTCTCGATTCCATCAATGAACTCAATATTGCGCTACTAACTTTGGGAGCGAGGGCAACCGGTTATGAGTGACCGCTTCAAGCCATTCAGCGGTCCTTTTTCGCGTGCGCTTTTCTTGCTGCAGTGCTCGAAGACGTTTCCATATCGCATCGTCTCCCAATCTCGTGATAAGGCTTTGCGTCGTCTTGGTCGGATTAAGGTCCAGGTCTGCGAGTTCGATATGTAGCATTACGTCAGTGATGGCATATACGAGTAAAGCTGGGTAGTCGTCCAGAACCTGGGATGCAGCGACAAGTGACTCGCGCGAGACAGAATGTTTTGCAGAACCGGTGATGGAACCTGTATATGAGGATAAAGCTCCTCCAGCCAGCCAGTTCTCAACGACCTCAAAAGACTTCCAGGGGCGCAATGCGTCCAAGCCTTCAAAGGTATGTCTCAACCCACGACTCTTTCGCTGAGCTTCTCCCTTTGGAGGTTCTTCAGTTTTAAAAGAGTTCTCCGAGCATAATGAGGCACTGATTAGACTCGCCATGTTTACTCGTTGTCGAGCAACAACGTATTCAACCAGCTCAGGGATAAACAAGTAGTCGATGCAGGTATTTGCAATGGTGCAATGGCAATCCGCAAGAGGGTTAGCGCTTTCCAAGCCCAAGTTCCGGAATCCTCCTTTGTGTATGAAGAAGTCGTAAACAGACTGGTGAATAACACGCACTACGCGTGCTGAACCCTCTTCATGGTCCAGAGATCCAACGCCAGCATTTATAGATGACACTTCGCCATTCTTGTCCGCTAAGACATCGTGCTGCTTGTTGCTGACCTCCAGCAAACCTCTCGATAAGGTTCTGATCTTCCTTTCAAGCTGATAGTCGTTCTCAGTGTAAGACTCTGATTTTCGCCATTTTGCCAGCGAGGCTGGTTTCGATGGTTGGATAAATGCGAGTATGTGATGCCACTCATCAAGACGCAACGGTCTGTTTGCTGCCAGTACCCATTGAAACATCTTTCCAATTACCAAAGGATCCCCTAATGCGGTGAATGCTAACATCTTTTCATACAACATCTCGAGCTCCGTTGGCATTTCTTCGACGCGTCGGATGAGCCCAGGTAAACTGGTGCCATTATCATAACTGGCTAGAGTTTCATCCACCACCAAGACGACCCAGAGGAAAACCCCTGAGGACATAGTGTGAATCTTTTCCGTGAGCGCTTTCCTCCAGTGTTCTTCAAGTATAGAGATTCGCGCATTGAGTCGCTGCGTGATGTAATTCAGGATATCGTTCTGATTGTACACATCCAAGGCCATCTCCAAACAGCCAGCAACGGCGATATTTGGAAAATGTCTGCAAGATAAGCAGATCCTTGGCCCCTGAAAGTATAGTTGCTGGAGACTCCAGAAGTCAACTTGCTGTCGCTGCATCTCGGTACTTAATTCGTCAAGTGCATCCACAAAGATAAACACTGGTGTACCGAGAGATGCCAGATATTGAAGCGTCTGGGCGAGCAAATTTTGTAAAAGTCTCTCGCTCCATTCTACCGAAGGCAGTATGGTACTATCAATAGTATCCTTAATGCTACAGATCAAGGTCTCTCTCTCCAAGTTCATATGGGTAACCGGGCTGCATATTCTGCTCTGCAACAAAAGTTGGTAAAGCAATGACCGAAACATTCCAGTTAGGCACCGTTGCAGAAGCTCACCGCCAGCATCGACGAAGAAGCTAGCACAGATACCATCTCTTCTTTGAACACATTGTATATGCCGTACAGCCTCTTTCATCAAGGTTGACTTGCCTGCCCCTGGCTTTCCTTTGATGAAGAGTAGACGATGATTTATATCAGTTGTAGTGGTCCAAAGATGGAATGTTCGGTCTCGGAATAGCCAGTGTCCAGTATTTATGGCAGGGGCCAAGATAGACTCGCGTCGAGTATTCATCCCATCGAAGCGCAGTGCTGCAAGAAAATCATCCAGTACTTTCTGGTCCAGGGAATGCGGGGAACCTTCTTCAGGACAGGATCCGTCGTTCTTCCCTGCTTCCCTATTGAGATCCTTAGTAGGCTCCGCAACGAATTGGTTCCGAGTGTGAGCATTATTGATCGCGGTATAGAATGCCTTGATTTCCCCAGCAACTTTGATATAGTTCGGATCCTGAGCACTGCTGAAACGACTCATTTGTTTATGATTGGCCTGCAGAGTCTCTGCATGTTCTCTTGGATCCCCAATCAAAGACGACTCATGAGGCACGACCTTATTTCCTAAGACACCCAGATCAATCCCAGTAAGGCCAAAGCTTTCTTGAAAGGTCTTCACTTGGAAGTCATACTGATGCCATAGTCTGCAGAACGCTTCATGAGCGCGTTCGAGGTCTGTTGTCTTAAGACCAAGGGTGTCCAAGATCGTCGATGTTGTCTGGAACTTCAGACTACTCAGCATCGATCTTGCCCACTCGCCGATAGCTGATAGTTCAGGACTTCCTCGATGGGGCGTACCAAGGAAGATAACAGCCGCAGTTGATTCGATAACACCTTTGTGTGTCAGAGTATCCGAGGTTGACGATAGGGCGAGCATCTAAACAGGTCAACAAGTATACTTTTGGGGATGTAGGAAATGTTCACTTCTTTCACCAGTATTCCACCGAGACTATGAGCGATAAATATCATGGGACGATCTTTCACGTATTCGCGCCCCAGCGAGAACAGAAAGTCCTTCCCATGAGAGAAAATACTGTTTGTGTTAGTCGGGCCCGAGGTAAACTTGGTTATCTTGGTATCATAACCGAATGTCAGAATCCGAGCCTTCTTGCAGATTTGAGGGAGGAAGTCAGCAGGCCAGAAAACAGACAAATCGCCGACGTCTGGGGCTGGGAGATTGTTGCACGTAGATTCGGTGAGGCTACTGTCCTGTCGGCTGTTGCTTGACGAGCTTTTCAAGAACGCCCTGAGATTTTGTCTAAGCTCGAGTCGTTTCGAAGTGCTCGGCTTCGGTGCCTCTTTTTCGGGATGCGCTGGACGTTTATCCACGCCCTCTGGATTTTGTTTGCATCGCCATGTTTTATATGGGTGGCCTTTCAGACCATGAACCATAATAATGCTTGCCGCGTATTCAGTACCGCCGACTATATATTCGCGCTCTTGTAACTTACTCGACTATAGGGGCATCGGTCTCTGGCTCGTATACGATACTGAGCCCGGTCGAAGGTATTGACTCTCGAGAACATTTTTCCCTTATCGAAGAGCTCCCTTGGGCATCCATGATGACCCAAGAGAAGGATGATGAGATGCGGAGTAAGCGTTCTTGGACTTTGAGATGAGGCTGAGAGTTGAGGTCACGTGGTACATTTATGTATTTTCAAGCACCTTGATGAGATTCAATTGGATGATGGAGGTCATCCAATCAGGTTCAGCAGTTCAAACAAGAACTTTGGTTTCGTAAGTGGGAAACCGGAAGCTGATATTTACATTAGGGTTGTATTAGTTGTACTTGGGAAAGTTTATATGTCTAGTTCGTCAATCCATTGACCCATTATACTCCATGATAGACCTTGGTGACAACACCAAGCTCCATCTCGTTCGCAGATTTATCACCATTTTCACTACCGCCATGCGCATTGGCCTCCCCAAAATTGATCCTCTCCAATCCAGTCTGACCCGGCGGTGACGGCGATCGTTTGTCAGGCGATGCTTCCTCAGTAGTGATGTTGACAGTGACCTCATTCTTCTGATAAATCTTCAACGGGATATCCTTCCCGTTAATCTCCTCTTGACTCTCTGAGAAACTCATCCCGGGTTCAATAAAAGTCGTCTTTTTGGGTCGTCTATCCATGCTGCTGAGATTGCCGTATGCTGATCGGAATCGAGATGTTCCTTCACCGGTGCGCTGGTTGGAGGATTTGCCGTACTTGGCGTGGAATGAACCGAGGCGGAAGACGCGTTGGAGGAGGGTCCATGTGAGAGGGAGGTTGGCGGCGATGACGGCGGTTGAGACCTCGCGGATGTACCAGTAGGACCATTCTGTGCCGTAGGGGTCGCCGAGACTGTAGATTTTACTCATTGTTGCTGCGAGGATCTGGAAAGTTAAGTCAGCTTGACAACTCGACGACAGGATGAAGGAAGTAGATGAGAACTTACAGTGAAAATTCCAAGCGCAAAGACACCACAGAGAATGATCTTTCTCTTGAGCGGCAGTTGGGATTGTAAAAAGACAGGCATAGGAAGGATGATGATCATGATGTCCGAAGAGATGTTGACAACGGCGTTGGTGATCATATGGTTGGTTTCAGCTGAACAATTCACTACAACTCCATTAGTCCAAATCCCTGATGTTATTGACGGGTTCCTTACAGTCATCAGGAGGAACCTGCCAGTAGTGATTGAAAGGCCGGCACCAAGCAGCAAACCACAAGATCTGCATGACCACGAATCCAACGACGACATATCCTGCCACCAGCTTGACCAGGAAATTTTGCTTCAAACTCAGTCTAAAAGTTGTTAGTTAAAAGTGGTTGTGTCAGCGATGGTGGACTACTCACGTCAGTCGACCGTACATGAACAGCAGACAGCCCTTGACGCCCCAGAGGGTAATCATCTGCATGTGCTCTGTGACGAGTACCAATTTCGATCCATATTCTCGTAGCTTGATGTCTGCGGGGGTGAGTACGATGTGATCGTCGGGGTTGATGAGGTTGGTGGGCGTTCGCGTGAGGACGCTGACGATTGCCAAGAGAGCCGTATACGTGACCTACAGATGTCAGTCTTGTCAACGAAGTAACATGGAAGAGGTACAAACCATTGTCACAGCCATGAGGTAATCATCTGCCAACATGCGCTTGAATGATCCTAGCAGCATGCGACGAGACGCCCTGTATCAAGTCAGCAAACAATTCTCAAGACGCCTAATCAAGTACTGACATTCGCGCAAACACAACAATGACCGTTAGGCCGTACCACGCCCACATCTCAGCATCAAGTGAAGGCATGGCTGCTGATATAATTCGGATACCAAACTCTCGGTACTGAAAGGGGTCTTCACCCAGATCCAAAAAGCAAAACAGTCAAAATCCGGGGCATCGATCCAAGAAAAAAAAAGTAACAAAAAGAACGACAAGATCTGCAGCGCCAGTCAGGGGTGCAGAACGTCAACAGTTAAAGAACCCTCACAACAGTGATCCAGACCCAAACTGTCAGGGTAGACACGTGGAAAACATGGGACCCTTAATCAGCCCATCCGGTGCATTATCGGAGCTTGCAAATTCACTGGGTGAAATAGAGTTTGCTAGACGTTTTGGGGCTGCGAGTCAACCGGCCACTATTACGAGACTAGTCTTAGGCCCGGCGTTACTGGAAACCACGGACCCACGAACTAGCAGTCGAAGTTCCTTTTTAGAAAGTTTCTGTGGGGACTTGTATCCAAAAATTCGTGATTGATTGATTATCTAGCTGATGATCATATTGCGTAAAGCAATTCTTTCTGCGACGTCGGAAGAGAAACGCCCCAGAAGGCTGAAAATAAATTGGGGGTTTGATCCACTGAATTTCCATCAATCGTCAATCCATCCGATTATTGGTTGATGTTTTGTTATCAGTGACATAAGCCTACTAATTATTTCTTTTCATTATCAGCTCGTGTTAATAGGGGTTAACCGCCCCTCAGACAGTGGCTTTTATTCCGCCATCGCAAGCGATGCCAAAATGAGCATGTCGCCGGTCTTAACAGATGCGAGATAACAAGCTGAGGATGCATGTGATGAACCCCTGGTTCAGGATTATTTAGCCACTTCCCGGCGATGTGGTTCAGATCTGGATGCTACCCCCGTGGCTGTGCGCCCGCAGGATAATCACAAGGATGGAGGTCAATTGAGTTCAACCATCAGATGAGCCCCTGAAAGAGACGCCTTCTGGTTTGATCCGAGATAACGATCTTGTCTTCGGTTCATCTTTTCCGTTCGGCTCCGGTTTGGATCCGGGAAGTGGACATGTAATTGACTCTGATGGGTCAATGTACGGCCGTGCATCGTCAAAGTGTTTTTCGTCATTGGCGAATCTTCGGATATTTGCGCCATTTTCCATCTGATGCTCGTCAATTGTTCCTGTCGATCATTCGTTGAAGAGACACAATGCCAAGGCTTTAAAATCCTTCGACACATGGGAGCCGTCGGGTTTAAGTCATTGTTGTGGCTTGATGGTTGAAACACGAGTCAGGCACAGTCTGATTTGGAGTTACAGGGTAGCACAAAAACAACAACATAAAGCGATTGTAAGGAGTCAAGAAACGATGATGAGACAGGATCAAAAAAGACACGAATATAAGAAATTCAGTAACTTGAATTACGGTAGTTTCTTTCTGCAACGCTCTCACAACTTCAAGATCATTATGGAGTATACCAGTGCCTTCTACTTTATGATACAGTACATGATGTTTGGTACCCGCCCAGTCATGATCAAACCACCCAACGCACCAGGTTACGTGACAGCGCGACCAATGGAACTCCTACTAGCATTTACACAATTGACAATCTGTTTTGCAATACTTCGCCAGTCTTGGAGTCATGGAAGAGGCTGCATGAACTTAGGAATATATGTGGCATGGGCATTCAGAAATTTATTGGTTAATGCAAGATATAGAGACCTGTGACAAATACTTGTAAATATTCTTAAAATGCAAGATATAGTTAGTCTGAATTGATAGTAAGAAAAAGAAAAAAAAAATAGGACGATATACATCTAATTGACGCATGGACAAAAGAAAGGTCTCGGAGGGAGTCGAACCCTCGCTGGCGGAATCAGAATCCGCAGTCATAACCGTTAGACCACGAAACCGTTAATTGATCTGAGCAAAACAATCGGTCACGGCGAATATCAATTTGCCACACACTCCGTGGAAGAACATGAACCGCTCAGCAATGGGCTCATTCATTGCTCATTCATCTCAAGCAGATTATTGACTTTTCAGGAACAAACATTCTTGTGCCTGCCGACGGCGAGATGATGATTATCTAATTCTAGCCGTAATGCATTGATTGTTCGTAAAATTTTTGCGAATATCGTCAATGCTCAATTGGGCTCATCATAAGCCCAATGCATAACCCAAACAACGTTCCTTGGGCAAATGATAATCTTCTCAAGAGTCCAACAATTCTGAAAATTTCATCACATCAAAGCGACAACCCCAGCATAGGCGCCTTGGCACAAATCTGCACTTCCCGACAAGTAGTCAGTGCACCCAAGACGTCGCGTAACTGCAGTTCCATAATTCGAACGAATCATCCGGACTTTAGGTAGTAGCTTACGTGCGGTGAAATATTCCGCTGGTAGACTTGCCCCCCTTGGCTCGTCGTTTCCGAGTCAAGAGTTCTTCCAAGTATCAGCTCGATCAAGAGTAATCCCAAAGACCATGAGGTAGGATTGGCCGAAAGGCGGTAATTGCACTTTCTTATGTCCAGAATTGGCGATGCGGCTTGGAAGCTGCCTTATAAGAAATGGCTTGGTGAAGATGGGGCAGCCCTGATATGTAAAGAAGAAAATGTCGTTGCTGTCCAGATGGTCTGGCAACCAAGGGCTATCGTACAGTTAAAGAAGACTTGACAAGATCACCACTGCAAGGTTGTGGCGGTCTCGAATAGGTAAGTGAGCTGATTTGTTCTCCTGGTTAAGAATATCTCTTAGTGAGTTGAGACTTATAGATTGAGGACTCTGAAAGGGTGAAAGTGGGATGGGATGGAACTGGAATCTGTCGTCATATGGAGTGACTAATCGCGTATGATTCTAAATATATGGGCTGAACCTGTGTGGAAGCAACCTACATGTGTTGTTCTCGGTGATTTGGCAGAGGTATGAGCATAGAGTTACTGGAAGCGTCTGGTCTCTGGTGGTCTATGGTGTAGGTACTTGGGGAGCAATGGTCGTTGATAGAAACCCTTATGGCGAGTTTCTAAACATGGCCTCTGGGGTTGTATATGCAAGTCTTGCCATGTCTTCAGAGGTCCAAAATCGTTTTTGCAAGACATGCTGATCTTCAAGCTGTTCAAACCTATCAACTTGTGCTCATCATCCCCAGAAAAATCTCCATCATCTTAGTTTCCAGCCCGAGTCCAACATCATGTCTACAAGAGCAAGTCAAGTTGGGTCTTAAGGCTCGATGCAGACTCTCAGATGGATCACGGAGTATTGCAAAGAGCTTTTGTTTGGATCTCACTCTCCTTGCAGGCTCAAGCTTCATGTTGCGGTCTGTCAGGTTCTCAAGATTCAGGACACTGTCTCTAATTTCGGACATATCTGCGCATTGTGAGCGAATCATTGTAAAGGCTGCCCGTTTGAGGCCCGAGAGCATGTCCTCGCCTTGAGAGTCTATCAACATTTCAAGATCATCAGTGTTGAGATATAGGTCTCAATAGGCCCTGGATGAATATCCATTTTTGCTTTTTAACAATCAGGCCTTGCCCTCAAGTCGGCAGTAGTTTCGAAGATCTTGGAGACTTTCCTAAGACGAAATTGAAATTTCGTTAGAGCTTCCTCTTCTCGCCAAAGATATTCTATTGTCTTATCGATCAAAGCCTCAGCTTTAAAATGGGAGACTAGATCCATATGAAGTCGCCCGCAGACGTTTTAGAGTCTGATCTTTTCAGATTCCAGTTTCCGACTCAAGCTCTGTTGCTCGCGCTTACACTTGCCCCATCAATACAAAGCGGACAGGCCCTCGATGTATCTCTCTATTTCGACAAGGAGAAGAGCTATGAGTCCGAGGACGATACCAGCGCCTCCAAACCCGGACATGATGAACGAGTGTCATAGGCTAAGAAGCTCTCTGGGGCCAGCTCGTGGAGGCTGCTTACTTTGGAGGATCCAGAGATTTCGAAGACGGAACACCCTGATACGGAACTGGACCAACTATGTTTGGATATCGCGGACGTGGTTAACTGCCTCCCTCGACTAAGCATGGCTATTCCCAACCCGTCACTTACCATCGCTTTATTAAGTCCCATTCGATTGACCCATCGCAGTTTAAGGGAGTCGACACCCAGCATGAACGGTACCACGTGATGGCATTGTTCAGAAGGCCCTTGCAGCCGATATCTGCCGCTATATCGGAAGAGAGGCCCTAGTGCGGCCTGGACATTATGGCATTCGTTGACCTACTTAATCTTCGCATGATAGAGCACCCAAACAGGCAACGCAGCTCGGCGGTACTATAAAACGACATGTAAACAGTTAACTACAGTAAGTGAGGCTCGTTTCTGGCTTCACAAGTAGAGTGAAAATGTTGATTGGACTTTTAGGCCATAGTCAATGAACTAAAGGCAGCTCTGCACTACAGGACCGAACAAGGCAGGAAATTTCGAGTCACAGGCCAGAACATCCATTATAACGATTCTCAAGTGTATAAGAGTCACCAAATGAATTATGCTCAGTATGACTAACCATTGGGTCGGTCCCCAGGGGGTAAGGATACAGAAGACTCTCCTTGAATCTTTAGACAGAGAACCAGCAAGCTGATAAATAGTGCAGGAAAGTTTCCAGCACAGTCACTAGACACAGAAAGGGGATGCCAATATTCAATGCAAAGTATATACAGCTTTTATGTTGATGATATTTACAGTAGATAAATATAGTTCATAGAAGTTTAAATGTCTTCCAGGCCAACCCGTCCGGACTGGTATCTCGGGCATCTTTCCGTACATTTCACGGAGTATCCTTGGGGCTCACTGCATAAGAATGTCAGTTTCTGGTGATCAAGCAAGGCTGGGGCATGACTTACGATAATACCGAACCACTTGAGGTCATTGTCATCGAAATGAGGAACGCCGTGTGTAATACCCTGGCCCAAGAAAGCCTAAACATGTCAGCTCTTATCCTCCAACGCATGAAGTTCTTAGTCTTACCTGGAACTTCTCACCAAAGACCTGGCGAGTAAATGGGCTTGCGGGAGTGTTAGGTGTAGATGACTGAGGGTTGGAAGAGTATCCAAAAACACCAGTCCACTGCTTGATCTCCTCATAGTAGTTCTGGACGTTGAGAGTAGGGTCTGCTGTTCCATGGTAAATTTGGAATTTGGGTCGAGCACCGTTGTAGCCAGGGTACATGTTCTTGACAACGTTGGCCCACTGTGTCTGAGTGTAGATGGACTTTCCTTGGGAGCAGGTTGAGTTCCATGCGGCGGGTTGGTTCTGCTGGCTGACGAAGCAACCGGCGGGAACGCCGGCATAGGCGCTTCCTGCGGCGAAGACGTCGGGGTAGGTAGCAAGCATGACGTTCTGTTTCTGTTAGTCGAGTCTCATTGAGAGGGGGTGGTTCACTTACGGTCATCATGGCACCGGAAGATTCACCAGTGACAAAGACCTTCTTGGCATCACCGTTGTACTCCTTAAGAACAAACTTGGCCATGTTGGCAATAGAAGTACTGCAGCCACCACCTTCGTGCGTCAAGGTCATCTTGGACGAGACATCCCAGCAGTTACCAGGAGTATAAGGAGTCTGAGGGTAGACAACGATGAAACCGTACTTCTCAGCATTGGAAGCCCACTTTGTGCCCTGGTAGTAAGCCTGAGCAGTACCAGTGCAGTAGTGAAGAGCAACGACAACAGCAGGGTTGGACTTCAAGTTCTTAGGCACGTACAAGAACATCTTTGTGCCGGTTGGGTTGCTGCCATAGCTAGTGACTTCTTTGAGTTGACCTCGAGGAACTACTTCAGCACCGTGGACGCTGCTGAAGAGGGCTAGTACCCAAAAGCTGATGATGGAAGTCAACTTCATGATGTAAATGTGTTTAAAGAATGATGTGCCAAGAAGTATGGGGAAACAAAACATGATAGATGGTGCATCAGCCAAGATATATACCCTTTCTAAACTATGTGGAGGTATGGATTCGATCTCATCTCCTGACTTTGCTCCAATGGATCGAACGGACGTGTATCCTCCGCCTGCCGTTGTTTCCAGTAGCGAACGAATCTAGTTTCGAGGATCAACTCCACACCGCACTTTGCCGCCTTGTCCTCAGCCTGGAATGTCAGGGTCATAGTACGGATTCGGCACATGGCTGATATGCCGATGGGCCCTTTTGGCTAAATTCCCCCCGCAATGGATTCATGCAAGAAGGCAAAACTGATCATTTTCCTGATTCTGACGAGGATAAAGTACGAGTTTAGCCTGGGATAATAACCGATCGTGGTGTGTTTCAGTGGGACTTGAAACCTCGAGCCTTTCCGTATTGAGACGCGGAGGAAATTTGAGCGTAGCATTGATGAATGGAGGGCTATTCCACCAATGGGAAGGAAAGGAAGGCTGAGATTCTTAAAACACCAGTTAAATTGCACGGATTCTGTTTATTGTCAATGCGACTATATTGCTTCGTCAGGTCATCGATAGTTTGTATCATGACTTGAACGTGTCATGCCAGGGTGGAAGAAAAGTCTGGACCTTGAAACGGGGTAATAAAACAAACTTATAAAAAGGAGTGCAAAGCTCATGCTCAACTTGCTTAAATAATTATAACTTACCCCCCCTTAATTATACCCCTAGTGGTTTTAATATAATGTTAAACCTCATCAACTTCATCACCAAGTTCAAAAAACAAATGAAAGTGACCGGCGAACTGTCGGCGACCCTCCGCTTCCAAAAATTTATTACCAAGAACAACCACCCGCCGAATAATACACCTTTTGTGCTCTGGTTGGTGGTCAAATAGCATGCGCATGACCATGCGCCCCAGCAAACTCCCCAGAATAGCATAAAAGGCGTTCTGGTGTCGTGTAAAGGTAAGGATAAATTTAATTCCTTGAGCACCCTCAACCTCCGATGGCTCGGCGATCGATCGGTGGATGGCCTCCTAGACCACCAGTTTTGTTTCAAGATTAACGATATAGTCGATCCATACCGTTCGGAGAAGCGTCGGCGAAAGAGACTGCGCTGTTACAGCAGTTTCCCAGCATTTCCAAAGGATTTCTGACATCCTGGACTCCAGTGATGTTCTCCAGATATAATGATAATCGAACTGTCTGTCAAGTTCGCTGACTGCTAACATTCCGCTCCGAGGAGCTGTCTTGACCAGGGCGCAGTGGTTCTTCCAATATGGTATACTGGTCACCTCACAGTAACTTAAGTGATTTGGATTGACGTTCTCCCGTCGGAGATACGTCGCCGCTTCGTCGGTTAGAGGACGTATTTCGGGATTATATTGCCCGTGCTCTATTTGGTAGCGGTCTTCGACAGGTGAATGATGTCCCCGGGGTTGTGTCGGGTGCCGAAGCGCGGCGACCAGTCGGCGACCTCTCTCAAATGCATCAAGATATAATTTATACCTTGCTTCTGTTTGTTCCGGTGTACTAGTATCGGGATCCAATTCAAGCAGAGGATCTGGCGAATCTCCTCTGGGGGTAACTGGGTCCATTGCGGCGAAGGACCGGCGAAGGATCGGCGATAATTGCGTTTTGAGTTATGACAAGGTAATCGGCAAGATAGAAAATCTTTAAGTAAAGGAACGGCAGATAACGGCGACGGAACGGCGACGGAACGGGGATGGACTCGTAGTACGGGTTCGGAGAGCGGTTTGTAATATAGGAAAGCTTAAAGCAAAGAAATGACGGAGAACGGCAAGAGGACGGCGATGGATCGGCGATGAATTGGCGATGGAATCGAGATGGCGCGGGGATTCTTGATAGTAAGAAGTCAATCAACACTGAACGCGTATTTCTTGTTAAAGCTTGAAGACTACAGGAATTGGACGACTAGGCGACAGAGATATGAACTGCTCTTACTTTGAGATATGGCAGTTACTACCTAGATGCTGACTTAACTTACCTGGAAGCTGTAATCCCTCTCCACTACTGGTCGCCTCACCTAATGGAGCTCTATTTGCATTAGCATTATTATTTCACCGTTGTACTTATATTTAAAATTACTAGGCATTGGTGTTTAATTCAAACCTTTAAAGTCCGTCTATCCCCATTCCCCCTCCTATCTTCCCCCTTTACTAATGTTGTTCCAGGATCGCATTGTTGTATCCATACGCGCCCGCTCGCCTTAAACCTCGAACCTCGAACCTCGATCTTGCTCAAAATCCATATTATTTATCGACCAGGTTTCGTCTTGAATGAAGCTATTGTTAACTACCTACGCCAAGTAAGGTCTATGTCTTACACAGTCGAATTCGATTATAACCCAATTCATCCGACCCCTTCCTCCGTCAACCGTATAACCTAATGCCCCGACTACTCTGTGCGATGAACGATGGATTGGATGTGATGGATTGGATGTGATGGATTGGATGTGATGGATTGGATGTGATGGATTGGATGTGATGGATTGGATGTGATGGATGGCATGTATATGGAACATGTGTAAACTTCGTCAAAAAGCTCGGCTATGATTCGTTTCACGTCGTGCTGTCGCGAGAACACACTGAGAGGATTTGGAGCAACATCAAGTGTACCCGTTCTCAGACTGCATGAAGACATGGCATATATAAATTTTGGACATTTTTGTTACATTTCTGTTAAAGCCAAACCTCGTTCTACAGTTCATTCCGGCTTAAAAACATTGGATGGATGTTATTGGCCCATGGGATTCAGGGGTATCAGCACCAATGCGCCTCACGATTAAGAATAAGAATGAACGCCATTTCTTGCTCTTGTGTTTTTCTCCTTCAGTCATCTCTTCATGATATCTGCTTCTGCCGTCCTATTTGACCCTCAGTAGCGTCTTCGCTACACTGCTGCTTTTGACCCAGCTCTCCAAGCCCCCTTTATTTTCATCGATAATTCCGCGACGGCTTCCCTTGAAGGAATCGCGACCGTCTTCACTGGATCTGTACAATTGCGAGCGTCGACTCGGGCGAGTTCACCGCGATCTTAAGACTTGCGGCTCTGCCTGGTGTGAACTGGAGGGACGTCTCCTCTCCGAAAACTTGACGCCTTCTAAGGTATTTGATGTCCCTCGAAGAACTCCGCCAATGCATCGCCACTATAAAGCCACCCTACACTCGTGATTATGACTGCGTTGTCGTTTTTCGAGCTGCTCTTGTTTACCTGTCCGTCGGTGAGGCTCTGGTGGTGTCTTCTGCTAAAGAAGGGGACGTGTGGATCCTTTGCCTCATGGTCTCCCTTTCGAGCTCTTCAACACCGTGGCTAAGGGTTGTGGTGGTCTCTCCTCTATCCACCTGTGCAGTCGTCCACTGTGGCACGCCTGTTGATCCCGGCTAAAAATGAGAATGACTTGGAATCTGGGTCCGATTAGTCCCAGGTGAGTCCCAAGCCTTCTGAGTTGAGTTCGAGGAGTAGAGCGTGACGAGGGAGAAATTGGAGATTGGTAGAATGATGGTAATGGTAGAGGATAGCATGTCCTTGTAGCGATGCTTCGCGGTTGTGTCGGCGGCACCCTCAATTTCCTTTTTGTTGGCCTTTGCTCTCTTGGTTAGTATAATAGTCACGCTTGGAGACTTTGCTCGATCGATCAATCGGTCTGTGATGAATCTCTCAATTGAGATTTTGTCAGGAACTCTACGGTCCGGATCGACCTGAGTAAGAGAACGTATCAAGACCCTTAGCCGAACGCTTGCCGCCGCCGAGGAACATTGGCAGAAGGCGGTTGAGGCCCAAGCTAAACACTACAATGCACGACATACGCTACAAGAGTTCAAAGAAGGGCAATGTGTCGGCGTAGCTACGCGGAATTGGCGCTTTAAAAATAGGAAGCTTGCGCCTCGATTTATAAAAGCCAAGGTCATTGATCGAGTTGGAAAGCAGGCCCATAGAGTGCAATTACCTAAGATCTATAGTAGAGTCCACATCGTCTTCCACGTCTCTATGCTTGAGCCATGGAATGAAGGGCGAGCCATCGGGCAAGGGACGGCGATGCCAGAACTTGAAGATGAACCCAACGAATGGGAGGTGGAAGAAGTTATAGCCTACAAAGAGGAGGGAGAGGGAAAATTCTACCTTATTAATGGAAAGGCTGGCCAGTAGAGTATAACACATGGGAGCCAGAATACTACTTAGAAAATGCACAGTCAATGGTTAAGAAATACCTCAAGGTGGTAAAGAAACAACACAAAAAGTGGGACGACTGAGGTGTCCGCATGGAGAAGGAACGCCCAAGGAACGGGAAATATCTCATTAAAAACTACAAAAAATAAAAACAACCGAAAAACAAAGACCGAGGCGACACGTCGCAGAAGCGAAGGCGCACGAAGAAGCTGCCCAAAGGGCGCGGCAAAGAACACAAAGACAGAAACACACCAAAACTAATGACACCAGCGCCGGACACCCGGCGAACCCACGGAGACAACAACAACAACCGACCTAACCACCACGAAGTTGCTGAACCCGCTTGCTGCGGCGAACACTCAGAGAGCCTTCGCTGCCACGAGAGCCGCGACGGCGACCACTGGGCCTGTCCCCAGGAGGATCCTCGGGAGGCGTAGGGTCGCGAGACTGAGGGCGAGGAGGCATAGGCTCGCGAGATCGAGGTCGAGGAGGAGTTTCTTCCCGCTCAGACTCTTCGTCGAGCCATCGGCGGCGCTTCTGCGGAGTAGCCTGGGCAGCGCCCCGGCGAACCGGACCCTGGCCAAGAGTACGGACAGCGTTGCGAGCCGGCGGATTACCTTCGGCGACGAGTCGGTCCATGTCATCAATGAACTCATCGGGGAGTTCGGTAGGAGGACACTTGGACTTCTTGCGATCGTTCTCGCCGGGGAGCGGCGTACGGTAGGCGTCGGGTAGGCGTTTCAGAACTTCATCGAGGTCACGAGCCTCAATACACTCGCGGGCGTAGGCGGGGGTGCATCGCGCAATGTTCGCCTCGATCTCAGCCTCGGGGACAGCGATAGGACCAGCCTAAAAAAGAAGTTAGAGCCGACACTTCGGCGAAGGGACGGCGATCTCACCTGAGCTCGGTAAAGACACGCAAGAAGCTCTCGAGAAGATGCAAGTTCCTGGACTTGGAGGAGCGGAGCGATGCCAACAGGGTTGGCAGGCGTGACACGACACGGGTTCAAGAAGGCGTCGGCGAGGGAACGGAGAGCGGACGCCGCCTGGGCAACACACTGCATAATTCTCCATTTCTCGAGATTGGACAGCGACCTCTCGGCGTCGAACTCAATGCTCAGGGAATTCCAATAGAACTGAGTAACGCCCAGGAGCTCAGGAGGGATCTAAAAGGTTGTCAGCGAAGGATCGGAGAAGGCTCGCCGCCCAAGAAATACATACAGCAGAACATTTCTTGCGGTCACGCTTGCAAAGGATACAGCAGGACTCCGACTCATCGACGACGCATTGGAGTCGAGCATCGCGATGAGCGGAAAGGACACAGTGAAGGCAGGGAACCTCAGTATCGCCGTGGCGAGCGAAGCCCGCCTCTTCGGAGAACTCGTACTCCTCAAGAGCAGCGAGGACCGCGGTAGCGACGGACATGGTACGGCGAAGGGTCGGCGACCAGAGCAGCGAAAAGACTGGTACCGCAAACGACTTGGAGATATCACGAAGAGAAAAAGGTTGAGGCCACGGGACGAAGCATCGCAGAAGGGTCGGCGATGAGAGAAGAAAAGAAAAACAAATCTGAGAACGAGAAAGATTTTCCGCTAAATACAGGAGCACTAAAACAAATGGCTGCCCAGAGACGCTGATTCATTAACAAACTCCTGGCAGTGCCGACAGCTGGCAGACCGGACTACGACGGTTCCGCGCACACGAACCGCAATTACAGATGAATTCGTTATTAAGAGAATTAATTTAATCATGAAAAGGGATTCAACAGCGAGAGATAATAATTACAGAAGAAGAAAGGAGGATATGGCTATTACATGAGGCTATTTACAGATTCTGGAGACCAGAATTACTAGAGGGGAGGCAATTGTAAGAACAGTTCGGATTAGCTTGGCGACCATACGGAGGATAGTTCTTCCGAACTGGACCATCTTAAGGGGCTGCTCACAGCCCAGCACTCTCTGATTGGTCAGCTCAAACCCACTGCGCGACTTAGGTAGCTTGATAAGGTCAATACCGTCAATCCGACCGCCACCTTCAATTGAACAAAACAAGGCTCTTTTAATCAAAGCTGGAATGCTCGTTGTGACTAATCTGAGCTTTGTACAACAAATACAGAATACTTACAGAAGGTTCTATGCCTAACAAGCAGGGTGCCACTGGCATAGCTCCTTTATAAATCCCATTGCCTTAATCGCTCCCAAACTGGGTAAACCTGGGTATCTCCAAAAGCCTCTCCATTGACTCTTGCAATGGCACGACGAGAAGCTAGCCACATGTGAAAATTATTATCCATGCCAACTTGATTTGAATGAGCGAAAACCTCTTCAAGCCAGGCCTGAAACAGAGAATCTTGTTCCTCTTCCAACTTTTGCGCTCGCTGCATGAGTTCTTCCGCGGATTCCTTCTCCTTTTGCAGCAAATCCCATATAAAGCGAACCGCGATGTTGAGATTCACTCGAACGACTGTTTCTTCGTCTCCAGACCCGCCACTGTAGTCGTCACGGTTGACATTCGATGCCAGGCCTGCCTCGAATAGCGGGTGAAAACTGATAGGTGAAGAAAGATGTGCATCATCCCCTGTTTTAACGAGGAGAACTGTGCACTGGGCTAGCTCTCTCTCCACGGGGCGTTCCATGTCATGAATCCTGTCATAACCTTTCAACCCTCTTGGGTTATGGTATTGGACTGTAATCTCTGGCAACGATTGCTTGTCAACAACCAGATATAAAGAGCGAAACAGATGGCACATGGCATAACCATGCTCTCGCCAAGATTGTATCTTTCCTGGGACTTCATCCTTAGGTGGCTCCTCTCCTGGGTATTTGGAGCTGAAGTTTCTCCAAGGCTTGAACTCCACCAAGTCCTCCGCATGAGTCGATAGATTCTGGGAGAGGTCGTGATGGAAGGCCGACAGCTGTTCCAGACCTTGAGGGCCAGTCTCTTGCAGATATGCAGGTTTGCCAAAGAAGCCACCGCGCTGGAAGAATGGCCGGCCGTCATGAAGCCGTAACCACTCTCGGTAGATGTACCGGGCGATCTTCTGGCTTTCGAAAGTGTCGACTGACTTGTATTCGAAATAGACCATTACTTCTTTGTTCAGATAGTCACTCAGGCACCTGATATCGACTCCAGGCTCTGTCAGGCGTAGTGTGTTGATTGTTGTCATGTTATGATCTACACGCCATCCAACCTTGAATTGTGAACTATCATTAAGGCGCATATATCTGGCGGAATCTTCGAAGAATATGACTCTCAATTCTCTGTGGACAAGATCTTGCATTTCTCTAGATGTCGTTCTTGTGGGCTCGAGATACCTGCAGTCGTAATAGCTCTTATCTGAACTTGGATCCATCTCAACCTGGGATGGGATGAGAAAGGCAAGGTCGACAGGTGGCGTCATCGAGGTGATCTTCTGTCTGTCGTCCTCAGCAGTAGGCTTCGTTAATGATGTGGAGTCTGGCATGGTTTCTGTTATGACGCGGATGATCAATGTGTTGGGGTGGAGCAAAAAGGTGAGAGAATTTCAAGAACACTTTTGAAAGAATTGCGAAGACTTTATACCTCTTGTTGATGTGAAATAAGGTCTTATACTTTGGGTTTGCTGCCTGAATGTCTCACCGAAATATGACCAAGGTTCACACAGGCTTGACCTGATTGGGTGGGGCAAGCCGCAAGGAGTATCATAGCCAGCCATCAAGAAAATAAACATTTTATCATAAAGTATCACCTTGCGAAGAAGTTTCGGCACTGGAGGATATGTATTAAAGTGTGTTGTTTATATTTGTGCTGAGGCTTTAAGTTTCTTTTATCCCATTAACATTGTACGTTGAGTGGTCTGGTCAGCACACAGTCCACCGAGACAACGCATAACCTTTCTGATCGATCTGTTTGCGCTGTCAGCAAAGGCCCCGAGGAAGATCAATTTACTGTATAATTCATATCACGTGGCGCCTGGCGAGGCCAATGTCTTGCATCATTATAAAAGCCATGGTCTTGTGTCCATGTTACAGTCTACACGGCAGACAACATTCCACCATGTTTATATCCTTTCTAATAAGTATAGAATTATTCCCATTTCTTTAGGTTCATTTTGCGGCGCCCGGTTGGCTCAATCTTAGCATGGGGTGCTTGCTCTTAGTGCTAGTAGCCTCATCTGCCCTGTCGTCGAGAAGAGCGACGAGCTCATCAGAGTCATCACTGGAGGCTTGTTCCAGACTTTAACGGCACAATGGCCTCTGTAAGTTCCAGTTAGGTGGCGGTCCACAGCACTGATTCAGTGGAGCGAAGGAATGACGTCATATACTTCGGACTTCACGCAAGAAGGAAACAACAGAATACTGCACACCATCGTCGCTTGACGTTTTCAATCCTGACCTTTTCAACGACAACAACAACCGCACCAATGCACTTTTTTATTACCTGTTGAGCCGTTTTCCAAGCGTCTTTTCATCAAACCATCTCGCCGTACCCTCGCCATGCTCTTCGCCAATACTCTCTTTTCTGCGCGTCAACTCGTCTTCAAGCTTTACAATTCCCACCCATCAATCAACAGCTCCTTCGCTGCCCCTTCGCCGACGCTAGAAGCCCAGAAAGGGCGACCGAAGAGTCCCTGTCAATCCCGATACAAACGCAAAGGATGCTAGTCTAACCCGAGCGTTATACCAAGCTGCAACCCGGCCGGTCGTGGATTAGTTGCCAGGCTCAGGCGACAAACCCGACCGACTATTATTCACCCTCCCATCGAAGGTAAATACGTTATTGAGCATGGAAGTTAGGTCCAAGGTTCGTTATCTCCCTACAGATGGAGGCCTCGTTCATCAGGCGTCAACCATGCGATGTACAAATCTGCAATCACACCTCCTTTCCGAACTTGATCACCCGACAAAACGAATTCAAGTTGCCTCCTCAATTGTATCTCTCTTCGCCGAAGGCTTTTTCACACTGCCGTACACCCTTTCTCACCCTGGCTGCAGAAGTAATTCTCACCGAACCGGCCACGAATCTCCGAAGCGAGAACGTCGATACCAACCCGCTGAGTTGGTGTCAAGCGCAGACCGTTCCGGCGACGTTTCTCGCGACACCGGTTGATATGGATCGACCATATCATGAATGCAGAAACCAAGCTGGGAGTTTGGACGCCTATCTACAGGTCAGCCATCAATCGCGAGCACACGGAAACAAGGGAAACCCTCAAGAACGTATTCCAACATGCATTGTTGGCAAACCTCCCTGGTCGCCGAGCTGAGGCTACAAACTCAACCCACCACTGTGCGCCCTCCCATCTATGGCAAATACTGTTTTCGTTCGCGACCCCTCACCGAGCAGACGGACAGGTTTCTCCGCACACACAATATCGACACTAATATGCTGCGGAGCGAAGTCTACAGTCAGAAGCGTGGAGATGGTCCTGTCGCCACGGTCAAGGCGAATGATTGGGGAGGTGTCCTCGTTGTCACCGAACTTGACGTGATAACGATAAGTCACTTATAGACATTGGGGCCCGGATGTCAGAGCTTTCCTGGCATTCATTTGTCCAAGTTACCCATGGTCAATCCCAGCCGCCTTTTTTGCTAAGAACAATTTGGATTGACACTATTGTCTAGCAATTGGTTAGGCATTGTGATATAATGTCTAAGTCGTGAGCTAGATGTGTTATTTGCAGTTGAGACCTGTGGCCGAGAGCTTATAATCACCACACAGAACTTAGACGCTATTGTCAATGACCCGACGAAGCTTGTGGTGTAGGACGTCATTCACCCATCGATCGTCGAAGGGAGCAGCGTACAACCAAAGACCCTGATGGCACACCCCCTGTGGACCATCCAATCATTTTTACCTATACTCGATATCAACATGCATTCTTTGCATCCTGGACAGCCTTTAGGGCGCATGATGATGTGAATGCTCATCGACCATCGGAAGAAGGAATACTTGGTCTTGTTTGGCTGGTTGGAATGGGCGTGTCAGGGTTGAGACCCAGCTGCAATCCCGACTGGTCGCGGAATAGTTAACAAGCTCAGAGATCATCTGGAAATGCTTAGGAAACTACCGCGAATGCGCAGACCCTTGCGATGATGATGTCTCTCCGACTAGACTAAAATGGATCGACCATATCATGAACACAGAAATCAACCTGGTAGTCTAGGAGGCCATCTACCAATCAATTACGAGCAGGGACAAGCACAAATCTTTGAGAACACAGGGTTATTCTTACCTTTACATGACATCAAGATGCTTGCTCTTTCAATTCTGGGTAGTTTACTTGTACGCATGCTTTTCTACCACCAACCGGAGCACCAGACATGTATTATTCGGGGTGTTATTGTTCTTGGTGATGAGTCTTTGGGGTTGACCATTATTGCAGCTTTACATGGATATGTTAAGATTATGGTTAGGCTTTACAATATTTTGCGACAGTTTATGATAACTTATGCCAGTTTATGCTAGTTTCGGGAACTTGGGTTAATCTTTACCTAAGCTTAGGCTACCATCATGCTTCACTTTGCAGACCTTATGATGACTCGCATTGTAGAATGCAGTATCTCAAAACCAGCCCCAGGTTGTGGCGGTGGAGTAAGAGTTGTCCTTTTCTCATGGGACTTGCAACTCGCGAGAATCCTTACAGGCTCAGTGATCTTGACGGTTGTATCGCAAGAGATGCATCTCTGCCCGATTATGAAGTACAACACCTATGGAGAACGGAGTGGCGGGCATCTCGGCTGTTTGATCTGGAGATGGGTGGCTGTTACGGGATCTTCAACTAGCGGCCGCTTCCTGGAGTTCTCATCGAGTACTACGCTCAAATGTGCAGATCTTCCCTAGGCTGTATGTCTTGTACGACTCCAAGCTACGGGCAAACCCGAAAAACGAGAAAACATGGTCACTGCTTCGAAAACCATAGTCGCATTGTCACAGATACCGATTTGTGTCACTGGAGAATGGCATAAGGCTCTCATATATCGTGTTGTCGACCGGGACTAGATCTTGTTCATTGTGTGTGTTTTTTTGGGTCTAGGAGTCCATAGCACCTTGCTAGAGAATCCCAGAGTTTTGGAGCTGATGAAGACTTGATATGGATAAAGGGTGTTGGGAGTATTGCGAAATAAAACGTTGAAATAGTACATTTGCTAGTAACCACTGAAGAGCATTACTTTGTGATTGTGACTAAACTAGATTTGAAAGTCAATGGCATTCTTTCTTGGGAGGATGCAATGCGTGGAATAGATAAAAGAATAGGAAAACGATGGGAGGAAAAGAACATCACCTCATCTACCCCACTGCTCGTCCGTGAATTCCCATTCGGGCGGATGAGAAACATGCACAAGTCCCGTTAGAGTATGTCAATCCTCGGAGTCGGTAGTTCTAGCTCCGCTTCTAGACACCCGATTACGGTAGTTGTCTTCCGGACTTTCTCTCACGAGGTTTCATCGTTGATTAAGGAGCGCTAGACCCATGTCGGAATAATTGGTGAAACACGTTTCATCCGAGCTATGATTGGAGGAATAACGGTAATCCTTGTATCGATCCTACGCATCTCGGCGTATTTAGCTGAAGGTCACGCTGGGGAGAGCTGCTACTTAAGAGTTCGCCAGTCCTCGACCAAAAGTTGATTGTTTCGAGTTCTCTCACGATCGTCAAAATGGTATTCTTTCGGTTCCTGGCATTTCTCTCCTACTGCTCGGTCGCGTTGGCCCTGACCTACAAGGGCGTCGACTGGTCTTCCGTTCTTCTCGAGGAACAAAAGGGCATTCAATACACTGCCGGCGGTTCCGCTCAACCACTAGAGAAGATTCTCGCCGCCAATGGCGTCAACTCAGTTCGTCAACGAGTCTGGGTCAACCCATCCAACGGCGACTACAACCTCGATTACAACCTCAAGCTCGCCAAGCGTGCTAAAGCTGCGGGCCTGAGCGTCTACTTGACTCTTCACTTCAGCGACACTTGGGCTGATCCTGGCCACCAAGCTATTCCCTCTGGATGGCCTACCGATATCGATAATTTGGCTTGGAGGTTGTATAACTATACTCAGCAAGTCTCCAACGCTTTCCAGTCTGCTGGTGTGCCTCCTGCGATTATCTCGATTGGAAATGAGATCACTGCTGGTCTTCTCTTCCCCACCGGCTCGACCAAATCATACTACAACATCGGACGTCTTCTTAATTCTGCGGCATACGGTATCAAGGACTCTTCTATCAGCCCCAAGCCCAAGATCATGATCCATCTCGACAAGGGCTGGGATTGGGGTACCCAAGAATATTTCTACACTCAAGTCCTCAACCAGAAGGGTCTTACACTCGGTGCCTTCGACGCCATGGGTGTTTCATACTACCCCTTCTACGGATCGGGCGCTACTTTCTCTGCGCTGGAGACTTCTCTCACCAACATGGCCAACAAATGGGGAAAGCAGATCTTTGTCAGCGAGCTTGACTGGCCTACCTCCTGCCCTTCCCCCGCTCAGCCTTTTCCCAGTGATATGAAGAACATTCCTTTCTCGGCTGATGGTCAGACTCAGTTTATTAAGAAGGTTGCTAGCATTGTTAGCAAGGTCAAAGGTGGAGCTGGAATTTATTACTGGGAGCCTGCTTGGATGAATAACCAGGCTCTTGGTTCTTCGTGTCCTTCCAACACCTTGTTCTCCTGGCCTGGCAAGGCTCTGTCAAGTCTTTCTGTCTTCAAGAGCATCTAAGCTAGACAAAATCCATTGGAGTCGTCATTTCGATTACATAGTTACCAATACGTTGTACATATAATCACCTGGTGTCAAAGCAAGCTAGACTTCTCTTTCAAGTGATCCAATGGCCCTGGCATGCATTTCCTGCCAGATGTTAGAACATAATTCTTGTCACAATCTAAATTATGGCTAGTCTCCTCGTGTAGTTGCTTGGTGGCGGTGAATGTTCTGTGCGGGTGTAAAGGTTATGCTATCTACTCAACAATTACCTGCAGTGACAATTATTTGCAACCCGTAGTTGACATATCTGTAGACTGGGTTCGGGAAAGCCTACATTGGTCTCTATCGCGCTATTTTTTCAAACAACGAGGGTCAATGGTCTTGCGACTAGCTGCTGTTCTGAAGCTTGGTATAAAACCTCGGCTTCCACTTTCTATCCTATTATATTTTTGTATTTCTGTGTCACCGTTTCTGTGCTAAATCTATGACACTAGAGCCAGGAGTCTGTAGCTCAGATCAAGCAGCCTTATCTCTTGGTCTCAAAGTTCGACGAATTCGTTGGCGTTGATGGGGTCTTTTCGTGTGAATATTCTTGGCTAGACACCCAGGTTGTTGGACAAGCATTGGTAGGAGTCAAGCCCGAATGGTAGCAGTGCTGCAGATCGGACAGTTCCAATAAGAGCGTCTTGGAAACTAGAGAATGAATCACGATAACTTATGTCTACTGATGCTGATATTTTCACTTTCAATTGTATGTATTTGATTCGGATGACTATATTTGCTTACTTACCGGGGATCCTTGGTGGCAATCGCCGTCAGTCATCACTGAAACATGACGTCTGTTATCTCACCCTATCACGTCTGCAGAAGAACTAACACTGCCTCTAGTTCATATCAGAAAGTCCACTCCCGAACTTTCAGGTTCTGCGACTTTAACTGCTGCATCGAGAACTGATCTTTCTGCAAAAATGGTTCACAGGTATAACGATCTATACGGAGAAAGCATCGTTGAACTTGTTCGCTCTACTTTCCCATGCAGCCTAAACTTTGACTTCTCGCTTGTTACCAAAGTGTGTGATACAGTTAGTCGTAGCTTTTGCCGCGACATGCCAGAAAGTAACTCGACAGGTTCCTTCGCTGCCATTGAAAGTGTTTACCTTTTGCAACTACAGAGATCACTGTCGAATTAATGGCTGGAGTTGCGGACTATGGAGGCGGTGGCAACGACTGTCGAGCTAGCTAGGATTGAGGCGCAAAACAGCAATGCAGACATTGGAACAAGACGTGGATGGCTGAAAACTGGAAGAACCACCTCTCTACCACCAATCAATACAGCTTTCAATATGATCGTCCATGGCGGAAGTGCCTCGCCGCCTGGTCAAGCGGCCAGCCGTTCACAGTCGGCACTGGATAATTCGCTCCTTTATTCCCAGCGGCTCCTACAAGCGAGGATAACGAAATTGTTAATACTAACCCGCTTTGTATCATGAATGACAATCAAAGTCGCAATATTATTATTCTATTGGTCTGAGATAAGATGTGATAATAGTTGCACGGAGCCTGGAGAGACTTGGGGTCAGTCTAACTTACTTGAGTGGGATGAAGGGTTAGGCGAAGTTGATATAGGAGCTGAAGCCTCTCAACAATCTCAGTTTGTATACCAGAGCTTGGAGGCTCTCAGTATGGATATCAAAGCTATAATTTAGGAAATATTGCGAAGGGAATCGGAGTCGCCGTTTTACTGCTTCAGACTGCGTCATGCAGTCGATCATTTACTGGAAGATATTTTCTCGAGAAAAGCTAGTCATGATATGATTAGAGATGAAGCAATTCTCATAGCCTCATTTCTTTTTTCACTTACAACTGATTTGATTCCGTAATTATCACATCTCAGCTTGAGTAAGATGCGATCATAATATTGAACTCCAAGAAGACATTCGAATATCCGAGTCACTGGGCATATGGTCTTCATGATGGCATGGAGAGATGCGGGCTTGGAAATGTCAGAGTGTTTTCCGGAGAGTAGTCCTGCTAAGCTTGATTGTTTACAAGCATTGCGTACAATTCGTTGAATAGTCATTAAATTGAAATAGGCTATGAGTCTTAAAGTAATGATGAGTTACAGTCTTGAAATCCTTGATTTATCATGATTCATGGTTCGTTGGCGAAAAGAGGGGCAACTGTAAGTGGGAGCAAGGCAATTCGTGAGATATGATATCTATTATGCTGATAACATGTCTTTTGGTCTGGATGCAAGTGATAGGACAACCTTGTAAAGGATTAAGATTACCTATGCAGCCAAGACTTCTGTTCCTTTCGATTCATAATGAAAAACAATCATGTCTAATCGCGTGATCCAACGATATTCCAAGTGAGGGGTAGATCATCACAATCATAGTGTTTGTTTTACCCTGGCACCCCCTGTAATTGGCTCTACCCAAGCCCAACTTTGATTTCAAGGACCATCACCTTATTATCGATAATAACCTTGCTCAACCTTCCTTATCTCTATGAACTTTTGTCGACTCCAAGAAATCAAGTCTTGGCCAACGCAACATAACACGGGGAACTTTTTCAAAATGGTCCAAAACGGCAGGTCTAAGATCCCTGTACAAGTCCACCATCTAAACCGCTGCGGGAAGGCGACTATCGAACTAGTGCTGTCGATCCCCGGTATAAGCTTAATCTCTGCCTCCCGGAAGTTTATCCGCTATAAGAACGCCGTGTAACGCGTTGACTTGTTGTTTTTTTCTCCTCAAGGTTTCTCTTCTGCAACCTCAGTTCAATCGTTCATCATGGTCGCGAAAGTCGTTCTAGCCACTCTTTTGGCCCTTGCCCCGTTGGGCTTGGCGATTGATCCTCCTAGACAGCCGCATCAACCTGTTGGTGAGGGGGATCGCCTTCTGACTTTCAATGAGACCAGCCCCAGCGCCAAATTGAGGCCTACTACTATGTCTGTAGAATGGTCGTCCGCTGGGCAAGACGGAAACTACATTGTTCTCAGCGACGATGGCGATCTTGTACTCGAAGACATCGTCAGCGAAAAGACAACAAAGTTCGTCACGGCTGATAAACTTCCCAAGGATCTGCACGAGTATTGGATCAGCGGTGATGCGAAGCGCGTCCTCGTCTCGTCAAACTACACCAAGCAATATCGATACTCTTACTTTGCTGATTACTTCATTCTTGATGTTGAGTCTGGCGAGAGTGAACCTCTTGTGAAAGATCAGGTTGGTGATATTCAGTATGCGCAGTTTGCGCCGGGTGGAAAGGCTGTTGCGTTCGTGCGGGGCAACAATCTTTTCATTCGTGATGCTGAAGGCAAGGTTGATCAGATTACGACTGACGGAGGGCCTGATATGTTCCATGGTGTACCTGATTGGGTGTACGAAGAGGAAATCTACGGTGGACGCTCGGCGCTTTGGTGGTCTCCTGATGCCAAATTCCTTGCATTCCTGAGCTTCAACGAGACTGGGGTTGGGACCTTCACTATTCCTTACTACATGGACAACCAGAAGCTTGCTCCCACATACCCTCGCGAGCTAGACCTTCGATATCCCAAGGTCGGTTCCAAGAACCCTACCGTCGAACTCAACATTCTCAATCTCTCGGATCGCGAGTACAAGCCCGTTCCCGTCGATGCGTTCGAGCCTGAGGAGCTCATCATCGGCGAAGTTGCTTGGGCCACCAAGGATCACAGCTCTCTCATCTACCGAGCCTTCAACCGTGTTCAAGACCACGATGCTCATGTTGTCGTCAACCCTGAGACGCTCAAGTCAAAGGTCGTTCGGGAGCGAGATGGAAGCGATGGGTGGCTTGAGCATACTCTTTCGATTTCTTTCGTTGGGCCTTTAAGTTCCAAGAAGAAGGATACTTACTACGTTGATGTTTCTGATGAGGATGGTTGGAATCACATTTACCTGTATCCTGTCAAGGGCGGAAAGGCTATTCAGCTTACTTCTGGTGAATGGGAGGTCTCTACTATTCTCAACATCGACACTGCCAAGAAGCTTGTTTACTTCCAAGCTTCGAAGCGACACTCCACCGAACGACATGTCTACAAAGTGTCATGGGAGACCAAGAAGATTACTTCTCTGGTTGACGATACTACCCCCGGTTACTGGTCTGCATCGTTCTCTTCAAGCGGTGGTTACTATATTCTTCATTACCAGGGTCCCGATGTTCCATACCAGGAGCTCTACACTACCAACACCACGAGCAAACCCGTCCGCACACTCGTTGACAACAAGGCTTTCTACAAGAACATCACTCAGTACAGCATGCCCAATATCACATACTTCGAACTCAAGCACCCTGATGGATATACTCTGAACGTCATGCAACAACTTCCCGTCAACTTCGACCCCGCTAAGAAGTACCCCGTTCTTTTCACTCCCTACGGCGGCCCTAACTCCCAGCGTGTCGCTAAGTCTTTCCAGTCTCTAGGATGGAAGTCTTATATTTCGTCTGATCCTGAGCTTCAGTACATCGTTTACACTGTTGATAACCGTGGAACTGCCATGCAAGGCCGCAAGTATCGCTCGCTTGTTACGTCTCAGCTTGGAAAGCTTGAACCTCTTGATCAGATCTGGGCTGCTGAACAGCTTATTGAGAGATATAGCTTCATCAACGCTGATAAGATCGGAATGTGGGGATGGTCGTATGGTGGATATCTCACAGCCAAGACCGTCGAAGCCGACTCTGGAGTATTCAGCTTCGGTCTCATCACCGCACCTGTATCAGACTGGCGATTCTATGATTCTATGTACACAGAGCGCTACATGAAGACTCTCGACGAGAACAAGGATGGATATCTCGAGACAGCAGTTCACAACGTCAACGGCTTCAAGAACCTCGCCGGCAGCTTCAGTATTCTCCATGGCACTGGTGACGATAACGTTCATTACCAACATGCTGCTGCTATGATTGATCTTCTTGTTGGTGCGGGCGTATCGCCTGAGAAGATGAAGATGTTTGCGTTCACGGATAGTGATCATAGTATTGTGTACAATGGCGCTTCGCCTTGGATCTATAAGTATCTTACTGCGAGGTTGTATGATGAGGTTAAGAGACAGCCTAAGGCCAAGGCTTTGACTCATCAGTGGAACAAGAGACGGGTTGAGATTATGGCCTAGATAGAGTCTTCGAGCCCTGTAGATTGATAGAGTAATAGAGTCTTCATGAGATGCATTATCTACCATCCAAGTGCGAAAAACAGTCAATATGTCTCTGGATTGTGACAAGCGTTGATGAATGTATAATGAACTTATCATAAACTTTAGGGTCTTTATGATGATTTTATCTTAACATTTAGAATCCTTAGGATAAAGCTTAGCCCTAAGCTGAGGCCTAAATCACAAAACTCGTCATACGGGCTTTGGGTTAGCCAGCCCATCTCGACCACACATTCGTCCCTCATCACCAACCCTTTGCCTCTCTGCTCTTTTCCCGACCACGCCGTTCACCATGTCAATGCTCCCGACTATTGCGACTGCACTGGTAGGATTCATCTACGACAGAGACGCCAGCCTTACTCCATTCACCGACCCTGATGAGATTTCCTGTTTCGGGTGCCTAGTGACCATCATCGCGACGCCCGTCTGTTCTGCGTCGCCAAAGAGTCGGCGAAGCACACCTGTCTTGGGTGCCAAAACTCAAGAAAGAAATGTGGTTCTATAGTCTGTTGACTCTTATTCACTTTTTAAACTCTGACTGGCCTCATTGGATATCCCCCCGCGAACTCTTAGGTGCTGCCCAATGAGACCACGTCTCTCGCCCTCAAATCCTCTCCACCGCCCGCGGCGCCCTCGAAACTAGAGAGACGCGGCGCCTCTGGTCTGCCCTCGGCAACTGCACGTCGTCGATCAGATCTCAGACCCCCTAGAACCGTCAAGCAACGATCGAGACATTGCCTTGACTATCTAGACGCAAGACTCTGCGGCCAACCGCGAGTCGCTCAATCTGCAACTCCTCCAACTTGTATATATAACGACTATTAGTCAATTCTTCGCCGCTAGCACCTTTTTAAGCCGGTGCCAACCTTTGACTTGAGGAAATGCAGGCTAGAATTGCGGGCGCCACGCCATTGTACGCCCGCCACGACTCCAAGGCTGTCCGTCTGCGCAAGGGTCGCCTGCCCAACGCCGCGACGACCCCGTTTGGATGTGACAACGGGGACCTTGAAGGCTTGCCTCTGGGACTCGACGACACCCTCATCGAACGGATGAATGCCGCACGTGGGTGTACTACTCCTATCTGCCCTTCTCCCTTTGCCGGCATGGGACCTGTCAAGCGAGGGCCTTCCCAGGCCACACCTCGCAAGCGCAAGGTCGCCCCGTCGAGCCTAGCCCCTCTCCTGCTCCTGATCCTCTGCCTTCCTTTGCACCCCTCCCTCATGTACGTGGTGGTTTCTCTGAGTTTGAAGAACTCCTGGATCCCTAGCCACCAGCGCCTGCTTCTCGGGTCGTGGCCGCCTCAATTGCAGCGAGAACCGATCCCAAGGCTATGCTCGAGCGGAAGATTCATGGGTGAAGTTTGCAAAGCTTTTATTTCGCATTGACTATTTGCTTATATAGACATATTATGGGCCTATCCTAAGGATAAATCCAAACTTATTGCGCTTCTCCCAAGCTCTCCAATTCTGTTTCTGATTCACCGTCGTTTCTCTCCTCACCATAACTGTCATAAGGCACAGGCTCATCAACATTTCGTCTCCAAAGAATGCGCTTCTGCACGAAGTATGGGAGTTGTTCATGCCATACCCACATCACCAGTTGCATCTTTGGCCGCTCATAGACCTTTTCGAGGTCTTCCAAACTTCGGCTGCTAGTCTCCTCGATCAAAAAGAGGACGAGGATGAATGCGATGACATTGAGGACTGAGAAAACGCCCAGTGTTCCTCGTGCATGAAAAGCATCATAGATCTCTGGTAAAAGGATTGAGAGGAGACCAGCAAAAAAGAGATTCATGGTAATGGCGACTGAGGCACCCTAGATATCATGTCAGTTGGTAATGACAAAATAACTTAGACAACTTACCGCTTCTCGATGGGATGATGGGAAACTGATTCAAGTTAGTATTGCCACAAATACAATTGTCAAACGGAGGGATAGTCACCTCTCAGAAGCTAAGGTGAATGGGATGGGCCCTGGAGTATTGTCAGTCGCGAGCCGGCCTTATCGATGCTGTTGAAGTCATTGCTCACCAAGGCCAGGCGCATAAGCAGCCACGAAACCTGCCTCCTGTCAGTCAAACTGTGACATCATACTAACTCCCTTGATGGACTAACAGTATACAAAGACCGTCCCCACAATGTTTCGTGCTTCTACACCCTTTGAGAACTTGTCGTTATATGCAATAGCTGCCGCCATGAGAAACAAGCTCATCAAAGGGAGCGTGAACAGTAGCCATCGTCTGCGGCCTAAGGTATCGATAGATCTTAAGATGGTTAGTATAACGTGACCGGACAGGTTTTAGCTACTGACCTCATGGCAAGGAGCCCGAAGAGAAAGTTCACTCCACCTGTACAATATGGTCAGTGTCAAACTTGACTGAGATGAATGAGAATGAACTCGAAGGATATTGCAAGCCGTGATAGTAAACTTTGAACTAGACACTTTTTGAACACGTACCAAACCCGACGCTATACGCAAGAGTAGCCTTGAGGTTGTCGTACGCCCCGCTGAACATTTTGTTGGAGTAGAAGGCGAAGACATTGACTGGGGGCATGTTAGTAAATCTAGAGGCAAGGATGGAACTTAACTTACCTCCGCACAGCTGCTGTGCCAAAGACACGATGCAAGTACTGTATACCGCATTTCTCAGAAACTTTGCCTGGAATAAGGTTGAGTACTGCAGCTTCGACAGCTTCAAGGATGCTATCACGCGTCCCATGTATGTCAACCCATTATGTCTATTCTTCTCCAGACTTGCCTGGTCGGGCACTGCCCTTTGTGGTCTAGTGGGCCACCAGATAAGGGTGAGGTCACGCAAGGCAAGCAGCTGAGTGAATCGAATCAGCAATACCGAAGGCATGCAACAGATGAAGACTTACACGATGAGATCTGATCTTGAGCAGGATCTGAAAGGCTCGATCAATACTGTAACCGGGAGTGTCGGAACGCATGTAGTAACGTGGGCTCTCATAGCACATGGCGACTGCAATAAGCAGCAAGAGTGCTGGGACAGCAGGGGCACCGAGGATGAGACGGAGGGCTAGTCTGGACCGGTTCTTCCCGTCTTCCTCGAGATATCCTGTCGCATCGGCGATTGCCATGTTGATAACAGACCCCATGAGGATGCCGCACGCAACCCTGTGGATATTAGAGGGGGTCACTGAATAGAGAGACATGACATACCAGAGCTGCCAGGCTAGTACAATAGATCCTCGCCAGAATCGGACTGCTGTCTCGGAGGCGAGAACGGGTGCACTAACTGCTTTGATACCCATTGCTGGATGTTTGTAAGTCCACTAACCGGAAAGGAGTTGCTCAAAGATACAAGGCTGCACGTACCAACACCAGCAATAATCCTAACCAAGAGCAGTTCTAGCCATGTCTGACAAAATGCAGAGCCAATGGAACTAGCAATGATCAAGAAAGCGGAAACCGTGAGCGCACCGCGACGACCGATGCAGATGTTTATCGGAAGTGACATTGGTGAACCTAGTAACGCAGCAGTGAAGTATGGCATTGCATTCATGGCGCCAGAAGACCAAGTCTCATCTCCTTTAGGGAGATCAAGCGGATTTGCCGCGTCCATAGAGTAAATATCAGCGGCGTTAATTGAAGCTTGGACATGTCCCTGTAGAAATGCGGCGAGGGAGACCGTGATGATGATGATCGGCATTCCAGGCTGAGAGAATACATGCTCTCTCTCATCACGAATACACTTCTTCTCATCCTCTGTGAGGTCATTCGGCATCGGGTTTTCGGAGGGTCCTTGCTCGGCAACGGCGTAGTAGTTGATGTTCTGAGCGATACTGAAGGCGCGTTCGAGTTCGTCGACGCTCACGGTGGGAAGATGCTCTGCTAGACAGGTTAGGGACTCTCTGATCTCGGTAGGGGAAGTCGTGTCGCCTGTTGAAAGATTAGCTCAGGAGAGTTATTGCCACCAGTCAGTAGGATACTCACAGAGCACGCTTCGATCACCACCTCGTTCCTTGATTTGCCTGCGTATCCATTTCTCCCAGTCCTCTTTGAACTTGGAAAGCTTCTCGGAAAGAGAGAACGAGGCCTTTCCTTCGGTCATGTTGAGTGTCGATGAGTCGAAGGTAGTGAACTTGGTATATCTCCCTCAATGTCTGAAATGTTGGGCTTCAATTGGATAAATGGAAACTTGGAAAAGCTGGGCAAAGGGGCGTCATATAACTGCCCAAAGCATACTTCTGAGAAACAGATTCACATGAATATTTAATAACAATTACCTGATTTGCCGATGGAATTCCAATTGAGGCTCTGCTGTCTCGGCGAACTGTATAGGGAGCCTTACCGCAGCTGGCCAAGACATGGCTGCAGGACTACAGGTTCACCGCCAGGGTCGAAACAATAGCCAAACTTTGAATACGAGAAAGCTGAATATATCGCATGGTTAGCCCTAGAAAACAAACGAACGCGCTGCAATATTTTATTGAGCATTGACCAAATGCAAATCATCACCAATCATATCATGGGGTAACCGAGTTATGGCAGGCCTCGACTATTCAGGGGGGTTGAAAATAAGGCTGACAGCAGTCTGGAGAAATGCATGACCTACAACTTTGCTCATTGGGACTCTAATTAGTGACAACATAGCAAACAGGCCAATTCTGCGACCCTTGGCTGCTGAAAGTGCAGCGAATAATAAACAGAAGGTCAAGTTCCTTCGCATCGTTGATTCAACAACCTGGCATCAAATCGCCAACCGGGTCTCGAGGCTGAGTTGATTACGCGTGCTCCACTCCTAGTGACATACTTGACTCAGACCGATGTTTCGAACGACGCCATGGGCGGCTGGTGATGTTACACAGCGACCACAGCCTGATTTTACCTCCCATATCCACATTCCCCAGACCCGAGAGGAGACTCCCCGATTCACGATCATGTGGATATTTCGGCATTTATCCAGATTCGAAAGTCTTGGCTTTTGCGGAGGCGGAACATTTCCAATGAATACCGATTGGTAATTTCTTTCATTGTGTCATCTCCCCCAAATTTCTTCATCCGAACCCTGCCTCCCCTTCTCCCACGTTCTAAGCACACATACCCCAGATTTACTTTGTAGACTCTTGTCGAGCAGATATTTCCAACTAAATCGGCATGACCTCGATGGAATCTATTGGAGGTGTCATCGCCATTGCACAGGCGATAGTAGGGACCTGCAAAGCTATCGACATTTGTGTAACGGCAATCAAGGACTCACACGAAACACTCCGAAGATGGAACACCATGATCACGACAATTCGTCAGACATCGCTGCAGTTTGAAGCTGTACTACTAGAGCGAAAGGCCTCTCATCCAACCGAGGACTCTCTAGAAGGCACGCACTATGGAGTCCTCGGCTCACATCTCGATCAGTTCAATCGTGACCTTCGGAAGCTCGAAAGGAATATCTCAAAGGCCAATCTTGCTAGTCCAGGTTCGAGTTCAAGGGTGTCTTTGAGGAGCAAAGTCAAACTTGCTTACACCATGGACTGGAGAGAGAATGAGCAGCTCTTCAAATGGATAGATCGTCATGTCAATCTACTGCAGATCAACACGGATCTCATAAGAGGGTAAGAAAGAAATGTTTGTCTGTTCTTCCTGAACTATGCTGACGATATTAAAGTGTTAACGAAGATGACATGAACCAAGTTCAGCGGGCCCTAGGGACTGGCCATGACAGTTGGAAACCCGCTCCCGCACCCGAGCTTCTCGACGAACCCCAAGCTGAGCTTAAGGATTGGTTGGCGTCTGCCGAAGGATTCGTCAGACATATTGCCCTTCGTGATTTCGACCCATCAGATAGTGACACATTGACACCTAACGAAACCGACTGGGACCTGATGCACGACACAGCTGATACAATCAACATCAATACCGTCAGCCTGATGGAACAGGAATACCGGCTGCATGCCACGATGCAACACGTTGACCATCTCAACGCCTCGAATATCCCTGTTATCGCATCAAACGTTCAGTTGGAAGTTATTCGGCTATCACATGAGCTGAGTAAAGCGAAGGGGGTCACCCTGACCTTGAAGGAGCGATTCCGTCTTCAAGAACGATATGTCACTCTTCTTCTGAAGTCAACAGAAAGGCATCACGTGTTTGGTATCAGAGCACAAGAGTACCTAAGAGGCCAGATCATTCCCAACATCAATAGCGAAGATGCTGAGCTCAGGGATATATGGCTGAGCGTCGGCAAGATGTATTATGCTTTGAAGGTCTGGGGTCCAGCAACAGAATGGCTTCGACTTGCCTTATTACATGGCTATGTCCGACACAGTAGAGACGTCAATCAATCTGAGATTGAAGAAATCTCAAAGCTCATCTGCCAAGTCTACGAAAAGGAAGGTCACCCTGAGTATGCAATTGCTCTGAGGCAAGTTCTCGAGCATCAAATAGGGTATGATCCGACAAAGATTCCCGGTGATCTCGAGAAGGCCGTCGAATGGTGCAACCTGAAAGGGTTTGACGTACTGATTGAAGGGGATCAGCTGGTATTTGCACATCGACTGAACGCCAAGCGTAACAGTGCTTTGCACGAAGCTGCCCTGGATACAAAGATTGACGTGAAGATACTGTCAAAGCTGATCATAAACGATCTCCTTGCTGTTAGGAACGCGAGCGAAGATACAGCACTTCTCTTAGCTATCGACAAGTCCAACACGGCAGTCATAACAACTCTTCTGACCATACCGTCTCTATTGCATGTTCGGGACAAGGAAGGTCGTACACCGCTTCACAGATGTCATGATCACAAGACATTGAGTCTACTTCTCGATGCTCTGAACTTATCTACACATCGCTCAAGCCTTACACACGTTGAGCCCAACAGTCATGATGCTTCATCCCTTATCGACATCAACTCTCAGGATGCTTGTGGTCGAACAGCTTTATTCATGGCATGTCACCAGGGCAACTGGAAGATGCTAAAGAAACTCATCGAAGCAGGTGCCGATGTCAGAATGTCAGACAAAACAGGCGTATGCCCTCTCTTAGCTTGCTCAGCTTCTCCCAGCATCTCATTCGCAAAGAGAGAAGAGATGATACTACGCCTGCGTTCCAGAGACGTAGACCCAGACCAGGAGGATATTGATGGTAATACTGCGCGGAAAGAACTTGGGCGGCTTTACTCATCAAGTAAGAAGGCTAATAGGTTCCTGTCCCTAGATCCTTCAGTAGAGTTGGAGAGGATGGAGAAGAAATCTAGAGCTGAAAGGAGAGAGAGTAACGCCACTGCTAGCACGACGAGAAGCGTGTTTTCACTAGGACGAATATTTAGTTGGGAGACGCGGAGCTCGTCGCCGTTAAGTTGACCTTTTTAGTTCGTGTCTGGTGTTAGATAGGGAAATCTTAACATGTTTACATATATCTCCGTGGAAAATTGTGTTCTTTTCACGCCGGCGCTGTCTGATTCATCGACTGAGGTAGGCTTTCTCAAATGTAGTCTATAGCAGACCTTTCCCAATCCATTAAACCCTTATCACATACATCAACACGCACATAAGGCGTTTTTTTGAACTTTCACCATAGCATGTTTATCTAAATCTTGATGCTCGCTGACAAAGGGGGTTTCCAAGCCTATTTCCCACCGAATCACAGCGACCTCAACGTCGTGTATTTGAAAGGAAGAACAAAGAGCTTTCTTTTGGGCAAGGGCAGCAAGTATTAATATATGGATATCGCCGATCTCGTGTTCGAAAACAGCACTGAAGTCTAGATGGAAGCATATAATTCCGCTAACAGACTTTAAGAAACATCCTTATGAGGGAAGCCATACCTGCACGACCGATGGTGCACCTAAGATCACGTGACCTTCGCACCACCGGTCGTGCGAATAATATCCGTCATGTAAGAGGCATAGGTGGCCTTATGGAAAAGGGGTAAATTTGCACCCCAATTCAACGATCAACAGTTTCTGCAGCATCAATTCAACTTGCTGTGCCTTTCTTCTACTATAATGGACTCAATTGGCATTCACCGTCAATTCCCTGATGATGCTCTTCCTCCTGAAGGCCACTACAGCTCACGGGAGGAACTACGTTCAGCAATTAATGCTTGGGCAGCGCCACGAGGTTATGCCTTTGTGATCAAGAGATCTTCGAAGACTGCCAATGGAAGAACTCACGTTATCTTCAACTGTGACCGTGGAGCAGGGCGTATTCCCTCCCTTTCAGACCGTCGGCAAACTACAACACGTCGTACAGGATGCCTCTTCTCTGTATTAGCAAAGGAAAGCCTGTGTAAGACCATATGGAGTCTCAGGCATCGTCCCGGACCTCATTTCAGTCAGCACAATCATGAACCAAGCTTCAGTGAAGTGGCACATCCAACACTTCGTCAGCTATCACGCCAAGAGGAAATAACAGTCAATCAACTCACCAATGCCGGCATTGCGCCAAAGGAGATTGGATCCTTCTTACGCATTACCTCAAATACACTTGCTACGCAGCAGGATATCTACAATTGCATTGCGAAGGGCAGACGAGATCTCTCTAAGGGCCAGAGTAACATTCACGCCCTTGCAGACCAGCTCAATGACGAGGGCTTCTGGAATCGAATATGCCTTGATGAGAGCAGTAGAGTTACAGCAGTATTATTTGCACATCCGAAGTCACTGGAATACCTTAAAACATATCCTGAAGTGCTTATATTGGACTCTACATATAAGACCAATAGGTTCAAGATGCCTCTCCTTGATATAGTTGGAGTTGATGCTTGCCAACGGACCTTCTGTATTGCATTTGCATTCCTCAGTGGCGAGGAAGAGGGTGACTTTACCTGGGCTCTTCAAGCGTTACGATCTGTATATGAGGATCATAACATAGGCCTTCCATCTGTAATACTTACAGATCGGTGCCTCGCTTGTATGAATGCTGTTTCCTCCTGTTTCCCAGGTTCAGCCCTATTCTTATGCCTATGGCATATCAATAAAGCAGTTCAGAGCTATTGCAGGCCTGCATTTACTCGAGGTAAAGACAATCCTCAAGTTCTTGGAGGAGAGTCTGAAGAGTGGAAGGAGTTCTTTAACTTTTGGCATGAGATTGTAGCCTCAACGACTGAGGATATCTACAACGAGAGGCTTGAGAAGTTCAAGAAGCGTTATATCCCTGACTATATCAACGAGGTGGGCTACATCCTGGAAACCTGGCTAGATCTCTATAAGAAGAGCTTCGTCAAGGCTTGGGTCAACACTCACCTTCACTTCGAGCAATATGCTACATCACGGGTTGAGGGCATTCATTCGCTTATCAAATTACATTTAAACCACTCGCAAGTTGATCTCTTTGAGGCCTGGAGGATCATCAAGCTTGTTCTGATGAACCAGCTTAGTCAACTTGAGGCAAATCAAGCCAGGCAGCATATTGGCAACCCTATTCGCGAATCTAGGGTATTATACAGCAATATCCGTGGTTGGATATCACATGAAGCCCTGCGGAAGGTTGAGACTCAACGGGAACGACTATTGAAAGAGGTTCCTGTGTGTACAGGGGTATTCACTAGGACTCTTGGTCTGCCTTGTGCTCATAGCCTTCAGCCCTTACTGGAGCAGAATCAGCCCCTTCTACTGAATCATTTCCACTCACATTGGCATCTTCGACGCCCAGGAAGCCCCCAGTTCCTTATTGAGCCTCGTAAGCAGTTTGATCGTCTAACAGCTAGTTCAACGCTGCCACCAACAAGCACACAACGTGAGCCTTCCACGTTTGAGCGTATTGAGAAGGCACTACAACCAAAGGCACCGCCAAAGTGTTCAAGATGTCATCAGCAAGGCCACATGATGACCTCTAAAGCATGCCCCCTACGTTACAAGCATCTATTGCAGGCTCCTACCCAAACCTCTACGATACTGGCTCCTACTCAAGCCTCTACAACAACGCATACAATAACACATACAACAGCTCGCTCTGTAACCCGCTCACTATCCCCATCATCCTCATCAGGATCCTCTATAGTATCCGAGATTGTAGCCTATACAACAACACATACAACAACACATACAACAACTCGTGTACTATCTCCTCCAGCAGCCAGACCAGGAACTGTTCCTGCAGCAAATGCGATAGCAGTGCCCGCATTGCGAGCTGATGATCCCCGTGCCATCTTCCAACGATATAAAGAAGCACGAGAGGCCTGGTTTACTACATTGCCTCGGGGAGCCTATAAGACTAATCAACAATACCGTAGGGCTATGGGGCTGCCTCTACGTTATAGTAAAGTAGAGTATGACTGGTGCCTTGACTATAAGCAAATGGGGAGTCATTGCAAGGTGGGAAACGGCACTAGAGACTGGACTAAAGAGGAGATGATGAGTTATCTTGATTGGGATAGAGCTGAGAACGATCGGGTTGAACAGAACGTAGAGATAGAGATGGCAGAGCAGCCTTTCTCACGGCGGCGAGGTATGCAAGATATCTGGGATGCAGCCGAGAGAGATATTATGTTGCAAGAGAGTATATTTCAAGGGAGATAGCCTAGAGGTATGATCCCACGGTATTAACATTTGTAATACTAAGGGCATATGCAATTATAATATATTATTAGAAAGAGAAAGGAAAGGCAAATCTTCGAGTATAAGTGCGGTGATCTAATGGCTTAATTTAATAGAGTTATAATTGAGCTCATATATAGGGCTAAATGTTAATATATCTAACACACTCTACCCTCCCAATCATAGCAATTAATAAATAAGACTTACAAATCCTTCACGATGACTTCCGCTTTATCAATAATATGGTCCTCAACAAGGGAGTTAAGCAAGGCGGGGATAGCTTCCGCAGCGGCTATGGTGTTGTAATGAGGCATTGTACGTTCTTTATAGCCCTAAGATAGAGCAATGCGTTGCAGATAGATAATATAATATACATTAAACAGCTAAGCTTACAATGAACCATTATATTACTTCAATTCTATAAATAACAGCTATTTTCGTAGATAAAAGATGAATACACTTACCCACATATGTACACTCACCTATGCCTCTTACATGACGGATATTATTCGCACGACCGGTGGTGCGAAGGTCACGTGATCTTAGGTGCACCATCGGTCGTGCAGGTATGGCTTCCCTCCTTATGAAGTTAGCTTATTAATAGGATACAAAATAAGGCTGAGCCTTAAGCCCTTTACCCCGCAAACTCATCAACTTAGCTTCCTTCACTCTACTCCGTACGGATACCGATAACGTCGCATTATTCACTATAATCAACCTAACCTAAATTATACTGCTAGTTCGATCGGTCTTTGCTATGGACGCCGATATTCATTTCTGCTCCCCATGCTCACTCATTGACTTCACTGCCCTGTTCAAACAAGAGATAAAGTGCTTCCACATAGGCACACTCGCAGCCATTGCCCAAAGAAAGAGCTGTTCTTTCTGCCGCTTTGTGGTACAAGTCATCGAGATCGTCTGGGCCAAGTGGAAAGATGAGATTTGGGAGCCCTCTTTGTCAGCGAGCATCAACGTCTGGGTAAAGACAACTCTCTGGGCTCACTATGGCGAGAGTTCACAAGAAAATGGCCTCAACTGGAGAACCCCGCATTTCCGACACCGGCCGTCACTAGGAACGGACTGGGAGCCAGACAAGCGCCAGAGAAGCTCTTATGGCTCTCCTCGATACACTCTATGTGAACTGGACAGGGTTCGAGGCTCCGGAGGCTTCAAATATTTTACAAACCATCTTGGCGAAGATATTGAGCAGATCCTAAGCCGGCGTAGAATTCCCCCAATGGTTGACCGGGACCTACTGAAGTCTTGGATACAAGAATGCCAAACAACCCACGCGCAATGCATGGCCGCTGGAGAAACCCAGCAGGCGCTGCTAAGGTCTACAGGGAGATTTCGGGTCATTGATGTCGAGACCAACTACCTCGTTGTTCCGTCGCAAGACATCAGTTACACCGCACTTTCATATGTCTGGGGTGGTATTCTGCACACCAAAACCGACAGCGAGCGTGTTCAGTGGGTTGAGAGCCTCTTCGAACCTGCGCCCTCAATGGAGTTGACCAACCTGGCGAGTCATGGGCCAGATTACCGGCTTCGAGTCGAGAACCTACCGACTGCCATACAAGAGTCGATTAAATTAACGAGTCTAATGGGATGGAGATATATATGGATTGACCTGTTGTGCATCAAGCAAAATAACACAACTGACAAGGAGGTACTGGTCAAGAAAATGCACCTTATCTATGAAGAGGCTTCGTTCACGATTGTTGCTGCAGGTGGCCACGATGCAAATACACCTCTCGCGGGGTTGTTCAGTTCTCGGCATCCAGAGCCCGTTGGTGAAATTATCTACAGAAACGAATCCATTCTCATGGCCCCTGCAAGGCCCAAGTTGCCAGACCTTTTGGCCGAGACAGTATGGGCGACTCGCGGTTGGACGTTTCAAGAAGATGTGCTCTCGCGATGCTGCCTGTATTTCACCGCCACCGAGGTGTTTTACTCTTGCAGGGATCATCTACAGCAATATCGCTTGCCCCGTTCAGATCGCTACGAGGGTTTCGATATTGGGAGATACAACGAATGGAGAGAGAGCTACGTTCTGGAAACAAGACTCTTGAAGACCGCTTATCAAGATACTTCTCCTTGGAATGATGGGTGGAGTAGAAAGGGAAGTTCATCATCCTGTTTGCGTTCGAGGGCCAGTATTCTCGATCCGAAGGGCACCACAGGAATAAGCACACTAGATACGCGCATAGCTGACATGAAGGTCACCCATGAGATCCGCTCGAGAGAAGCAGAATGTTCCTTCGACTTCCAGGTCCAGCACATACCGACAAATGAACGCAATCAACTATTTGAGGATTATGCCAAGTTTGTGGCCGATTATAGCAAGAGACATCTATCAAATCCCGGTGATGTTGTGGAAGCCATGATGGGAATTCTAAACAAATTCAACATGACGTCCAAGACCGCTGCTAATATCGATGCTCATGGAATGCTCAGCGGCCAATTGGAGAAAGATCTTCTTTGGGTTGCTCTGAAAGAAACTTCTCTACGGCGGCGTGAAGGATTTCCTAGCTGGTCTTGGGCTGGCTGGGTCGGCCCAGTTGTGTACGAGATTACGCATGGAAATGTCTTTCGACTTAGGTGGATGTTTCAGCCACGTAAGTTGATAAGTTTTCTTTTTCCTTTCCTTGTTTTTTAAAAAAAGGATTATTAGAAAGAAAAGATATAGATATAGAACTGACCAGACTTCAATATTAAGCGAGGCCTTATATCAAGAAGGGAGTATTGACCATGGAATCTTTATTCGACATATACATTAGCACGGAACACTCTCTCATCGCCACTCTGAAGAAGTCAAGATTGGTCAATGCACCGGAAATTTATCCTCCCGTTAACCTGCTAAGCCAATTCAGAAGCCCTGGTATACTGAATATGTACACATACATCGCACAAGTCTCTAGCCTTACTCACGAGACTTCCTCGGTTGTTCGACAGGATGCAACTACAATGAATGTCCCAATGTTGCTTGTGAGACTCGGTAGAAAGGACGAACCAATTGCTGTCATCCCGGATTCCGGATTCATAGCAACTCCGGCAGCAGATTGTAGGAAATACAGCCTGGCGATAATCGGCAAGGGAGAGAGGCAGGAACAGGCGGACGAAATAGTCCAAGGATGCATTTACGATTTGTTTACCGAGTATGTTGTTCTTTTGCTTGAGAAGCGTGGAGAGTACTTCGAGAGGGTTGGATTGGCATTGGCCCCGGCTGAGAAAAACACAGCTGAGGAGAGAAAAGTCGAGGCTAGAAGACGATCAATGGTTGGCCGCATCGGTTCTCGCTTCCCGCGGATTGACAATGCCGAGCTGATAGACCCTCCATCTACTTGGAGTCTACGATGGATATCTCTAGCTTAACGAAAGTCAAGATATACAGTGTCCAATTATTGATATATTGGGTTTTATAATACCTACAGACATTAAATGAGTTCTCTCCTTGTCTCAACATTTCAGCGTAGCTTTTACAGATCTTAGGAGTTATAGTACTACTACATAAGCCCTTGTTGATCTTCCCCAAAATAGTAATGTTAAAGGTATTATCAGAATCGAATTAAACATAATGTCTCTGAGCCTGATCTTTCCTACTTGCGGTATCCAAGTTCAAGAGCTTTTTCGTCTATCTGCAAATTTCACCCATTAAGCTTTCGCCCGAGCATAACCTCTGGGTCTGTTCTTGCTTCTCTTGGGGCCGCCCAGACCCCGAGCAGCAGCTGCTGATATCTTTATGTGGTGAAAATGAAATTTCAGTCAAAATCCTTAGCTACGAGTTGTCGTGGTGGGACCATCTGTCTCAGTCTCAGTCGCAGGATCGGCGACTTCAGTTGCAGGAGCATCGACATCGAGCGCAGCTGCAGAGGCACCAGTCTCACTCGAAAGAGCATCATTCTGGGCCTGAGCTTCAGGCGCATCAACTTCAGTCGCCGCCTTCTTCGGTTCCTCAGGATCACCCTTGCTTACCCAGACCGCCTCCCTCTTCTCCAAAAACGCAGCAATACCCTCCTTAGCATCCTCACTCTTCGCATGCAACGCCATAACCCTAGCCGCCCAGTGAGAAGCCTGCTCGTATCCATCACTATGCGTTGTTCCAAGTCCAAACTGCGTCCAGTACGCCCATTTTCCTATAGCCTGTTGCTGAGGCGACATTGAAGCCAACCGTTCGACAACAGCTGCTACACGTTTCTCAAGAGCCTCCTCGGGGTCTTCATCTGGTAGAACTTTGACGACGTCGACTGCGCCTGGGTAATCTGATGCTTTGATTGGTTCTGCCGTCGCGAGGAGTCGATATGTCGCTCCTGGGGGAAAACGTCGTGAAATTGCTGTTGAAGGACTGGTGCATGGCAATCCAATCTTTGCTCCTGGGAGAGAAAACTGGGTATCTGGTAGAGCGATAGGAAAGTCGGTGCTCATGGCAAGTTGAAATCCAGCGGCTGTTGCAAGCCCTTGAATTGGACAAACAACCGGCACAGGGCTCCTCCGAATGGACATCATGACCTCGCTACAAAGTTGAAACAGAGTCTTTACATCATCCCGACTCATCCGCGACAGTTCTTTCAGATCGTGGCCCGATGAGAATACAGGCCCTTCGCTTCTGAGGACCAGAACATCAGGTAGACCGGCACGTTCTTTCTTCCATTCAGATGCGCTGACGAGCCAGCCCCAACGGTCCCATACCGTGGAGGTTGGATTTTTGGAGGCTTTTTCGAGTTGGTCGAGATATATGGACTTGAATCTGGGGAGCTGACGGGTTCGGGAGGTAGCTCGTGACGTGAGGGCGCTGTCGATCTGGGATTTGAGATCTTGGAGCACAGGGATGCTGAGGGCGTTGCGCTTGGTGGGGTTTGAGAGACGGATGTAGGCGACTCTTGGGGGAAGCTTTGGGAAGGGCATTTTGGTCAAGCTTGTGAGATTGGTGTGATGTGATGTGATGTGATGGGACGGGATGGGTTTGTGTATTGAGATGATGAATTTGGTGGTTGATAATATGACTGAGCATAACCCCGCATTTCCGGCTGGTTGTCATCTCAACCTCGGCCAAAAGGCAACCACAACTTCATGAGACGATTTAATAAGTAACGAAATGCAGCAATAAACAAGATAAAAATAAATAGAAAAAACTCAAAATGACCCTTCTCTCTATTCCTCGTTACTCACTTTACTCTCCTCCTCATACCTCGGATTTCCTCGCCCTCTCCTCTCCATAATCGCCCTCGTCTCTCCCCTCGTCCCCTCCGTAACCTTCATCCCCATAACCCTCTCATAAAACGGAACACTCTTGTCCCAATCGCCTGTAGCAAGCATGCTCTTTCTCAAATACCGCATTGACTCGGTAACTTCATTTACACATTCCATAAGCCATGTGCCTAGTCCTTCGCTGCGATAGGCGGGGGAGACCCAGACGTCAGTTATGTACATGACTGTTGTGAAGTCTGTAATGCACCGAGCTATGCCGATGAACTTTGGGCCGGAGGACTTCTTTTTGGTAGAGTTGCCGGGAGATTGGGGCGGTGATTCTTGATCTGTGTCGTAGAGACCGAAGCAAAGACCATTGTCGAGCATTTCGCGCGTGGCATCTTCTGGGAGAGGTTTTGCCCAGTAGAATTCGTCGGAGGTAAAGACTTCGATGACTTTATCGACTGGGATCAATGAGGGGTCAGTTGAGATGAGAAACTTATCTTGTCTCCATGACTTTTGTCGTAGTTGAGAAGCTGATGTGGCCATGCTGCGAATTTCAAACAAAGTTAATGATGTTTACTTTAGGTTGAGAGTTTTAGCGGCCTGGCGTGACTTTCCTGGACCCGCCTGCCATATCCGTCTGTACTAACTCATTTCAACTAAGCAGAATGCGGCACAAGACAAGTCCAACTGACATCTCGGAATACTCGTGTAGTGTAATCAATTAGGTCGACAACAATCCCAATCCTATAGACTCTACTGCAGTGGGAGAGTCGAGAGCCGAGAGTATTAGATCTGTGAGAATACCCTCGGTATGCGAGAAGTCGCTCAAGTTGCAAAGACTCGCATTGAACACTCCATATTCGCCGCTGAGCGAAGGAGATATAATCATTGATTCTCTGATGCGATGATATGCGAGAATAGAAATTGAGGATCGTCTTTGGCTTTGAGGAAATTGAGACAATGAAAAGTCTTGAATAACATTGTTGAAGTCATTAGCCTGACTAAGCCCACCAAGGATCAAATTGCGCCATCGTTATCAAGATTGAGCAAGCAGTTGATCAACATCGGAAAACATCTTCCCCTCTATAGAGTGGCATCTCATGCGGAGAAGTTAATCACGACATCGTTATCTCCATTGATATGTCAGCATATGAAATGTCGCGCATATATAGGTTTGGCTATCCTTGATACCGTCCTCAGCTCTGTTAAATTACCATCAAAGCTACGTACTTCATCAAGATAGAACAAGATGCCTTCTGCTATCTCAGATATTCCCCAGTACTCCTACGTCCCAGAGACAAAGGAAGATCTCGACTGGGCAGACTGTACCTCCCCTCATCCCCTCTTCCCCATATGTATCTAACTCTCCCAGTGGCAAACATCGACCTCTCAAAATACGGCACTCCCCAAGGCAACGCAGAGCTCGCCCAAACTCTCATCGAAGCAATCCGCACTAAAGGTTTCTTCTATGTAACCAAGTTTGACATCCCTCAATCTGCGATCGACAGACAGTTCGCTCTTGGTAATGCCTTTTATAATCTTCCCATCGAAGAAAAGCTCAAGTATGTTCCTGATCTTGATGCGGGAGAGTATAATGGGTACAGGCCTGGTGGAAGAAGGATTCTATCGGGTGGTGTGAAGGAGAAGACCGAGGTTTGGAATATGGCTAGTAAGTTGATCTGAAGATTCGATGAATTTGCGGAACTGACTCGTTGTAGCGGATAATGGAAAGATCACACAGCCTGTTCCTAAGTTGTTAAAGGATCATATCGATGAGATCACCTCCTTTGCAAAGGCAAGTTCTACCAACAATCTTTCTCACTATTCTACTCAATGTGTTGGCTTTCTATATCTAGCTGAGATTCTATAAGAGTTAACCATCAATCAATCATCAGAGCTCTACTGACAGTGGGCACAGGACCTACACGAAAAAGTCCTCGACCCCCTCTACCATCTCACAGCCCTCGCCCTCCAAATCCCAGAAGACCATCTCGTCAACCTGCATAAATGGGGGACTCACAATGAATCTCATCTTCGCTATATGAAATACGGAAAGTTCAGCCCCGAAGAGATCGAAAAACTCGAAGATGGCCTTTGGTCTCGCGGTCACACCGATCTTGGTTCATACACCCTTCTCTTCCGCCAGCCTGTGGCTGGTCTTCAGATCAAGGATCACAAAACTGGTGATTGGAAGTGGGCTAAGCCTCTTGATGGAAGTTTAACTGTTAATGCATGCGATGCGTTGAGCTTTCTTACTGGCGGTTATGTTCAGTCCACCATCCATCGCGTACGTCAAACCGTTCTCCCTCTTTGCTACACTCTAACGTATTTAGGTATCTGTCCCTCCTAAAGATCAGCGTGACGTAGACCGTCTTGGTCTTTTGTACTTCTCTCGCGCTGAGAACGATCTTGTCCTGAAGACTATTGACTCGCCTGTGCTGAAGCAAGAGGGCTTCACGCAGAATGAGTTTGAGAGGGGAAATCATCGAGTTCCGACTATGGGAGAGTTTACGACTTTAAAACAAACGTGGCAGCAGTCCCAGAAGAGGGGAATCACTTATGATGAGCTGGAGGGACAGCAGATTCTGCCTGGTTTCCATGGACGAAGTTTCAAGTAGTTGATTTCACTCCAGGGTAGGCCATAGGGTTTCGACATGAGTCTCGATTGTAAATAGCACATTTAGCTCATCATCCGTTTGATTTTCACATCACCATCAATGAATGGATTATTCTGATCTTGAGGTTTACTAAAATCCGAATTGGCATTTTTCAACGTCTGCGAATTTTGTTATCCGCACATGTCGACAACCCGTAGACATATCCATCAGAACCTGTTGACTTGGCCCACTTCGCAACATCAACATCCCTCATCCCATTACTCGACACGGTCTCCACCACAACACTCGTCTCCGGCGAAATAATCTGCGACACAGAATGCCACGCATTTCCCAGCATAGAACTCTTCGTCGAAGCCATAAACATAATGACCGTTATTAACGTCAGAGCCAAGTGTAGGATAACGCCCGATAAAACAACAATCAAACCCGTCCATTGACTCGGAATAAGAACCTGTTTAACGTTGATTGTAGCCACAGACTGCTGTTGAGTGAAATATGGTAGAATGTCGTGGAAGATCATCTGGTAGAAACGAAAGAACAGCTCCTGGACCGCTCGCGCTGGATCATCCGTCTCTTGAAGAACACTCTGAAAAAGATGTGAATGTTCCGGATGCGCAGGCCAATTCGCTACTGTATCAAACCATCCTCCCAGAGCATCGTTGTTGAAGGTCCATCCGCCGGATATACTGTAATCGAAGAGACTGAAATGAACCATACTGTAGACAAAGTCATCCCACTCATCTACACCTGTATCCGCCAAAGATGCTGGCCCTGAGAGTACCTTGAGATCGAGAATGCCTCGTGCTTCAGGATCAGAGGGTGATACGCCTACTCCAAGCTGTTTGAGAAATTCTGTTCCGTTCTTGCCCTGTAGCGTCCTCCACTTTGCTATAGACGTGGGCTCAGATGATATTGCTCTTCCCCTCATCGTGACATTGTATAGAAGTGGTGTGTTCTGAGTCAGGAAGCAGACGCTCGCTTGAAAGAGTTGAGTGCCGTTCTCGCTCGTTGCAGTCGTCCATGGACCGTCTCTCTTTGACTTTGTCATTTGCATGTCCTCAGGAACCGTCACGTTGAGCCATGTTCTTGTATCCTCGTCATACATCGGGTGAAGCTTGTTCAGGATATCGCTGGCGTTTAGAAGAAGTACGGGATGAAAGCTGTAAGGATGGCGAGAAAGGGGGTTCTTGAAACTTTTGTTAGTAGGTGCCAGTTCTTTCGCGTTGAAGCTGCAGAATGACAGTGGCCAGGATGTTGAATTCGCTTGGTCCCATTCGTTGTTGATACGGCACGATAGTGTCGCTGAGTGAGTACCGTTGATGCTAGGTCCTGATTCCCAACCAGTCGAGCTGTTGAATTCCGCTTGGAGATACAGGCCTTCTGTAGCGTTACTTCCAGTGTATACATACTGCAATGTCGCATTGCTGAAAGTTGGTGCGACACATGCTGTTCTCGTGTTGCTTACAATAGTAGGTCCAGAGTAATACTCAAGCGAAGTTCTGTCGTCAACCTTCTCCATCGGTATCATGGCTCGATAAACATCTCCAGTGTCTGCAACATCCTTGGGTACAAGTGTTTGGCTCGAGGGACGAGTCTCTGCAAATCTCCAGTGTGCCAGTGGTTTGGACTGCCAGTAAGATATACCAGAGAACACGGCTGTGTCCTTGCTGATATCGAACCCAACAGATATCGACTTTGAGATCTTTGGTGCAGCGATTGGAAGTGTCTCGAAGTCGAAAAGCAAGATCGTCGAAGTGAAAGTCATGACGAGACTGAGGATGAAAATTAAGAGCAAGATAATACAGTGGGCGAAGGTTTTCTTGTTGCCTTTTGTGATGAGGAAAATCTCCCATGGGCTTGCACCTGAGCCAAACGCTCTAGAGACAGACAATCTCGCTAGATCGGAGAGTCGACTTCCGGTCGTTTCAAGAACAATAGCTGCCATTGAAGCAGCAGCTAGACCGATCTGAAAAGCCATCGATACTCGAATTGCGGCGGAACAGAGAGTTACAACTTGAGTTGCATAGTTATCAAAGACGATTCTGTCCCATTCTTTGCCTCGAGGTTGTCTGTTACGAGCTTTTTCGGCGCCTTGCCAGAGATAGGCTAGAAGAGCGCATGAAGCGAGAATAACGACTGTGCCGACAAGAATTATGGTCATTCCCATTTTTCCAAGTCTTCTTCGTAGAGGTTGACGCTGGACAGATCGTTCAATGAAACCTGCTGGGGCATTTTGATGCATGAGGTGCTGGCTGGCTTCGAACTCGATATTTGTCGGAGTTAGCGTGGGTTTGCCGTTGTTGAAGTAACCGTAGCTAGACGGATCATTGGGGTTTGAAGCTGAATGATACGTTGACGATCCATCTGGTCCCATTTCGTAGACCCCTTGGTGGACTTGACTATACTGAGCCATTGCAACTATCTTCAAATTCAGTTCCGACGGAGATAAGAGGTGAAATCGACAGGGAAATGCATGCATCAGGGGTTGGGACCAGGATATTAACCTGGCTGCTTGCAAGGGCAAACTCAAAGGCATGCCTGAGGCTGAATCGACCAGTCTAGCTAACGCCATTTCTTATTTTAAGCTTAATCTTGTATTGCAGCCAAGCTTCACGTTCCCCGATACAGTCTCCGATCTTTTCAGCTCGATCAGCCATTTCTTGGCTCTGGACAGAATTAGGAAGATGGCTAATCCGATTGGGCTATGTCGCGCGTGACCTTGATTGATTTGGTGGTCTGGATCTGTGCTTTGGGGACGATCTCCGTCGCTTACCGGAGGGTTGGACGCCACTGAGGCGAATGTTTCAGCACCGGATATTTTGTTGGTAATGCAACAATTATGCTTGGGTAGCTCTTATGAGGCAAGGGAATTGTGAAGCCTGCGATTTGCATCTTGTGATAATCAGATGGTTATGATACAAATATCCTGGTGTGAATCATAGTTGATGCAATCATCAACTGCCACAGTAGAACCATTGGGATGTATGTCGGGACAAACCGGTGACTGTTATGAAGATTGGGACATAAACATTGGAAAGCGTATGCTTCGATCATGGATATCTGACTTATAAACTGTTGTCCTGTCACGAAATAAGTTTTTCTTGGTTCACCAAAGGTTCCATCGCGATGCAGTCATATAAAAGACGTTTCTTACATCAGTGGAGATAGGGGCATCACTAAAGGTTACAGCAGGCCCCGCTGAAACATCACCTCAAATATAGAGTCCGCTATTAGGCCCATTGAATTGGCCAAGAGCAGAAAACAGGCGGTGAAATGCAAGCCAGGCTACTTTATCACCGGGCAAAAGTGAATAATGACCATCCCTGGGTCTCCTCATATTACTTGTGTGATGTTGAATTTTTTTGGAATTTCCTTTTTCTTCTTTTCTCAATTTGGCCCAGCTGGGGTGCTTGTCCTATGCAGTCCAAGTTGGACCCGACCGAGGAGATCCTTTCTGGCACAGATCTCACATGTCGGAATTTCATTGAGCTTTCAAACGATATGCCTACTACCAAGGACCCGATAACTACCAAGACTTTACATTATTACATTTGAGAAGAAAGATAGTCATCATTTCTCTGATTCGCAAGTTTTCAGGTCAGGTCCCAAACTTTCCTACATCTACATGTCATTTTCCATGTGTTGAGGGGCTGTATTTCGACCACTGCGTAAGCGGTGTCAGTTCACGATGCAAGTTTTTCAAGTGGCTGGCTGAGCATGAGCGGGTGAGTTCTGGACCGGTCTGTTTATTTGAGCTGACTCTTGTTGGTTGCTGTTGGTCCTGTGTTGGTTGTTGGTTGCGATATTGAGCTCTGATTGGTAACTATTGGCGGTGGCTTTCATGCTCCCCTTTTCAATCCGCTCTCGTCCGATCAAACTCCCTATTAACTGCATGATTTTCCCCGACAAATCGAGATTTGTTCCTATTGCTCCATAAGCGATGCACCAGCGAGATCCTGGCTTTGATCCAGAGCTCGCACGCTTTAGGTTGTTGAGTCCTTGAAAAGCTCCACTGGTGAAAAATTGGCCCGGTATCCTCTGACATTAATACGACAGCTGAACTTACAGTAATCAACACTAGATTGATTCTTATAATAATGGCTAGGCAGTTATTAGAGCTGGAGTAGTTGATAATTGATTGATAGTTAAACCTTGTGGTATCTCAATGAGATAAAATAATCGCCTTTTTTTTCATCGACGCATTCAATATAGAGAAAGGGATGGTTAACATGATGACATTCATTCAGCCGGTGAAAATGAGCTCAGCGTTGCAATGAGCCATGGAAGTCCATCTAGAAGATGATGTTGTAGGTGGCTGTCAATATTACATAGGCCGAATCTAGACGGTTGAAAGAATACAGTGCAAAATGTGACCGAAACACCGTGCTTTCAACCGGCAGCATTTGAAGAGATTCCGACTTAAAAAGTCGTGCATACTGCAGCGACTCCATTTTCAACCAAGCTGGATGACATTCGTTGATTGCCGCGAGGTGCGGGATGGATGAATTTCAAATCTGCTGCTGAAGCAGACATTTGAAGTAAAGTTCACACCCAGCATGGTGGACTCTGCTAAACAGAGGTGTTTTCCTAAGCGCAAGTATACGCCCCAGCCCCCCTGGCATCCCCAAAACAGCCCTACAAGTCCGCTGTAACATGATCAACGATGATCAACAGGGGGTCCGAATCCACCAGTCGCACTAATGCAGGTTCCCCATCCACCACGCCAACGACACATGACATTGTCAATACTATTGCCAACAGTTCAAAACACCATCGAATTCTCAGCCGGGCTATTCAGAAAACATGGAAGCCACCAACACATAAGCTTAATATAGTTGCGGATCAAATTTCCGAGAGGCCTGCCGTTCGGAAATATCGTCGGGTTGTGAAGAATCTCGACCAAGGCTGATGGATGGATATAAGGAGGTTTCTCTCCGTGTCTGCTTGGGGCTTGAGTCAATCTTGATCGCGATTTCACTCGCTTTTTCGCGTAGTCGCTCGTTTTTCACATTCTTTTGCAATGCTTTTTCGCAAGCTGTTTTTGGCCGCGGCTGCGGTTGCTACAGTCTACGCTGGGCCATGTAAGCCTGTGAGTTCCAGAGCATCTGTTTCTTCGTCCGCCGACATCAGCATTCCTTCTTCAACTCGTTCGGTTGAAGTGTTAAATACTGTCACTTCTGGGTCTTCTGATACCGAGGGAGCCACTTCATCTGTGACTATTGGCTCCGAGACAGTCACGTCTGGGGGTTTCACCACTTTCGCTACTCAACTGTCCAACACTGGATCTACTTCTGAAGATGTTTCCACTTCGGCCGCTGGTGTGTCTGGTTCTCAAAGCAGTGATTTGTTGGTATCAAGCAGTGGGATAGAGACTTTTGGCTCTTCGGCTGATACTGCTGTCACTGACACCGCGACCTCCGAGGCTATCGCGACTGGTACTACCGACATGGATCCAACGACCGAGCCTACTGCCTCGCTTACTGCCGATGCTACCACTGATACTGTTACAACTGGTGCTACCACGACTGAGCTAACGAGGGAGGCTAAGTTCTGTGTGGTGATTATAAGCTCTCGGCCACAGGTCTCAACTGCAAATAACACATCTTAACGAGGGAGGCCACGAGTGACCTTGCCACTCAGTCATTGACTGAGAAAGTCACTGATCCTACTACCAAAGCCGCTGATAAGCCTACGACTAAACCTACGACTAAACCTACCGGTCGTACTACGACTAACGCTACTACAACTAATGCTCCCATGACTCTTCCAACAACTGACGACACAACCGGGCTTGTCACGGAACCAATAGCTAATGGTACTACCGAGCCTACCAGTGATGCTACTACTGACCCTTCGACGACTCAGTACAGCACCACCCAAGGTACGACTACTGAGGCTACAAATGCTATGCCAACTACTACCTCTGAGTTCTGCTATGACAATGCCGAAGTATCTCGATGTTGGCATTTGGCCCAGCTGTATCCCCCTTCTGTGTCAGCTACCTGTCCATGACCACGCATACCATGTAAGTTCCCTACCTCAGCAAACCTTGATCTCTCGCCCATGACGTCCCATGCAGAACCGAATATGCGACACTCGATCCCACAAACGTGTACGCTCTTACGCACATTGAGACTGACTACGATGGTGTGACTGCAATCGTGACAGAGTTCAAGACCAATACTGAGGTAGATTAACTTGGTTTTACTTCAACTACACATACTGACCATTGCGATAGTGGTCGGAGGCTCCTGTTACTTAAACACGATCGATCGAAACAATCACTTGCCTCGATACCGCTTACTCCTACACCGCCCCAGTTCCTACGCTCGACTCAGGCAGTGCAAATCGGGAGAAGCGTGGCCAGGATGAGATTGAGATCCCTGAGGCGATACCCTCTGACTGGACTGGGGCTCAAACCTCTGGCATATGCTCCTGTCTTGATCTTGAAACGCCTACGACCCATACAACAATCACTCAGACGGTTGAACCTACGACTTTCATAACAGCTTCTACAGATGTTGTTACACCCATTGAAGAATAGTAAGTCTCTTGACCTTATTTGATGAAGCCAATGCTGAGAATAAGTAGCACCAAGATTATCACGACTACATCAGTCAGTGTCTTTACTTCAACCGTCACTGAGAAGAAGACCTCGACTGTCACAGCCTGGGTTGTCGAAACCACATTTGCTGATAACAATGACATTGCTTATCGTCGCTACACAAGCAATTACAACGCCAACGTCTACGACGATGGCTTCACCACCAATTACTTCAAGACCAAGAACCCATTGTCGTCAGGCTACATGCAGTCTCTCCAATTCAGCACCTGTAACACTCTCACCATCCCCGGCAGTGGAACTTTCGATGCTTCCCAAGCAGCCCTCGTCTTCAATGCATACTTCTACGCCAAAGAGACAGGAATGTATACTTTCTCTGTCCCTGATACGATTGACAACTGGGGTTATCTTTGGGTTCGTGATGCAGCATATTCTTGGAATGTTGATGCTTGGGCGATTCAGGGGACGCGAACGGGGCAGAATTCTCAGTTGTGGAAGGGGGGGTCTTATCAGATTCGGTTGAATAAGGGCGATGCTATTCCGTTTACGTATCTTTGGGCGAATGGAGGTGGTTGTGCTGGGAATGATTTGAGTGTGAGGACGCCTAGTGGGAAGTCTATTCCTGGTATGGCAGGGTCGACTGTCAAGGCTTGCCATGTTAGCAAGTTTACTTAAGTTTGGTGGTTTCAGTTCTTCATCTGTGTATTAGTTCTAACTTGTTTACTTTTGTTCCCCCTCTCAACAGATTTTTATCATAAGTTCCATATTAACTTCTATGTATGTAGAGAAGTTCAAATGCAAATCAACTGTTAAATGCAAGGTCAGCGACAGTGGAGTTGAACACCAACCAAGCAGCCTGCCAGAAGGCCACTAACTGGGTTTAAAATTAAATTCTACGCGTGTAACTAAAAAGAGTCATTACTTGGATTTCTTAAATATGGAATCTAACTGCTAGAGACCTGGGCTTAGAAAGTAACAAATTCCTCTTCGCTATTCACATTATAAACTATACTGGATACTGACCTCGGATGATTGAGGTCATAGCAACAGCGCCAAAAGCAGAACAGGCTCGACTTCAAGGCTTGCCATGTTAACGAGTATACCGATAAGTCTCTTTAATTCCAATTATACCATTTTATCTATAGCTCGCCCAACTGAACCATTAAAATCAATTTGACTGTTACTATCTCTGCATAATCCAAGTCCTAATGCTTCCAAAGCTTGAAAGCCTGGTTCGCACCACCGTGGCCGTCGTTCCAGGTCAAAAAGGCCGTGCCATTAGCAGTACTGCCACCTGACAGGTCAAGGTACGTGTTATCTTTGGCGTTGCGGAATCTCAATCTCTCGTCAGCTTATGCTTCATACGTAAGATGTCGAGTCACTTACCGGACTTGAGTGTTGTCGTTGATGTTGTCAACTGTTGCGCCTTGGAGATCCCATTGGGCTGCAAGGTCCGAGACATCGTGGTTTCTCTCGCATTGAACAGTTTTTCCGTGTCCTGTCAGAATCGTAAGCAAATTGCGAGGTGTATTGGATCTCATGTACTCACCGACAGAGAAGAGAACAAAGCTGTTGCCGGCGTTCTTGATGACGACGCGGGTGTTGGACCCAGGGACTGAGAAGATCTCCCAGATCTGGTTGGAGTTCCACCTATACGATCCATCGGAACTAACAGAGGTTAGATAACATCATGGTTTGTTGGTGAGGGGTACTTACATGGCATGCACAGGGGGGTTCTGGCCACCTGCGCCGTTGAGGTCCAAGAAGGCATTCTTGTTGCTGCTGGAGCTCTCACTTCGAATGTTACACTTGAAACGGAGCTTAGATTCAGGAGTAATATGGCCCTCATGCATGTGAGTCCTCAACTCCTTTGCCTTGTCCTTCAATTCCGTCTCCAGATTGTCAAAGGCACGTGTCTTCTCCGTGATGGTGTTGTTGAGCTTGGTCATTTCATCGGTCTGCTCGCGAATTGTCTTGCTCCTGGCCTTAGCAAGCGCATCGAGATCCTTGATATCTTCTTGGGCCTGTTCGAGCTGGCACTGGAGATCGTTCTTGGCCTTCTCCAGTTGCTTGATTGTCTCGTCCTTCTGCTTGTTCTCACCTCGGAGTCTATCACCCTCTCTCTTCTCGATTTCGAGTTGTGCTTCAAGGGTGGCGATGCGAGCGGTGAGCTCAATGATCTTAGCGGCCTCAGCCTTGAGACGAGCTTCGGCAGCTATGAGATCAGTAGTCGTCTTGTCAAGCTTCTTCTGCACCTCAGCCTTGGAAGCTCGTTCATAGTCGAGCTGAGAGACTAGTCGCTCAATGGTCTTATGGTCCTCGTCATCATGCTTCTTGCTGTTCGCGAGGTCTTCATCCCTCTCCTTGAGATCAGCTGCATGAGCGGCTTGAGCGTCGGCGAGCCTCTTGGTCAAATCAGCGGTCTTGGCCTTTTCGACGGTGAGATCATCGATGAGCTTCTTGATCTCCTTCCTGAACTCGCTGTTCTCGGTGTTGGTGGCGTTGAGCTGCTCGCCCTGAGCATGGAAATCGGCGTCCAGTGCTTTGAATCGCTGTGGTCATTAACTAACGTCATGGTAAGTCAATCGTGGTTACTTACATCCTCAGCATACTTGGCAAGGTAGCCGGCCTGATCGGCAAAGGCGATGGTATGTCTCAGAGTCTCAATGAGGGTCTTGGGGAAAGGAAGGGGTCCAAGGATGCGAGGGAGAGATGGCTGAGGCTGGGGAAGACGGATTTCGACCTCGGTCTTCTCGGGAGGAGAGAACTCCGGGGGGTTCCAGTCACTAAATGGTGGTTAGTATTGGAGTGAGCATATGACCTCAGACTTACTGGGAGTGGCGATCAATCAGCGCGGAGAGGTTATACTCTCCAAGATCCTGGTTGGCTTCAGGTCCCTTCATGTGGACAGCAAGCTTCTCCGTCTTCTCATCCCAAGTACACACAATATCGTAGTACGAGCGATAAGAGAACTTGACACCTTTTCCAACATCAGGCAGCATCTTCTGAGGCTCAGCGCGGAAGGATGGGGACTTTTCAGTGCCACTGTCATCATGAGTCCACTGCCAAAGCGAAAGAACAGGCTTTCCATCACCGAATCCCTCGGGGACGATGAAAATACTCATCTCATCGCTCGCATACTTGGACCAAGAAATCTTACCAGTCCAGATCCTTGCAGCTCCAGTGGCCTGCTCGCCCTTGGACTGCCAGATACGTTTGAACGACATTTTGCTCTTGTCGCCAGCGGGGTTCGACATGACAACGTCGAGTTTGCCTTAGATGTCGCGAGAGGTGACCTCCCAGCTGTAGTAGGAAGCCTTGGCAATGACGGTGTCATCACCGCTGGGAGTCTTGGAGACCTTCTCGATGGCAGATTTCTGAAAGAAGTTGGCCTTCTTGGTGCCCTGAGCGTCTTTGGTCCATTGGGAAAAGAGATAGGCGGTGTCACCGACGCGAACTGGACCGTCGGGCAGGATTATAACGAAGGTCTCGTTATCGCCGTATGGCTTCCAGTCGAGACGTCCTTCGTAGACGAACATTTTGATGAGTGAAGAAGGCAAGATTGTTAAATAGAGACAGAAAGGATTACTGATGGAGTTGAAGAGTTGTTGCTGATGAGGATGTTGGAATCTGCAAGAGGCAGAGCAGCAATATATAGTCAAACCTCGAACTTTGTCTTCACGCAAAATGTTCAGTGAAGTCTCGAATTGAGTTAAGAACTCCATGATTTCCATAATTCGACCCATATGCGTTCCCTCTGGAATTCACTTCAATAATTGTCTGCATGTCTTTGCCTATCACCAGCTGAGATGTTCTGTGGCTACCTGAACATGAGAAACACGATAACTCCAAACTGAGAGTCTTGACCATTAAATGGAGTCCAACTACCATCACCCCCAAGCACATTTCGAGCATGCATGTTCTGTGATATTAAGCGCCTTGCCGCTATTCAGGGATGATTGAATCGTGACTAATACTTAAAGGAGAGTCCCCTCCGGAACATGGCTCACGAGTATCGTACCATCGGAATTTCAGCCGATGCGCCTCAAAACCTGTGGCGGCGACTCGGCATTCATATAATTCGCCTCGGAACGGTACATAGAAACGCTTTGATGATATAGATGGATCTGGGCCACGCATGTCGCTCCGGGCCGATCCCTGGGGTACTGAAGATGGAAATCTCGTGGGGAAGTGGAGAGCTGATGGTTCTATCTCGGGCTGACTGAGCTGAGACGTGCAGGAGGAATGTAACTAGCGTGTTAGCTATCGAATATGTGGTTAGCGCCCTGGCTTGCGGGGAGACTGTATTCGTATCTGAACAAGGATAGTATCGTTTCTGGCCATTGTTGATACACTGAGTAGATTCGGCACTTGATATTGTAATCCAAGCTGCATGACTTAGTCCTGTGATATCGAAATGTTCCTGAGAGGAAACGGTTTGTGTTAGAGGTGGGGAAAATAGAGACCAGGTTCTTAGTATTATAATAAACTTAAATACCCTACACAAAGCAGCAATAACTGCATAACTACGAACTGCTTGATAACAAATTAACAATACATTAGTTATATTTCAAGCTTCAAAACCTGTATCACTTTGTAAGTGCTTGTTCTTATATAGGTCAAGATCTCTTCTATCCTGTTAAAGTAGCTTACATGTCGTTGTGAGCGAAGTGTAATTCAAACTCCTGCTTTAATAAGGAGGATCTCTGATATTCCAAGAAGCTGTCAAGTTGAAAGGCTCTTTTAAAATCAGGTCTAGTGTCTACCTATTAGTCCGTATTGCAAGATGCCGTTAATATTCTGGTACCGCAGAGTAATAACATAAAAAAAACAATCTATTCGACCTAAACGCCATTTTGTCTATCCTATCAAACCCAAGTCTATCCCAGTACCAAACAAAAGAAAACATCTCCCACTTTATCAAGCAGCCTGAGCAACAACATACCCAACCCTCTCTTGAACTTCTACCTTCCCCTCCCTCTCATGCCTCTCCCTCTCCTTGACCTCCGCCATCCTATTCAAAAAGCTCAAGTACGTCTGCCACCCCACCGCCACAACACCATGGAACAAAGGCCTCCAGCCTATTGACAGAAACGAAAAGCTAAACGCCGTGACCATGGGCCATAATTTGCAGGAATTGATGATACTGGTTGGTACCGTGTCTTTGACGCGCTCGATTGTCCCGGGGATGTCGCAGCCGGATAGGAGGGCTTGGGCGCCGAAGAAATATGTGTTGAAGATTGGGGTGAAGACCGTTTGGCCGACAGTTACTTTTGTGGCGAGGGAGAGGAGACGGGAGGAATAGTTGAAGTTGTGGGAGAGGAACATGAACCTGTCACTGTTAGCCCAGTCCCAATATCAATCTCACTCAACTTCATCCTCAGACCCAGGCTCTCACTCATCCTCACAAACACATAAAGAAAGAAGAGAGACTCACCACTTATAATTCGGTATAGCAGCAACACATCCAATAACCGCATTCCTCAGCGTCCTAACAGGATCATATTCATTGCCACTAACATACTGCGCACTCAAATCACCAGCAATATAAATAACTACCGCAGTAGCGACTTGTGTTTTATACGGACTCTTATTCTGTGCACGCGCATATGCTTGAACGGCTGTTGTTAAAGGACCGAGGCGCTGCCACAGAGGAAGGGGGGCGACGGTGGCAGGGACGGGGATGGGGTCTTTTTTAGGGGGCGAGGTTTGGAAACGCCGTTGGAGGTGGCGGAGGGGATGTTTGAATGCTGGGCGGAGGATGAGTATTGTCATTATGAGGATGTGTATCGGAGTACGAATGGGAGTATGGGTGTTATTACGTGTAGGTGTAAGTGAGAGAGTATGGGGTTGGAAGGGGATGCGAGATTATTGAGATGAGATTGGATCTTGATAAGCGGTTTCGAACGGCCGAACTCGGACGGTAATTCCGAATGGAAAAAAAAAATTATGAGTGATTGATTAGATTGGTTGGTGTGGAGATCGGTATTCATCGGCTATCGTATCGGTACTTACTCAGAAAGGCAAGTCATCACGACCATCTAACATCACTATCAACCTCACTCTCAATATGAATATGAATTAAATAATAATATGCTAACAAAGAAAAATGCAATGAATGTCCATCCAAACTTCTCTTCCCATGTCATGTTTAGAAGAACTCCTCCTCCTCCTCATCCAACAATCCCATCCCACTATCCCTTCCCCTCAACCTCTTACTCACCCTTCTCATACCCCCCTGCTTCTGCACAACCTCTGACTCTTTTCTCGGCGTCAAAAACTCCTGACTCATCTTCACAACCCTCTCCAGCTCCTCCTTCATCGCATCAATAACCTCCTTCGCCTTGACCCTCTCCTCATCAACCTCCCTCCTCAACCCACCGTTCTCAACCCGTAATCCACAGATTTTATCATGTGCTGCTCGTAGAGATTCATTCAGCTTGTCAATCTCACTTCGGTATTTTGTAACGCTGGCGTCGCGCGCTGCGAGTGCTGAGCCGTGCTTTTTGTTGAGTTCGGAGATGGTGTTGGTGCTGGTGGTTTGGAGGCTGAGGATTTGGGCTTGGAGATCGGAGGAGCGGGTGAGCGCGGATGAGAGTTTGCTTTCGAGGTTGGCGATGGTGTCTTCTTTGCGGGTGAGGATTTTGTGCTTGACTCCTAGTTGCACTGCATACTCGTCGTTGGCATCGTGGGCTTCACGCTCCATTCGTTGAACGAGATCTTCCAGTTCTGAAATGTCGCGGATATATCCATCAACAGCACCCTTGAGCCTCTGGTTCGCCACCTCAAGCTCCCTTATCCTCGCAATCTTATCACTGATCAGTTTCTCAGCTTTCCCCATCTCTGCTTTCAGCCCATCCATGACAGTAACTCTTGCATCGAGTTGTTTTCGTAGAGAGAGCTCGATCTCGTGATACTCATCTATGGCATCCTCATCTTCTTTTGCGCGCTTCGCCATGTCGCGTAAGCGTGTGAGCATGAGATCTAGGACTTCTGCACCGTGGGAAGATAGGGGAAGGGTGATTTCGCCAGGGGTTAGGTACTCGAGTTCTAAGCGGGCGGCGCGGAAGTTGGTGATGAGGGTTGTTATCATTTCGCTGGCGTCGGAGCCGGTGAAGCCGAGTTTTGTGATGGACGTTGTGAGGGTTTGGAGAGCGCATGTTCTGTCGGACATTGTTTGGAGCATGGCGTCAATCTGTGCCTCAAGACCCGACTGATCCCTGGGTGTGAAGTCCGACAACTTGTCGGTAAGGCGTCCGCTGAGAGTTTTGTAAGACTCAAGAGTGTCTGTCAACTTTGTAACCTCCAACTGAAGCGACGACACCTCCTCCTCTAATTGCAGCTGCTTCGGATCCGGCAAACAAGCCTGAACACCAACCATAGCCGTCATCTCAACCGGCTCCTCAAAAATGGGTGTCCCAGGTACAGTAGGACTCGTAGCAGGCGGCGTCATGAACGAAGTACGCGCCCGCGAAGGCGTACTACAAATGAACTGCGCCATAGTCTCATCCCCAAACTGATCCTCATCAGGCGTCATGTCCATGAAATCCTGCGAGATCTTCTCCCTCGCTGCAAGAGTCCAGTTATACCCTCTACTCTGGTCCATAGCGCGACCTGATCTCTTGGACAATTCATCTTGAAGATCTTGGATCTGCTTCTCAAGATCCCAAATACGATCTGTGTCGATAACAATTGTCGCATTCTGCAATTCGTAGATCTCACGGTCGCGTGCTTTTAGTTCACTTTTCAACTTTTCAACTTCTTCTTTGGCTTCTTGATTCCGGCGGCGTTTTTCTTGTTGGATGGTGTTCATCTCCTCGCTGAGACCATTGCGACGGATTCTTCGCTGGACGCGACCATCGAGGACTTGGCGGAGGGGGAGAAAAGTTACTTCGCCGCTTTCAGGAAGTGCGGGACTTGAGCGGATTGTGCTTGGGGTGGTTTGGATAGGTAGGGATGAGTGACGGCGCCGTTTGGGTGTTGCGACGGTGAAGCGATTGACCATGGGGGTTAAGCCGGATGAAGCGCCTGGGTCGGAGAAACGGACTCGTCGGGAGGAGCGTTTGGGGGTTTTGGAGGGCATTGGGGAGGAGGGGATTTCAGGGTCGGGTTTGATGCTGCTGCGGCGGGAGCGTCTTATTGCGATGGGGAGGTTTATGTCTTCCATGATGAAATGATGTCAATTTAGTTGATGTCAAACAATTGAGATCACCAACAGTACTCATGTATTAAGAAAGACCACCACAAAGATCACCAAAAACAGGTTCGATAAAATGAACAAAAGATAATTGATGTCCAAAACAAAACAGCGAAACAATCGCATTTAAAAACATAGCTCCCATAACAAACAGGCCCCAGGCCATCTTTTACACCACCTCCAGGCATAATGTTTACCTTTTCCCTTTTACAGTCTAGCGTGTATACTCGGAAGAAATGAGAACCAATTGTTTTTGCTACATGCAGGGTCTCGCAAAACGGCCACTGGAGAATTGTATGGGGCCGTGAATTTGGGCCATGTTTTTGGTGGGAGAGGTCGTGTTTTTGGGCCTGAGAATTCACGGTGCTTGTTTGTTTGGGGGTCCACTATGGATTTCCGGGGGGGATTGAAGGGGCAACGGGGTGATGATGATGTTGATCTGTTGATGTTGTGAGACGATAATGCATTGTTTTGTTGTATTGAAGAGTATTGCATGTTGGATAATTGCAATTGTTGAAGATGATTCATTGCATCATCCTCAAGTTCAATCGTTGTGATGGTGTCCTAAGATACGGGATGACCCGCCAGCCCCGGTCGATCTGACAGCCAAGATATCCATCACATCACAGTGACAGGGCAATTGAAGCCATTCCCAAACTTCGATTACCATCCATCACAATGTCCCCGCTGGGCGCTTACCCAGATTCTCGGATCCCAAACCTCCCTATACTAATTGGTCACATTTAATATGCTCCCATAAGGCTATCGCACTCTTAACAATAACTTTCAAGCATGCCTTGCGCTGTCTATGCTACACAAACCATTCCCATCCAAATTCTCGTGATACTCAATCATGGTGTTGTCCTCCAACCAATCTTACCGAGCTGACTAATCCCCTTCCATTCCTCACCGACCACCAACGCGTCCTTCACCTTATTCCACTAACTTTAGCATCCTCCCACTGACTGACTCACTTGCTTTCATCGCCATCTCAAACAAAATGCCCACTCCCTCAAAACATGTCAAATTTGTCGCTTCAGATCCTTCGCGCGGCGGTCTCCCCGTGAAACGTAAACAGGTTCAACACGCATGCGCTTCATGTCGCAAGAAAAAGGTGAGCATAAACACCCATAGAATTGAGGGAGAGTGGGGGGCTGATTGAATAGAGACGCTGCGTTCATGCTGAAGATGCGGTCGATGAGACGTCGCCTCCGGTGGAAGAAGATGAGACATCCCGGTCAACGTGAGTGGGCCTCAATACCACCGCTCTGGTTCAATCCTCCGAGGGTGTTCTCAATTGACACGATTAGATCAATACCGCTGCAAACACAACGAACTGCTCTTCCAGACTCATCGCATCAATCTCTACCATCGCTCCAATATGGAAATGGAAGTCCAGCTCCAACACCAAGGCGCGAATCAGGCAGCACGCCAAACCAATCATCCCGCTTCGTAGGCGATCTTAACCCAGAGGGCATGTTCATGGAAGCTACAGGCTCAGCCTCCGTCCGCGAGACTTCGCAGAAAGGCGACGTGGGAATATGGCTTTCCTCAACGAATAATCCTGGACAAGCAAGTCAATTTATCACGTCGAGACCGCCGCCGATAATGGATCAGTTTTTACTACCGTTTGTTAAGGAGCATTGTTTGTCGTGTCTTCCGCCTGAAGCAGATTATCTCAAGTTGAGAGCGCTATATCTTGAGAAAATTCATCCCATCATGCCGATTATACCGGAGAATGCGTTGGAGGGTGATGAGCCGGCGAGTGTGGTGTTGAGACAGCTTGTTTGCCTCGGTGCATCTACGGATCCGAGCATGGCGCGGTATCTGCATTTACAAAACAAAGGCGACCATCTTCTTCCATGTCAAGACTTCATGCAATCCCTCTCCTCCGCCGTCCGCGCAATCCTCGAAACCAGCATCATTACCGACAGAGTTCTTCACATCCGCGCCCTCATCCTCCTATCCCTCTACACCCAACCCAGCTCCTCCGAAGAAGCAGATCTCCCCGCCCAACTCGGCGGCCGCGCCATTCACCACATCCAAACGTTGGGTCTTCACCTACTTAGATACGACGCGCCGAATTGCGAAGAGCTGGAAACGCTGTTTTGTGCGGTTTGGGCGGTTGATAGGATTAACGCGGCGGTGTATGGGAGGCCGTGTCTCATGCATGAACGGGATATCGGCGCGAATCTGGATGGGTGTATTAGGAAGAGACCGCCGTGCTTTAGGTTGTTCTTGAGCGTGGTGCAGTGGTTGGATCAGGTTATTGAGCTGTATAGGCCGGGACCGAGTGCTGAGGCGAGTGGGTTGGATAAGATTGCGTATATTGATCTTCCGGTTCTTGAGGCTATGATCGTCAATGCTGATGCGCTCAAAGTGCCGGGTTCACTAATTGGTAAGTCACCTTTCAATGAAGTACGTGGCTAATGGTTACAGCAACGATTGAAACATTTTATCACGCTGTTATTATTCTATCCTGTCGTCTTCCGAGACCGGGTACACTTACAGCTGCGTCTACGCTCCCTCCACCATCCGCCAACGCCCGTCGCTCCCTCGCAGCAGAGCGAATCGCCTGTGCAGTTCTGCGCGATCATCTAAGTCCAATGCCCTTCGTTCCCTACGCAGTATGTCTCGCACTAAGCGTAGAGTACCGAAAGATGCGCCACTCTCGCCTCCCCATGTTTCGCTCCCGCGCAATGCACGCATTTCGTCGCAACTGCGAAATGCTCAGAAAATTCGGTGATTACTTCTGGAGCGCTAACGTGGTGGCGGGGTTGGGGGAGAGGGTGCTGAAGGAGATGGAACGTGCTGCTAATACGCTTACACGGGACTCGCCACCTCCTGAAGGGACGCCGAGTTCTGTACCGCTGATGAATTCAGTGGCTGTGACGAATCCGAGCATGGTTAACGCTGTGCCGAGCGTGGAACAAGCCGTGGACTTTTCACTGATCGATGCGATCTCTGGTGCGGATGTCTTTGGGGCTATTGATCCGAGTTTTAACCTGGGGGCTGTCGAGGATGCGCTTGAGGCGAATTTGGATATTGGCCTGCCGATGAATTGGGTTGATTGGGGGCAGTATGCTACGTTGTCGTGAGACAGCTCATCCATCGTCAGCTGCAGTTCTGGCGATTGGTGGTGATCTTTGATGACTGGTAGGTGATTTGGCGTTGAAGGTGTTGTACGCCAGACGATGACCACCTGGGTGAGATGACAGAGGCTCACGGTCAGCGACGAATACTTGGGGGTATAAAACTGGCTTTGCTGCTGTATGGGAATGCATTCTGCTCTCAAACATCAGTCGCCATGTGGAAAACGTCATCGAAAGATACCAGCAATGAGATCGTCGCTCTTCTCGACGATGAAGACGAGACTACCAGCACACATACTGAGCGCCCTACGCCACGACTTGGCCGATTGAGACGTCGCAAGATGAGCTTGGAGAAATGGGGACAATTATCGGCGTTAATTGGGAAGGATATGAACATGGTGGCGTGTTGTTTGCCGTGTAAGCTGTAACATGGGCACGGCTTTTGCAATAATAGACGATTCAGCAATGAGTGAAAAGACATGGGAGCGGCAAATAGTATGATTGGCAGCCCGCAGGCGCAGTAATGTACAGTAAAGCGGCCGTTCATATTTCCAGGCAAGGACTCTTGCTAACGACGCGAATAGACAGGGTCCATTGACCAGAGAATCGGGAAATCTTTCGTGTCGTCTCGGTCGCAGATGGTCGTGCTGGGGTGGGTGGATTGGCATGGGGATCAGATAGAACGCCATCTGTTTGTATCAACGGAGCGACTTAATCGTCCTCAATAAATGCTGTCCATCTCCATCTTGACCAAACCAAGAAGAACCCACGACATGCGTATGAGTATAGCATTCGAGGTTCGTATCGTAGAGACAAGTCGTCGGGTAATCGATGGTTCCATTGTCGCTTATCCTACATATCCTTCAATCCAACTCTTATGCCTCCCGCCATCGCATCCAATCGTCGTTCATCGCGCAGAGTAACCGGGTATCATAAATCATTAATCCATGTCTTCTTCACTTCACTTCAAATCCGTCGGCTTCCCTCTAAACTGATTCTTCAACTCATCAAGAAAATGCTTTGCAAACTGTGAATTCCTACTCGACGAGTTCGGATCGGCGGTCGCTTCGCCGGGTGCTAGTGGCTCGTGCGGATTTCGCCCGTGTTGCTTCTCGTGGATGGTTTTGTGGATGCGGGTTACTGCGCGGTGGAAACCTGGTTGGCGGAGGATCTGAGTCGTGATTGTTAGTTATTGAAGGTATGGGGTGGAGGTTGGGGGAGGTGTACGGATGCGACGATGTGGTCCTGTGGATTGTCAGTAGAGGTAGAAGAGAAGGTGGGAGGAACGGACTTCGAAGGATTGGATTGCGCGGAGGAGCCACCAGTGTGCAGCCATTTTGGTGATGCTTAATTGAAGATGCTGAATTGAAGATGGAGATGGAGATGTTGGAGTGGCGGCGTTAGTGGCACGGGAAATGGAGGGGCGAACAAGGATGACAAATGGATCTTGTCTTGTCTTACAGCTACAGCTACAGCTACAGCTACCCTGAACTTGACATGAACCAATCATACTCATAAACACTCAAGAGCTTGAGAGCTTCAATTAAGAACTTAGAATAACTCAACAAAACTATCCTAAGTTTATTACAAGCTTCTCCTAAAGTCATATAAAGCTTTTTGTCACTTATGAGCAAAGCCAGAAGCTCCCTTCATTCCCGAGACTATTGGTATAATTAACGTCAAATCACTTTTATTTATCCACCAGCTCATTAGGCATCTAGTGATTTAGAGGTACTGGTTCATGAAAGCACCGATATAATCCTGCTTGCCCAACTCAACGCCCTCCTTTCTCAAAATCGCATACGCAGTAGTCAAATGGAAGAAGACGTTAGGAATTGCATATCCCTGCACATAATCCCTAACCTTCATATCCGCACTCTTTCCCGGTCCAAGACCAATAGTAACAACCTCAGCACCACGCTTCTCAACAAGCTCTCGGTCAGCTTTCTCAACGACCTCGAGAACCTGCGCGATGCGAGCGTGGAATTGGGGGAATGTGGTGCACTCGTCGCGGGAGAGGGTTAGGGGCTCTGTGCCGGTCGTGCGGGCGACGATCTTTTGCGCTGTGTCGGTGGTGAAGAATACTTGGAAGCTTAGGTCCAGCATGTCAGGGGCTAGTTTGGCGGTGGGGAAGGAGGAGGCGTTGGCGTGGGATTCGGCTTTTTTGAGGATTGATGACAAGGAGTTGAGGGCTTCCTTGGTGTGGAGGATGGCGGCGTCGTAGAGTGTGTAGCTCATGATGGGCAGTGAGTGACCTGAATGGTAAAGCTTAAAGATGAGGTAGTGTGAATTGGGTATAGTAGTTATTGCGTGATGAAGCTGTCTGTCCGAAGAATCCGAAGGCGATATCTATGGGTATATATATCTCTTCCTCTCCCCGTTTCATGAGACCTCAACTTTCTCCACTGTCTTCACCGCTTGCTTTACTAATGGACCTTCAGATCGACCGGATGAAGACTCTAGATGCTTCCTCGATTAGTAATGGATCCATTGAGAACCATTAGGGACCATTGAGGACCATTTGAGACCATTGCGGAGACTGACGGTAACGCTAAACGTCTCCGGATCATCGGTGTCCGACATCCGTGCGGGATTGGGATACAGCTTCGTTGGATGTGCATTGAACAAGTGTTCTTGACGGTCGAATATCGCACGATTCATGAAACGTCGGCTTACAAACCAGCTTTGATTACAAACTACCTGATCCTGACAACGAGTGACCGAGGGAACCAAAGAATTGCCGGCAAGCATGGTTACAGCAGAAATGACCGTGACGGACGAAATAACCGACAAGAAATGATGATTGCTCCCTGAAAACTGGATGGCCATTCAATTAGAAACCAAGAATCCGATTCGCCTTCTCCACAACCTCATTCTCCCCCTCCGTCTTCAGCGCTTCCAGGCCCATCGCCCGACGAGCCGCTCCGTCCAGCATCTTCTCCGTGCCCCGCCCCACATGCTCCGACTCCCCCGCACCGCCTGGAAAATCCGGTCCCGGTGTCCCACGGAGAAAAGCGTCGCGCTGTCGGACCATGTACTCTGCGTTTTGAGCGGTGATTGGACAGATGGGGATGTACAAGACGGAAGAGTCTGATGTGCCGGCGTGGACTTTGTCGACCGAGTGTATTGCTGTATTGGTCAGTATTGATTGAGGTGAGACGGGGGTCATGGGACTTACTGTCGCAGTGCCATGCTACGAAATCTCCAGGTCTAATCTCAGGAACGTGAACCATGGTCCTCTCAAGCTCCAAATGCGGATGCAGCTCGCCCGTCAACTCCTGTCCCGTCCCCGGCGTCGCACCCTGCAACTCACTATCCATCTCCCTCATCAACTCCCAATTTCCCTCCTCCAAATACCCCTCCCCCAACTTCTCATTCTTTGCTTTAAAAAATGGTCTGAGGAGCACATACGCCATGGATAGCTTCACCAGTGGATTAACCAACAACGTCCCCTCCCCAGGCCTAGTATGGCTCATACTCATCCACCCCTGCCACATTCTAAACATCGAACATGCACCCAGTCCATCGTAGCGATTATTCACAGCATCGACCCTCCCGCTAGCGTCCCAGGGATCGTAGGAATCCCAGTCTCCTTGTAGGATGGAGTCGTACACCCCACCTGCGCCGTACCCTTCTGGTTCCCAGCGCTCTACGCTTCCGCCGTCGATGTGAGGACCGAGAGCGAAGGAGGCGTCGCCGGGTTGGCGGATGCGCAGACGGTCGGCGTAACTGAAGGGTTGGGAGAGGGAGATGGAGGTGGGAGAGGTGGTGTGCCAGAGGGACATTAGGTTGTGTTGGACGGTTAGGAAGTTTGGGTGCGAGCGGGCTTTTAGTTGGGGGGGAGACCAGTATAGTTCGTAGACTTGAGGATCGTGAGGTGGAAATGCTGATATTGTTAGTGTAAGTGAATGGCAGAGGGGCAGGGTAGGGGTAGATACCTCGTGTAGACGGGTTCTTAGCAACGTACTCCTCCACCTCAGCCTTATACGCCCTCGCTTCACCCTCCGGAATAACACCCCTAACAACAACAACACCTCTCTTTTTAACCTCTTCCCTCAGCCCATGACTACTCTTCTCAAAATCCTTAAAGTCAATCTGGGGAATAACACCCGGTCCTTTCTTCGCAACAATCTCATTCTCCCGCTTAAGTTCACGAAGGAGTTTGTTCCAAGATTGCACAATTTTATCTTGACGACCCTGGAGAAGATTAAGTTTAAGCTGACGGTATCGATCGGGTAAAGGCTCGCGCTGGGCCCCGGACAGTGAAGTGAATGCATCCGAGATGTCGCCTTCTTTTTTGGAGGCTAGGGATGTCATGCAGCGGTGGAGGCCAAGGGTGCAGGGCTTGGCGAGGGGTGCGCGGAGCATTTTGACGACAATTTAATGTGAAAGTACTACCAGAAATTCGATGGGAATGATGAGAAGAAGACAATAGGAATGATGAGGAGATGGTGGTAAGATTGAGGATTGTTTTATTGCAGAATCAAGATAATGGTGTTGGATCTTATATCGAATTGAGGAGAAGGCGGTCTTGCTCCATTTGGACATTCCGCATCGAAATCGTCCCCAGGTTCGGGGAATAAAGAACCTTGCTCACTGTGTCTCCAGGTGGGGTCAACCACAGAAGATTGCAGTCTTCAGCAAGCAAAACATCAAAGGTGCTATCCTTAGGGAGAAGACCGTAATTCACAAGCCTGAATAAACAATCACTAAAGGTGGCCAGAAAGCCCTCCTGCGTTATCTTGATGTACAAGTATTCCTGGCGGTACTCAAAGCACTAGAACCCCACTATCATCACCAAGGCCAACCAGTATTCACCAAGCTCAATTAACATCACTGACACCATCACCAATGATCGTGATACCCAAATATATTCCCCAACACCAACATAAAAGAATACCTGTACTTAATTGTACAATCATACAGTTGTGCACATCAACACCTAGCTCCATCTATGCTAATAATTAAAACCCCATCCTTCCCTTCCCTACTGTACTGTACCCTCATTCCCCCAACTCCACGCTTTTTAATCCAGGTCCCCCAAAGCCCTCTTCATCCTCTCCTTCAAATCCCTATTCTCCATCTCCAGCCCCCCCAGCCTCTGCCTTGCAGCATGTCTATCCTGATTCCTCCCCTCCCTCTCCATCTTGAGCTTGTATTCCATATCCCGCAATCTAAACAACCACCTATTATCATTCGCAGCGCCAGAATTCTCTTCACTCAGCGCAGCCATGTCGCGTAACCCTAATCCTCCGGCTGAAGATCCTGGTAATGCAGTGGTCGTGTGTGCGCGCGTGACGGTTGAGCGCGACTTTGATCGGCTTGTGCGTTGGTCGTTGGGGCCGCGTGGTATGGAGGGTGATGGGGAGTGAGGAACTAACTCAGTGCTGGAGTATGATGCGCGAGCGCGTACGTCGTTTGCGGTGCGGAGGGTGGCGTTTTCGACTTTTAGTTGGCGGTATGCTTCTTCGAGGCGAGAGAAACGTCCGTCGTGGCTTAGAGATCCTGAAGCGACCGAGTTTCTAACCATGGTTTCAAGACGGTCCAGTTTCTTGGTGCGCACTTCGAGGTTGGACTCGAGGGTTTGGTACTCCCGGTGGAGATCGCGTTCGACGGATTTAATGCGCACTTCGAAGGAGCCGATCATGTTCTCGATGGCTTTGACGGCGGCCATGAGGTTCTTGGTGAAGCTGGGGAGGCGGTTGGCGATAACTTCGGTTGAAGGGAGGACTTGACGATCGATGAGAGAGTTGCCGTGGACCCATTCTCTTCCACATAATTTACTGAGCTTATGCCATAGCTGGAGGAGTAGTTCATTGCGCTCTTGTAGTTGATCGCGCATCGACTGTTCAAGCTGTGCGATCCTCCTGCGATCCTGACTCTTGTTCGTCTCGAGCTCAGCGATGCGAACATCTTGACTACTGGCAGTACGGGTAAGGTGCTGATGCGACTTCTGAAATGTGTCGTACTGCGATTTCGTGTTGCGGTGGGCAATGCGCTCCTTGTCGAGTAATTCGGCAAGTTTGCGACTCTCAAGGGCATGCGACTCGAGTAGCGAATCGCGCATCTTGATGATACGATCCTTCTCCACAAGCGCGGCCTTGCTGGCATCGAGATCGCGGATCGTATTCTCAAGCTCCCGCTGTAACTTGGCGATTGACTGAAACCGTTAGCGTACATCCACCACAAATGTGAGACAACTTACCTTGAGCAGCGAAGAGCGGGTACCGTTGAGGTCACCGAGAGCTTCACGAAGGTTATTCTCAAGCTCCATTAACCTCTCCTTCCACTCTGTCGCTTCAACCTCCCTCGACGTCAAGTTCTTACGCAGACGACGAGCCTCATCCTTGGCTGCCGAAGCTTCCCGATTGAGCTCGTTGACAAACTGCTGAACCTCCTCCTTCTCTTGGTCCGCCACGATTTCTCGCTGGTGTCGCTCTTGTTGGAGACGGTTCTCCAGTTCCTTGACTCGCTCCTTTTCTTCGCGGATGCTTTGCTCGGCACTGGCCATCGCAGCCTCGAGATCTCCGATGCGTATCTTGTCGGTCTCTTGCTCTTCGCGTAAGAAGGCAATTTCTCCCTGTGAAGACTCTTGCTGTACCGAAAGTCGCTGGTTCTTGTCATTCGCCTCCATGAGCTTCTGCTCCAGCTCTTCAAGCTCCTTGTTCGATGAATCCAATTCCTGCTCGAGCTGTTGGATCCGTCGCAATTTATTCTCCTGCTCGTCTTCAAGTCGTATCAAGGCTTCGCTCATCTTGCGCATCTCTTCCTGCAAGGCGTCAAAGTTTTCTGAGCGGTCCTGTAGATCTGCTTGTACTCGTTGCATCTCCTCTGCTTGTTGATCGGCCTCTGATTCCAACGCATCAATCTCCTCTTGAGCCTCCTTCCGTAGTGCTTCAAATTCACTCTCCATCTCGTTCTGTTCACGGAGAGCTTCGTCGCGTTCGGATTGTAGAGCAACAAGATCGTTCATGGCGTTGTTGAGATCCTCCTGTAGAGTCAGCGCTGCTTCTTCAGCCTGTCGCTTGTCGCCAATAGCAGTCTCAAAGTCCTCCATGCAAATCTCAAGCTCGCGCTGCAACTCTTGATTCTGCAGCTTGACCTCACTGAGCTTGTCGCGCATCTCGTTCATCTTGTTCTCGAGTTCTTCACGGTCGGCTTCCTCCTCAATCTGCGTCCGTGTCTTCATGCTACCCCGCGATTGGGGTCTCTCCATACCACCAACCTGTGAAGCCGATCGCTCGAGAAGACTGTCAATTGTTGAAGGGGCAGGCCGACCTCGTCGTTGAGCCATCTTGAGATCCTCAATCTCCTGGTAGAGGCGCTCCTTTTCGCGGTTCCTCGAAGTCAGCATGGATGTCTGCGCACCGACCTCACGTCTCAATTCGGCATTCTCATGGCGTAGCTGCTCACTCTCTCGACGCAGTTCATCAACGAGGGTGGTGGCAGCACTAAAATTGCCATTTGAGCTCTCCATGTCGCCTGAAAGGCCAGAGACAGGTCGACTTGGTGATACATTGCCGTCGCGATGTTTTTTGGTGATGTTGTAAATGTTTGTCGTGTGGTGTAAGCCTCCCCCGCTAGTCAGGCTAGACATGTCCTGCTTTAGCTTGAACACCTCCTCCCGTAGTCTCTTATTCTCGTCATCGGCTTGTTCTCTGCGCGCAGTCTCTTGTTCCAGAAGGTCCTTCCAAACATCGGCCTCTTCTTGTCGCTCCATGTTTTCGCTAGTTCGCTCGCCAAGAGATCTGACGATATCCGCAAACTTTCGTCTCTCATTCTCCTTGGTTAAACTTTCCGACCGTAGGCGCTCAATCTCAGTGGCATACTCCTCAACCCGCTCCCGTAAAAAGATGAGCTCTTCTTCTCGCTCTTCATCTCCCATTCGGGCCGTTTGGTCTGTCGATGATGCACCACTGTGCGCTGTGCTTGGTCGTTCTCCCTCATCTCGGACTTGCTTCTCCAATTCTTTGACCCGCCTCCGCAAAACCTTGTTGTCACGTTGGAGTACCGCAAGACCAGTCTTAAGGTCAACGTTTTCCGAGATCATCTCCTTGATACCCTCTTCCGACAGCTTGTCAAGGCGATCGCTCAAGAACATAACTTTGAGCTTGAGATCGAAGTTTTCCTTTGACAGCCTCTCAATCGTACTGCTCTGTTCTTTGAGCGTCAAGTTCTTCCCCGATCGGGCGGTATTGACGGAACCCATGGCGATTGAAGAATGTTTCCGAGGCGTTTCGAGTCCACCCTTGTACTTGTACTCCTTGGCCAAAGATTCGGGTACCTGGACGTTTCTAACATGCCGCGCGATGACCGTATCCGTAGGCGCTGTAGTGAACCCTTCCTTAGAGGGCTTCGGTGTCTCTAGCAAATCTTGTCGCGGTCGTTCGGGACTATCGACTTCGTGTAGCGGTTCGAGTTGCGGTAATGAAGTATCAGTGTAATCCTCAGCGCCAAATGCCGATCCAACACTACCCATGCTTCCTATGCTGATGGATCGTAGCATCGGGTTGCTGGGATTTCGTAGCATTCCAATTGCGGGGACTGCACCGCCAGACTGCAAAGCGTAATCGGTACCAAGACCAACGGTCATGTCGCTGCCTTCGTGAGATTCGGGGTTCGTAGCAAATGAAGATGTCGATGATCGCTGGCTCCCAAAACGGCTACGCAAATATTTTGGTCGTCGGCTTCGAAGCGATTGACCAGGGGTACTGCCCGCATCGACTTTTTCGGACAAGGAATGGGTTCTTGATAAAGGGGCCTCGTTATCGCCAGCGCTAGATACCTGTGAGCTCTCCTGTTCCGTATCCTCCTTTTCGCTCTCGTCGTAACTTGTGCTGCGATTGTCAGGCTGACTCGCCATGCTAACGGCGCGCGAAATGGTTCTTCGTGTTGCAGCTGCAGTCGGTGACGAAAAGTTCTCGAAGCCGGAAGTATTCGTGCTCGCGACAGTTACATCGTGATCTTCCTCTTGATGTTGCTGCAGAGGCTGAGGCGCAGGCTTTTTTGTCGGAGAGTCGAATTGGTACGTGTCGTCGACGCCGCCCTCCTGGTTCGTGGATGCAGTTGGAATGGGCGACAGGGCGGGCAAGAAGCTAGACTCCACGTCTTTCAGGTGGCGTCTAACGTCCTCCTCAGTCAAAGAATCGTCATGTCCTCTAGTGACATCGACGGAAATAGGGTCGAAGTAGCTGGTTTCAGGGGCCGAGAGACCAGGTAGATGCAGCATCGAGTCTTCGTGGCTTGTGGGGGGATTGCTGTTACTCTGGGGAATTGTCCGGGTCTGAGATTTTGCGTGCGTATCATCTACGGTTATCGCAATGTCGTGTGGAGATGTCGCTGTGGTTGGGTTTGTTGGTTGGGCTTGCGACGTGTCGGCGGCTGTATCGTCAGTCATCTCTGATGTCTCAGTGGCCTCGTTGTGGTCCAGATCATCGCTGTCAGTGTGCGAGACGCGATGGGCCGTCTGTGGGCGCGACCCGTCGTTGCCGCTTGGACTTGGGCTGGGAGCCTGAGCCTTTGGGCTCTGGCTGTTTTCTCGCTCATCGTTGGCCATGATGCATTGCGGCGACCGCTATGCGAGGCAGCTTTGCTGTGCTGGTGAGTTTTGATTGATGCAGATGCGAATGTGGATGGAGATTGTCGGGTATTGGATGGGGATGCTGAATGTTATGTCTGTCTGGGCATCGCCCGCCATAAGCTCTCACTAAAGAGAAAACCTGACTGCGCTAGAGTCCATCCCTTCAGGGCGCCGTTGATGGTGTATCGACTCAGCCAATCACAGTCTGTATCGTTCCCCCTGCGCTGGTTATTTAGCGGCGGTTGGAGGGGAAATAGCGGGGCTGATCCATGTGGTCGAATTGAAGCTTGGCTCGTTGCTTGGGACAACCATTGCCAACGCTTTATGCATCAGAGTCTAGAATTCAATGACAGTGATACTCGAATTCACAGTAAAGTCTCGTCATGGATATGGGGATACGAGGCGATTTACACTTTTGATTCAGCCTGAGACAGTAAACTTGCTTCTGATCGTTAGATCGCAGGTTGAAACAAGGGTTTGAGTTGGAGTAGAGAACTAGTTTCGTAAGCGAGTAAGCAATTCGTATCGAACTGAAACAATCCTTCAGATTCGTTTATTTTGTGGATTGATGATTCGCAGGAGTTTGATCTACGATACTCCATGTGGTTGTGATTCACGTCAACCTTGATGTCACTTTGGACCCATTGAATTGAAGTAATTATGTCATATTAATTCATGCTCACTATTTGAGCTTCCTTCATTAAACATTATCCCTCTAGTTAGAGATCTTAGGGTCGACCTTTTTGCTTGAAAATTGTCAGCCACAGTTTCAAGCTACAAGGACAAACGCCACTTACCCAGTTGACTTCTCGTACTGGCTGCGGGCAAAGTCGGTGGCCTTCTCCTGGTTGTCGCGGGAGATGTTGGTACCAACCTTCTTGTTAAGGAAATCGACACCTGAGAATGTCAGCGAATTGTCAAGGTCCATGAGGTGTTGAGGACATCATACCCTTATCGACGTAGTCCTGGCTGCCGCTGCCGCTGCCGCTCTTGGAGGCATCACCAGACTTGGAGCCACCAGACATAGCGTTCTTGATGAAATCCATTGTGAGTTGTGAAGTTTGTGTAAAAGGTGATATGAGTTGTAAGTGTGAGTGTTGATGAAGAACTCAGTCAAACAGCGGCATTCCGTCCTTCTTATACCCCTCAAGCTGTAGCTAATAATAGTGAACCATTTCCAACTTTGTTCAAGTCTCTCTACAGAATGGAGAAATAAAACCGGCAGATCCATTCGATCTCACCAAAGATGCCAACATGCACACCCCCTCTCTCGTCATCTCCCACTTTACAGGGGTTCTACCTACGTCACTGCAGACCCTGAGTTGACAAGACACTTTTAGTTCTCATGCTCACGGCACGGATTGCCGATACTAATTCTAATTCTGGTATATGACAATGGGCATTTCATCAAGCTTCTTGGTTGATTGTCGCGATGCTTTCCTGGTGAGGGGTAAACCTTGGTCGAGGCCTTGAGGTGAAGCTGAGCTAGTGACACCGCCGTGCAAAGGGAGCTGAAAAGATAACAAGAGGGCTAATAAGGATCAAGCAAAGCGTCGGGGGTCGCAGGGTCCAGAGCTTCTCTCAGTTAGCTTGAAGATTGAGGGAGCCAACATGTGATGATCCCTTGGAGGTCATTTGATGATGTGCATACTCTAGTACCAATTAATGTTCTCGTCAAAACTATTCCAATGTGAATGCCTGTAAATGCACCATGTTTCTGTTCAATCAACTCCATCCCATGCAAACAAATACGTTATAACAATCATGCAACTCCAGGCTTCATGCCATGCTTCGTAACTTCGTCATTAATCCAATTACCCCCCTCGTTGTATTTCCCTCATGGTCTGGTTATGAGTTGACAAAGACTTGGTACGCCATGATCATAACCCAGATGAAGAAAACAGTACCAGTAAGAGCCATCGCAAAGATAAGCTGCCATGATTGACCTGCACTAGTTAGCAATTGAACCTCAAATCGTGAGAAATAAACGTACAGATATTTCGTTGTTGAAGCCACGCCATGGTCGCCATGCTCGTACCCTTGGGATTCTTTCCAAAGACTTGTACATCGCACACGCTCTGAATAGATCCATCAGGTCCAAATAATTGTATCGCTACAACGACAAGTCCCACGAGCCAGAGTATAAAGAACATGAAGCCGCCGACCATTACGATGGCGGGGAGAAGGCGTCGTTGGGCGATGAGCCAGAAAATACCGAGGATGAACAAGATCGAGAGAGAACCGACGGTGATGAAGTAGGGAAAGTACCTAAGATGTTAGCCATGGCCGTACAAGTGATTGTTGAAGTGGAAGACGTACCATGGAATTCCAAGCTCAAGTTGAGTCTGGATCTGTATGAATGTCGCGAATACGCCAATGATACTCGTTGACGCGAGGAGGATAACAAAGATCCAGAAATTCAATTGGAGAGGAGGCCAGTTGTATGTTCGAACGTGTGTTGATGGCGGAGGTCCGTCGTAGGTCATTGATGATCGTGTGAAGCTCGTTCCAGTCCATCCTGTCGTGCCGGTCAAACCGGTGACTGTTGATTTGGCGACCATTCCGCTGTTTCGATTCTATCACAAGTTTGAAGAAAAAGCTCAACTGTTCGTCAAGATCGTCAAGATATAGTATAAGTCGTTGAATGTCCAAGAATCACGCGTCGCTTGCGTTCTTCTTTCGATGCCAAAAAGACTGCCACGTCGCAAAACAGCCCCGCCGATCGGCGACCAGTGAATCCAATGTTGCCTCAAGGAACCTCAATTCGAATCCTCGTGAAGATAGTTTGGATGCCTCAAAATGAAGCGCTGCGTTGATGCCTCACGCGTTAAATCTCTCGTCGAAGGATTCTCGGTGGTTTTGCGCGTCCCGTTGGATCGGGAATTTCAGGTGTGGAGATTTTGCTGCGTTGGCTGGGGATTTAGTCCAAGGTGACGTCGGGTCGAGATGCCAAGAGGTACCAATTGAGGCCTCTTATCAGGTATTAATCACACGATAGCGATTAATTTTTGGTGTTTCGATACTCATGAAGAGAAGAAGAGCAAAAGGAATTAAAAAAGAACAAAAGTCAACATGACAGGGGATGAAAAGTTCCCATCCAATTGAGGTCAAGTGTGAAATTACAACAAAGCGTTTTTTGGGTGAGGCTTCTGGCGGAGGGGGTTGGTTGGTGGCTGGGGATGCGACGCAACAGGGGATGATGACGCTGAGATGGCTTCTGAATGGATACACGTCAAAAGGAAGATCCGTTTTCCAGCCTTTGCGATGAATTCTTTACGATTAATCAGAAGATCGGAGAAATTATTTGTTATTGTTTTCAGTACTGAATGTGCCGGAACTGAACGGTAAGTTGGTGGTTGTTTCATGTGGTCCCGAGGAAAGAAAGACATTTTATTTCGAGAGTGATCTCGCAGCGCTTGTATGTAACTATGCATATGCACCGACCCAATTCCATTCATTCAACTCAAGGATATCATCATTCATCTCATCCACCTCATAAATTCACAGACTCCAATGTCATTCCCTATAGGAGGGTCTCTCCCAGAGCACACCGCACCAGCGAACATCCGGCGTGGATTGTGTTCTGCTCAGCTTGCTTACCATCTGCAAGCTGAGGGTTGACCTCAACGAGATCAATGGCGACTAGGTTACCTGTCTCGTGTACGCTCTCGCAGATAAAGTCTCCCTCGCGGAGGGTCAATCCGCCGCGGACGGGTGTACCGGTGCTGGGTGCCCACATGGGGTCGAGAGCATCGACGTCGAATGATAGATGGATGGGGGTGTCGTTTCCGATGTGAGCGAGGGCCATCTCGACAACGCGGCCGATACCATGTCTAAAAATATCAGTAAAAGTTGTGGATGTGAGAACGTGAGAAACATACCGGTCAACATCGTGCATGCTAAAAGCCTTGATGCCATGCTCACGGAGAATCTTCTTCTCTCCAACATCAACAGATCGAAGACCAATGTAAACCAGCTTCTTAACGCTCAAGCGCATATCATCCTCAAGCCAACCAAAGTACTCCTCGTTATCCTCCTTAGCAAGACCAGTCAAGAAAGCAACAGGCATGCCGTGAATGTTTCCGCTGTCACTGCTCTCAGGAGTGTTGATGTCCGCGTGCGCATCAACCCAGATAACAGCAATCTCACGGTTCAACCTCTCACGCGTAGCCTTGGCAGTACCAGCAATAGTACCGATCGCAATACTGTGATCACCACCGAGGGTGAGCGTCATGCGGCCCTCGCGGGAGTGCTCGTATGTGTGCGATGCGATCTTGCGGGTCACGGCAGAGGCGTGACGGGGCTTCTTCATGCCGCGGTAGTCAGGGTCAGAGGAGGGGATGAGGTCCTCGAATTGCTGGACGGATTGGTCGCCGAAGAGCTTGTAGCCGAGCTCGTCGCGGATCTCGGTCAGGAGGCCGGACTCGATGAGGGCAGCAGGACCGATGTCGACGCCGGCTTTGGGCTGGCCGCCGGAGAAACCGACGGCGACGACGCCGACTTCATCGGGCTTGGAGAGGAAGCGGCTGTTGACGAGACCGGTGTTCATGATGGGCGGAATGTGGGGGGTGACGTAGAGGCGTGATAAGATAAGAAGAAGTGAAATGAAGTGAAGATAGAGATAAGTTAGAGAAGAGATTGAGTTAAAGATAGAGAGAGGAGAAAAGCCAGAAAGAGAAGGGAAGACGCGTCCATTTGTATTCGGAGGTCAATGACATTTCTCATCTCTCTCGGCCTCTTTGAACCCTCTCATGGCTGCAATCGGCCGGCGGCACAGACACACTCTCCCTCTCCAAGACAATTGAATATGAATAAGGTAATAGCGTCGGTTTCGGGCGGGCGCGGGGGTTTCTCTTACACTGAGTTTATCGTATCAACAGACACATGTCAATGGTCATAAGACAACCCTTTCGAGTCTAGACAGATACACATGCTGTGATTCTGTTGGTCCCGCTGATCTGGGTTTCTCTTACGCACATCTTCTCCATTTTTCGGTACTATTTGTCCATTCAATTCCCGTTTGCTCCAAAATCCCCGATTCCCCAATTTGAACCTGTCTCCTCCACTTTGAGTCAAGTGCCGACGATATATATCCTATGTTTTTCGCCTTGTCCAATACCCCTACATCTTTTCTACAAGATATTCTTCATTGTTATTGCCTCTGATCACTTTTGCCGCCGGCCATGGACGTGGGATGCACCGCTTACAGCCGTAGATAGCCTCTATTGATCTTATGTAATGTTAGGTAATACCTCTTGCGTATGCCATGGTCGTGGTCGGCACTCTTTACCCCTAAGTTACTAGCTGTGTTTTCGACGGAGGAGTCGGCGCATAAGAGTCGCGGGTCTGCCTTCCCCTAAGTTACTAGCTGTCTCTGCAACTTTCCCCTAAGTTACTAGCTTTCTGGAGTTTGTCTCTTCTCTTTGTTTTTCTGTCCCACGCTCCAGCGCCCGCAATCAATTGTCATGGTTGGGGCTTGTTATCAAGACCCAGAAATGGACCGACGTGACCCGTTGAGATGGAACTTTTTACGCAAGACACGAGGTCGTTGACCGATTTTACGCCGACGAGGACGAGTCTGATAGTCGATGGAATTGGAGAGAAGCAGACGATGCTGTCAAACTATTGACCTCGTCGCCGGTTTATTTCCTTGAGCTGGGGAAGCTCCGGAGCCGCACCGTTTTACCCCACTAACAATTCTGACAAACTCGAAGCTGACGATGATCTCGACACATTGTTCTCAATAACAGACCGCCAACTCGCACAATCGGTACAAACTCCAAGGTTCAGAAGCGAGGGAATGTCCGGCCTTGGCGACACAGAAAAGATCCTCACATGACGAAACGCGGATCTCGAGACGGATGAGGCAGGTCACAGAGGGATTTATATTCTGGCAATTATTGGCGAAGTTGACAGATCACTCTGTTGGACAAATGAGCCGGATAAGTAGAGATTGGGGTAGGACAAAACACCGAGGTCATTCGCGATATTCTCCAAACCAGGCGAGCCAATGGAGACGGTCACATCATGCACAGATCGTGAATCTACGGAACAGAGCAATTGGATCTGGAATGACAGACTGACGTAGGCTGACTCAGTAGATCAGCTGACTACCATATGGAAAATTCCATGACAGCTCGTATTCATGAGATCGGGATTTTAGACTCTCGTTTGTTTCGGATGGGTTCTCCACTGGAAAAAGCTTAGCATGTTCATACCCTGAGTATTGAAGATGGAGGAATGCGATGAATTGCTGGTTTTACGAGATGACGCAGAGTTCACTACCGGTATTGTTGTACTATGAACCGGCAGTCTCTCTGAGGGTGAGTCGTGCCAAGCCGTCAGCTTCGAAGGCCAGCTTCTATTTGTGATTGAGGCGCAGGGTCCCGCGAATATGTCTCTGTTCGCAGATCTGTATTGCAAACAGTCACTCCAGAGTGTTTGTTAACATATTGAACTGGTGACGTTACAGTGAGATTGTGATGGCCAAACATTCAGCTGCTGTTACCTATGATCAACATCAACGAACAACACTCGCCAGCAAATACTCTCCTGTAACGGCACGTAAACAAACAGATAAATTTGATCTCCACTTGATCTCATCCAATATTCATTCATCCACGGATCTTTAGGAAAGATCGCGTGCCCGGGGGCGGAGACTAGCAGCCACATCGTTCAGGGGCTGTCTGTAAGCTGATTCAAACCGCTGCATGCGCCGCCGGGAGGATGAATTAGATCGAGTTTGTGCGGCTGAAATTAAAACTATTTGTAGAAACATCAAAAGCTTGGCTTGATTGAAACAGACGTTGTGAGGCTGAGGTGATATTGAGATTGGCTTTTGAATGGTCAACGTGCATCTTCCCGTGTGTAACTTGCAGCACGATAATTCAGTGGGACATTGGATTGTGACTTGATCAATTGAAGCTAGAAGTGGACAGGCTCATTACATGTTTTTTTACGGTGAGGAATGATAGCATTTTGTCGCTATGTCTATCCAAGTTGCAAGTTGATGAAAGAACCCCTGCAATGGTAATCAGAAACAGCTCTGACACGCGTCCCTTCATGGATCATGTTCCAATGACACTGTGTAACTCACATCAACCACCTTGTACTCATCACAGGCGATGCTACACAGAGGACACTGTACTATTACCTCTCCCTTCAACATGTCTAACCTAATACATACTCTGAAGATGAGATTGGTTGTCCTCTCCGAGACACCAAACACGTTTCCCATCACTTCACTTCCATAATGATTGTGGAATAGAGAGAAACAGTGCGATCGGCTCGAATACCACTCGACGCGTGTAAAGCGTCTGATCGACCCCTGATTTATCCAAGTTTAATCCAAGATGCAACAGATTATGTGGATTTGTTTTATAGCGCCTACAGCACCTAGCACAGGTATTAATTATCCCCTGTAGAAAAAATAAGAACCCCCGATGCAAAGACCCACAGAAACGTCCCCTACTCCAAAATCGCCCGTCCAAGCCCCTGAGTGTGTACTTTCACTCGCTGGTAAATTAGAGTGTGGGAGGAGGTATCTGCCCGGCAGCTAAATTGGTGATCCCACATTTTAGGTTGGGCTAGTCTGAAGCGGGAGCTGTTCCTTGCTGGCTATTGAGATCGCACGCAAATTGATGGCTGCAGCTGCAGGCTCCTTTCATTCTAACTGAACTAAACTCCTCCCTCATTCCATTCCAGCGATTCATGTTCCTTTATTTCTCCTAAACCTCTCTCTTCCACGATAAAAAACCTCACATCGACTTTTCCAACGCTCGTCTTGCGTGGATTTCGATACAACTTCTATCGCCCCTTTTTGACAATCCTTGTCTGTCCAGTCTCTTCCTAGTCTTTTAACCCACCCTCCCCACGTTTGAACACTCCAGATATACCAGAACGACAACTTGGCATCCTCCGTTTGCGAACGGCCATACTCAGAGATCGATTAATCATGTGTTGAAAAGAGCGACTTTATTTCACATCTCGACGTTTTCTTCTTTTCTTCGTCGCTAGTCTCACAAAACGTCGCCGCCTTCTGCCCCGCGATCGACCTTCTTCCACTACCGCATTCGTCATCCCTTTCGCCCTCCTCGAAGAAAAAAAACCTGCGCATTCGTTTTCTGTCGCTGGCGTCAGATTCTTCTTTGCGCCGTAATCGGCTACGATAATTCCTGTCGAGAATACCGACGACATGCCCAAGATGCTTGCGCCTGGGTTCAGGACACGGCGCAGCTCCTCCTTCATTCGATTTGGCGCCCTCGCTGCACTCGTTCTCTTTGCGTTCTGGACTTTTAGCAATCGTGCTCCTGCGCCTTCTCTGCTGCCGATACAGAAATCGCAACCTGCTGCTGATGGCGCTGATTCTTTTCCTGCGAAAGCAGCAGGACAACCTGTATGTTTTAATTGTGCAGGCTTGGTGACACGTGCTAACTTGTGAAGTTCTCAAACAAACCTGTGCAGGGCGCTCATCCGATTGACAAGCTCATTAACGACGGCGGAAAACGATATAAAGATATCCTCGCTAAAGAATCGCATACCCTCGAAGAAGCAGCCCAAGCATACCGCAAACGCCGTGGTCGTCATCCCCCGCCAGGTTTCGACAAATGGTGGGACTTTGCCAAGCAGAACAACGCCATCGTGGTGGAAGAATTCTGGGATCAGATTTACCACGATATTGACCCGTTCTGGGGCGTTCCTCAACCTGTTATTCGGAAAGAGGCGTACAGCTTTGAGATGTCGATCCACATTCGAAATGGCAAAGCTAATTCAACGAGTGATTGGTTCTGGACGCTCATTTGGCTTGATATGATTCGCTCTATTGAACATATGGTTCCAGATCTCGATATGCCGTTGAATGCGATGGATGAGCCGCGGCTTGTGGTGCCGTGGGAGGATATTGATGGGTACATGACCAAGGGCGCTGCGTCGCGGAGTCTTTGGCCTGCGAAGGAGGTGGTCTCGGAGTTTCAGAAGCTTCCTACTGCTGGACGACATGATAGGGATGTCAGAATTCCTTTCAAGCGATGGGAAAAGACCAGTACGTCAATTCCACAGTCTATTTGACCGTTGCTAACAGTTACAGGCCCATACTGGCCAATTGCCCGTCGAGGATGTCCCCCAGACAGTCCAGCCCGTCAAGCCCCTCTAAAAGAATCCTTCAACCATCCCCCCGAAATCGACATCTCTAACGCCGAGAAGCACTCTTTCGCAGGCTACGTTTCCAACTTTACACTTTCGAGCGAAATCTGCCACCAACCCGACCTTCAAGGCCTAAACGGTCTTTTGATCAATCCCATCTCAGTTTCATCTACAAAAGTTTTGTTTCCTATGTTTGGCGGTTCAAAACTCGCTATCAATAATGAGATTCTGCTCCCGCCGCCAATTTATTGGAAGGGAGAGGATCGCTTCACGGGCGGTGAGGATGATGTGGAGTGGCAGAATAAAGGAAACACTGTGGTCTGGCGCGGCGTCGCGACAGGTGGGAAGAATAAGCCTGAGAATTGGCGGGGCTTTCATCGTCATCGATTTGTCTCGATGCTGAACCAGACAAAAGTCTCAGCTGTTGAGCACGGTAAGGAAAAACCAGAGAATTTCGTCCTTCCGTCGGAGCAGTATCATCTTCGCGCCCAGGCTGATGGTCGTCTTGGGGAGTGGGTCGGCGAATGGTCTGAAGTAGGCTTCGTAGATCTCATGTGCTCACCATCTGAGGATGACGGGCGATGCTGGTACACTGATCATTACTTCGCCAAAGTTGACGGGATGGACATGCACGAGCAATTCGACTATAAGTACGTTCCCGATATCGACGGAAACTCTTTTTCAGGTCGTTACCTCGGTTTTCTCAACTCAACATCCCTGCCCATAAAAGCAACCCTCTTCAGAGAATGGCACGACAGTCGCCTTGTACCCTGGGTGCACTTTGTTCCAATGGACAATAGATTCCAGGACTTTTACGGCATCATGGAGTATTTTAGGGGGTATGGTGAAACGAGTGGTCATGATAAGGCTGCGCAGCGAATTGCACTCGAGGGGAAGGAGTGGGCGAATAAGGTGTTGAGAAAAGAGGATATGCAGATTTATGTTCTGCGGTTGTTGTTGGAGTATGGGAGGGTTATTGCGGATGATAGGGATAAGATGGGGTGGGTTGATGATGCGCTTAAGGACCCGTCTATTGAGAAGACGTGGAGCAAGTTGAAGATATGATACTACATTGTGTGGAGTTGGCCTTGATTTGGTAGGCGATGGCGTTTTGGCGTGGTTTTTTTTTATGTTTTACTGATGCATGTCGTTTTGCTCTACGGACGACGACCGGGTTTATGGCATCTAAGTCAAATCAAGTACATATAGACTCGAAACGAGTTTTAGTTCATTGTATCAATTATCATGATATACATTTCTATTTCGTCTATATGGTGGTATGGTACATGTAAATATTGGTTTATCGCTATGTTCGTACAATTCATGCAACGCCGCCCATGGCGGTACCCTTGGACTCGTCCTCTTGAGGTGGATCAACCTCATAATCATCCATCAATCTACCCACAAGCGTAGTATACTCCGGCGCGAACGGCCACTCCAAGTACGCCTTGATAATATCCGCCCATTGCTTCTCAGTAACACATCGCGCTACCAACGCTCCATGCCCTGAAATCGGTGATCCGCCCTGCGCAGGATCATGAAGCGACGCAATATCCGCTGCACAGTCGCCGAATCCAGGCCAGGCGCCGTCCATTGCACTCTGTACAGGCGCGAGCATGTGCTGGAACCAGTAGCGAAGCATCGTATCTGAGATTGTACCGTTTCGCGAAGCGGGGCCGTGCTGGCGTGTGTACTTGCTCATGGCTTTGGGCTGCAGATCGAGAAGAGCGCAGGGCATGCGAGGGTAGAATTCATCGGCGCGCGCGGCGAGGGGTTCGAAGGGGCGACGGTCCCAAAATAGAACTGGTTTTTTTTGACGGAAGAGGTGGTAGTTGTCGCGGACCATGAGCCATTCTTTTCGTGTGTTTTTCTTGACGCCGTCGAGACGGGCGTTGAATTCTGCTTCGGCGGCGGGGAATTGAGTGGGGGATTTCTTCCAGAGCTTCATTAAGGCGTCGCGCTGCTGGAGGAGTTCGAGAAAGAGCTGCGAATCTACTGCGTCGTACTTTTCGCGATAGCGCAGCATTTTTAATCGGTAGGATGCTTCTGAGGCCTCGTCTTCTGCAAAGGCAGTTTCTAAACCTTCGAGTTCTTCGCGGAATGGTCGGTTGTGTCGTGGTGGTTGAACGCCTGCGAGTTTTTTATTGGCGAATTGTAGATTGGCGCTGAGGTTGTTGTACACAATTGTCTCGCGGCCCTTGGGCATCGTTAACCCAGCTTTCTTCATGCGCTTTAGGCAATTGTAGCCTGACTCCATGTTAATCCACTCATCACGGAGTTCATAACGATCTTCGACTTCGATGTCATGTCCGCAGATTTCATGGAGCCATTCTAGAGAAAGTTCTGCTTCGAAGGCGCCGCGTTTCCGACGGATGGAACTTCGTGGGAGGAGGCGCCGTTTGCCATCGTCGGAGATCCAGACGAGCATGCGCACGAGACCGTATTGCTGGAAGAGCGAGGCGGTGCGGATGCTGGACATTAGTTGGTAAAGAACCATTGTGCTGACGCATTCGAACATTTGGTACTTCTTTGGTGGGCAGTAGCATAGGTTGACGTTGACGAGGAGGGTGTCATTGCGTTTGGGCTCGGCGGCGGGATCGCGCATGGTTTGGTGGGAGAGGGATTCGAGGATGGAGTTTAGGTCTTTCCAGAGAATACCGGCTTTGGGGACGGCTTCGACGTTGGGTTTATCGAGGAAGTCGCCTAAAAAGGGTTTGTATAGCTCGATGTCGGGTTCCATGAGGATGTGTTTTCGCGGTTGGACGAGATCATGAAGGGTACGGCTCCAAAGACCGGGGCCGGGATTTATATCGACGATATCGCAGCCTTTATGGCGATCGAACGAGGGACCGACGTATTTCGCAATATCATCTACACAATAAGCTTCAAGCCCCAATTTTGTAGGGATAACATACCGCAAAGACTTTGGCTAACAATGTTGGCACGGTGCTTATCACCTATAGGGGCCTTCGGGCGACCGACCACACGAGTCCATTGCCATAGTCCTGTATCTCGTAGTCGTTCAGAGAGTTCGTTTGAGGGTTCGAGTTGTTCGTTTGTAATTTTGGTGGAGGCATGGCGGATTAGGGAGGGCGAAAGGCGGATACGCCGTGGGAGAGATGCGCGGGCATTTTTGAAGGCGATGAACATGGGGGTGTGTCTGGCGTTTGGGGTGGTTTTGGTGATGGTGGGATGGATGGTGATGGGGGTGAAATTATGTTTTTGCCGTGGGATACCGCTTGATAAGATGGATAAGATAAGATAGTGGGCATTGGTGTTAAAGTGGTTTGCAGACAGACTCTCCAAGTTGGGTCCCTTATAAGTTTCATTTCTATCTATTTATGAGCTCCCTTGGAGTTGAGAATGTTTATCTGTTTTTTCCTTCCTGTTTCTCTCTGCTATAACGGGTCTCCAAGCGCTTCTGCTGATGTTGACTGGGTACGGCGATGAACGATGGAGGGGCAGCACGGCATAGCCATCCATCATGAAAGCTGCAAGCTGTGATCAACCAAGAGCTGGAGGGCGCCAACCAGACTTCCGATATCGTTTGGGCTTTGCTGTATTCAATTTTGAGAGCCTTACTATTTAAAATTCAGCTTTACATCGTCCAAAAACCTGTTGTTTTTTATATATGAAGATGTCGTTTCCCATTGCACTGTCGAGCTGACTTTGCTTAACATTAACGCAGAATACTCTTTTGAGCTGCATCTTGGCAAAGAGATGTATCTCAATCGTTTACCAGGTGTTTCCTAAACCTCTATATGGGTTAAACTAGATGGAAGGATACAAGAAGTTTTTTATTTAATAGTTCTTTTAGTCCTCAGGTCTTCAGGCGGCTGATATGGATGCTTCACTTCAATTGTCTTTCAATTACCCTGCACTTCACCATCATTGAGCATTCGACGCCAAGCCCAATCAGTACAGCTGTCTCCAAAACACTCTCGCCATCATCACTCTCACAATCACTCCAGTGGTCAGTCTCCCAGGATCTGGACTCAAAATCGTATATCAACATTCATCATTTACCCCACACCATCCATATTCCCAAGCCAAGTCAAGCTACAAGATAAATAAAAACTCCACAAGACGCCGCCATGCTAAGACATAATCCTGTAAACTCGCTACCTCCCTTGTGTTGTGTTGTGTTATGTATCTGTCTGTCTCCACTATCATGCACCCTCACTTCCAAACTCATTGGTCCACTCAATCTGCCTTGCAATATCATCCTTAGACACAGTTGGATGCGAATCATCAAGCGCCATCTCGAAATCCTTCAGCGCAACATCTGGTGCAAGTAGTTCGTCGGATGATACGTCATCGTATGTCATCTCGATCTTTTCGGGGTCGCCTGGTGAGCAGGGCGTCAACATGCGCTTGCCGTCTTTCATAACCTGAATTTGTTAGTGAAGATCGAATGCTAGTGAAGGGTTACTTACAGGCTTGAAGTGGGTGGCTTGTAGAATCTTGCGGACTGGTCGCATAAGAGCAGATTGAACAACGTTGGCGATATCACTACCCGACATTCCTTCGGACTTGGCTGCAAGAACATTGTAATCGCTCGCCTGGAGAGATGTTTCAGTATCGCCAATGGCAAGCTTGAACATGCGCGCGCGACCGTTCATGTCGGGAAGACCAATATGCACACGACGCTGGAAACGTCGTCGGATAGCAGCGTCTAATTGCCAGGGAATATTGGTGGCGCCCAAGACTAAAATCCCCTTGCTGTCGTTGCCTACACCGTCCATCTGAACAAGTATCTCGGTCTTTATACGACGTGAAGCTTCGGATTCACCTTCACCTCTTGGGCCGCAGAGGGCATCAATCTCGTCGATGAAGATAACTGAGGGCTTGTTTTCGCGCGCCATGGAGAAGAGGAGCTTGACAAGTCTACCGACTTGTTAGTAATTGTATCAAATACCTGCAGGGAACGTACCTTTCACTTTCACCCATCCATTTGCTGACCAAGTCGGAACTGCTGATACTGAAAAAGGTACTGTTTGCCTCTGTCGCTACAGCCTTGGCGAGGTAACTTTTACCCGTTCCTGGAGGACCATACAGCAAGATACCCTTCCACGCCTGTCGCTTGCCTTGAAACAGACTGGGGAATTTGATGGGGAGAACAACAGCCTCCTTCAGCGTCTCCTTCGCACCCTCAAGGCCAGCGATATCCTCCCACCGCACGTTGGGCCTCTCCTGGAGAATAGCACCAGACAGCGCGTTGCGCAACTTCTTACTGTCGTCGTCCTCACCAGCCTGCGGCTTCCCCTTGCCAGTTGAGCTGCCGTTAGCGCCCATGATGGCCTTTCCGCCGCCGTTTGCGTTTTCGTTCTCGCTGGCGAGGAATTGCTTGAGCTTTTCTGCGCGGTCGAGGTACGTCGCCATCTTCTCCTGCATGGTGACTTTGAGGGCCTTGTTCTTCTCCCACTTGAGGGCCTTGACCCAGAGTTCCATGGAGGACATGTATAGGTCGAAGGCTTTTTGGTACTCCTTGTTGTGGTCGGCTGTGATCGCCTTTTGGACCTCTGCGATGGCGCGATCGCGGAAATTGGTCGACATGGTGACGTTGTTTGGAGTCGATGGACGTGGGGGAGGGGGTGACGAGACTCGAGGCTCCCAGAGGAGTAAGGGAAGTCGAAGACAAGGTCGAGGAGGTAACAAACAAGAACCTTGGGAGGCTAGAGTCGTTATAAGATGGTGGTCGGTGATGAGGCAACAGTGCAGCAGCAAGCAAAGCAGTAGGTACAGACGGACAGGTACAGGCTGTATGTGGTAGACTGAATTGGCGGGGAAACATCAAGATCCACGGTCGGATTGGATTGACTGAGCGCAATGCTTATAGCGGGGCAGAGAGGGGCTTGCACAACCTTTACCTTAACCTTCTCGACCTCTGCCTTGGCGATTTAGGCGACAACTACACCAAAAAAAGACGAATCAGAAATAGGCAGGAGGTTTTTTATCTGCTTAGTGATATTTTACCGCTTTTTACATCATCATGTCGGATCCTCAAGCACGGCTACAGGCGCTGTCTGAGGACTTCCAGAAGCTTCAAGGCGGTATGTTTGGGGACATTTGCATTTGAGGGGGGATAAATGCTAATTGGGAGTAGAACTTCAGAACGCTGTGGCGTCGCGACAGAAGTTGGAGGGTCAGAAGCAGGAGAATGTTGGTGTGCAGCAGGTAAAGTGTTGTCTGGAGATATCGCATGCATGGTCTAATAAGAGTCAGGAATTTGAGCGACTACAAGAGGGAGAGACAATCTACAAGCTCGCTGGTCCTGTGTTGCTGAAGCAAGACAAGTTTGAGGCTGAAAACACAGTCAAAGGTCGTTTGGACTTCATCAGTGGTGAAATGTGAGTGCTTTACCCACTTCACTGGCTGCCGCATGCTAATATTCTCAGTACACGACTAGAAGACACAATCAAGGAGACACAAGAGAAGCTTGAGAAGAAAAAGACAGAGATCATTCAGATTCAGACCGCCGCTCAAAGCCAGGCCAAGGAAGCACCTCAGTAATGATGAGAGAGATGAAGAAAAATAGACCATGAGTTGAGTTATATTCTACAGTACGTGGATTATGATAATGCAAATACCTGGCACTCTATGAGCGCCTCGCTAATTGGAGATCCCTTAAAAAAACGCCAGTCGTGAAGTTCAAGTTCGTGATATGGTTTAGTTGATCGCCATGATGCTGAAGCCCCAGGGGACGCCCATGTTCTTGTGCTCTTGAGCTGCGCTGGGAGAGAACATAAAGTCTTGCTTGTCATCTGCAGCAACGGGTTGAGGTGTCGCTGCGTCTTCGTCTGCATCAATAGCAGAGAGGATAGCTTCAGCGATGTCGCTCTTCTTTTGACAATTCTCAAAAACAGCATCGCCTTCAATGAGACTTTGCATCAAAGCGCGCTGATCACTCTCAGTGAAGAGCTGTGCCTCCCGATTAAGAACGCCATAAGTGACCCTCTCACCAGTCTGAGCCAAGCGCTGGAAAATGACTGTAAACGCAGCAATAGCCTGTGCGAGAATAAGAGCCTTTTGCTTGGAGCTCAGATGGGCGAAGATCTCAGAGTCTTCTTCGAGAACAGACTGGGTGTTGGTGTCGAAGATGGACTGGAGAATGCGGCGCAGAATGTTGCGACATGTTAGGTCGAGATCGGCGCTGACGTCGAGCTCGAATACTGAGGAGATGTTGCGAAGGATGCTGGAGAGGGCGTCGAGAGGGCAGAGGTCGTTGGGGAGGGTGACGTGCCCTTGGTCAATTGTGAAGATACCAATTGCGGCGTCGAGGGCGGCTGGGGCATGTTAGTTGAGGTTTTGGGAGGTGGTGAGGGAGGATTTACTTCTGCGGGTGGTGTCGATGTCGACCTCGACGTTTGAAACGATGGAGTTGTTCTTGATGGCTTCCATTTTGAAGGTGTAAGTGAGTGAGTACTATGAGAGGTATGGGTGATATGATGAGCTTGAATTGAGATATGATGCTAGACTTTATAACCATCTAAGACCTGGGGGATACGCCGGCTTTTGAACTTGTCGGCCCCTTACAAAAATTCTTCTCAGGAGATGCCCAACTCGTTGAGGATACGGCATATTATCCTGGCAGCCTCAATAACAAAGGCCCTCATGGCCACACCGTGGTCAATGCCCCCCTTACCTGAGGTGTCATGGGCGTGGATAGATGGGCCGATAACCGCCCTTCACCGTGGGGTTTATTTGACCGACACGACATGGTGGCGGCATGATCATGATGAAGATGAGATATGATGCGAAGTTTGGGGGTAACCAAGAGATAGCTTTCTCTTGGCAGATATATCACATTGTATAATTCATGATGAGATCTTGCCTGATCAAGTACTCTGTAGACATTGGTATCTTCTTCCGTCGTCTGTCTTGTTTCCTGTTATGGAAGCATCTCTTCAAGGATCATGACCCGGTTTCCCCGAACCTAAACCTTGAATGCTGGGGATTTTTGCTGGCGAATTCTCCCGATGTCTGGAAAACAAGCCGGAATATATCGGAATACAAGGACAGGTGCTCAAGTTACTGAGGAAACTTCCAAGGAATATCCGACTCGGTGAGACAGCGTGGGGATCGCATTGCAGATGGGAGATATAATTGTACGATTCACAGGAACAAAACACGCCATTTACTCCATGATT